TCTCTCTTTTCGTTTCCAGTGAACCAACTAATTGTGATTAACATTCCAAGAACTGATTATTGGTGGAAAAAAAATTAGGCTAATCTTGATATTAATTTTTAACCATTTACTTTGCAATAATTATCATGTTACCAATTAAACTAGAAAAGCACTTGTTTGAAGTAAAACATGAAAAGGTTTGATTGTATTATGAATGAAAGATGAAAGTTACCAGGAAGTTTTTACCATTTACTGAGTCAAATTTCATGATCATGAGTGTTGTGAGCAAAATGTGAGTTTACAAATGAACTCAAGTTGGTTAAGCTGAATGAAATTTTTTATTACGTTGTGTACGTTAAGTACGTCTTTACACATTTGAAACATTTAAAACAAACAAGTTGAGTGTATTGATTGAAGATGGATTTGTGAAAAGAGTTAAAAATAATTGAATGAAATTTTTTAGTTTGAAAGGCTTGTCATGTGTTATGAGGAACAGGGTAAAACAATTGGAAAACATGATTCTGTTGGTAAGGATGAGAATCATTGTGATCATCATTATGATTGGAAATTTCAACTTTGTACTTTTCGTCCAACAAAACAATCTATTAATAATTCGTCTTATCGTCAGACAGAATTATCATGAGAAGGAATGAAATTTTTTTGTTACTTTCTTCCTACTCACTACCAACTCTTTTATCTTGTTACCAGATTCTTGTGTTGTTTACAAACAACGCATTTCATCATCGTAAATTATCATTACAATATTCATCATGAACATCATGTTTATAGTTATTTTTACCTTTCCTTTCAATCTCCCAATTTACCTGTGAGATAATTAAAGATTTTTTGTTTACCTTTTTACTTTCATTACTATTTTAGTGTTGACATTTTTTTACTTTGGGAATTACCAACAATTTAATGATGGTTAGGTTGTTGTTTAAAATTAGCAATTTATTAAGTTAAAGATGTGATAATTTGTAAACTGATAAAGGTTACATGGTAATGATGATGATGTTGATCAGGTTGGAAATGAAAATCAAGTTGAAAATAAAAGTTTAATAAACGTAGTTGACTGTAAAAGACCTTAACTTGGAAGGAAATTTAATCGGAAAAGATGCACTTTCTTGGGTTGAAAGTTTCGTCACCCTCGGCCTAATCAGACTTGCTGTAAGTTTACATTTATGATGATGATAATGGTGAAGATGAGGATGAGGATGGTGGTGTTGAGGATAATAAGGATGATAAGGATGAGAATGAGACAAGTAAAGAAGATAAAATGAAAATAAAAATTAAAGTTTGCTAAACGGTTAAAGACCTTCACTAGGAAGGAAATGTTATGGGGAAAGAGTCACTTTCTTAGGTTGAAAGTTTCATCCTTCTCGGTCTGATCAGACTTGTGAATTTGAATTTACGATGATGATAATTATGATGATGCTGAGTGCGATGGTGATGGTGGTAGTGATGCTGGTGGTTGTGGTGGTGGTGGAAAGGATTAGGATGGTGATGAGAAAAAGATAAAACTGAAAATAAAATTGACGTTAATTCAACGGTTAAAGACCCTCACTAAGAAGCAAATTTATTGGGAAAAGAGTCACTCTCTTAGGTTGAAAGCTTCATCATTCTCGGCCTAATCAGTCTCAGTGCATGTAAGATGATTATAATCATTTCTTGATTGGTATGAAGATGATGATGATGAGGATGAAAACGGCAAGCTAAGAATTGTTTGCTTCACCTTTTATTGTGATAATGTTATTCACATCATGATATGTAATCAGCGGCATCTTTCAATGATTAAAACCATTTTGAACAACTTTTCCATATCAATTCAGATTTTTCATCATCTTAATTATCTTTCTCACTCATCATTTATCTTCCCCTTTATTATCACCCTGTCTACTATTATTACTAAATTCCAGATGAGATTGAATTTCAATGCTCATTTCCGTTTTTTCTCTCCTTCATCATCTTCAATTCTTGTCCATTATAGCCTTCCATGAGCTGAGAATAGAGAAAAAAAAAGAAAAAGCAAAGACGATGAAGATGAAGATGAAAATTTGAATGAATATTCCCTTCATCATCACCATTCTTAACCACATAAATGGCTTAAGTTATTAATAAGAAAGTGTCGGTAAAATTGACAAGAAAAATTTCTCATCTCATTCAGATAACCTGAACATTAAGATTTCCTATCCTCATCTCTTATTATTATGTTTATTAAAGGATAACATTTATCACTTTATAATCAATATCAAATGTAATATAAAATATAATAGCAAATGTGATATAACGCCAAGTTTCAATGAAAAGTTTACAAATTCAAATTAAGAAGGCAATGAGAAGTGAAAAAAGGTGAAGAACAAAAAAACCTCATTTCTCCTTTATTCCTATTCCATTGATTTCGAATTATTGAGAGAACCTTTTTTTCTTTTTCTTCTGACAGACTATTCAATCATATGAATAATCAACTGATCAATCACCTTAACCACTAAATAAACCGAAAAACATGCCCAGGTAAACGAAAAGCAATGAGAAATGCTGACCTTTTTTTCATATCAAACCTTCAAAATAGGAAGAAAGTTTCAAAAAGTAACTTTAAAATTGATGACAATGAGCTTCTCAAGATTGATAATTGAAAAAAATGTCCAATTTTTTTCTTCTTTTTATTCTCAAAAGATTGAAATGATTCACTTAAAAGCAAATTATGTTGAAAAAATGCATACATTAGGAACATGATTGTTGCCATTGTTAATGTTGTTGATAAACAAGAGACACACGCACAATATTTAAAGGTTTTTACCTTAAACCTGGCCAAGGTTGCGTGCTATGGGAAACAAAATGAAACTCAGGTAAAAGTAGCCAGAGTTTGGGATGAAAATTGAGTGAAAAAAGATGCAAAGATGGTGAAAATTACGAAAAGATTATTAAGAAAATGCAATGAAATTGATATTGATGAAGATGAAGGTGCTGAAGATGACCAGAAATTTTAGCCCTAAAATGGTGAGAAATCGTTCGACAACTTTGGGTGAAAAGATGAAATAAATTTGGAATTTCTTTCTTTCTAATTTCATCAATAGTAATGGAAATGATTACGATTATCCAGATTTAGTGAAGGAAATTATTGGTAACTTCGCACCTTTTTTCATCCTGAAGCTGAAATGAATATTGAAATTTTGATCCAGAAAATAGAATGAAACTTTTTGCAATTTTTGAAAACTTGGAGAATCAGGAAAATGGAAGATTTTTTTGGTGAAAATGAAGAAATGATTTAAATTTTTGTGGATAAAAAATTAGCTGAAAAATTTCCTTTTTTTCGGAAACATTTACATTCTTCAAATTTTCGTGCCAATTTTGATTGAAATTGCTAACAAATATGAATAATCAATAAACTCATCAACATTATTTGCAACAATAATGATCATGATTACAATAATCATGATTATCTTTAGTTTATTTGCTTTCATCTCAAGTTTTTGCTTTCAATTTTGTGAGTTTGCATTTCCATCAACTTATTATTTTACATTTTAACTTTGTTTTTGTTCACTTTTCAGGTTAAAGATCAAACTTGAGATTTTGCTTTTCCTTATAAAATGCCTTGTTATTTGTCCATTTGGTTTGATTGGTCAACATTGGGCTGAATTAATGATTTTTTGCTTCTTTTTCTGGGTTTTCATTATTTCACCATGTAAACCTCAGCTTTTTATTTTCCCATTTTGTGTTTACATTTTTTTTTGTTTTCTTTCTTTGCTGTCAACTTTTCTTACTTTTTCCCTTCTCTATGGTATTTATTACACACTGTTACATGATCATTTCTGAATGACGCTCAACAGTCAGGAAAAACCAGTTTAATAAAGAGCGAAATGGCCGAAAGCGAAAAGGCGCCAATTCGTTTAACTTTGAAATTTTCTTCATTTTCTTTATTTACATCATTTCATTTCCTTCCTCAAATCATCACTATTGCTCAATTTATTATTTTTGTTCATTACTATTTTGGGTGAAAATTTATCCACTAATTATAATCATTAAATTATTTTTATTTTAATTTTCAGTTTACATTTTTTGTCTTTTCGTACCTTTATGCTGCCTTCAATATATGACAATAATAGGAGACTGATTGGGATTACATTCAGCGATTGTTGGGCGATTGTTCAGTAAAAATATCGTGCATTTGTGGTTTATAAATACTTGCTGCTGGCATCTTTTTTCTGGAAATATTTGTTGTATAGAGGACAATGACATTCCAGTGAATATTATCGGCCATTTCGCTACCACAGGAACATTGTCTGTCGGTAGTTTTGAAGTTATCCATTCCTCTAATGAAACGTACAATACTGTTGATTTTTTTCAAGAGGCTTTTAGTCTCCAACAGGGAAGAAGCCTCAGAAGGTTCTTGTGCTTATTACAATGGATGATTCAGATATTGTTTTGTATAAATATTTTTATAGTAAACTCGAAGAATTGTCAAATGTGATCTTTTGTAAAATGAATAGGGTTAGATACTGATTTCATTTTCTAGATCTCGATCTTTGTTTTAGTTTTTGAATTTGAATTTGAGTCTCTTTTTGGGTTAACTTTTCTTTCAATTTTTACATTTTCTTTTTGTTCTGTACATTTATTTTGTCCCTCAATGGTAATCGTACTTTTGATTTCTGATTGTTCTGCACGGAGTTCTGAACCAAGATAATCATTTATTTTCAAGCGATTGGCAACTTTACCTTTACTGTTATTGCTGTTACCTAAAGTCGCCACCATGTTGGCGGAGAAGAGGTTGAACTTTTTGGACACAAAGAGTCAAAAAGATGTTATAGAGATGTACAGATTGTAGATGATTAATGAATAATCAAGGGAACTGATGAACTTATTGGCTTAATAATTTAAAATCACAAACTTCACAAGATGATGTAAAAGGTGTTGAACCAGTATTTAACTACATTGTCGCCATCTAACGTTGCTTTAAGTTTCTTTTGGGTTGCAGTTTAAACGATTGTTAAATAATTGGCTTTTATTGGTTTTGTTTTGCTCCATTTTATTTTCATTTGATAACTTTATTATTTTTTATTGAAAGTCATCTTTTCAATTGTTAATCTAATTTGTTCATTTAGTTTAAGCTTGCGTTTTTCCTTTCTTTCTCTCTCTCACTTCAATTGGTAAATTTATTCCATGTCTTGATAACTTTCACTTGGTAAGTGTGATAAGCATAATGTGCTTTTTTTGAATCTTCATTGTTATACCATATGACTTAGATTTTTTCCCTCCTTTTTTCCTTTCCTTCTTTATAATTGCTGTATTTTCTTGTTTTATTTTTGTGTTACCTTGTGATTATTATTAGGCTCTTATTGTCAACTAATTGAATGTGTTAAAACCGTTTTACCTGATGATTGAACTGCTGCTTACTTGATGGCTTGATTAATACTTTGACTTTTGATAGATCAGCCTGGAAATTTGGTTTGTACGTGTTTCCGTTACTCTTATTCTGTTGATTGTTTCTTTCTTTCTGGCATGTTTTTTTGTTTTACAATATAGTATTAACCTGTTGACATTCATTGTTAGTCAATGACGTGAACAAGCAATACTTAAATACGGCCAAACAAAAAAAAGCTAAATACTCTTGATCTGTGTTTCAACATTTTCTGTACAAAATTTTGGATTGCCAGAGAAGGAGCTAGAAAGTTAAATGCGCAATTGATTATCGCAAATGGTTTCTTTTCTTCATCTACCTTTTTGTTCACCTTTCTTTTCTCTTTTTTTATATTTTAAAGGTACAATAATACATATTGACGTAAAAGCAAAACAAAGGCAAAGGAGACAACAAGAGGAGAAAATATTAATGATAGCTCTACGTCAAACAAATCAGTATCAACAGAGACACCAACAATTCGTCAACAACATGATAAGTTGCATACGCAACCACAGTATTTACGAAAGAGTCTGAGGATGATTACAAGAGATGGATTGGCAAAAGCAAACACAATTTCTTGAATTGGAAGCCAACAATTAAAAGGTATTGGATCGACTGGAAGCGATTAATTATCATTACAATTCATTTCTTTTACCTTTTCTGCTACCTCGACTGCTGCCATTGTCAAGCAAGCTTCTTCCTATCAATTTAATTTTCTTTCCTGTCCAATGATTTGTCTGTAATTTAACTTTAATCAGTATTGATTGTTAACCTATTCCTCTCTCACTCACCCTCTCTCTCCCCATTCAATCTTCCAATCTACATATAATTGCTGAATAATTAATGTTTAATGTTTTTACATATTGTCTGATTTTGTAAAAGGTCAGATAATTGTTTTGCCTTTTCAGCTTTCATTTCCAACTATCATTAATTTTGTATCATACAATTTAAACTAGAAATCAATGTTAATCTTGTTGAAGCTATACTTTGACCTTCTCTTGATCAATGGATTGATTGTTTACAAGTTAATATTGCAAAAGAAGTAATATTAATGAGAATAACCATTTTTTTGACTTTAATTCATGCATCTCTCTGGGGTAGCCAGATACAGGTAGACATTGGACAGTGGCTAGTTTCAAATATTTTACCCTTTGAGAGGAGGTTGACTTTTTTTTGTCCAAATTTACCTTTTCAATGTTTCTTTCCATTAATAGTAACAATAATCTATTATCTATTATTATCACTACAGGATATATTTTGGTCTTTGGTTTCTTGGTGGATCCCATTTATAAATCAATGTAAAAATTAATTGAGCTGACATTTATTTTCCATCATCCATGAAACAAGGGTAAACATAATTGTATTCAATGTTGAATAATTAATGTTCAGGTCTTGTTGTCTGCAGTTAACCGTTGGACATAATCTTTCATCATCATACTCAATCTTATTTTTAATGCAAGGAAAATAAAGGAAAATGTAAACAGATTGAAATGTGTTGAAACATGAGTTACTCAAGAATCCAGAATAAGGAAAAGACAAGGAAAGAAGGAAAGAAGCAACGTTTTCCAGCAAAGTATTTACAATGTTTCAAATTTCTCTGAGTTTGATCAACCTTCAGTCAATGTTTCATTTCATGGCGAAAGAAACATGAAGGAAATGAGTTTCCATAGCAGATAAATTCATCAAAAATGATCAACAATAATCAATAAAACAAGCTTGAAACATGTATCAAAGAATAAGGTAAGAAATTTAGATAATTTAGAACCATTTGTTAATTTGATTGTTAATGATTAATTGAAGTCTCGAAAGCAATTTTTTATTGTACCTTTGGGTCTCACAATCATCTAATTATCTTAAATTAATTAAACTCTACCTCCACTAATTAGAATCCGGTTCAATTTAACCTTTGTCTCTTTTAATTGTTTGATGACATCTCTCTCTTTTTTTAATTATACCCTGTTAGGTGCAACCAATTGGCAATGGTTTAGGAAAATCACAAAGGACACTGAAATGAAAATGGAACGGCAATGATTCACTTTGGGGAATTTTCTTGGTCTCTCAATGTTTCAATTGACTTTAATTGTGACAATTCATTGATGATCACCTTTCGGCGAATGATTGAGTCGGCATTCAATTCCTTTACCATTATTTTCATATCAACCTTCTTTTGTCGGTAATGTGATTATTGTATTGATCAGTCTTATCATAAGCTTGGCATCACCGAGAAAGCTTTTTATCAATCGGCAGCCAAATTAACAGCAGCACCTCAATGCTTCTGATTACATGCAGACAATGCTAATTGTTATTATCGTTGATCATAAGACGACGATGACTAGGAAATGTAAAGAAAGAAGAAGAAGGCAAAAAGAAACTTGAAGATATGTAAAAAAGAAGACAAATTGACTGAACACTTCTTTTTTACTTTTTTTTATCCTTCAATTGCTTTAATTCCAACTTGAATTTGATTCCACCCAAATTTCATATAATTATCATTGTTCATTCAATTGTTGATACCTTTTGTTGCCTTTTCATTTTGATGGTTATTGATAACTTTGATTGTTCGTAATATTGTTGATTAACCAAATAAGAAAATCGCAATTAACCTTTTTTCCACCAAGCTTCAAACTCGCTTCAAACCTTGATTTACATGAAATGGTACAATCGCTATACTTTTGATTGTTACAAAAATTTCAACCCAAACTGTAGTTTACAATTTAAAATGCAATTTCTAACTTTACTTTATCTGTTTTGCTTTAGGTAAAGATTGTAAACAAATTAACTGGCATTGGTCTAAACATTGAATCAAGGAAAGGTTACAAGTCCAAATGTTTACTTTTATGGCAAACAATTTGAAACATTTGTAAGACAATTAAATGTGGCTTGAAACCAAAATAACATTGGTTTCAACTTTACGCTGGTCAAAGGACAAAAAGTGAATCGCTCAATGTTTCTTAGCTGGCAGTCTTGAAATTTGGATGAAGTTGATTAAGTAGATGGAAAGCAATTCATAAAATATCCTAATCTGGATCCTGTCAAAATTACCATAAAAAGCATTTGCACCTTCCAAGAATAAGCTGATGAAACGAAAGACTCAAAAGGAAGAAAGCGAAATAATACATGCAAAGTGACTTTTCTCATCTCTTGCTTTCATTTTTATCTCATCATTATCATCATCATCATCCTTCTCCCTCTCACTCTCAGCCATTTCCTCTGTACCATTGAACCAAGTCAACTTCGTGCCCATTAAGCTTGAAGGACAAAAGACCCAAACGACAACTGGCAAATTATGGATAAACTTTGACGACTCGAGATGTTTAATGCACTTGAATTTATTGCAAGTAACTGTACTTCATCTGTCAACAGGCACAAGAAAACACAACACCAAAAGTACTCAAATAAAACCAGATTGGACGGTGCAAATAAACTGTAAATACAGAGCAGAGCTTTTCTTGTTAACCGTCAACCAATAATATCAAGTTCAGTTGAACTGAAACTTCTCAATCAATCGAGATGATAATTATCAAGTTTAGCTCTCATTTCTCTCTCTATCTTCTTAGTACCTGCAACTTCAATTTGCCTGGCCAAAGTAAACAATTTATCATCTCACATTTACCATGAACCAAGAAAAAATAACAATCAGAGTTTATCCCTTTCATGATACAAGGAAATAATGGAGGAAAGAAAAAAAGACGAAGAAAAAAAGTGGAAAGAAAAAGAAAAGAGATAAAAAATGATGAATTATCCTTTGAAACTGAGAAACTTTTGTTAACTGTTTATCAATGATAAGATAATACAATACTTTGCGTGTTTCTATTAATTTAAATTATCCTTTAATACCCTGAAAGTTCAATATTACCATCGTTATAATTGAACAGGAGAAAGAGAGAAAAAGAAATGTTGCAAATCATTAATAATCGATAAAAATATTGAACAGTTTTCTTCAATTTTCAATTTCCATTTCAACAATTAATCCAACAATAAGATTAACATTAATTGAATCTCCGGAAATTATTTCAATTGAATTATCTTACATTAGACAAACAATTATCAATAAGGGAAGAAGAAGAAAATGAATGAGAAAAAATTATAATGTATAGTTGATTGAATACACTGATTGTTGTGGTCTTTTCAATGAAAACCTGACATCACATTACAAGCGGTTCAGGCCTGACTCTTGAACGTGTCAATGTGCGTGCTTGTCACACCAAATGAACCACAAGTTAATTAGTTTTTACCTTAAAATTGATCTAAACCCAAACAATCAAGGCGTCAACTCTTTCAGTTGAACATTTTGCTTTGGCCAATGTACAGTTTTATGCATCAATCAATTCAATTAATTAACTATTAATTTGTCTGTTTTGTATTAATGGGTAACAATTAATTATCAATCGTTATTGTGTGTGTTTACCATTTGCATGATCAACTTCATTTGGGACTCTGTTTTTCCGTTGAAAACATGGAAATGTTTGTTTCTCAGTTTTTATCCGTATTTGCTTTCAACATTCAAGTTGACAGTTTTCACAATTAACCAATTGATTGCCAGTTGATTGGCCGATTGATTAACTGGGCTTGGTTTTTTAATGTTAATCTTGGTGAAACTGAAAAGCCATTTCAAAATGGGTTAACAATGAGCTTTGCGTGTTAATCAACTAATTGAATCAATTTTCATTTCTCTTCTGTATTATTATTCAGTCAAAATTATCTATTTGATCGTCCATTGAACATCACAATTGATGCAATAAAATGATGCTTTTCAACATTTTTGCTCATCAACTTTGCACCAATTGATATGGATAAAAAAGTGAGTTTTTTGCTTTCCAAATTGGCTAATATAGACTGGAAAGTTGATTATTGCTTATGATTTAGCTAATGAAATTGAAAAGCTCAGTTTGTTTAAAGCTTTTTTTCTGTGATTTTCATTCATCTTGGTGATGATGATGAGGATGATGATGGTGTTAGGAATAATAATGATGATGAAAGTGTTGAGAAATTGTTTGATTGAAGTAAATTGTGAGCTTCTTTTTTGTTGCACTTCAATCGTGAACAATCATCTGAGGATAAACAGTAAAGTACAAACGGTTGAAAAAAAATCTGTTGTTTAACTTGTCCAAGTGTGAAAAAGGTAACCAACAAAAAAAAGGTAAGATTGATTGCTGTTGAGCAAGTTAGGAAAGAAAAGATTGTTTCAAGTATTATTTCAATTTCAATGGTATTTTCACGATTCAATATCCTATTATTTCCCATCATCATCATCATCATCTTGTTACTTATTGCTCAATCTTAACCTGATTACAAATTGAACTTGAAAGAAGCAAAAAGTCAGGTAAAAGAGCAGTTAAGTGCAATCAAAGTGCAAAGCTGAAATTTAATAAAATATTGCAAAATGGTTCGTGAAAATTGTGCAAAAATAAACAAAGGTAAATGAATTACATCTTCAGTCTGGATTTGCCAAAGCCATCAGTTCCAGAGAAAATCAAAAGATGAATAATCTGCTCAAAACGATTAAAAATGAGCTTAAATAATGTTTCTCTTCCATGTTACAAGACCTTTACTAACCAGACCTAAAGACAAAATTTGATCCTACAAGGGTGACTCTCTTAGGTTGAAATAGTCTTTACCGTTGGCCTAATCAGACTTGAAAAGAAGCAAACAAATTAAAATTAAATGTTGCGCAATAAGCCTAGTTCAGACGTAATTCCGTTCAGAATGAGTTATCATGATGCAGTGATCATAAAATTGTGATGAAAACGGTTAAAAATGAAATGAATGCCTCTTCGATGTTAAAAGACCTTCTCAAAAGCAAAATTTGATGCAGCAAGGGTAACTCTCTTAGGTTGAAAGACTCTTTTACCGTTGGCCTAATCAGACACAAATAAAGATAACCAAATGTTTGAAATAAAATTTACGTAAAACAAGCCTAACTTAGAGGTAATTTTGATGGGGAATGAGTGACTTTACAGGTTGAGTGATTTACCATTCCCGGCCTTTGACTGATAATGAAAATGTGATGAATTGATGAAAGTGATGAAAACGGTTAAGATGATGTTGAAATGAGATGAGGTTAAAAAAGTTTAATAATTTGATTAATGGGAAGATGAGACAAAGTTGACGGTAAAAAATGTGATAATGATGATGATGAAGGTGATATTTGATATAAAAGTGTTATTATCACGGAAATGCAGTCTTTTTCACCTCCTACACAAACTGCCCTATTGACTGAATAAAATGATAAGCTGCAAGTGAAAATATTCATCAGAGAAAGTGAAATGAAATTATATTCATGTGTTCCATGAAACTTTCTCTCTCTGTGTATCTATTTTTCCCTGGAAATTTGATCGATGAAGGTTGAAGAGTGGGAGGTTGAGTGAGTATAAAATAACTCAAGATGATGAGAAGGAAGAAAACCACTGTTTAACCTTTAAATGTCAGAAAATGTTTTTACTGTATCAAAAGGTAAAGGAAAACTGTATCATTTTGTTACCTTACTTTTATTTCATGATTTTCATCTCAAGATGAAAATATCTTTTATCTTCACCTTATCGTCTTCTTCCTATTCAAGACGCAATTCAATTGTAACAATGATAATATTATTCTGTTTCTGTCTATTATTCATTTATTTTGATACTCATGCTCATGGTTTTGGAAGAAAGAGAAAAAAAGAACAAAAATGAAAAAAAAATTTCCTTTGAAATGAAATCTGGCCAAATTCAATTGAATATAATGATAATAATTTACCTTTTTATTCAACTTAAATCGAGTCGAAACATTTACTTTTTTTAATCTAATTTTAAGTTTTACCTTTTCATCATTTCTGAAACTTTCAACCTTAACATTTCAAACTGTCCAGATGAGCTTTGACATTATCATGATTTTGTTGATAGAAAAGTATGAAATCGAAAAACTCATTCCCCCACAAATTCATTAATCTTGTTTCATAACATGATGAAATGTTGAAATCTATCATGAAGACAGAGTTTCCATCTATCGACTGAACAAGGTAGACTCAATTCAGGTAAAGTTTCATTTCAGTAAATGATAATCTTAATCATTTTTTCCTGTTAATCTCTCGAGTCTTAAAAATGGTTATCCAATTGAATTTTTTGCTCAAAGTTTCAGCTTCAAGATTCGAGCTTTTACCCGAAAATTTTCATCTTTTTTTGCCAATCAATTAACTGTGCTGATTCCATTCACGTTTAGTTAACCTTTTTTGCTATAATATTGAACAGTTTCAGTGAATAACATTATTTCATTGGAATAATGATTCACGTGAAACCGGGTGAAATGATATTGTTGAATGATTTGTCTGCAAACAAATGTAAGGAAAGCCATCATTATGTATGTTTAACTAGTTTATCATTTGCATAATCAATTGACCAGTTGATAATTAAATCACAAATTACTATTAATATGGTAATTGCAAGATTAAGATTGTTCTCATGGTTATCATTTGATCTTATATGAGGAAATGGTTTCATCCGTGACTTGATTGGAAAGGTTGATTAAAAAGAATTGACAATTTATTCTAATCGTCAACTGAATCAACTTTGATTGTGTGTCACTTGAGCTCAATGTTGCAAGATTGATCAATTAGATCAACTTTGGATTATGTTTTCGAAAGGGAATTTGATTTAGCTTTTTAAGTGAAAATTAAATTAAATTTAAAGCTATTTAATCATTTAGATAAATCTATTAATGCTTTAAATGTTAATTTTTTTAAGCATTTTTTTCCTTCCCTTTGCTTGGGAAGTTCATTTTAAATTCAAAGTTGAAATTGAAGGTTAACTATTTTCTGATTTTACCGATAATCAATGTATATTTAGAAATGAGATTGATTTTGAAATGATGAACTATTGTCAGGAAATCGGAGTAAAAAGTAAGAATTAGAATGGAAATTCTTTTATCATTTCTTTTGGAAAGATTTGAATATTTGAAATGTTGAGTTTCATTTACTTAAAACCTACAAAAAAAGGCTTTCGATGTAGACAAGCTATTTGCAAGTAAATAAGTTTCATCTTTTTTTTCTTCTTCATTCATTTACTCATCAGCTAATCTAAATGTGAACAATGTAAAGAAAAGGAGTGAAACAAGAAGGATGATAAAAATGATGAGGGAAAACTAGGATGAAAAAAAGGATGAGGTAAGGATGAAACTTGAGTAAGAAAAGGCGACTGACTGGAAGATAAATCCTATTGAGATTTGAATAAGAATAGACTTTGTAAGCTGGAAAAATGTTGTAAAAAAAGGTAAGATGAACAAGATGATGAAAAATAATTTCCTGGAATATCAGGCAAGATTGAAGTAAGAAATAATGAGGAGAAACAAAAGGATGATCGCGATGATGATGTAGATAGGGAAGATTAGGTTTGAAATATAAATTATTTGCTGCACAAAAGAGCCTTATTAAGATGTAGTTTTGATGGGAAATGAGTGGCTTTGTTAGGTTGCAAGTTGCACTGCTTTCAGCCTAAGATTGATCATAAATATGAAAATGATTAAGACGATAAAAGTGAGGAAAATTGAGAAAATGAAGATCAAAAAGAAGATGATGATGAGAAGATAAAGAAGACGAGGAAGAATAAAAGAGATTATTAATGATTGGAATGCTTGAAAATAGCTTGGTTAGACCGGCATCAAGACCAAACCTTCAAGGGAAGAGAGTGACTCTGTTAGGTTAAAAGATTCCCAGTTTTGGCTTAACCATATTCACTCGTACGAAGCATGATGATGATGTTGATTGGTATGATTATCATGCATGAAGATGAGCTTTAATTTGAAATTATTTCAAAAAAGTTGACCTTCTTATGAACTTTGTCTTGAGACTCTTGACTTGCAACCTAACAAAGTATGAAGATAATAAAGGTGTTCAAAGTGTTAACGATCTTTCAATAAACTTAGCTATTGGTAAAGAGATAAGAAAAGTTATTTGAACGATAATTTCATCTTGTTTCATCATGAATTTGTCTTTGTTTTTCTCTCTCACTTTATCCTTCATCATTTTGTAATGACTTGATGCTGAAACCAAAAAAAATTACTTTGAAAAACAGATTAAACCAGTGGGATTTCAAGCTAAAACTGGTGTAACCAAAACCATATAAAAATGGTAAGCTCTGTCTTTCCCTGTAATCTCTCCAAATCATCTTCATCTTCATCTTTCAATTTCCCTCTTTTTTATATCCTCTGCTTTTGTCAAAAAAAATTTCTTCTGTCTCTCGATTCACTTGAACTTTTTCTGGTGAAACATTTGCTTGAATAATCTTTCACTTGATTTTCTTCTTCTTCTCATCATATGCCCCATTCACTTCCTATTTTTACCCTCTGATGGCTCTTCGGGTCCCAAAGAGTTAACCTTTATATTTAATCTTACTAAATGTTTACCTCATCATTTAGCAAATTGCATCTTCAAATTGAACTTTCACTTTTATCGCAATGCTGTTCACAATTGGGAGTTGGATGGATAACTTGGCATGTGAATGATGAGCAAAAAATATGTTTTTTTTTGTTCGAATCGCAAGTTCCAGAGTGAAAAAGTCTGAATAAAGTTTCGGATTAAGATGCAAGATAATGCATGATTAAAAGTGACACTAAATTGAAATGTTACCAATCATGTTAATCTTGAACATTTGAAGCAAAACTCCCAGAAAATGTTGAATTAAAAGCAACATTTTTCTTGTCATTACATTTTGTGTGTTCATTGCAAATACCTTTAGATTATTAGATTATTAAATTGAGAAAAAAAGTTATTCTTTGACAGTTTTCATCATTTTTAATGAGCATTTTACAATTTAATCAATGCGAACCTTGAAGTTGACAAAAAAAAGTGAAACTCGACTGAAAAGGTTAAAGAATTTTTTCGTTTCATGGAAATTATTTTCTCAATTAAGCTATCAAAATGGTTAATTTTCATTCCCAAGTTTTCCTAATCCATCAACCATGACTGTTATTCAGCAATATTTTTCTGGTCAACAATTTTCATTCCATTCATTGGCAGTTCAGTGGAAAAAAGTGAAACGAAAAAAAAGACTTTTTCTTTCTCCATCAACTCTGTCAATGTTGATGGGCAACACAATGAAAATGGTCAACTTGACAATCCTGGACACTTTAATATCTGGCCCATTCTTTGAATTCCAGATTTACTTTTTTCTCTCTTCATCTTTCAAATCTTAATTTGTTCACTTTTGAACCCTTTTGTTTGTTCAAAATGACAACTTTGAGTTGTTCAATGAGAAGATATTTTACAAAAATGAATCAAAAATTTGATTCTCTCAATGAAATTGAAAATCTTTGTGTTTCTCATTACATTGAACTTTGCTCAAAGTGAACATTTTTTGCTTTCCTTTTCAATTTTCATCTCAACTTGAAACAATTTGTTACAATTTGTAATTGAAACCTAATTGTTGATTCTATCCATGTAATTTAGCCACAACAGTGAACAAATAATTAATGATGAAAAGCTGTGAAAACAATGGAAATTAGTTGAAACCATTAAAAGTTAATTTGTTGGGTTGTGATGAATGATGAGAGTAAAGGTAAAGGTGACAAAAAGCAATGTTTACAAACGATGGATTCAATTGTCTGAGTTGATCTGAAAAGTGATCAATTTGAATAACAAGTTTAATCATGTTTACAGTTTGAATAAATTGAATGTTGCTCTATGAGTTGAACAGGAAACACTTTGGCGCAAATTCAATGGTTCAGTTGATTGTTCAGAAGACTATCAATTAAACAGATAGGAAAGGTGAAAAGCAAGAGTAAAGGTAAACCTGGCAACAAAAAGGTAAATAATTGCGAGAAAAGTTATCGTTCATCTTCAATTCTGTAAGCTGTTAAAATGTCAAAGAGTTAGACTTGGTAAGGTTCAGGTTTGACCATATTGGAAGCGAGTCAATTTCAAGTAACAACATGTCAGGCCAGTTAATTGTCGGGTCTTTCTGCTTGACTCAACATTCTTAACCAGCTATTTAAAGTGTCAAATTTGTCACTTTTACCGGTGTCAGAGTGCCAAATGTTGGTGAATGTTTCAGTTTTGATCGACTCATGAGATAAGGTAACATGGCAAGTGAAGTGCATTGATTTTTAAACAAATGAAACCTCTTGTTGGTTGAGACTTGACTCAATGTTTACCTTCTGGTGTCTGGTTAACGGAAACCAATTATTCAATTTGCATTGTTGAAGTTACTGTTGATGCTTCAATGGCAGAGTTTTGAAGCAAATCAACTCGAGGAATCGTGAAACTGGACATTTATTTTTGGTCCGAAAAAGGGAAACATTGTTACAAATTGGTAAACTTGAAAATTGAAAGGATGTTCAAGGATGATTGATGTTTTGCTATTTCCATTGAGAATTGTGTGCGAAACAAAATTTATTTGAAATTAATAATGTTTTATAAGCTTGGGACAAGAAATGTTTCGGAATAAAAAACGAAATTATTCAATCAAACAACATTTGAGCTGATAAATGCTCGAAACAAATAAGCGGATAATCAATAATTTTGGGAAATACAAAACTGCATCACGAATATTGACAACTTTAGGTTACAGGGATGAATTATTTTTAGCTAAATTTATGTAATTGTTTCCTGAATCTTTTCTAAAAATATGTTTTCTTGTTATTTTTATCCATTCTTGGTGATTGGACGAAATTGCATGTCCATTGAAATGGAATCAAATCATGATTTAACTTTCATACTTTTATTTTATTCATTATGGATCTCTTTTTAAGATATTCAAAAAACGGTTATACTCGAAGCTATGACTTGTGAAATGTCTCAACTTGAGACTCTCAAGAATTAAGAAAATGAAATTGGAAAAATCTTGGTTTCTATTTCTCTCACAACTTCTTGTTAATTGTCAATAGCGAATCCGTAATGTTCGCATTGGCACGGAAAAAAATAATATAATTGTTCGTGTATTAAGGAGAGAGTGAAAAGTTATTTCACCAAAATTTAATCAGAATATGAACTCAAAAATATAATCGATCAAATTGTTTCATCATTAAATTTATTTTTTGAAAATGTTAAAGAGCAAATGCGCCATCTATCGGAAGAAAAGTTAAAAATCGGGTTTTGCCAGGTTTTGGTTTTGAGCTTATTAGGTTATCCTGTGAGCATTTGACTTTTTTATGCTATTTGACCATTCAATTTTTTTAAGAGAATCTTGATTTCTGAATTTCTTGAATCGGGTACACGCACCCATAGACGAAGGATATTTTTTTGCCACACCAAACGGTAAAAACATAGAAAATGTAAATATCGAACAATTAAACAGTAAGATTAAGAAATTTACGTTCTATCTAGTAATCATTCGATTTGATTAGTTCGAATTTCTCACTAAACTATTCAATCGGTGGTAGTGAAGGAATGGATTAATGTGTTGAACAAAGCACCGGATGTTTGGTGTTGATTCGAGGATCCCCTCAAATCTTTCATTAAACAGTTTTTATTCTAGCTTATAAATTTTTCTAGGATTAAAATCAAAATAATTGATTTATAATTTGAACTTGTAACAATTCAAATTATTTAGACCTTTCAAAACAATTTGCTGAGTGATTCATATTCATAAAAACAATCGTAAGTTTACCAATGATCAATCAAGTTGATCAAAGAAATTTAAGGTTCAAAAGATTTTTTGGTTATCTTTGGTGAAATAAGAATCAGAATAAATTGGATTACGTGAAAGAGTGGTTCATGTGAATTAAAAAGCTCAAGATTTAGTTAAAATTGACAATTTTTCGGTTTAGAATTCCAATTCAGAATAAAAAGCAGGTACCGAATTCCATGGTTTCAATCCGAAATTCAATTTGTGGTTAGATGCTAACAAAAATATGCTCAAAATAACTTAAACTCCTTTAGACTGATCATGAATTTGTTTATTTATGTCAAAAGATTTTGAAACAAAATTTGATTCTCTGCTAATCTCTGTATATTGATTTATTTGATCCTTACAATTAAAGTGGCAACAATTCCTAGGGCAAAAATCAAGTTAAATGGATACAACTCTCGACTTGTGAAGGATCAAAAATAAGTCAGAAACTGATAGGTTGTAATCCAAATTGGGTTGACTTTTTGCCTCAGAGGATAGGCAATATGCATGATGCCTCATAGCCAGTGAATAGACCTTGATAGGCACAGGTGCTGATATGGAAGGACCTTTCCCACCGAGTAAGCCTCGAGATTCGAGGTGATTAAGTGAATGACAAATCCTTCAAGGATTGTGACTCCCATTCAGAGGAAGTTTAATGTGACCCAACAGATGCAATGCTCGGGAGACTTGGGACTTGACTGTGGCTTGACTCGTCTTTTACGCATTTTCACATCCTTTGTGGGTGACCTTTCCCAGTGTCTTTAAGTAACCCTAATTTTCACCTTCACCAGACTGACAACTGAACAATTTATTTTGTACTGGAAATCAAAAGCTGTACAATCATTGGATTGTAAAATGAATTTAATCTAATCTCATTATTTCATCATTTCCTTTAGAAAATTAGCATTTTAATTGAGATTCAATTGGATGATCAACTCAAGTTTGACGATACAACAATCTAGTGCTGAGATTATTTTTATTTTTACAACAATAAATATTGTATTTATCATTACTATTTTCATCTTCATTTATTTCAATTAGTTCAATTAGACTAGAACTGAGCGTTTATCAGAAATGAAAAAGTAAACTAATAATAATGATAATAATATATCATAACCAATTGAATGAAAAGCAAGTTTGGGTTAAAAATGATTCACAATGATTTATAATTTGCATTATTTAAATATTAATAATAGTCACAATGTTACAATGATAAAATGTAAGGAAAGGTTAATTTTTTTTGTTGAATATCGTTCCGTAATAACAATAACAATGAATATGCAAATGAAATTTATCTCATCTCTGTTTGAGTGATGATTTTCAAATTAAACTTACTTCTAATTTTTTTTATCTTCAAGATTATTATTATCATCATTATTGCTTCCTTTTATTTACCAGAATAAATTTATTCAATTTTTTATGTTCAGTGATGAGCGATAATCAACGTTTTCAAAATTCACCATTGAACAAGAAAATTATAGATCAGTAAAATCATTGTATTTGTGTGGTGTGGTGATGATTAGCAATTGATCAGTTTTTTTGGTTTGAACAATTGTTATTAATGTATTGTAATTGTAAATATACAATCAGTTCAGATTTGCTGGTGGACTGAGATGCACTGAACTGAGTGGCCGGGTCACTTCAACTGAAATACTCGGTAACCAAGAAGCATATCGAGGTCCCTCAAAATGGAAGAAATTTGTTCGTCCTCCATTTCCTCTGTTATTGTCTCTATCTGTTCCATTGTTAAGATTATCATCTTCATTTAAATCTTCTTCAGTTCGATGTTTCAATGAAGTACGACAAGTTGGACATGATGTATCTTGTTCAAGCCATGAGCGTAAACATGAATTGTGAAAAAGATGACTGCAAGGCAGTTTGCGGGCGGCTTCCATTTTATCCCAGCAAATGGCGCAATCGTCACTACTTTTTTCCAATTCTTCAGTGGTTGCCATAGGGAAATTAGCTTCCATTAAACGTACAACCTTCAAAAAAGAATAAAATTAGCATTAAATCAATCGAAAAAAAGTAACGTTTCGCCTAGAAAGCAGCAATCTTACCTGGAGATAATTTTTATGTTTACGGATTCTTCGGTTAATTTCGAAGAAAAGATATCTTAATTGCATCAATATCACCAAACTTGCTACAGATAGGATAATATTACCCCAGAAAAGCATGTGAAGATGATGTAAGAGGTCAATAAAGAGGAGAGTGAGCTCAAAGATTAATTCAGTGAAATAGGCATATGATGCTCGATTTTCCCAGACCCCTTCATGATTGAGATCCCAAAGGTGAATAGCGTAACGTATCGAGACGTATAATGTCCGCATAGCTACCAGAGAACACTCGGCAGCCATAAAAGCAAATGTATTAAGGCCAGCATGTAGGCCTATCACAATACATACAACGAAAAGTGAAAATGATGATGCAAGGATGACAGAAAGAAGAAGGAGAAGACGAAAATGAGTCCATTTCGGTGTCATAGGAGATAATGATAAATACTCGAATCGATCTTTGCATAAATGTGCTAAAAGGGTAAGGAACCCTAAAATCGAAAACCAGGATACCCAAAGGACAACTTCATCCATTGATTGCACGTTCATAACACCGAAAATAAAAATAAATTTGTAGAAAATAAAATTCCAAAACCTATCCTTCATGTGTTGCTGTTCAGAGACCCGCAGTTCACCAAAGACCAAAGTTTGGATAACTTTTCCCAATAATATGAGGCAGCAATAGGCCATGTTGATAAGAGTCCAAACACAGAGTGGCTCATTTAACATGAGAAAAAGTATATCTATGGAACGTTTAAGGACAGGTGAGTCAAGAAGAAAACCAAGATGAATAGAGGTTTCATTGATAGAGGATAGAATGCCTGATAGTCCTTGACTAACTAAAAGGCTTCCACCCTCAGTTTCAAGACTTCGATTGATTAAAGCCTCTGTACCAAGGGTAACGTCTACTGTAAGAGTGGCATTAAGTTTCCAATCGGGCTCACTAGTTACCTGAAAGGCATACCAAACCGAACATGATAATAATAAAACACTGATAGTTGTGTAAGCTTGTAGACTAGGTAAGGGCAATATCTCCGGAGTATCAAGAAAAAAGGCTGGCATATCTGGACTATGAATGAATGGATTTAAACAGGAGTCTGTTGAAGTAAAATGATGGCGTTGATTATGTTGATGTTATCTATTGTTGATTGTTTTGATGTTATTGTTGTTAATGATGATGGTGTTGATGTTGATGATGATGAGAATAATGTGGTAGATGATGACAAAACGAACACTATTCGATTATCAAGATGAGATCAACCCTTTTCAACTTATGGAAGCCAGTTTCCTTGGCAGGTTTTATTTTTCTGTACCAACACAAAATAAGGAAAGGAGTATGGACAAAGAATGAAACAGAGAAATGATTATTAGTAAATACAAATGGAAAATAGTTAAAATTGAAACGAGAAAAGGTAAAAGAAGATTGAAATAGATGACGACGTTAATAAATAAAAGAAAAGAGAGTAAGAGAGGTGTAAGGCAAAAAGGATTACCTGAGAAAGGAGAGAGGAAAGGAAAAGAGGTAGCCAAATAGATAAATACCTTAAAAATAAAACCAAAGATTGAGGATTAACCAAGTTTGAGATGGGAACAATGTAGATTATAAGCTGAGTAAAAAAGAGATTAATATAATTAACTAGTAATTAAGAGATCCATGGTAGAAAAAATACAATTCTTGAAAACAAAAACAAACAACATTCTAAAGTGAGAGAAGGATAATGATCCGAATGGATCCGATTCATGGAATCAAAAATTATTCAATCTCTGAAAGATTTAAATTCACTTCAATTTTCCTGACAAATGAATTTAAATTAAATTCCTTTATTTGTTCAACAAAATGTCTGGCAAACTAATTTGCATTCCGTTACAAAAAAGACGAAACAAGGAGGTTATTTTTTAAAACATTTGTCTATTCAATCAATGTATCAATGAATTATTTTGATATTTAAGATACTTGAAGCTTTTCTGAAAGCCTTTCCGAGATTAAATTTTTGCATTATTGACAATTTCATATAGTTAAACTGATTAAAGTCTCATGACTTATGTTTAATCTTATCAAGCTGGTTAATTGTTCAAAATTGGCAATATTGTAATGATAGAAATCAAGATTTGATTAACATTGGCAATTTAAGATTGAATCTTCGCTCAAGTTTATTTTTTCAAAGAAAACGATAGATGGCATTAGCTGCAACATAAAATTTGCTTATAGATTCTTGTTTATTTAATTACAATGTTTAATCAATTAATTTTTATGCCCTTAAGTTTCTTATACATTATTTATTTGTTAAAAGCTTGGCGATCAACTTTATAATGTCCTTTGATATTGGTCCAAGAATGGCTGATTGAAGAGCGAATTGATCTTGAAGATCTTAGTTGACTGAAAGCGATTGTATTTAATCTACAGTATTTGCTTCGAATCAAAATTTGGTTTACTTCCAACTTTTTATTATTAAGGATGAAGACGAAGTGGTACAAATTATTCTACCTTTATAACAAATTATCCAGTTAACCCCATGCAAAAGGTTAAAGCTATTCAACCCAATGTGAGGAAAAAAACAGTTGATCAAGTCGAGTAATGCAATTGATGATTATCTGGTATTTGGGTACTTCAAATCAATATTAACTGGTTTTAAAGTCAACTTTATTTACCTGATTCCCTTGCTTCTCAGACCTATTCAAGATGTTCATCAAAAAATCAACACTCAACATCATTTCCAATGGATGAATCTCATTCTTTTTCAATGGCGTCTCCTTCAACCAACAAGAGTTAAAAATCAAGAGCGTTTACATCATCTGTATGACTTAATGGTTCAATGTCACTTGGTATGCTAATTGTTTACCAACTAAGCCAGAATGATGAACATTTGGATGAAAAAAAGATTTGGTATTGACTGAACTATCAAACCTAGCCATCAGCAGTGACAAAATAAGCAAACCTGTGTGTTACACTTGTTGATCTCAAAAGTTCCCAGCCAAGCGAGCTTTCAAGTTTTTAAACCTTGATATTTCTTTTTTTCATTTCAATGGTGATTAACATTATTATTATCCATCTCTTTCCATGATTACCTCGATTAATTATGATTCAATAATAATTACTAGAGATCACTGAAATGATCAGATCGCAACCTTCAAGCCATTACAGATGAATGCTCAAGAAATTGTTATTTTCAATAATCAATTAAGTGAAGCTGATTCCACCCTTAGTCTCAATTTAAATTGCATTTGCATTTAAGATTTTTCAACTCTTTCTAATCAAGCGACAATCTTATATTTCCCAATTAATAATGTTTCTCATCTAACCTTTCTTGATTGTCTTCTCAATCATTTTACACAAGATCATCTCAAATCAAGTGATCTTTCAAGATCAGCATTCAATTACAATAGTTTCATCTTCATTGTTTAGTGCAAGATGAGACAATTAATTCCTAGTTAGAAGTTTGTCTAAATTGTATTTAATGTTGATAGTTTAGTAAATTAGTAAATTGATTTCGTTTGAGTTTGATTTCCCATTTCCTTCAAATATTTGTGCCTTATTAAGGACAAATAAATCGACAAGCTGTAACCATTAGTCGAATTGTCTTTTCATTTCTTCAATGAATCAAGTGTAAAATCAATTGCTTCATCTGACTTTTACAAATTGCAAACAAAACCTTAATTGTTGGTCCTTAATTGAGCTTAATTACTAACCAATTACCAAGTCATTTTCAACCTTAACCAATATAGTTCATTTTTTCCTCATTTCATTCAGTGTTTATCAAAGCTTTTGATTTAAGTTTCCAACTCTTTTGGTTCACTCTTTTGTACAGTCGCTGATTAACAGCAATCACTTGATTAGCTAATGACCTTTTTGGCTAATCACATTGTTTGGAATAGTCTAAATCTCTGATCCAAGTGACACTGATTTACACAGAAAATTACTAATCATCCAAACAGCTGGCTACTTGAAAAACAAAGCAAATGTTGCATGAAAAATCTTTATGATTTTTGACTACCATCACAATACAGTTGATAATCGCGTCACTGTTGATTAATGGGCGTATTGTTTCACCGTAATTTTAATTGATCCAAAATCAACAATTTCTTTATGCGTAATACAATTAAGTAACACAACAGTAAATTTGTGATGATATAAATCAAAATTTTCCCAGTGATTGCAACCTGACAAAACTAGCCTATTGTCATTGGGTATTGTTAAATCGTTTGGGTTTTCATCTTTACCCATAAATCAGGTGTCTCATGAACAATATCTTGTCACTTGTCTTAAATCACCGATTAAAATGTTGAATCGAATCACACCATAATGTTAATCAAATTGTTAGTTAAACAACTAATCAAGCGAAAAGTGAAATTCGGATGAAAAAAGGATACAAACACATAAACAACGGTTTCCTCCTTGGAATACATAAGGAAAATCAGAAGCTAAAAGACTAGTTGATTATGAGAAAAGATACAAAGCGAGAAACATGTTGTTATTGGTGACTACCATGGGTCCAACCTGTTGACTCACTGGACCAAGTGTATATTATATTTTACATATAACCGTCAAATTTATTAACTGACAAAAGTCTAATTAAAATAAGAGTTAATTAAGATAATAGTTTGGGTTCCTTTAGTTGGTAACCAAAACAATTTCTGCGCAGACTCGCAGGACTCAAGCGAACCGACTGACTTGAGTTAACTGTGTTGTGCATGTTGATAAACTAGTGGTTATCAAACATTGAGTTGTGTAAGTTTCATTTTAGAAACTCTGTTTTAATGTAACATCGAAAATCAACTGAAAAAAGATCTAATTAAGTGACTATATACCAATGGATACATCATGTCTACCTGTTACGAGATGAACAAGTAAAGTTTACCTTAAAATTGGTAATAATCAATTCTTTGGAAAAAATTGTTTCTCTTTTTCCTCCTTTTTTTGGTTGTCTCTTTATGTGTCTGGTTGACAGTGAAAAGTGAACTTTTGTGCCTCTGTTTGTTTTGTTAGCCATTTTTTTGCCTTTTTTGGCTATTCAGCCATCATTTTCAACATATTTGTGCTCTAATTGTTACCATTTAACACTGTTGTCAACCTTTAATCTCACCATTATTGTCACCGGTTAAACCAATCGATTGATTATTTATTTAATTTATTGTAAAGTTTCAACTTATAACCTGACAACTTTACACATATCACGATGAAACCTCCTAAATTACCTGGAGTTGAAAAGTTCAAGTTTTGGGATAAATCACTGTTGGAAGATGACGATGAAATTGACAGTTCATCACCCCATAATACTCGATCAAACGCTCCTGGTTCCTATTCTGTACCTCATAGTGTCTTCATTAGAGGCCATGTGATTCGTAATACCTGTCCAACTTTACCACAAAAGTCAGTTTTCTGTGATATCATGGATTCATCTAATCATGAAGCATACCATTCCTTGCCAACCTATTGTCGGGACACTCGCCGTCGTAAAGTCATCCTTCCAATCTCATCTCGCCTTGCAGCCAAAGTTTTAAGCTCAACCGATCTCCCATTGGGCCTATTTGATATCCGTGATTACCATAAATCAACAAGATTAAGAGAGTGTACCGATGTAGTTACCGGACGTACCAATTTACCAATTAGACGAATAAATTGTAGCAATTCATCACTCCATAGTACAGACGATCATGAGCTGGCCTCAAACCTATCCAATGTATCTAATGTTTCCAATTTTTCCCTCTCCTCAACATCAACCTCATCTTGTCCAATTATCAGTGAAAAAACAATTGTCTCATGAAAACAAAACTGACTTGCACCCGTTCAAATTGACACCATTGTTTATAATCATATTTTACATTTGAAAATAAAAAATTTATTCACATTTATTTAATGGCTTCAACAATTGAATACCGACAATCAAAGTGAATAGTGATATTTTCACCATTAAATGTTCATCTCTATCATCTCATCCAACCAAAAGATTACCAGAATAACTTTAGCTTTCCTCTTTGATAACAAACTCAGTTATGAAAAATTGTTTCATAAAAAGAATCAGCAATCAATTCAAGTTGGTTACAATTATTCAATGAAAGCTATCTGTTTAAACAAACAACATTAACAAAATTGTAGTCAATCAAAAGCTAACAATCAAATTCCTAGATAAATAGCAACTGTACATATTAACGTTAATGTAAATAAATAGTCAAATAAGTCAATTGAAAGACACAGACAAATGTGTTTGCCGATTAAACACAAAAATGAAATCAAAAGTCGATTTTGATTCCATTTTCATTGTTAATGGTTAATAAGCACACAAACCTAAATCAACTGACAATGAAAATACATAAATGAGTTCACACATAAATCAATTAGATTAATCAAATGAATCTTCAAGAAACGAAAAAATGTAAAACTGATAAAATCTGAATGTAAAGTTACAAAGTAAAATGTTAATGTTAAGTTCAATGTTAAGATTGAATGTAAAGGTCTTAATGGAAGCTTTAATTGGTAGAACATTTGAGCTAATATAATTTCTTCTTCTCTTCCCAGTTAATGATTAACAATTAATCAAAGAATGAAATGTTGATGACAGACAATTAATGATTTAGTTTAATGGTTAATAGACAAAGTAAAGCGGACCAAAGATGGGTTTGTAGTTGGACTATCAAAAAGAGTCATGTTGAGAGGTGAAGATTGAAGGTTCATTTTTTTAAAGTAAATTGTTAAATTGTTGATGATAATCAAATAGCAACAGTTAATTGTGAGAAAGTGAAAGATGAAGGATGGAGGATTAAAGCAACAAGTTGACAGACTAACAAGAGAGTTGAAAGGTAAAGGTAAAAAAAAGGAATCACATTAAATGGTAAATATTAGTGGAAACAGTTTAGATGATGATTTGACTAGATTTATACACTTCTCGGCAAGTGATCCTGATTAACATAGTTATGATTAAAGGAGAAACAAAAATGTCTGAAAAGGGAAAGGAACCCAAAACAACGGGACTTCGGGCCATTCAATTGGAATGGACTTTTATCATTGAAATTGCCCTTCAAACATTTTTCTTCAACCTCTTCCTAGTTGAGATGAAAAGACACAAAAATACAGATTTCAAGATTTTACTGCTTCTGAGCTTTGAGCTAGATAACAGTCAATATCAGTAATTTTGTACTTAACTGATGAACATGTTAAGGTATCAAAATGATCTGTAAAACGATAATCATGAAAGAGATTGAGAAAGGTAGGAGAAGGAGGAGATTCCAATGGAGATGAATGATATTGATTGGACCTCATGTTGACACACATATTTATCTGAGTAAGCCTGATAATTTTACGCTTTCAATGGTTAAAAGTAAAGGTTGAAAGGTTAAAGGTTAACAAGACTAGTTGTTGTTACTTAAATGTTAAGGTAACCACAGGTCATCATCATAACTTTGCTTTTTTTGCTTAACCTTTACCTTGTTATTACAAGATTTACAATGCATTTTCAATTTTCAACTTTCAACCATTTTTACCTTTTATCTTTACTTTCATCTTGAGCTTCATCTTGAGCTTCATTTTGATTATCGTTTCTTTTTTCAATTAACCATCATTACTGATTGTCCATTTATTGCTATCCAAATCATTGACCATTTACTGCCCATAGGAGGTGACATGCCAAGAAGGTTCAAATGTCGGTGAAGACAATTGCAGGTAAAAGCGCCGTTTCATTCAAGGCTATAAATTGATAGATTATCTTGAAATCTTTGGATGTTTAATTCTGGTTAGATAATTGGTTTGCTGATTTACTTTCACAGTACAAAGGTGACATTTTCACCATTAAATGTTCATTTAAAAATCCATTTACATTTCAATTTGTTTTTGGCTTTTTAAAATCAGTAACGCAAAAAAAGGGTGAAAAAATTAACATGAAATTATACATTTAGTCTGATAAGATGTTAGAGACTAAAACCAAAGATTTAATTTCAATTTCAATTTTCACCATTCAGAAGCTTTTTAAACCATGAAGTTGGCTTTGATGAAATGTGAGCTTCAAGACTCTGAATTAGTAAATTTTAATACATTTTCCCAAACTCAATTAAACATATATTTTTCAACATCATTCAATATAAAGGATTCCCTTCAACAATCTCATTTTGGGTTACTTTGCAAAACCAGAAAACCGTTTGTTTTTTGTTTGAAAACCCTTTTCATCGATATTATATAAAGCATGAAAATAAATTTAACACTTAAGTCGAGTCTTTAAACCTAATTTTCACATCTTTAGATACTCTAAGTTGGCCAAAAGGGTCGATTGAGGTTCAAGTTAGTCGCTCTGTTGATGTTATACATTTTTCATGTTATTCATTATAATTAACATTTTTTTGCATCCTCTGGCTCCTATCATGTGACCTTCAAAATTGATGATGATGATGGTGGCAATGGCAATGGCAATGGCTTTTGTTTATTATTTTGGTTTAAGTGTTTATATCTTATAACCTACGGTAATTTGGTTGGTTAAAGGCTCTTAAGTTATGTCTAAAATGACTTACCACTTCGTCTACTTGCAACTAATAGTATGATTACCTTGTTAATTTCATTCTTAGGTCCTGGTTGGATCCTCAATAATTTGGCCCTTTTGTTTGGCCTTTTATCATCGGTTGGCCTTTACTCCAAGAGTGGTCCAAGAGGAGCTAAAATTTGTGATTGGGATGATCCAAGTAATTGAGAAAGTGAAACACCAAAAAGCAAAAGTATTCAAGTTACATCTACTTTAAGAGTGAAGGTAAACTTTTCTGTTTTTTTTACGGATGAGGTTAAAGAGCAAGATGATGATGATGATGAAGTGCAACCAAGCCCATGTTTTGTTGTTGTTGTTCATTTCGTGATCAGGAGTGTAATAATAATCAGAGAAACAAATGGTTAACTCGCAAGTAAGGGCTACATTAGGCAATGGAAAACAGCATTCGAGGTCCGTTACTATGAAAAGAAATAACATAATTTCAAATATTATTATCATGGAAATTTAACTATTTTATTGTTCTTCTTCTTACCTTAATTTGGCCATTTTTATCCATCCAATTTCAGCTCAATTTAACCTGCAACTATTCAACTTGATAGCTAAATATTTTTCTCCTTTTGTTGTTTCCATCAAAGGCAGTCTCATCATCATAATGTAATCATTAAAACCTCATCTTGTTAGCAAATAGACAAAGAAAACCTCATTAGCCGCTAATTAATCATTTGCAATTAATTTCTTTTTCCTTGTGACTTTTTGTTGGTTATGAAACAAAAAAATGTTATCATGAACACTTTCAAGCTTATCATATTTTGCCTCATTTTCTGGATTGAACATTATCGTTCCAACTTTACATTTTCAGCATCCGCATCAGGTTTACCGCTTTTTGATTGTTATTGTTTTTTTCTTACAAAACCATTTGTAAACCATTTATTGCTTGATCTTGACATTTTTGGTTGTTTTTTTTCAACTCCAATAATTTGCTCTTTTTTTGTTCATTTCTTGCCATTTCATTGTTCATGTGATAATAAATAATAATAACCCAGCAAGAGCACAACTTGATCAACATAACAATGTGGGTGAGCCTGACAACCAGAATCCAAAGCAAGGGAAGCACGGAAGACGCTGTAGATCATCATATGAAACAGTGAAATATAAAAGCTCAGCCAGAAAACTGAAAGCCAACGACAAGCCTTAAAAATTTTGACGGTTACGTCAAACAACTCTGTGCTTTTAACCCATCCAAGAGTCAGGAGAGTTTCCAAGATATATTAATTAACAGAAACAACAGTCCAAAATGAGTGTAAACAGCAACGGTACTGGAAGGTAAGGAAGGCCAAGAAAACAGTCAAAGAGCAAAAGAGGGAGAAAAGTTGAAGGCAAGCCTGTAAAAAGTCAGGTTAAACGGAAAGTTAATTCAATTCAAGAAAAGCCAAAATGAATCGCAATGATTTTTATACCACAAAAAAAGGTAACATGAAATACACTTACATACCATTAGAGGGAAAGAGAGAAAGAAAGAGTATGAGTCACGCCGGAAACCAGAAGATGGTAAAAAGAAAGGAAAAGAAAGAGTAATTGAGAGTAGATATTTTCCAAAAGACTTGCTGATCAACAAACAAAACTGGTTTCCAATGATCATGATTGCTGGCTTTTTTTTCTCACTCTTTCCCTATCTGCTGTTTCAATTGCAGTTATTGACAAATATTTCAATCTTGAACTTTCAGGATAACAAGTGAGTTGCTGGAGTTGCTGTTAAAGTCAACTTAAATAGCATCAGACTACTTTACCGAGGACACTTTCATCTTCACCTACCTTCTCTTTCTTCTTCCACTGTCTCTTATTTTTCAGCTGCCAGTCCATTCAAACAAACCGAATCTCCGGTCTCGATTCTGGCGATTACTTATTCCTTACTATTATCTACCAATCATTCATTAACCATTTTATTCACACTCTTTTACTCAACTATTTTCCCTGTTTTTATCTATTTCTCTCTTTTCAAAATTTCAAGGTTTTCACTTTTTTTTACATTCAGTAAATCACACTAATTTTAACATTCAATTTTCTCTATTGCTACTCAATTTTAAATCCACCCTTCAGTTTAGCTTCAACCTCTCTGGTCTTTTCTCGCTTTCTTTCAAACTTGCCTTTTAATGTTCACCATTACGTTGATCCGTTGCTTTTTAACCATTACTTTGTTTTGCTGACGATTTCAATTCCTCGGCAAGCCATTTCAGTCTAATTAGATAATTGTCCTTTGGCTTGAATAGCTTGTCCTGGCTTGTTTTGTCTTGTCTCAACTCAGCTTAGCTTGGCATGGTTTGTTTTGCTTTTTTTATGCTGTAGTTGTGTTTTTGCTTTTCCAATAACAATGCAACAACTAGGCATTGTTTGTATTACAACTTGAGATTGAAATCGTTAACCAAAAGGTCTTTGAAATTTTAATATGGTACGCCTCACAGTTGCTTTAGTCACCTCAGTTGATCGTCTGGTTCATCTCAATGTTATTTTTAAGCTCATTTACCGTCCATTAGTTCATTTTCCTCTCTCCTTTGTTGTCTTTTTTTACCTAAAAACAAAATTTCATTAAGTCTTTGTATCAAGGTTACTGTTATTTCCATTTTGTCAATCCATTCAGTTTAAAAATGATTACTTACTCATTACCAAGGTTGCAAACAACCAACTCTAATTGCTATTTTACCAATCAATTCAAAGACTGTTTAAAATGCCATTCACTGGGACATCAAATCCAACTGTTACCTAAAAACTAACGATAAAAAATTAGCCATAAAATTTGACTTAAAAAGTTCAAGAAAATTCAAAACATACAAGCTTGAGTTGTAGCGCCATCTACTGAGAATGATAACATCTAGTTTAGCGGTTTCTTGGAGGTTTTTTGTTGATTTTGCTTTAAGAAACTTTGTTTACGTATAATTCTCAATTGAATGTCTTCAAATTGAACTTTTAATTTCTCCTATTATTTGTATTAAATGTGTTAATCATCACAAATTGTTATTATCCGGAAAAGTAAAGTGAAAATTAATGATGAACAGTTTTCAAGTGAAGATCAACAGACACAGCGAAAGCAAAAAGACTACCAAAGTGCGAAAGGAAAAAAAGTAGTCTAAGAAAGTGAACAAGCAACATTTGTGTTGAACAAAAAAGTTTAATTGATAGTTTAAATTGGTAATTATTGTCTTCAATTGATGTAGACTGTTCAACTTTAATTACTAAGGTAACCTGTGATTTTAATGATGATGATCTCCTTATCCGTCTCAACGACATTTCCTTCTTACCGTTACCAATTTACTGTTATTGATTGTTTTTGTTACAATTTTACAGTTTAACCAGCCTTACAACACTCTGAACGACTAAAAAAGTGAACACTTGGATTTATCTTTACGGGTTAACAAAATGGTTATTACATTTTAATTGTTACCTTCAGTTGACATTTTGATATTTGCTGCCACCATTAACCGTATATCTTACCAATATAGACAATGTTATGGTTATGTTTTTTCTTACTTGTACGTTTTCCCGTTGAAATCCCTTGAAATCATCAATTTTTGAGATTAACTCATCAATCATTATATTATATTATCTGTTCAATAGTTATGAATTCATGGGTACATTTATTATGGTGGAATCATTTTTCATTTTTTATAATTTCCAACAACAAAGAAACTGTCAATTTTACAATTGACAGGCTTTAGGTTAACCTTGAAAAAGCAACATCAACAACCAATGATAATCTCATCTTTTCTGATAAAACCTGATTTGTATTCATCCAGGTAACAATATGCTTCATCATTGATACATTATTTGGCTAATCAAGATTACAACAAATTGTAAATGCTGAACAGAAACAATTGTGCATATTAATAGAAAGGTGAGTAAGTTTGGTTCATCATGAGTTTCAACTTTTATTCCAATAACACTAATTGATATTTCTTTTTACTTTCAGGCTTCACAGAAGACGATAAGATTAGGACAATTCACTGGCAACTTATCAATATGATTGAAACAATAACTCGAGTAAAAACCAAGCCAGAGAGATAGAGAAAGTTACTAGAGAAGGAGAGAGGAAAGAGTTAATTGATTGACAAGAACCTGGAATTTTGTGAAGCCAAGAGAAAAACAAAATCCATGTTGACATTGCTTTCATTAACTGATCAACTGATCAGTTGGATACACTTTTAAGGTCAACCATTTACCTGACCCGGGACCGTTTTGCATGTATGCATCAATGAGCCCCAATTGACGTAGGAAAAAGTCATAAGCAAAAAGAGAAAACATTTGAAAATCGAGTTTCTCTTTTTGTTTCCATTTCCAGTTTATTTTTACTTCGAACAAAAAATTAACCATTTTTCCTTTTCTCTTTCAGTTACCATTGTAATGACAAAGCCATCGCTTTCGGAACCATTCACTTCAATCGAGCTGATGGTTTCAAAAATCTTGGATCACTTACCTCAACCATTTTAATATATTCAGGTTGAGCCACATTGATTCAGCAATTGTATTCATTCCAATTCAAGTTAACTTTTCTTTTACTCTACAATCTCTTTCGCTCTCTTCGCCATCACTTCATACTTATCATCCAATGTCTTTGAGCTGCTCATTTCTCATAACGTCTTCTTCAAATCATCTTTTACACTCTCATGGGACTTATCATTCTTCAGAGCAACAAATCTCGGCTACAGCTGCAAAGAAAGAAGTACAATTTTCCGACCAAGTTGTTCAACTTCACTCTGTAAGCCGATTCTTTTTTGCCTCTCTTTCTTTTCCTTAAGGCGATTTATATCGATTTATCTTCTCAAGACTAGATCACAATTTCATCTAATTTTCATCATTTCCACTCAAATCCATCTTAAAAATGTCACGAGAAGAAAGCAACTATCAATTTCAAATAGTTGAATATTGAAAACATAGAAACGTTTCATTGTTTATCGTGATTTCAAATTGATAATTTTTCATGCGCTTTTTCCAATTGATACATTTTTCTTCTCCATCTTTGCTAAGTCTCTCATTTTTCACCTTAAAAACTTCCTTCTTTTGATTCCTTCTTCAGTCCTTTCTCACTACAAATTTAAAATGATTAATGAAATTTGTTGACTTTGGTCACATCTATTCAATCTTGTCTGTCCATGATAAGTGTCTGTTTCAAAGTTTCTTGTTCAGTTTGCTGTCTTATCCATTTATCTCTGGAAGCTTTGAAAATTTGATGAAAAATGAGAATCAAAAGTGTTGAACAAGAAGAGAAAAGAAAGAAAAGAAGACGTCAATTGTCACATCATGATAAACTCAGTCTGTCTGAACTTTAGTTAATCATTTGTCATAACTATTATACCATTTAATTGGATCCAGAAAAATCAATGAAAAAAATAGTAAATTTCTTTTCTTTTCCTGACAACAGATAACACTTGACTATTAAGTCAGTAATGTTTTAAAAATCACTGTTTTCTCAAGACTTCAATGATTATGTAAAGATGAGTTTACATGGTAAAGTTCAGATCTTTTTTACTCTTTTTACCTTCCCATTAACTCGGCTCATAAACACGGAAATAATTGATGTATTTTTGCCTACAGGATCAGCATACTCAGGATAATCAAATGAACCATAAGAGGATAACGAAGATCACATTTATCCGTGAATAACTTGTTACTAGAGCTTAGTGTTTTTACCTGATATCTTTAAACTTGTTTCACTATTTATTTTGTTCACTAAACAGTCAAAGCGTGCGATTTGTGAAACTTAAATATTTTCTTGCAACTTGTTTTACCTTAAACTGTACTTTGGGTAATCTGTTTTTCATACCTAATATTTGAAAAGACAAATGATTTCAGGTCAAATCGTTTACTTTTTCCTGATCGACAATCCTAAAGATTCCAGTGAGCTCCATTGATTAATTGATTATCCAATAATTGCAATTATACCGATAAATTGAGGACTCAATTATTGTTAATATTGACAGTTAATATCAACTTTCATCTTAAACCTTTAATGTTTTTACTCGACACAAAACATTTTCATCATTTCAAGATTATTAGGTTTTTGCAAATTGTTGCTTCAATTGTGATTTGAAATGGAAAAATCAAATCAATTTTTTTCTACTTTTAATTTCAATCAATTTGCTATTGAAATCCATTTCACCAACAAGTTCATCTAATTACAGAATTAGGTTGCTAATTATGTTGATTTACTTCTCTGACAAATTGAGTTTCTTTTTCTGTCTTTTCATTTCGATTTATATTTACATTTTTATGAATTACATTTGATTAGTTGATGATAAAAAGTAATATCTATATTTAATTAGTTCAACACTGAGGTCTTCATGTGTTCATCATTTGCTCAACTTTCAATTTCAAGGTAAAGTCTGAGTCTTCAAGGTTAATTGCGTGATTGTCCGATGAATGTTATTAACCAACATTTGACTGATGACTATTTAATGAAAATCTGATTATAAAGTAACCATCAAGCGAATGCAAACAAACGGAAAAATCAATCATTTATCTGTTTGTTCATTTCAATTTGTTGATTATCAATTGAAGATCAACAACTGATAAATCTGCTTATTGTTGTTGATCAATCAAAAGCTGTTGGTTACAAAAAAAACACAAAAAACGTTTCAATGTTTTCAGCTTTTCCATCTCATTGACATTCACCTTGCTCAAATGATACATTATTCAATCATGCAAAAATATGAATCAACCATTTCCGTTAATTGTTATCACCATGATTCACTTGATTCATCAGTTTGGTAAAAAGTTGAAACAAAAATGAAAAATGATTAGAGACTAAAAACAGCTCAACTGATCAACAAATGAGTTTGCAAAATTGATATCAATCCATTTCTTTCTTTCATATGTTTACATTTTTCAAATGAAATTGTCCTTGAATTGAACCTCAAACTAAACTTGAACTTTATCTGATCTTTACAGATGCTGATACTTGCAATTGACATGAAAATTTGCATCATCTGAAAACTGGTTGACATAAAACCTTAAGGAGGAAAATAGCGAAACTTGGAAGCAAAAAGATGTTTAAAGTTATGCTTTTTTGGCAACATTTGGATTAACCTTGGTTTCATCTGGATTCAGGATTAAACGTAATCTCATTCAACATTTTACACTTTGAATGTGCAATGACAAAGGATTGGAAACTATTTTTAAACTTGACTTGCAACTAGAAGCTGATTTAGGAATCAACTAATTGGAAATTTTGATTGTTTTTACTCTGAATCAATTTAGGTAAAGAAGGTTGAAAATATTCATTTCTTCAAGTTGATTGCTTGAAGGCTTTTCATTGAGATTCATTTATTCATTTTTTTCCTTTCAATTTTTAACCATTTCATAATTTGATCCAGAAACGATCAAGATGAACCTGCAAGACTCGGCAATCAATTGGTAATAAATTTTATGGCCAACCAAGGTAGAACCAGAATTAGAGTTCATTAATCATCTTAAAATGTTTAATGATGGTTGACCAAGAAGGACTGATGAAACAAAAATGGAAAGTTGAACATAAATTCATTATCAAAACATCATTTTTTGGATCCCCAAATTGGTTGATGATAATACATTGATAACCTTTTCAACAAGGATAGACCAGAAAGATCATGAGGAACTTCAGAAACATGGAAATGTTTAAACCACAAGAAAGTTGCTCGTTTTTTTGTGTGTTGCAGAAGCAAAAAAAAGTGAAAAGTGAAAAAATGAAAAAAAAGTTGATTACCTGAATGTGTATCATTAATATATCATATTGAAAGCAAAATGTTTGACAGTTATCATTATGGGAAAGCAAAATGATTATGGAGTGAAGGTTGTTTATCCGGCATTTTTAATCAGCCAACATGTCAAATTTAATTTCAATTTCAATCAAATATTGTAAGTGCTTGAAAAGGTAAAGTCCAGGTGTGGAAGAGAGAAGGTATAATGAACCGTTGGTTGAACAAAAAAGATTGGACTTTTAGTCAAATATTTTGTTACATTTTTTAATCTTTCAAATATGTGACTTTTGATTCTTGTCATGAATGCATTCATGAGGAACAAAGTAATGGACAAAATTGTGATGCATGTTTTATCGCTTGAAGACAATGGCTAAGATGGTTTAAAAGGTTTCCATTAAGTAAACGACCATTATCCGAGTAAAACAACAGAGATTAACATGAATGTATTTATGAGTTTTTGGCCTTTTACCTCTTGGATCAATCTTAGCTTAACAAAAATCTGAAATGCAATCCGATGTAAATACCAGTTCGACATCTTAAAATTAAGAGTTATAAAAATGTTTAGATTCACATACAAAGTCGTTTTGCTTCAAAGAAGTGGCTTACAAATCAAAATTTATTAAAATTTCATTGAGTTCATGTCTTTGGGAAATCGTTAACAATTTATTGTTTTTGAATCCTTGAAGCAACTAATTGTGCATATTTCTGCCTTTGGTGTGGGACAAACTTTTCCAAGAATAATCAGTACAGAGCGAGTTTGCAGATTACCTGGAGCTCCTGAACGGTGGCAAGTACTGGATCGACGAAGATGTGTACTTGTCGATGAAAAACAAACTGAAGTCTTTTGTTGGTACAAAATTTGGAAAGCCTCGGAATACTGAAAACCTTGATAAATCTCGATACAAAGCAGCTATTCCAAGCTTACCTTTTGATACCTTAGCTACCAAAATTGCCAAATATTTTGAACGTTTATCCAAATTGATGAGTGTTCTCATTGATCCCGTTAAAATGTTCCAGTCTCCATCAATAAGCACCTAAGCTACATAAGCCTAATTATTCCCCTAAGCGATAACATCAATAAGCTCAAGATCTTTGAAAATGCCGAGAACCTCCGTTTCTGCTTCTGTTTAAGATTGGCGAGAAGAAAGCATCAGGATTACTGATAGTTATGTCCACTAATGAGCCACATACCAAATCTCCGAATCTCTGGATTCATTGACTTTTTTGTTCAAAGGATGAGAACTATCGACCTGAATTTTTGTAATTCTTTCAGCTTTGATTCTTCGCATATTTGGATAAGTTAGTTTCAATCAAATCACAATGTCACTGTGCTATCAATTTTTTTATTGATTTTCTTTTGTACCTTCAGTTAATTTGATTGCAATTTTGGTGCTTGTTTGAAGATTTAACAAAGGTGCAAATGCTTCAGATACACAAATTTTATTTTTCCATTTTCTTACCTGGAAGTGAAATTTCAAAATGTCGGAGTTCTTGAGTATCAAAAGATTTCCTGAGAATGGAAGATCCAAAATCAGATTGAAACCTCTAATCGCCCTCCAAGTCCTCTGCTGAAGGAACGATTATATTCAGCAATAAAATGTGTGTTCACGATAACGGTGAGAATTTAATTCGCAGCCATTTTATGATTTCCTGACAAATCGCTTTTTCAACCTTGATTCCATGTCGAACAAATGGCTTTCCAGGATTATCATTAAATTTATCGATTAATGGAGAAAGACTGATTTCGCTAAATTTGAACGAGCTTAAGAGCTAAAACAGATTAAATTGGCTTAAAACCTTTTCCTTTACTTAAACATCATTTATTTTCTGACGGATAAACCCTTGTATATGAAGCTAAATTGTTGACGTAAAGAGACAAGAATCGCAATTGAGATAAAATGCATCAAATGATTGCTATTTTGTGTATAAAAATGTAATAATGTTTGATTATAATAACATTTTGATATTTATCGCTGATAACCTTTCAAGATGAACATTCACGTTGACAAGCAAGAATAGGAATTTTGTGAGAAGACAAAAGGGAAAAAAACTGAGCCTCAAGAAGGGAATGAAAGAGCAAATTGTCATTTCTATCTTGATCATTCTGTTGAACATGTTCTTGTTCATCTTTTCTTCCTGTTCTGACACCAAATTTTGACAGCATTTCATGTTGTAACATCCATTGTCTTGCTCTCAGCATTTCCTCCTCTCCTCACCCAGTAACACACATTATCATTTCAATTGTGATAAGAGTTAACAAAAAAAAACAAACAAAATGTTGAACATTTTCCCTCTTTTCATTATCAGAATTATCAATATTGTTTCCATTCCAATCCCGAGCTTCTTCATCAACTTCAATCCCTGTTGCAATGATAATAATGTTAACAGCAACAATCTTGCTGAAAATAGCTAAACATTTAGTTAATCTTTTACCAACTTACGAAAGTTGTTAGTTTAATTTGCTTTATTTCATCTTCTTTTGATGCTTCATCCATCTAACCATCAAGTTAACCTTTTTTTGCTCAATAATCAAGTTTCATTTCAACACACAATTCAGCAAATTAAATTGATGTCCTTCATTTATTTTCAACCTTCTTCCATCAACTTAATTACCAAGTAAACTGGTTTCTTATTAATCATGAAAACTGTTACAATAGAGATTCAATTAATGTTTCACCAATTAATTAATGTACAACAAATTGTAGTTCAACAGTTACCTTAGTAATCGGTAATCCATGTTATTAACCAAGTTAATCAAATGAAAGACCAAAATCAATATTTGATAAAGAGCTTCTTCGTTATTACAATGTTATTACAAAACAATTTTTTTATTTTTCACGAGCAACACTTTTCGCTTCAAGTGTGATTAGATTTACAGTTTAGGTAACGATACCAGGTAATCAGTTAATCACTTTTTCCAATTCTTGTTCCCAGATTTTTTCCTTTTCGAGAAACTTTTGCTTTTCCATTTCCCTGTAATTGAAACATTTATCATTAGATAGAACTCTTCACTTTCATAAACAAACTTCCGAATTAATTGGAAAAAATAATTGATTGAATAAAAGATTTCAAATGGAATCGAATGAAAAGAATCGCAAAAATTGTTTTTCATCAGCTTTTTCAATGAAGTTTTCTTGAATCTTTATCGAGATTAAATCAATTCAAATTTCGAAATATTCAATCGATAGTTTCTAACTCTTGACTTTGCAATTGAGGCTTTTCACGCAATTTTAATGATATTTTATGATTGAATATTATATCTGAATCCAATTAATTAGGAGTGTTTTTCAATTGGAAGTTCAATGTTTGTTGGATTGCTTACTTTTCTCGGTTGAAAATGATGAATTGTTGGTCAATTGTTTGTAAACACTTTTTAATTGGACTGTTCTCATCCATCATTGAACCTGAATCGGAAAACGATGAGCTATTCTGATGATTTAAATGACCTTTCTTAATGCTCTGCTGTTGACGCTTTGAAAGACGCTTCTTTTTCTTGTGCAATGGACGAGCCTCGATAATCATCTCTTCAAGTTCAAAGGTTGGATCACAGTTGAGTTGATCTCGAGGCGGTATAAAAGGAGGTTTAACCGATTTCCTGAATATCTCATCGAAATTGGTTTGGGCACAATAGTCACACTTTTTAAGTTCATCCAGACTGGCAACGCGTTTGGAGGGTTGATAGGTCAACAAGGAAGCCAAAAGCGAACTAAACCCAGCTGAAAGAGTAGCTGAATCAAGGCTAGGCCAAGGTTTCCTTTGAAAATCAAGAACCTTTTCCAAACTGGTAGTTGAATGAATATCATAAGGACGGGAACCAGAGATCATTTCATATATACAAACACCCAATGACCACCAATCGGCTGCAAAAGAGTAACCAGTTCGTCGGTCAAGAGCACATTCAAAGACTTCTGGAGCTGCAACAAAAAGAAAAGCAAAAATCGTTAAAACCAAAACCCAAAAATCGGAAGCAAAACCCAAACCAAAGAAGCTTAAAAATCCAAAAAACTTTTGATCCATCATAACAACCCTTCTGATTAATCTGAAGTAAATGAACAAAATAAGCAAAAACTAATTCATTTCTAATGTTGAACTTTACATGATTTAAGAAACGATTTTTAAGTGAACCAATTAAAGTTAAATTAAAATTAAAAGCTTGATAAACATTTATTTAAGCAAGTTTATTGATTGAAATAGTTCATCAACTGCAAGTTTCCAGTGAAATGTTCATTGAATAACTTGCAATAATCTGTTTAACTGATTATTTAACCAATTAGCAGAGTTGGAAGAAAAGATAATTTCCTCGAAAATTGGAATTTTTTCCTCTGAAACTGAAAAAAACTTGAAAGGTAAACAGTTTACTTTTACTTAACCATGGAACAGAAAAGTGGGTGAAAAAATGATTAACTTTCCAGTTTACTATTCAAGTGATGAACAATAATTTAGATGAAAAGGTTGTTCAAAATTTGCCTCAAGATTTTTATTTGTTTTAATAACAATTGAAGTTTCTATTTTTCCTATTCAAAGGCAAAATCATTATCAAAATTGCAGGTAAAATAAACGTTATTTTGTAAAGAAAAGTCTTTTATTAAAATGATTGAAATACTTTCAGAATTTTCATTCAATTTTCCTTTTCCTTTACAATTTGCTTGCCAATAATTGCGAACTATTTAATGACAATTAATAAGAAATAGAGTTTATCATTTTCTTTTCACTCCCAGGATTGCATCCAAGAATTACTCCCAATGGAACTCAATTTTCTCATCAAAACCAAACTTCTATCTTTTCATGATTATTTATCATTTCCATCAATTAACTGTCTTCAACTTTGCACTTAGAATGGAAACTTTGTTTTCTTTTTTCCCTGAAATCTTTCAATTCTGTTGGAATTTTCCGATTTTTCTTTTTTGTCAAACAAGCAAAACTTTTGTATCATTTTTTTGTTACCTGCAAATGTTATCAGCAATATTTTTAAGCATGCAAGTGACACTAGATTGAATCTGTTGAATCTTTTCAAAGAAAAGGTTAACTCGAAGAGAAGATGAAAAAATGAGGAAACATGGTAGCAGCATGATAGCACTGTCAGTTAATGTCTTGAAGGAAACTTTTTGGGTCTCAGATAATCATGAATCTGATTTTCAAAGTTGAATGTAAAATGAGAGTGAACAGTTTGCTCGAGTAACAGACAACAAGGGAACACACCAAATGAAAATGGATTGAACCAGATAATCATTATTCAGTGAACAAGCTGAAATGTGAAACTTTAATCAAATGAATAGAAGAAAAAAGTTACAAAATGAAAGAAAATGTTTTTTCTCATTAAAAATTGAACTTAAAATTCGTTGAACATTATTTAAATGGAAGAGCAAAAAAGTCGAACAACAGACTCTTTTTTTCCTGCTGATTAACATGATTAATCCCAAGATTATCGACTGATTATCAACCATGAAAATGGAAAGTCAACTTTAAAGGAAAAGTTTTTTTCTCTTGAAAATGAAAAAAAATTCAAATGAGAAAACTTTTGGCAAATTCACTGACAACAGATTAACTGAATTTGTCATGATGGAAGTTGAGCCAAAGATGAGTTATTAAAGAGAAAAGAGAAAAAAGAAGAAAAATATTCAAGAATTCCCTGAAAGTGATGAATAACTTTCTTCTTTACCTTCGATATTCATCAAGTTATTTGTTGAGTTATTTTCAAGAGGAAACATTATTAAACTGTTTTTCCTGCAATATTGAAAGGTCAACACTTACCAATATAAGGCTTGGTTCCTGACATGGAATTGGCTTCTGAACCATCTTTAAGCTCAATCGCAATATTGAAATCCGTCAGATGAACATGGCCTTCTTCATCGAGCAATATATTGTCTGGTTTAATATCTCTGAAATGTTTCAAAAGAAAAGATTTCCATTGAAAAATTGTAACATTCAAAGCGAAGCTCAATAAATGCAAATTTATTCAACTCTATTAATGAACTTTTTTCAATTGCAATTAATTTTTAAAGGAACAAAATTTTCTTCTCAAGCATTTGGTCAAACATGCAATTGAACTTTTCAGTTTTGTCCAACTTCTATTCATTAATATCTTTTATTGAATTGGTAAAGTTGAAAAGGAAGGAATAGAAAAATTGTACTTTTTCCATTTCTATGATAATACTTTCACTCCCAGCGGAGTTGAGGAAAGATAATAAGAATAGACTATGAATAAGTCCAATTGGATGGATAATGGGTGAAGCTTTTCATCAGGATAAGGAATGAGTGACTTACAGAATAAGGTTTTTATCATGTTATCCTCAGTTAACCTCAACTCTTGAGTAATACTTTTTTTCGTCTTTACCTTTCCTTGTCGAGGAAACTCTGATAACAACTCGAGAAAATCAATAAGGATAAGTTGATGATTCTTCTGAACACTTTTCCATGTTTCCATCTAACTCTTGCTCTCTGCCTTTCAACTGTTCATTGAAAAAATCATTAATCAATTGATGATTAACTCGACAGAGAAGAAAAAGAGATTTTCCTTATTCTCTGAATTGCATGCAAATCATTATTATTGCCATTGTCAACGCACTTGTTAGAAGAGCTTTCAATTGAACTGGAAATTTATAATTACCTGTGAAGTATATACTTGGAGTGAAGGTAATCCAAAGCAAGTGCTATTTCGCACAGGTAAAAGTAGACTCGCTTCTCGGAGAAACAATCTTCTTGCTGTAAATGATATCGCAGGTCACCACCGAGTAAAAGGTCGACAACCATGAAAATGTCTTCTTCGTCCTGAATTTTAAAGATAAGTTGAGTTACAACGTTCATTGATATTGATGGCAAAATGTGGGGCTTGATAATTGGTTTGTGTTGAATGCTTGTAATTGCTATTCAATTATTCAAGTGTTGTTGACTCTGATTATCTGTTAAACAATTATTGTTGCAATTATTTCTGTACAATTGGATGGGTAAATAGTGTAATCATGTAACATTTGAAACTCTTTTTTCCATTTTCTGTTTTTTTTTGTCTTTAGGTTTACATTTCTTGAGGCAGTTTTTGCTTTCAAATCATTTACCATCTATTGAAGGAATAAACGAAATTGAATGAAAAATTGAATAAGCGAAAGACAAAAGCATGATGGAAAATCAATTGTAATGAAACAATTGAACACAAAATCAAATGTCGATTAGCAAAGTAAATCAAAACACTTCCAAGTTGACTGCAAATTGAAGTTGACGTTATGACTGTGACTCAAGTGAAGCTTGTAACTGTTAGAGGTTTGGGAAAGTTGCAAGAATTGCATATAAAGAGACGCAAAAGTTGAATATTTATTGAACCTGGACAAGATTATCAATTATATTGATTGCCTTTTTGGTCAAAATTAGTGCATTAAACTCATTTAGTTGGATGGATATTACTTTATCTGATTAACTGTACAGTCATTTGTGAAACAAATTAGGCAAACTGGTGCATTTCAATGAGCTGACATGAGATGGATCAACTGAAATTTGAGATACATTTAAATGATTACAGGAAAGTCCAGGTTTCAGCTCAATTTGAGACTCCTCTCAAAGCTTCACACAAGGGTTTTGCTGTTTATTTTGAAACTATTTAACTACTCAAAATTGAATGAACTACATTGTTATGGGAAATAGTTATGTCATTGTTGCTATCATTACATCGCATTGTTATTTTGATGCTGGTCTGAAACAGAAGCCAAGAATTCTGAGAAATCGTGGAATCCTTCTGTTAATACCAAAATTTAATTGATTGGAAATTGCAATAACAATTAGATTTACACAAATGTTTCTGTTGCTAATTGATCTCAAATTGTTGCTAAACACAAATTAACTTTGCTTGATTTACACTGAAAGTCTCTTGGCTTTATCTAGTCGAGGCAAAAGCTCTTTGTAAATGAGTTAGGACTGCATATGTAACTACATGTATTGGACTGTTGTTTTGTGTTTCATTTCCAGTTGTCTGTATCAGGATTGATCATAATAAGCAATTCTGTCCGACAATTGATAAGATTTTGTGAGATGAGCAACACTCCAGACGGATTGAAACAAGACTCAAGATGTTTATCATGAGTTATTATTTTTCTATTCAATCTCATTTTCTGGGATAATACATAACAAATGAAAATAATGAACAAGAATAACCCAAATCCATTTCTCATTCAGACTTCTTTTCATCTACTTTTCTCCTCTTGTTCAACATTCTGTTCAATCAATTTCCGTTCATATCATGTGTTCAATTGTGTTGATCACAACAAATTAATCAAAATCAAACAATAAGAGCAACTATGAATGGTAAAAATATTATTGATAGAAATGTTGCCAAAAGAAATGAAAATGAATTCACTTATCTGTACATCATCGAAAAGGAATAGAAACAAGAAATTTCATTAAATCGAAAAAAGTTGAGCTCTTTTACACTCTCAGTGGTCAACATGATATCATTATTGTCACCTGAAACTGAACAAGCAAACAATTTTGATAAACAACTGCAAAAACAGAAGAAAAAGAAAAACGAAAAAACGGATTTCAATAACTTCATTTTTCTCGATATTACCATGATTATTATCATGAAAAAACCAAACATTTTTTTCTCATTTTCAATTTCTCCATGGAATTCAGTCTTGAAACAAAACTTGGAAACCTTTTCCAGATAAATTATTTACCTTCAAGTTGAAGAAGCGAAAAGGTTATCGAATGAAAAAGAAAAGAAAAAAAGATTTTCAAATTTTTTCTGTTCTTTTTTCCTTTTCTGTTCATCAATTTTCAATTCACCATTGAATAGCTAAGAATACTTGAAACTTGGAAAATGAAGAAAGCTCGAAAAGTAACTCAAATGTTTTCATTTTCAATTTTTCATTTCAATGTTCATCTTCAGGATGGTTATGGGGATAATGAAGAAAGAAATGAAAGAGACTTGTTTATTGCTCAATTTTGCTCCTCAAATTTCAGCTTATCAGAACTGTTCAAGAGTCAATTCAGATTACATGTAAGCCTATTGAGTTTCGCTTTGGAACAGAAAGAAATGATTTCCAAATTTTCCAATCAAAAATGAAATTCTAATTCGCTTCAAATTTCAATGAAAAAATGATTTCCAACCAAGAATTGAGTTTCAATGGAAAAGCAAAGTTTGAGTTTCAAAGGAAAAATGTTTCAATTTAAAATTAACTTTAATCTTAAATCAAATAATTCAAAGGATTTAAGGATTTAGTTTAACCAGTTAAGAGTTTAATGTTTAATTTTGTCCTTAAATTGATCAATATCGATACAAAATTTGGTGAAAGACAAATGCAAATAAGATTCAAGTTAATCCAATTTTGTGTTTATTTTTGTCTTTAAATTTTACCTCGACTTGTAAACAGGGAAAGTTTAGGTAAAAGCGTTCAATTGTTGACTTTTAAGAGTCAATTTATTGAGATCATTTCCAAAATTGTTCATTTAATTGTTGAATTTTTTCGCCATTTATGGAAACCTTGCATGATGAAAAATGGGAATCGTTAAAGGATGCAAAATTACAAGTCAAATATTTGCATTTCTAATCATGTAAAGTCATTTAACCCAAATTGATTTACTTATCACATTTAATTAAATTTGAGTTAAATTTTCATCTTGACTGGCTTCACCAAATGTTGACAGGGAATGTTCAATTTTCATGGAAAATAAATTCAATTAAAGATAATTCATTTTGTGGTGAAAAAGTAAAACAAAATGAACAAGTTTTCATTAAGATTGAATAGAATTTTAAAGTTGGAAAAATCAACTTTTTCGCAATTTCATGAAGAGATTTAGTTTTCATGAAAAAACTTGAATCTTGAATTTTGATTCTGAGTTGGAATTTTCACTTTGCATTTTCTTTCAGATGAACTTTTCTTTTCCACTTTTTATTCAAGTTTATCAATGATTATAATTATTATTCTGTCGACTTTTCAAGTTGCCAGACTGGGAGTTGAAATTATCATTCAGAATTTTCTTCATCAGATTTATCGAGTTCATTTGGAAATTGAAAAGTTTGAAAATGTCAACTGCATGTTGGTTCAGTTTCCAATTGAATGATTTGGAAAATCTTTTTACTTCAATAAGTTTTCATGATAAAGTTCAAGTGTCCATCATTAAGTGAAACGTCGAGTTGAAGAGCCAATTAAAAGTGAAACAGAATGTAATTTGATTCAGAACTTGTGATTCTTCTTGTTCCCTGGAACTTGCGATTTTTAATCTGTTAATGAGCTGAATGATAATTCCTTACAACATTGAAGCAAAAAAAGTAATTTGATTTACATTTGTCATGAGGAAAGGAAAGATTTCCCAGATTTTCAAAAGAAAAGAACATTTTTCTTTTTCTTTATTCTCTTCTTCATGTAAATATGTTACAAGGTGAAACAAGATAAAGATAAAGATGATGAATAAAGAATAGAGAATAATCTATTCAGAATTAAATGTTAATTGAATAAATTGCTGGATCCAGTTCATTTAGCATTGAGATAATTCTTGTTTCTCTTTTTGTTCTTCAACTAATTGCTTCCATGAATTTGATTGTTTCAATTAACTTCTTTAGAACATTCGTTTGCTCACTTTTTCATGATTAATTCAACAGAAAAGATTTCATGATAACTTCAAGATAAATTTTGTTTCATTTTTGATGTTCAATGAAAAACGATTGACTAATGCAAGTCCATTTAGAGTTTTATTGTCTTTCAATTTTCATTGAGATTAACCTGTGAATTTGATGGAACTACTTTTTAGCTTCATCATTCCCACCATGTTCAACATGATATTTATCCATCTGGCTTTTCCTCTTCGCTCCATTAAATATTTACTCACAGAGTTAAAAAATGGATGAACCATTGAAAGATATTAATCTCCATTGGACCGTTAAATTCAATTATTACTGTCTAGTTGATATTATTTAATAATACTAATAATCTGAACAAACTTTTCATTGAGTATTAACTGCAAGAATTTGTTTTTACAACAGATATTTTAATCAACTTTTATCCTGTTTCCACTATATTTTAATAAAAGCTACTCTGTTGTAATGAAATCCCTTCATGGTAATGAAAGAAAAAAAGTTGCAGAATAATTTGAAATTTCCAATCTCCTGATCAATTCCTCAGTGAATGTTGAAACTCATTTCTAGTTTCGTGATAATTTGCAATCTTTTTCAACATCAATTTCAATTCGAACATGAAGTTAGTTCAGAATCAAAAGGATGTCCACAGACTGTACACTCCTAAAGCAAGTGAAACATTAATTTTACCCTACTGATGACTTGTCGTTGCAAAAGAAATCCTTTTCAGTACGAGAGGAACCGATGGTTCGGACAAAGATACATATGCCTATTGGATAAACAATGCGGCGATGCAGCGTCCAAGAAATTATGACCAATATGCAACCAGAATGTGTCCTTTTAGGGAGAGAAAGCCTTCTGGTTTTGGTTAACATAACATCAAACCGACTATTCCGACCATAAATTCAAAACGATTTATGTTGGTCTGCTTGAGTATTATAAAGGGAACTGAAGGCAATCCAAGATTGGACATTTTGCTGTTTCTTTTTGAAACTAACACGTAGCAGTTTAAAAGCATAAACTTTAACCATCGACTGATATTTATAATACAGTGGAAGTCGTGGATTTATACCTTCAAGTTAGGTTTAACGAAAATTTAAGTTTATTATACTTTTAGTCATTGATTGATCATAGGATAAGTTTTCAAATGTCATTTCTGTTGCAACAAATAATAGGAACAAGTTTGTCTCTAGACGATGTCACTAAAACTTTGAGTCAACTAACTTTGAGTCATTGTAAGTCAACAGTTAAACACATCTTGAGTCATCATTACTGACAGGTAGTTTTAACGCTATTAGGACTTTGAGTGGCTTTAGACAGTTTTACACTGCACTTTGGGACTTCAACAAACTTACAATTTATCTAATTGTAATCAAGTAATCATGCAAGTTTCTTGTCACAACGATATTGCAAAATAATATTATATAATCATGTCAAACTCTGAATATATTCAACCTATTCAATTGGGTCATATCTTCAGCTTTACCCAACGACAGCAAGAAATAAACAGCTAAAGTCATGCAATAGCACACAATTTATATGAAATTGAAACTGCTTATTGAATCAAATCAAATCAAATCACCTTTTAAAGACAAATCTCTTTCCTAACTTTATCCATTAATAAACCATTAGTAATACAATAACTGCCATCATTAAACTGAATTTTGCTGATGAATGAACATTTTCCTTCTCAACACGAAAACTCATCTGTTGATCTGTTTTTCACTCAACATTTTGGCTGCATTATTGAAATGAAATGACCATCTTACCTGAAAGGTAAACCATAGTTTAACGATGAATGGATGCTCCAGTCGAGTTAATAATTGTATTTCTCGTAAAACATTAGCAAATGCATCTTTCTGGATACATAAGTTTTTACTCATGTACTTCATTGCATACATTTTCTTGGTGTTCCGTTTCTGTATTATGCAAACCTGAATCGATTGGAAAGGTAAGAGTTGCAGGGAAGAAAAGGTTCAAGATTAATATTTTTATTCAATTTACCAGAAACAATACATTATTGAATTTGAATGGATTTTCAATGATTAAAGAGAAGCAACGTTTCGAGTTTCAACTTGACTAGCGATAAACAATCATTTCCAATCCAATTTCATCGATAAACCATTTTCTTTATTCCTATTCAGGTAAAATCAATTAAGTGATCAAAGTTTTTCCAAGACAAACAAATTTTCTTCCAATCACTGAACATTCAATTTGAATAAGTAAACCGAAAATTGAAATTTGATTGCTTCTATCATTTCCAGTGAAGCTTCATATTGCAAAAAGAAATGAACATTAATAACTGTTCAGAATCACTGAACTTTATCACAATTTAAAAGGTAAAAGCATTTCTTTCAAATCAAAAGTTGAAATTGAAATGTTTCAAAAAATGGATGCAAAAAAGTCAAAGAAAAGGGTTAAACTGTAATCAAGTTGCACACTTTTTGCCCATTAAATATCATTTACATCAATTACCTTTTAATGTTCATTCATTTGGACACATTTTAAAGTTGGCTTCTGAGCATTATCATTGTTATATTATTTTCATTTCGTGTAATTCAAATGGTGAAAATTCATTTCTCTTTTTCTGTCTGTTTTTCACTCTTTTCAATGTATTTTTGTACCCATTTGTTTATTAGATTCATGGTTCAGTAAATTCAACTATTTATTTTCATAGCAAACTTGGCTAAATGAGAAAGAGAGATAAAAATGGTTCCTTATTGTAATAATAAAACAATGATGACAAAAGTAACATGAAAAAAAGGCAACAAAAAAGCTCAACAAAGGATCATTAAATAATGTTCACAGGGCAATGCTGAACAAGAAAACTCCAAGTTAATTGGGTTGAAGCAAAACTCCAAGTTTAACCAACTCCAAATCTGAATGATAAATTACAGGGAAACCAGGAGGACCAAGACAGTAAAATGCATACATTTCAACAATTTGAAACCGAAAAATTCCATTCAAGGTTCAACTCAAGACCCTAATGAAACAACCGTTGCTCGTCCTAATGAATGGCTCTTTTAGGATCAACTTTGACACTATGTCAGCCTATTTAGTTCGTAAAATTTCCACTTCTCTTTGCCTCATTTCGCAACTTGATTTCGTTTTCCAATTTATTTCATTATCGAGTTTAACATTGGAATTTTATACAAAATTGAATCAGGGAACATCAGGGGGAACATTTTTTTGAACTCGACGCAGTTGCTTTACATTTGAATAAATTGATTCTCGAATCAAATGAGGCGAACAAATAACAATTTTTCATGCTAATGGTTGCCCCTTCCAGCATCAACTGAAACATCACATTGACCTCCTTTGCTCGTAAATTTATTGCAGTTTTTTTCTTGTAATGTTGCATTTGTGTACAACTTTCGTTGACCCTTTTCATTGAAACTAAAAGAGTCAACCAACCCTGGGTTGAAAGTGTCAGATAATGTTTTCCATCTTTTGCAAAAATATCTTTACTGGGATTGATTTGCGAAACAAATGAACCAGACAAGAAACACTTTTTCATGTCAATAGTCGATTTATCTTGGATCAACTTTGCAACCATGTTTGGTCGTTTCAGGTTGCGATTTTTTTCGAGTTTTCGTTTTTTCTTCTTCACTTCTTTCGTCATTTTCGTTTGTTACAGAAATTTGATATTTTTGTCCAATTACTTTGTTGACTCTTCGTTATCAACTCATCTAATTGATAATCTATCCGAGTTTTATGTACTCCCTGTTAAACAATTGTTACCTTGTCACAGGAAATTTAAAAGGCAGGTTGGAAGGAAATTGAATGTAAAGGAAAAGTTGATTAAATTCTGATGTTCTCTGGATGTGTGTTGAATGAACATGAAAAATTGTGAACTTAATTTCAATTTATGTTCAACAATTTTTCCCTCTTTAAACTGAAAAGCATTAGAAAAGGATTGCAAAGCAAATGTTGCTATTCAACTAAAGGATGAAAGGAAAAAATAATTTCATGAAAACGACAGGAAAATTAATTAATAATCTGTATTATCTAAGATGATCACTGGGAGGGTTAAAGGTATCCTCATTATTATCTTGCTTTGATTATATCAATCAATTATTTCCGTAATAATTTCCTGCTAATTTACTGTTAATAGTTTCATGTTTCCAAATTGTTTACCATTAATCAAACATCAATCCATTAACTGGAGCAACATTATTGTATTAGACAGTTAATGATGATAACTTTTTGATGATGATATTTTGTATAACAAGGGAAGAGCAAGGTTGATGTGAAAGGAAGATGAGCAAGAAGATGGAAATGTTTATGGTGAAGATTATTGAAGTTGAGGGAAGAAGAATCAGAAAATTTCCAACATTGAGGATGAAAGGAATCAAGTTTGATATTTAATAACATATTATGATGATGATAATAGCAAACAATATCTCAACCCTAAGGAGATGTAATAAGTTCATTAGCGTTGGTTTTGATTGTTTTGAACAGCAAGAACAAGATTGAAAGGGTTTAATCTAGAGTAAAGTCTTTTATTTTTTTGGGGATTAAATGAAGATGGAATGATGATGAACAGGATGAACAAGATGTGGTCTTAGTTAAAGTTACATCATGTACATGGAGTAAACATGGAAACATGAAGGAAATGATTTTCATTCTAGATAATGAATTAGAAGTTGCGATTTTTCAAGTTTCACATTGAGATTGAACAATCATTTTTAACAATGATTTTAAGCTCTTTTTGGACATTCATTGTTTACTCATTTCTTGGTTGCTTCATTTAATGTAAACTTTAACGTTCAGTGGTTCCTCAATTAGTGTTGTATTGTTCCGAAGCAAACAAGGAACAATTTGTTCTGGATCTCCCAGACCTATGGAACAAAGAACAACGTATTTTTTTTTGTTCTCAAAAATTTGGAACAAGTAAAAGTACAAGAACAGTACAAATTTTTTGTTCCATTTTGATTTTTTTTGTTCTGGAACAAAGTACAAAAAAGGCTTACAAAGCTAACTGATTATCAAGTAAATTTTAATGAAAATAGAAATAATATTATAAATATTGAGATTCAAAGTCATTTACATTAGTTTTCAAATACCCATCGATTTTTGCTCAAAAGAACTTCTCTTTCGAGGTTAGACCCTTCAAGTCTATTACGCCTATTTGAGCAAGCATAACTAGCTAAAGAAAACAGCCTTTCAACACAGGCAGAAGATGATGGAACACAAATAATATTTAAAGCAATGTTACTCAACAATTTTAGAGTACTTTTCTTATCATTCCAATACAAAATAAGATCCAAGTAATCGTCAAAAATATGATAACTTGGATCACTGGACCATTGTTCAATTTCACATCGAAGTTGAGGCTTCTGAAGTAGTAATTGATTGGGAGTTACATTTGCACAGTTGAACTTAGTTTGCTTGAGAGGTATCTCAGGTAAAATAAAATCAGTATCAATGTAATCAAATGAAAAAATGAATTCTTTTGCTATTTGAATCTCTTCTTCTGTTAGTGAACGTCTGTATCTTGGATCAAGCCAAGTAGAAGTGATGAAAATAGCATCAAATTTTGAGTTCAATGGATCAAAAATACAAGCAAACCTTTGTTCTAATCCTGATCTTATAAATTCAGTTGTATCACCAAGAAAAGCAAAATCATTACTTGCTAATCCATTTAAAAGATCACGGACTGTAGGTAAAACCTCTGATATTTCTACTTCTTTTTCTTTCGATGAACAATTAGTTGCTTTCCAAAATAAAAATAAAAAAGGTCTCAGTAATTCAATTATATTCCAATCTTCATTTGTTATGCTGAGATTGCTCATGTTTTCATCCAGTACTTCATTCAAATCTTGTTTAACTTCAATTAGACGATCGATCACTAGGTAAATATAATTCCAACGAGTATTACAAAAGCTAACTAATGATTTACCTGATTTGATTTTCAAAGCTTCACTCAATTTTGATGACAATTTGAATGATTTAACAAAATCTTTCAGTCTTATAATCAAACCACCTATATCATTATTGGTTTCAATTTTCTTCACTTCTAATAATATTGAATGAATAAAGCACCTCAGTAAACAACGAGCACTTTCAATATTGGTAATATAATTGAACTCTTCATGGTCATAATCAAGTATTTCCTTGGAGAAGTCATCCATTGTAAACGCTTTGACCATATTTGATCCATTATCCGTAATGATTCTGAAAATCTTGTTCTTGTTAACTTTAAACTCTTCAAGTATTTTGAAAGTTTTTGAATTAATCCTCTCCCATGTATGTGAATCACCAGCAAAAGATCGAACAGCAAGAGCCAAGCACTTTTTATCTTTATACTTTTTATCAAAAAAGATAGCCATTATCCCGACAAAACTTGATGTCATCCCTTTTTTTGTCCACATATCAATAATAATATTAATAATATCTGCATTGGAAAGCATCTCAATCATTCTTGTTTTCATCTCCTCTTCAAGTGAGATAATTTTCTTCATCAATGCTGGTCGGTAAGGAATTGAAACTGCAGGATTGATGGATTCAATCATATTTCTGAACACTGGTTTTTCAACAATATTAAAAGGGACAGGTTCAGAACCAACTAAGATGGCCAGGTATCTATCAAACTTCAGTTGCACTGGGTGTTTAGAGTTGAATTTCTTCGAGGTAGCAAGTCCATACATTGAAGGTATTGTTTTGTTTTTGCTTGTATCAAATAATTGACCAACTTCCTTATGGATTGAGCGTAAATGTTTCAAGCAGTTAGTTGTATATAAACCTTTGATAACCTTATTACATTCATTGATTCTGCATTTGGATACATTATTAACTGTGTCCTTATCAAAATAATTCCAGACATCTCTTGGTTGCAAAGGCTTGTTATTCACTGTAGCTTGTGTTTCATTTCCATCATTAGACAAATCATCATAATTTTCAATCACCAATACTTCATCTCTATTATTATTATCATTATCTTCCTCTTCGTTTGGTATATTTAACGACAATGTTTGAGCTGAAAAGACAAAAGAAAGAGAGCATTAGATGGTGTAATTAAAGTTAATGGTAAATATATAATAGTACTTACATTGTGTAAAGGAATGGCAAGAGTCATCAACAGTTAAATCATTATCATGTAAATCCATAATCAAAATATATTGTTGTCTTAAATTGGGTGAACACAACATAAAATAAGGCAAAAGGTTTACTGGTGTAACTTATGATAGCAACCTGTTGTTGCTAACATAGAGCAATGTGGCTAAAAGTGCGCGATATTTGACCCTCTATTTCATTGGAACAATTGTTCCTTAGCTTTGTTCTCATTGTCTTGTTCTTGTTCTGTTCTTGGTTCTCAGTTGTTTTGTTATTTAGTAAGAACAAATATGAGAAATTTGGTACAAAATTCAAGAACAAGAACAAAAACAATTGTACTTTTTGTCAGACTGTTGGAACAATACAACACTATCCTCAATGTTTAGCCTCATTTTAGACTCGCATTTTTGTTACAATGAAACATGATGTGGATGCTGATAATGATGATGGAAATGAAAAAGAAGATGATCAAGAAGGAGAAGAAGAGGAAGAAGATAAAAGAGATTGATGAGCATCAAACAGCTTCTTGTTGGGTTCTGCTTTTTCCCTTGGAATCTCAATTTATTGTTACGTTCATGATTGTATCGATAAAATGGAATGGCATTGAAACCTTTTATTCTAGTTTTATTATCATCTTCATCATCATTATCTTCATCCTTACCAAGCTGTCTGTTAATTCAGCTCATTAGCAATAAACTCGGAGTGATATTGTCCAAAATGCTTCTCCAACTCAACAGTAAAAAAACTGAAGATAAATGGAATCACGAATCATATTGAAACTCGAAATTAAAATTTTTCAATGAAACTTATTCTACCGTCTAAGTTTGCAATGAACTAAAAGTAGAAATTCAATGAAATTTTCAGTTCTATCACCAACGACTAAATGAACAAGTGAAATCATCAAAATCAAGAAACAAACAGAAATCTCAAGTTTTTAATGTTTTGAGTTTTCGAGAAAAAATGCATTTCTTTTCGTCATTTGATCCAACATTGATATCACAAAAGATGTACTCCAGAGTCTCTTCAGGTTGATCGATATTCGCGTTGACCTAAAGCTCATACAACATAACAATGAAAAGTCACTTATCGAACAGTTTAAAGCATCATATTTCGATCAAACAACATCATATCCAAAATCAGTAAAAAGATCGAAGAATAATTTGAGTTGAAAAATTTCTCTGATCTCCAAAAATATCTTTGAGTAGACTTGACGCTGTCAAATTAAGCTTATTGTGATCTTGCTTTTGAATGCAAAAATTGTAAAAGCTAATCCTTTATCGTTGAAAGATCTATGTAAATCTGTCCATTAAATCTATGGTCAATCTGAATCTCAGTTATTAGCAAATGCAGCTTGAAATGGACAGTCAAGTTAATCTTTTACTTTCTCGTGATTTGTGCTTAAAGTGAAAGGTTTATTGTACTTGAAGAGACTGTCATTGAGTGTAACATTATTGGCCTGAATGTAGTCTATTTCAATGTAATGATGAAAATTGATGTAAACTGAATCAAATCTCATCGGACTGTTTAACAGGAAAGTCAATTTAAACTTTACTCGAGCCAAATGTTATCTATTTGTATTGAATAGACTAATACACAAGAACATTCCCAGTTGCAAGTAAATCTTTCTTTGTATTACAAGTCTTTTTATTTCCTCACTCAGTTGACCAGTTTACTGGTTTAATGTTGATGTTGATCATGTTAATGTTGTAAGGTTGATTATTGGAATGATGATCATTATGATTACTCTTGTGCATTTCAATGTGAATAAGACATTAACCAGAATTTGGGTAAACATTTTCATGATGGAAAGGAATGGATCTGCCAGCAAGAAAATAAATTATTGTTTCTTTGCCAATCTTTATATTACTTTTACCCAAAAGTGCTTCTTCACCATCATCATCAATTTTCAATACACTCTGAATTTGAAACATTTTCTTATTCATTTTTACTTTCATTCAACTTTACCAATTGTATTCCTTTTGTTGTACATTGAACTGGGAATTGTAACATTATCAAATGCCATCACATTTCAAAAGTGAACAATCAAGAGTATAATATGATATTGAACAGATAATATAACCATCATAATCATGATCATCATGGAAAATGTCAAAGGATAAAATTTGAAATCATCTTCTTCTCTCTTCCTTCTCTCATGAATATTGATGATAATTTTTGTATCATTTAGGTGGGAGAGAAAAGGCGAAAAGTTGAATTTTGTTTTTTGCCTTTTCTCTTGCTTCTTGTCCATCGATTACTATCAAATATTGATCAAATTGGCTTTTGATTGTTGAGGGTGAATTTGACTTTTAGTTTACATCTGAAAGTGTCTTTTGATAGATTTAATTGTACTTTGATTAACCTTTGAAAATCTCATTTCTTGGGGTTGGTGATACTTACCTTTCCGAAGCTTCCTTTGCCAATTGCTCTTAATATTTGAAAATCATCAAATGTAACTTCATCGTTGGATGTCAATTGAGGTTTCTTGTTGTTTGACTTGTTAAAAGTCCACAGTTTACTCCGAGTTAAGCCCATCTTGCAGGTGATAAGGCAAAGATGGACAACAATTTACCACAAAAATGATTGTTAAACATGATCAATTTAATCCATAAAAGGTGACAACTTGGAAACATTGAGAACACTTAGCTTTCTATTTACTTTATCTGATCAACACTGGTTCATTCGTGTCCTGTTTAACTTGTGATGTAAACTAGATGAACAGATATTCATTGAATACTGACAAAACTCGAGAAACTTTAACCTAACTTGGAGTTGAATCGCTTTAACTGAATCAATCAAATATCAACTTTTAACTCCATCTCTTGGTTTAACTTGTTACTGTTGCAACATTTTAACCAACATTCGAGATTTTTCATTTACTCTTTATCCCTGAAAAACTGTAACTTATTAGTTCATTTATTCATGACATCGTGAAACTGTGAAAAACGATGGAAAACAATAAAACGATGAATTTGATAAGAGAATCACCAAACTGGATCTTTATTTTGCTACCGTAAGATGATTTTTAGGGTTAAATATTGTTTTCATTGAAATCAAGTCAACTTAAAATGAACGAGTAATTCAATAATATCTGTGTTAAGTTATGATGTTTGGTTTGAAAATTGTTTGCTTTTTTGTTTTCTGGTTTTCGAGATTTGTTTTCTGGTTAAATGATGTCCACTTAAATACTGGTTTAACCAAGATCTAATCAACAATCTTAATTCAACTCGTTGCTCAAGGTAAAGCTAAAGAGTTTTCCCATTAAAATGTCTGTTTTCAGGTTTGATGTTGATGTTGATACATTTATGTTGATTTGTGCATTTTGTTTTAAAAGCTAATCTATGTAATGGGCAATTAAATCAATGAGATCTTAATCACGAAATAATTTGTTGATTTTTTACAAATTAGTATGATTGATACTGCCATCTATTGGTCAGACATTAATGTTTGTTTGGATAAATTGGATAAAAAGTTGACCGTTTATTCACCTGACAAACAAATTAAAGTTAGTAATGCATCAGTAATGATCGACCTTTAGATTTTTTTAATCTTGTTAACGTCTTAATAATTGGAGACATTTGTTACTTGTTATTTTTAACTCTTTTATTATAAATATTATCAATTATAATTTTTAAAATGAACAAATTTCTGCAATCAAAGTAAGTAAAGATCTTAATGTCTATTTTTATAAGTCGACTAATTTATCCTTTGACCTTTATCTTGTTCTTAGGTCAAGTTTCAATCTTTTAGATAGGAGGTGGATAGAGAAAGGTGTGCTTCATTGTATTCTTGGTAGGCCAGAATGTCGGACATTTTCATACCAATGTTTAGTTGCTAAACAAAGGTTGAAAAAGGGCAGACACGAATCAGACGATGACAATCAAATCTATGGTACTATCAACGCAATCATTGGTTTTTATGTGGAAACACTTGTTTCTTGTTTTCAGAAAATTGATGATCTAGAAAACCTTTCGCCTGGATCAAATGACTCGTCCATTGGTAACAAGACCGAAGTCCAGTTGTATAAGATTGATGAACTTGGTTGGGCTCTGGATTCTCGGCAAATTAAAAGATCAGTTGTTCAAGTTTTGTTGAGTAGGCCGGAATTTGAAATTATTAGCGATCAACTTGATGAATTTTACACTAAAGACTTAAACTATTTGCCTAGAAATATGGTTGACACAACTGATGGTGATATTTGGCTGACCTTTGTTGATCTAGTTATTTCATGCTACGAAAGAATAATGAACCGATTTAGCAAAAAGAACTCAAAAGTTAGCAAATCGAAACCGGGATCGACTGGAAAATTGGATAACCATTTGACTGCATCTGAAAAAATGGTATCTCATGCGAAGTTTCCCGTTCCATTTTGGCATTTAATAGCACCTTCACTGACACAATTTGATGTTTATAATGAAACAAGTGCAACTTGCATGTTAAATATTTGATCTAAGATAAAACTAGTTATCAGTTGTTTAAATTTTACTCAAATCGTTTAGATCTCAGACTTTTAAATTGAATTCACTCTTTTCTTACACGTCCGAATAACAATGTACAAAATAAACAAATAAAGGACATTTTCATTTAGATGACTTGTTATTACATAAAAGATTTACATGTCTTTAAAAAAGAGAATTCGTAAAATGAGTTCTCATATATTATGTAAAATTATTTAGATTATGTTAAAACGTTTAGTTGTTATTGTGTCGTGTTATTATTTATCGCCGTTCCTTTCATGATATAAAAGACTTGTATGTATAAATACATACTCAGCTGATATATATGTATACAATATTTACGTATAAAGCATCTGTATTCACCTAGATTTGTTGAATTTTTTGTACAAAAAATTTACAGATAGAATGATTCTATTAGTCATCGAATCTGGAAACTCGAAGCTATCACTTCAAATGGGAATAAGATGAATTGGTGTAGATGTAAAAAGGACAGAGAAGATAGTAGAATAGAAATACATGTAGAAATGTAAAGAAAAGGGTAAATGATGGGGTAAGAAGATGAAAAGGATGCAAGATGAAATGATGAAAGTATTTTCCGGGTTCATTTTCGCATTTCGACAAGTTGAATTGAGTCACTTTTGGTGAGGCTTTGGTTACTTTGGTTGTTTCATTCCTGGTAAGCACAATAACGCGTTAACATCGATCTGTTCAAATAAACTGCAAAAAAAGATAGTAAATAAGACAATTAGTTAGGATTTGAATGTTAAAATAAAAAATTTAATTTACCAAAATAATTCATACCTTGCCTATATATATTTATATTTATATATATATATTCATATTTATATTTATATATGTATTTATATATTTATATATTTTTTGCTATTTTTTTGTAATTTACATATTTCCAATAGATGAAGGGGAGTTTGGTAGACTGGCGAGTTTAGTTGAATCAATGTTTTTGCTAAAATTTTTTGATCTCTCAAAACTTTTCAGACGTTCAAACATTTTTCCCTGATTCGGTGTTGTATCTGAAGTTGTTGATTTAATACTTTCTTTCCGTTGAGGTTGATTCGGGTAAGAGTATGAGGAAAAGGATGAACAAGATGGTGAAATGGTGAAAGTTTGATCACTCAAAGGACTATTCATCGACGAATAATCTTTTGAATTAGAAGAGGATGAAGAAGTGGCTGGTGATAAGGAAGTATTTGCTATTGATGTTGTTGTCATCTTTGAAGCTGAAAGAGATGATGAGGTTTGATTGGCTGGTGATGTTGATTGCCTTTGTTCATTTGTTTGCATGGAAAGTTTTACAACATAAGCAGGACAACAGGGCCTATGAATTTGATCACATATAATACAATAATTGGCCAATTGTTCACATGATCTTGACTCGTATTTATTCAATTTTCCTTTAGATCCAACAGGTTGAAATGAAACACATTTGGATCCATTTCCATTGTTATCACTACTGGAAGCTCCCATATCGGAATGGTTTTTTGTTTCACCACTCATTTTAGCACTTTTAGTGCTCAAAGCATCTTCACAAAGACAACTTTTTCCGATACAATGAATAGTTTCTGATTCAATGACGTGAATTTCAACTGGTGTTACTGCATTAACCCCATTTGGCGTAGTCCCAATACATACATCTTTATATCCGACGATAGATCCAGCAAGAGCTTTTGTTGATGCATCATCTCCAAGTGACAAATTGGTTGAACATCTTTCACTAAAGCTAATTGTATTTGAGGCAGTTTCACTTTGATGTTCACTACTTGTTACGCTAAATCTTTTATTTGACGATGGACCGCCCATTGAAAGTGTTTCCTGCATCTTAGATGAACCAGTAATACTTCCAGCTAGAGCAGCATTGGAAGCATCTCGATCGATGGACATTTTATCAAGATGACAGCCACTGCCACCAATGCTTAAACTGGTGGACAGTCCAAAAGATACTTCACCGATACTTGGGTTAACCCCTTTATTGCTAACTGCTGTATCAACACTCAACCCATCTGAAGGGGAAAAGATAAAAATAAATAATTAGAACAGTGAATCATGAACAATACCCAATGGTATCAAGGTTGGAAATCAGAAAATTGACTTTTCTATTTTAAATTACTAATATCATATCAGCCCAATTATCTACCCAATTTTCTGATAAATTAATATCAATAAAAAAGATGTTAATTGGAATGAAGGTTGTTATCAGTTTAAGTATTGTTGTACTATTAAATTGGAGGAAATAAATTGTATCAAATATTAATGAATTTGTTCCTTGTTTTTTTTCTGCTTTACTTTTTACGACATTTTCTGCCTCATTTAAATGTTAACACTCCTTAAAGAAATAAACTTATATAACTAATTGAAATCATGGTGAGGTGATCAATTGATCATTATCAAATGAGCCGATCAATTAATGTATAAAATACTTAATGTTAACTTGAGAGATACGTGGTGAAGTATAAATTACAATGCAGCAACTAAAATTGAAAAGAAATGAAGGGGAGGGAAAACGTAAAGAAAACTCATGATAGTATCTTCTGACTTTGCTTGATAAATTGCAATGAAGTATTATAACAATGAAAAAGGAAGAACAAATAATCAAGATAATTGTCATTATGTTCTGACTACATATTAAAAACTTGAGTCAATGCCGATTTTGAAAATCTTTAAGAAAAACAACTATCTTTCAATTGATTAAAATGCTATTTGATTAAGATTAAAGGAAAATAACAAGCAATAAAGCGTTTTTTCAAGGTTTATCAATTTACCAGGAGAAAATGTTGCTGAAGCAAGTTCTATTTCAATCTCTTCATCGTTCAAATCAAAACGGACACCGGATGATGAAGTGGTTATGCCACAGCCTCCTGATCGACACAGCGATATTGGTACAACTCCGTACACATAGGCTAAAAGTATTGGTACACCAATACCTATGGCAACAGCGGTCAATATTGGAGATATTAGTACGGAAGTTACAACACCAGAAGTAACCAGGAGATTCTTTTTATGTTGGTTCATTGATTGCTTCGCGAAACGAGCATGAAGTGTTCGTCCAACCCATACAGGAACACCTAAGAATCAGAGAAGCAAAATAATTAGTTTCATTGGTATAAGAATAACAGAAAATTGTGTTAATTTTTTCCCCCTCCCGGAAATGTTATCCTTTTGTGGAATGATTCTGATAGACAAAACAGGTAAAGAAAATAAAACGCAACAACATCAATAATAATAGCCATGAAAAAGGTGAAAATAACAATAGATTGGGTTTGTAATACAATTAACAAAACAAAAGTCAAGAAGAACGCAAAATAATCAATGTAACGTGAAAATTGCATTGATTGCATTGCAGACACATGATTGAGGATGATGATGAGTGGCATTATTATTGACAAAGATTATTATTTTGAAAGAAGCACAAAAAATGTAATAACAAACGGATGTAAATAGAGATTAATAAGTCTTCTTTGTGATAAATTTCTGGGGAAAAAGCACTCTTCTATCGAAAGATTAGTTTGTAACACAAAAATTAATGATAAGAAAAACTATTGAGGGTAAACTGATTCATCTTGAGTAGAAGACAAAAAAAGGTAAAAGATTTTTGATTTAAATGAAACATCATGGGCCCATAAGAGGATGAGAGAAAAGGGTGAACAATATTGATGAAGAAAGCTGAATGTATGTGTATTGATGATGAAAAATGAGGTAAATTTTGATCAAATTGATGATAGGAAATAGGATAAATAGGAGAGAAAATGAAAAATCAATAAGTTTCATTGAACTCGAAAAGGTAAAAGCCCTTTTTCATGTTATACAATTTTTTTGCTTGTTCATATGTTTTTTGTGATTATTTATCCATTTTAATCTTTTTTTCCTTCTCTAATTTTATTTTTTACGTCGAATAAAAGTCAATTATAAAATTACCTATTATGATAGCAGGGACAGCTATTCCAGCGATAAGTGCTATGCCCACAGGAGCACCAACTAGCATACCAAGTTGCCACATAATTTTTTTCTTCCTTGACCAAGGCTTTTTACCCCAGAAAGTACATCCTGATGGTGAGAGAAAATGAAGATCACCGATTCGTTTCATGCATAGCCAACAAAATTCGGCACCGCAGACACTGCATGTCATATGGTTACATGAACCATCGTCTATCTTAATAATGGACACGCGACAAGATGGGCAAGGTTTGACATCATCACGGGGTCTGATGGAGTCGTGACTAGATGTGAGTGAAGATAGACGAGCTCGATAACTTTGATGAAGTTGTTGATCCTTGTTTCGCATGATACGAGCACTATCACAAGTTAAGTTTGGGTGCCACTCTTGTTTACAATGATAACAAAAAGATGTTTCACAGCCAGGCCTGCAACATCTCAATTTAGGACAGCTTGCACAGCCAGAAGCAATCACAACATAATCACAATCAGGAGCTGGACACCAGCGAGCATCAGGCTCAGTAACGAGGACACGACGCAGCATAAAATTCTCGTATTTTGTGATGTAATTTTCATCGGCGAGGATAGCTTTGATATCATTTGGATGGATAGGCTCAGTACACTCGGGGCACGATATGTTGATTCGACTTTCAGAAATTTCAATCTTGAGGTATTGTTGAAGACAGCTGTGGCAGGCACGATGTGAACAGGTCGTCAACAATGGAAAACAGTCCAGAGGTAATTCGAGAAGGCATAAAGGACACTCCAGGGATGTTGCAGTAGAAGCTGAGCCTGGTGATGCCATTGCTCCAATAATTGAGGCTGGAGATTTAGATTTTAGGTTGGAGGTCACAGTTCCTGGTGAAAGGCTGGATCCAGCGTGAGGATAGTTAAAATGCACAGAATTTGTATCACTATTTCCACTTGATTCAACATCGATAGGTGAATTGTAAGCCTCGGGTTTCAAAGTGTCCTAAAAACAGGTGAAAAAAGAGAGTAAACAAAATTGAATAAAGGTGTAATGTTACTTGTAATGAATCAGATTGCATTTAGATTTACTGTTAAACTGTACTAACCTCAAGATGATAATCTCTTACGGTGCGAGCTTTGCTTCCAGAACCTACAGTACGCCCTAAAGCTGTTGCGTTGAGTAATCGTCGAAGAGAAAAACGTCCCAGGCTGAATCCATGCTTTTTAGGGCCTCCATAATTTAGTGATGAAGACGCCATTGGACTGCCTTTAGTAACTTCCACAAAACAACAAAGCTAAAAAAGCTCTTGTAAAAGGAAAAGCTAAGGTCACAGAATAAACAAATTTTTAAAGTACTCAGCGAGTACTTAAACTTCAATTTACGTCAATTTTCACTTTAGTAAAAGAGAAAACAATAAAACTGTGAAAATAAAATTAATCATATAGAAAAAAACAATTAAACCAAGGAAATATTTTGTTAAATTATTATGAATGGTCTTTCTGAGCAGCTTTGTGTAAAAACAACTGTAAAGTTGACTGACTAGTCTGCAAGAGTTCACTCCGCCTTATTTGGGGTGTAGCGCAAATTTCAAGCCAGATAATTTTAAGTTGGTTTTTCAAACAAAATTTACCGATAAATCAGTAAATTTGTTTTATTTATTTACATAATTAAGAATACTGATAGCAGAAAACACTTTTGAGACAGCTGAAAAATAAACAAAGCTCTCTGGTTAATGATTACATCCAGTTATTCATGTTTGTTGACATTAATTTACATTATATTTGCATAATATTGTCATCATATTTACGCTGTTTTTCACTAATCTTTGCATATTTGGCCATTGGTGCTGTCACATCATTGTCCAAACTTTCCTCGAGACCACTTCTATACTCAGCACTATCAGGATTGTTAGATTGATTTCGACATTTTTCCAGTTTTTTCTCTATCAATTTTATTTGATCTTTTGAAACCTGTTCAATGTTTTCAATCATAAGTTTTAGATTCTCTTTCATATGATAAAATTGATCCAACTTTTCTGGAGCATTAGAAAAGAGTAAATCAGTAAGATAACTTGATAAATCTATATTGCATTTACTCGCAGAATCAAGAATACTCGCTAAGGCTATTTGAGATGGACTGAACAGCAAACAGGCATCGGTGAAAAATACAGTATTCATAAAAACGTCGATTTGGGGTCGAAGCTTCTCAACATCACCAGGATTCATGAATCTAGCCTTGATATCGATGAGGAGTCCTTCAATAGGACGAAATGGATTATGAACAGTTAGGTGGTATTTTAACTGCGCCATCAAAAGCAACTCATTGTTGAGAATAATATCAGCAGCTTTTGCTCGATCACCTTTAACATTAGCAACAAATTGATCCATGCTAACATTAAACTCCTCTACTTTACAGGCTAAATAAACACAAGTAACAACGATATGTTTCGGATGATAATCCATGACAGAATTATTCACATAGAAACGTTTGTAAAATTGAAAAGCAGTTCCCTATTGACAAAGGAAAAGTGTTTGTTGGATTAGTACGATGAAGTAACTGAAGTAAACAGGTTAATGTGTATTTACCACAACTGTTTTTGGCATAGAAGGTTGAAATTTGCGACAAAAGTCTCTCAGAACAATGTTATACTGCCTGAGTAAAGTCTTCTCTTCGATGGGAGATAAAAAATATTTACGAGGAGTGTCTTTCTGTGAATAAAAAACAAAAAAGTAATTAGCATAAGACATTTTAGTCAGATGAATAAAAAAACTTACCTTGTGAGCTTCTATGAACCTGGCATTTGCTTCTTCTCGTAATGTGTCCAATTCTTTTTCATCCTCAAAGATCCAACATTTTCTTTGGCTACTGGTGGCAAACATATTTAATTTTCTAGAAATGAAATGAAAAACTATTAATTTTCAGTCGAACATCAAACAAATTTCAAAGCTAACAGAACAGAGTTGTAAACAAGCTAAGTTATTGCAGAATCTGAAACTTAAAACATCCTGAAATGTAAGAGAACAATTCTCTACACATGCCCATTACAGGGGATTCCTACAGCCCGCGATCATTAAAATATTGCATGTATAAAGAGAGGACAGTCCGAGTACATGATTCAGGCTGGATGGAAAAAATAACCCGAGGAAAAGGGCTTGCAAAAAATGGTTCAGAATGAAGAGTTGATAACTTATACAAAAAGGATAATTACATGAAGGCACGTTGGTCCAATTATTCAATCACATAAAACTGAGGATAAAATAGAAGATTTATAAATACACTAAAAATTAGATAAAAAATGTAAACTAAGAATTAACATGAGATATCTTTGCTGATGATTTTGTCCATTGATGAAATAATTCTTGGTCATTGGCTTCATCTTTAAAATAGCTGCAATTCATCTTCTCCTCTAATAGATGGCATTAGTTTACTTAAAGCGAAAAATGTCCACAAAAAATATTTGAATTTAATTTTTAATATTCAATCATTAGATTTGATTATGGGCTATAATATAATGATATTTAGATGATTCAAGAAACTAAAAATAAGTTATAGCATAGTAAGCTTATTACTTATGATGTCAGATTTTATAGTTGATTATAAAAATAAATGGTTAGTCAAACAAATGTTATGTGTTAGAAAGATATTCACAGGATATTTTAGGAGATTCGTTATTAAATGAATTAGACTCAGATTTTCTTCGGTATTCAGTCATATCGAGTTATAGTCCATAATAAAATCTAACGATTGGCCAAAGAAAGCTGATTGTAGGTGCTGCTATTCTCGAAATATTGAGGCTCAAAGTTTTAGGCCAATGGCAAAACTCAAGAGAAGAGTTGATAAATTGAAAAAAGTGTTCAATAGTTGATAAGTACCAACAGTTTTTATCGGCGAACAATAAGTTTCAGCTCTCTGATTCTTACGGTCACAGAAAACGGGGTTTAACTAAAAATCGAACTGATCTGTTGTACAGAGACAGAAAATTTTATTTCCCAAATTAAGCGCATTTTCTGGTTGTTCATCAAAAGGCACATAAGTAAAATGAGTTTCATGAAAAATCTACTTCCATAATTGAACAAAAGTTTCAACTTCTCATCTCGATTTTCCCGAAAACTGTCGCTCGGACAAAATTTTAATAGTTTTCAAGCTCCTAAAAATCACCAAGTTTCAACTCTTAACTCAAGTGAGTTTTTGACAATATAATACTTTTTTATTTGCTAATAAATGGACAAATACACGTTGATCGTGTTTTACTTATGATTTTGGGTTACCAAAAAACTCGAATTTTAATGATCATTTAAGCAAAGGTCGCTCCGGCATCGGTCTTTTCAATTTGAAGATTGTTTCTCTGATTGAAAATTTATATTTTTTAATCTGAATGAAGCAACTGTGACATGTATGATAGAAACTCATATTCATGAATCTGAATGTGTCCCTTTTTTATTTTAAACTGATGTAAACAGATACCGAGTTTTCACTACAAAAATTAATCTTTGTTTTGTACAAAAATAGTTGTTTTTCATTTTCCAAAATAAGAATAAAATCTATCAAAATTGACATTTAGGTTCTGTATTTGTGAATTTACCCAAAATGTGATATTCAACAGTCAATTCTCAGACAAATGAGGTTAATCATGAAAATTATTGAAGTGAGTTTATGCACTTCCAATGCATAGTTATAATGTTGACATTCAATAGTAACTTTGGTCAAAATTTACTTTATAGTAACCATTGACCACCCTCTAACCCTCTATTTGTTGACTAATACAGATACTTGTGAGAGGGACTAACCGAACGCACAACGATCAAACATTTTACCACTTGATCAATCAAAATGAACACGCCCGATGGTCAACAGTTAGACATCAGTTTACCTAAGAATGTATTTTTTGCTCTTTTTCTTCTCATCATCTCTTTGTACAATACTTGCTTGATGATTTCCACTGATTTCCCTCTCATCTTTTGCCTTCATTTTTTGATAGACAGCTATTTTACTAAAGCTAATTGTTAAGGCTGGGCTTTCTCTATCTTTTATTTCTCTATCTTTAGCTTTCTTCTTGTGTGAGCTTCTCAGCAAAACAAAAGTGACTTCTTTGAATATATCTTCTTCATCTTCATCCTCTTCTAACCTGTCGATTTGTTAACCTTGTAGTTGAAAATTTGAGGAACTCTTGAAATAATAATCATAATAATAGAAATGATCAGCTATTATGTTGTTGATGATGATGATTTGTTTACTTATTTGGTGTAATTTTTGTTTAAACTTCTTAATCTAGACCTCATGAGAATCAGGATAAAAGGATTTTCACAAAGAAATGGTTAACAAATCAATTCACAAAAATTTACTCCAATATGGGGGCTGTTCAAGTTGATCACCATCGGTATCATATTTCGTAGCTTGCTCCAAATTGATTTGCCTGGATATAAGAGGGAAAAAGTGAAAGGTGTAATTAATTGTGGCGTTTAAAGATGTGTGAATTGGTAATCTGAATTTTTTCTTCATGAGATTTGAAGGGAGACTGAATGAATTAAATATTAAAGTAAAGGAATACATACTTTTTTAGCTTGGTAGAGCCAGAAAAATATATGCTGTGTGATCTGTCAAAATGGTAACAAGTTAATTGCAATTGCAACGGTCAATTAGCAATGATAGAAGGCCAACTATTCACAGATAAACGTAAAATTGCCATCATTAATTGACAGAGAACCTTATAATCATGATAAAGTTTGCTTTCTGAGCTAACTAAATCGGTGTAATAATTACAGATTACACTTCTCATTTCTCTAATTATCACATTTTATGTTGCCTTGTTTAAAAATGAATGCAACTTATTCTCATCAATATTTATCTCCTTTCTTGTTCCTCTCTTTTTGTTCATCAGACTTGACTCAAGATTTTTTAACCAACCAACGAAAAACTGTGCTGATGATACTTTTGGTGATGATCCCGTCGCAATGTAAGGTGATGGAGAATGGAGATGGTTGTGGTCCAAATGCATACAATTAAACAAAAAGAGAGAAGGAAAGAATGAAAATATGAGATAAATAAAAATTTGTAACTCAAGAAGAAGAGAAAAAACTTACAAAGTAAAGGTAGTGAAGAGGATAATGATGATAATAGATGAAAAAAGCATAGAGTCATGCATTTTTGTTTGGCTTTTCGTTATTGTGAAGATGACCCGTTTCATCTAAAGACAGTCTTTCACATAATGATATATAGTAAAGAAAATGATGAAGAAAATAGTTTCATCTTCATCGTTGGGTGCGTCATTTGGAGAAACGTTCCTTTAATTATCAAAGAACCGATACCAAATATTAGGTGCCTCTAACCTTTTTTTACCTCTCTTTCTTTTCCTCTTTCATCATCATTTGCTTTTAGTCTCCAGAGGCATTTATTGAACAATATTCATCACACAAGATTACAGGTCAGCCTCTCTTTCCTCAAGATGTACCTGGTCATGTTTGTTGATAGTCCAAAGCTAAAGTAAAGCTACAAATGAGGCGTTCTTTGTTGGGCGAATTACATACGAATAACACATCCGCCCAATCAGTTCCCTTTAGTCAACAACATTTAAGAAGAGAGGACGATGATAATGACGAAGATGATGATGATGAGCAAGAAGACTAACACCTTTTTCTCATGCTTTTTTTCATGCCTCCCAAAGATTGAATAGGATCCAAATTGATATTATTAATTGAATTAAAATGGTTTTAATTTGCTTTTTAATAGTTGGTAAACTGGGCCAATGTATACCTAAGGAAAGAAGAGCAAAAGTGAAAGGTAAACAGTCAGTGATAATTGATGTTGTTGTGATTGATCAATTCCTAATCAACCTTTGAAAGTTACATTTGTAAAGAGTGTTTAGGTTAATTCACTTTCAAAGGTATTAGAGTGATACAGGAAAAGCAAAAGCTTATAACTTACTTGATGAATTACCACCTTAGCTTGTCTCCTTATTAATCCTCCTCCTCCGCCTCCTCTTCTCCTTCCAGTAATACTTTTTTCACCTAATCACGACCCGTCATTAGGCGGTGGTAATTAGGTGAATTAAATTTAATTAACAGTATAAACCTTGATGAAAATTAATTAGAACCATGAAGTGAAGATAGCGAGTAAGGAACAACACAGCCCATCGTCAAAATGGCAAAACCATATATGTTTTTACGAGGGAAACATATGATTTATGATGTTAAGAATCGGATTCGTGCAGGAATCATTTTTTAATTAGTAAAGAAATGCTGATTCCATATAAATAAAACGATGAACATGAAAAAAAGACGGTAAAATTAGTTGAAATTATTGTAATGTTAATCTCTTAATAATGCATAAGAATAAAGTAAAAAAGGTAAAAAAAAATCTTGAACTAACCTTTACCCTATGCAAGTTTGAATGCAAGTTGAAGATAAATACATGTATAAACATCTATTTAACATAACCATGATAACCATATTTGTTGATCCAACCAAAAGATTGATTAACCTTAATTCTTGAAGCAGTAATCAATAACATAATTCAAAGGTAAAAGGAAATAATAAATAAATAAATGTTAATAAGTAATCACATAATACACAATTACTAATAGAGATCACATGGGATGATATAACTCATGTGGTTAAAACCAGAGACATTGGTGAGTTGAAAGAGCGCTCATTTCAAGTACATTTATCAAAAATAGCCATTTTAATTGTATAACGTTTAATCTATTAAACCAAAAACTACACCTTAAAATTTTAATCATCTAATCCGTTATAATTAAGTTAAACTACCGGGTGGTTACCTGTTTTTTTTCATTAACTTTACAGCAACAAAACTAATGATAATGTAGAGATATAATCAAAATTCAACACAAGACTATAGACTCAAAAAAAAGGTTCAAGACAACGTCAAATTGAAATTTAACTTTTTTTGGGTGAAGATGATGATGATTATGATTAGGATAGGTGAAAGAACCTTTATCTTTCTCTCTTCTTCTCATCCTTTGCCCTTGACTTGATCGTGCAAAGACTCACCTACAAGGTCTATTAATGGTCATGGGAAAAATTTAGACCTTTAATCAATCTCTTCAAGTTTAATATAAAAATGACCAGCAAAAAAATGTGGACTTTTCACTTGAACCATTTTCCTAAAATCACATAGCTTCTGTCATTACCTTTTCACCAAGCTCATCAAGATGATTAAGATTAAAGGATGATTCCGGGTTAACCAAAGAATGTGAATTACCTGATGATGAAGATAAGTTGAATGAAAAATTCACCCGATAACCATCTCATCTTACCTTGTTACATTAATGCAAATCAATTAAGATTAGCCGATAATTGTGATCCTAGTCTTGCTTCAATCTTTTCAAGCAACAAGAATCAGACAGAAACATTGAGCCGTAAGAAGCAAAATTAATCCAAGATTTGTTTTCATTTGTTGCTTGTTAATTGTGCTTCCACTATCAATTGGTTTTTATCAATATTTTTGTTTAATTACCAGACAACACACAACACAACACAAATGAATAGAGTTAATTGAGATTTGGTTAGATGATAATTAAAGTTGTTCACCAACTAATGCCATTTAGACTCATGGCAACACTAACAATTTAAAGGTAATGGTGCTAATCGAGTGAAGTAAAGAAGAAAAATTTTAAGCATCTAATTACAATCAGAAAGCCAATCAATGCAACCAATACTAACAATTAATCAGTAATTTAATGATGTTTAAAAGATTGTACTTTGGGGTTGAAAAAGTTGAAAGAAAGCAAAAATGAAATGAAAGAAAACAAAAAAACAAGGAAAACCTCGATCAACGTTAAAACAACATTGAAAACCTAATGATGATTATGAAGGAGTGAAAACGGCCATTCCTTATGTATGACGATAATGATAAAGATAATTATCATTTTCATGTTCATGTTGATGATCAAAAGTTATATATCTTAACCAGTTGAGTAATTGATTAAGGTAAAGTAAATAAGCAACAAAAGGTAAATGATTAACAAATTGAATAAAAATGTCTATTTTTTAGCGTTCCTCGCGATTCTAATGGTTGAGGTTCATCTTGAAATATTATTTATCTACAGAGTTGGGTGCGTATCAAGGTGATCATTAGTCAAGCCTTGCTTTGATTTGGTAGGCGGTCAGTGTTACCGTTAACGTTTGTTTTTTGTTGACGTTACAACCCAGCCTTTTGACTCCCATTTACCTTGTCTCAACGATCTCAGGACTTATATTGTTTTTAGTTGATTAACATGGTGAAGCTTGCACTATGAAACCAGTGTAAAAACAAACAATAGTTTAACGTTTCTTAATTAAGTTGAAGCCAAAGTAAAAAGATAGCCATCAATATGAAAAGCAAACCCAAAGTTGGAGTTTCATATTTGGACACTTTGCTTGTTGATGCTTCTCGAGCGTCTTTATGGCTGTAAATAGATTAGATTAGGTCATTTCAATAAACAGCAAAAGACAAAACGGTAAAAGCAAATGCCAAAAGCACAGAAAATCGACTTTTAAAGTTATTATAAATCAATTGAAACATTTAATGCAAAAATATGTTTACCAAAAGATATGACAAGCTTTGACTTTCATTGTATTTCTGGTAAATGCCATGTAAATGGGTTACTGGTAAATGTAAATGATTATTCATTTTCACTTTGGGTTATGAGGATATTTGTTGGTTCAGAGGTTGATTTGAGTTTCCCTGTCATTCTTAAAATATTAGGTCGTTCGGAGTTTGAGGCCATTCCAAAGAATCGGAAAAATTGTTGATGAATTGTAAGGTGTTTGATCATCGGGGAAACTGAGTTTCAATTAAGATTGGTGAGTGAAAATGGTATGAAGTGTGAATTTGGTGTTGCTTTTTTTTGTCTTTTTGCTGTTCTCAACCCAAATCTTTCAATGTTGACAAAATTTGTTGAATAAATTAGCTCTTTTCAATGTTAGCTTTTATGGCCTCATCTTTGTTTGGCTTTAGTTACCTGTTTTAACCGAAACCCATTTTCGGAAAATTTTCACAAGAAATTCCGAATAGTTCCGTTTAAACTGTTATAGTGAACATGCATTAGATTCACATTTTGAAGCATAATTACATCTTTATTTACTTAGTTTTCAATCTGTGCCAACCATTGAAAAGATTTATTTCACTTTTAAAACCTCTTTCAATCCATAATCTTGATCGCTTTTTCATGGTCCCATCATATTGCCCTTGATCTTGATCTTTATATATTTTTTTGTTACTTTCATCTAAACATTAACATTGACAAAAGAGTGTTTCCTTAGCAAATGGTAAATCCATTGAGTCCATTCAAACAACGGGATTGACTGCAACATACAATATCCATTGGCTGTGTTTAACAATCTATAAAAATGATATTATACTTACATGTTATTACCGGGCCAATTATCAGATAATTTTAGAGTCAAAGAGTGAAAAGAAAGAGAGGAAAAAGAGAAGGAAAAAAAGAACAGGTAAGAAATGAAAAGACATGGTGAACATGAAGGTAAAGGCGAAAGAAGAGAAAGAAATGAAAACGAAAGAAAAGGCCAAAGAAAAAGAAGAAGAAGAAGAATGAAAGAAAAGAAGAAGAAAAGAAGCGAAAAGATGAATGAAGGAAAAAGTAGCCATTTGGATACTGGAAATGGCCTTAAAAATGACCTTAACCCATTGTCCGGAAAAGGGCTACTTCAATTGTATCAACTTATAATCACTAACTAAACATAAACATTAACATTGATGGCCACACCAGGATGAAGGTAAAGAAGTGAATCCATAAAAGTAACAACACTGAACCATTTGATTGACCAGTTACATGGGCCAGAGTTACCTTTCAAAGATGGTCATCTCGAGACATTTCTACATCTTAATACAAGTTAGTGTAAACACATTGTAACCACTGGTCAACCCTTGAAGACACTCTCCGGACTCTGGACATTTCTTCTTTTCTTTCCAAGTTTACAGATTTAAACGTTTGATACTCTTCATGGTACAGGCCACCTTCGTACCTAAGCTGCTTAGGGTTTAGGGCACAATGAGACGGAGGCTTGGAGGGTGATCTTGCATCTCGATCACATTATCCAGTTAAATGGTGCGCAGTTTAATTGCCACTTTTTATTGTTACTTTACTGGTCAAAAGAAAAGGCAAAGAAAAATTGTTTTTTTTCTCTTTTTTTCTCTTCTTCTTCTTTCTGACCAATTCCTTTATAATACATATTTGCTGTTTCTCACTCATTAGCCTTTAACATTGCATTAACATATATTATTAAATAAACTGTTTCTCAATGAGTGACCACAATGGATGGATCAATCTTTTTCTTCTTCTTCTTTTTTTTGGTTACTTTTCTTCTTTCAGTTAAATCTTGTTTCATTGCTCATTTACATATGTTTGTAACATTGTTGCTTGTGGTTTGCGACTGTCCAGTCAAGTCGGCTAAACTTAATGATCCATTAACACACAGAAAAGGTGGGCAACAATTGAATCAAAAAAAAGTAAGGAGAAGAAGCCGATTAAAGATTGAAGACCTTTTCTCAATGTAAATTTCATTTGCTTCTTTTGACCATTAAAAACACCCATTTTCGCTTCTCTGCCTCTCGCCATTCACCAATATAATGACCAATATAATGCACAATGGTAATCGCCACTATTAGACTATAATTATACTATTAATATGTTAATGGTGATAATAATATGGTTGATTAGGAACGGTAAAGAATCGATAATAATGAAGCTCACACTTTCAGATTGAGTTACAATTGAGTTGTGAATGGAGGAATTGGTTTAAATTAATGTCAAAATAGTCAACTGATGTTCACAATAAAAGTTTATTTCATTGAAAGTTACAGACTTGGACATTTATTTGCAATAAAAGTTCACAGTCAACATCAACTTCATCGATCTTGTAATGCAAAAATCAAACTAAAATATGAAAATTTGCCTCTTTTCGGTGCGATTTTTGCACAATTCAGTCTAATATTCTAGTAAAGGAATAGTTCAGAATTGATTCATGATCACATTTAGACTGAATTATTAAAGAAATGAACAAAACTCTGGATTATTGTAGCTTAATAATTGAATGTTGATATTGAATCGAATTGTATTTTCTTAAGGTTCTTCTATCAAAAGATGAAAAATTATAAAACTTTGATCATGAAGTCGAAGATGTTTTCACTTTTCAATGTTTTTTTTATGAAAGTAATGCTTTTATCCATAAAATTGGTCTATTTTGAGTTTAGAAAACTTCTTCCGTTTGATTTGATTTTGATTGACACATGAAAATAGGAAAGTCCAGCATTTTTCGGCAATCAAAATACACTTTAGAGGCATCAATTTGGTTGAAGATAATTTCATAGAGAAATGAGATTCACTTTTGCTTGTTAATTTCCAAAGAGGCTCGGTTAATTAATTGTTATCAACGTTGACCACGCACTTTCGTGACCTTTATTCAACATAGAATAGATCAAGATCAAGATTTCCATGAAAAAACTTAAAAACTCAACTTATATTGAGCCTTATGAAACAAATGTTCATTGAGATCTAACAAGAGTTTTTGCATTCATCATTAACATTTCGGAGTCATTAAAATAAAACGATTTGATATGTTATCTGCTAAGATGTTCATTTGGCATTTGATTAAAAGGATTTTTGGTGCTAAATTGTCAACAACAATTTGTTGGAGCGAAACGTGTTTGTGCATCAAAAATGAAAGAACCACAGAAAAAGAGAAAAAATTGAATTTGTTTGTGAATTGAAGTGATTAATGCAAACCCTTTCAATTGAAGCATCTAATGATAACTCTTTTCATTTTTTAATCAACTATTCAATCAACAGGTAAGTCTGCTAAACTGTAAACAGTAAACATTCATCAAGAACATGGTAAAAGTAAAAGTGTTTTGGTCAAATCATACTTTTACCTTTTCGTTCAAGTCTCTATCCACTTTAATCAGCAATTGTCAAGTCTTTGCACCTTCAACCTAAAGCTATTGACAGTTACAATTACAATTGAATATCAATATCAATTGTCGAAATGAATGAAATGTTCTGTTGGATCGATCGAGTGTTCAAAATTGAAAGTGTTAATTGAATTGGATATGGAAAATTTGGATGGAAAATCGGTGAAAATGAGAAAAAAATTGACCATTAAATGTTAGCTTCTTGATTGCACAGAGGCGACCTCGTAGTGCGATTGAAAGCGTCTTCATCTTTGACGTGGTCAATGCATCATGATCCAATTGACCACCTGATGTTAACACTGTTACTTGAAAACGGTAAAGTACCATTGTAATTATCTACCAACTGGGAACATTTAAATTGTAACCTTTCCAAAGACTTGACTCTCTCTGTTTGTATAACTATTTGTTTACCCAATTTTACCTTGCACTTTGAGCAAGAAAAGTTGATTACCAAAGGAATCATCAAATTGATTATTTATTTCAACCGTTTGTTTGTTTGTACTGATAACGTGCCAAAACAATTACACTTTAAGCTCAACCTCAAACCTGTCTTCCAATATCTGTGTCAATCAAATGTGTTACCTGCCAATTGTAACCATTGATAACCTTTCACTTTGACCATTGCAAAGTGATATATACTTTACAGTTTACTTTATTGGATTAATTTACTTTCAACTTTTTTTTCAATTAATAAATGTTTCAATCTTTTAAGGTTGAAAAGCAAACGAATGTAAACATTTTCAAAACAAATATTATTTATTGATTCATTGATGATAATGGACAACACACAGATTAACCTTTGCTAGTCAACTGACTGACCATTAAACAATCAACAGGAGTCATAATTATCAATGCTGACCACCAACCAGCAACCACTTGTTGACAGTTTTAATTATATTCAAGGCTCTTGAAAACAATCACATCACAGTAACAGGTAAGGTACAGTTTTAACATTCATTTTTAATCCTCTTTTCAGATCTTTTCTTCCTTCTTCGAATCAATTATTCAAGTAAAAAATTCTAAGGAACTTTTCTCATCTCCTGCTTGGTCATCTTTAACCTTACCTTTTTTGCCATCTTGCAAGGTAACGATCCAGAGGTCACTTTGGTTTTTGTACCAATCATTGGATTTACTTGTTTGTGTTAAAAAAGCTAAAAAGATCAACAGCTTTTTCACCTTAACAGGTAATCATTTCGATCAACTGTTAATTCGATATAAATCACCGTTTTATTTAAAAAATGACAGATCGACTTGACTGGCTCAATAGGAATCAATTGTAACTAGATTTGATTAAACATTAAATAACTTCTTGATCACAACACTGATAACTGTCTCTTGACTGATTCTATTAATAAACATTTTCCTTTTGATTTGTTCAATGAAAACATGTTGATTAAAATTGAATTGACTATCAGTTGAATCATGATCACCAAAACATTAAAGAGTAAGGAAATCGAAATTATTTTTCACCGAACCTCGACAGTAAATTGAACAATATATTTTGATTGTAAAGATATCTTGCAGTTGGTTTGGGTTTCAATTGACATGATGGAATCATTGATGAAAGCGATTCAACTCGGTTTGAAGCTTATTTAACAATACTTTTGTTTTCGTCTCTGAACTTGATTTTATCCTGATGTCCTTTCACTTACACATTAGGTAATACGAGTAACATGAGTATTCAATCGTCTCGTGTTGAAACTCATGATAAGTGGTTGCACATAATCTTTGATGCAACAATGTTATCTCAGACGTCTGGTTAGCTTATATTTTCAGTAAATTTCATGAAACATGGCTCCATGTGTCTCATTGTTCAAGATCGTTATATCTAATTTTCGAGATAAAATTTACTTTTTTGCTCAATATTTAGGTGACTTGAGAAGCGGACTCGAAAAGTGAATCGATAGATTTCACGAACAAAAATGTATCATTTGTCAAACCTTAACCTCAACAAATCTTAATCATTGCAAACAACTTCATAATCAACAATCACTACTACAAGGTTGAGTGAATTTTCAAGGGTTTCTTGTAACTTTTTCAGTACAAAAGTCCTCAGTAAACTCAATTAATTAACACAAAATTTGCAAATTATATAAAAAATGAAAAAAAAAATATTCTGTATAAAGCAATGAAGAGTATTTTTCGAGTTCTAATGCAGCTAAATATATTTAAAATATAATCTTCAAAATTATTTGAAATATTCAGAGATTGACAACGAAGATGAAAAGTGAGTGCATTTGTATCATTCATCATAAAGCGAAATAAAAATAATGTTAAGCAAGCAGAACTCAAATGGATATCGATAGACATCGATGTAACAAAAATATGCAAACCTTCGAGGAATCACAGGTTCAAGTTGATTCACTAAAATATGCTGTACTAGTGATAGCTTGCGAGCCAACCAAGATCTAATAAAAAGTTAAAAATGCTAATTGAAATCGTGAGAATTACTAACAAATACTTGTAGCATTTCATGGTTAATCGGGATTATTTTATTCACAATTTTGCTATTTTCAGTTCATTCATTTTGATTTGACTCATTTGATTTTAGCTCCACAATTTTCGTGAAATGATATTTAAAAAAAGATGAAAGATTCAACATTAGTCCATTTTCAGTGTACAGAATGACCAAAGAAGGACAAAAAAACTTCTTTTGAACAGAAAACGTTTCTATTGAAAGCTTTATTTAAAAATGTCAACCTTTTTATGATAAAACAACTTGTGTGTCAATAGTGAAATAATGAGTGTCTTTTCATGTAACTTCCATGGTAATCGTTTTCTTCTTCCCGACAATATCTCAATTTAACAGACAAAAAAAGTATAAATAACAAATCTGTTCCGTTGATTGTTTAACCTTTTACAATGGACATCATCATCATCGGCACTTCTTGACCCGATCTTTAAACTTGAAAAAAACCATTATTTGACTTACTGACCGTCAGTCTTCACCGTCAACCCCTTAAGGTTACCCATGGCTAAAGGTTAATACGGTAAACAACATGGAACCGCCATGTTGGACAGCTACTTCAATCTTCTTCTTCTTTTTCATCTTCTTCATCTTCTTCCATCTTTTGCTTACCTTTCATCTTAACCTTACAACTTTTTCCCTTCCATTCAGTTCTTAACACCCTCATCAGTCTTCACCTTTCGAGTACAACATTTACTCTGTTATTTACATTTTTCTTTCCTTTCCTTTCTTTTCTTTTCATCTTCACCTTCTTCTTCTTTTTTATCTTCCCTTTGTCATTGATATTTTATCATCTCTATCAAATGAATGAACATTTTGTTTCATGTGAAGATAACAAATGAATAAAAACAGAGAAATGCTTTTTTCTCATTCCAATCTCAATGATCCACTTTGCTCAGTACATTCAAGATAACCAAGTGTCATTTTCACCCCTTGAGCTGAAAATCATCATCTTCATCAAAAAAATAAAGTCGATCATCTTTTCTCATCCAAACATATAAACATTTCAATTCCGACAAGCAACAAAAACATCAACAAATGATAATACTGATGAGGAGCAAAAAAAGTAGCATAAGGAATGGAGAAAAGATGAAGAAGAAGAAGAAATTTTCTTTTAATGAAAAACATTGATAATCCTGATTCCTCTCAACATCTAAATGAAATCAACTTCATAATTGCGTAAATGGTTGAAGAAGAGAAGATTGAAAAAACAAAGAATCAAGTTCGTTCATGATTCCAATATCAAGATGAAGCAAAGTGGCAACTCGATTGTCCAACACGAGTAAATAGCTTTGCATAATTTCAAGTTTCCCATTTGGCGAAGAAACAAAAACCTTGAAAAATGCAATGTTAATGATAATCCCACCTTCCACCCTCTTTGAGCCACCCCGAGACTGAAACTCCTCCTGAATGTCCTTTCACCTTAACTAACTGAAACTCCTCCTTTACTTGTCTTACATTTTCTTACCTTTCTCTCTCTCGACTCTCTCTACTCTCTTCCTATCATCATGGATGAAGAGGATAACTTTGCCAGTCTTGTTTAAGCTGTTGATCCGACATGAAGTTTTATCTTGTTACAATCAGTATTACTTAGTTTTGTACTTTTTTCAGTTTCTTTTTGTTTCTTGTTTTACTTTTTTTTCCTCCTCATTTAATATTGGATAATCAAACATTGTAATCAATTGCTGTTAATCAAAATTAAAGTGAATCCAAGTGAGTGAATCAACGTGTTAAGAGTACGAGAGAAGACGGGAAAAGTAAATGAAAACGAAAGCTTAAATTAGCTCATTTCTCATCAATCAGTTTATCACCAAATTGTTTACAAGGAAAGGTCTGACCATTTGCAGAGAAGCAAAAAAAAAGATTTGACCAAAGCCATTCCAACAGATTGTCACTGCCCAACCCAGTCTAATTAGGCTCATTTGCTTCAAGCAACATTCAATTTTGACATTTATTTTCTTGTAATTCAACAGCATTCAACAATCAATCAACGATACTCCAAATCTCAGGAATTATCAAGCTAAAGATTAACCAAAACTGCAGATTTCACTTTTTGTTGTTTCAACTTTTTCTTCTTCTCAGTCTTTATCAAAATCTTACTGATTTCATCAAAGTTTTGTTTCCATGTGTCTGTGTGTGTGACCCTCAAATGTGTGGATTCCTGTGTCCATCTTCAATGGTCAACTTGATAACCAAGGTTATCTCAAGTGTTAAGGTTAAGACCATCTAAAGTGGCCTTAAGTGGCCCAATTGTAGGTCTTGCAAGAAGCAAAAGAAGGAGAGGTGAAAGTGAAGATAAAAGCCAGGTAAAGAAGAGCGAGCAAGAAAAGGGAAGAGAAAAAACGAAAGCGACTAACAAAAAGACCGAACAGAAAAGACGGAATAAGACGGAATAAGAAGAGTCGGAAGAGGACGAAGAGGACAACCAAGAAGAAGAAGAAGAAGGAAGAGAAATAGAAACAAAAAACAAATACCAGAGAAGAAGAAAAATGATGAGGAAGAATCAAGATCAGAGGGAAAAAAGTGAAAACTTGAAGCATGTCAATGACGATTGCTTATCATCTCAGTGACTTCTCTTCGTTCCGTTCACGTTCAATCCGCTTTATTATACATAAAATTATAATCACATTGTGCCTCTACCTTTTATCCTGCCACTTGGTGAGTAACTTAACCTTTCTCAACCTTTATCAACTCAATCATTTACCTTTATCATCTTCATTACAACCTTTTCCAACCTAAAACCAGATCAACCTTTAAACTTGATTAATGTCATCGACTATCGACTAGAGTTGCAGCTAAATTTATCTTGTTAATTAGCTAAATCAATTAGCTTTTCAGTGAAAATAAGAGGCTTCATTGAAGGTAAAAAACTATGAAAATTTTACCAAAAAATGGACTTTTACTTTTACACATTTCTCAATGAAAACCTCTTCCAACCTCAGCCAAATGAGATTGAAAATGTTTACAGTTTACAGTTTAGTTTGCTTCCAGATTTGCCTGTTGATTGAATTGTTGATTAAAAGAGGAAAAGAGTTAGATGCTTCAATTGAAAAGGTTTGCATTAATCACTTCAATTTACTAACAAATTCAATTTTCTTTTCTTCTCTCTCATTCTTCCATGATTACAGGTACAAAGTAAATTTGTTGCTCAACGAAAGATTCAAGTTCCAATGGTTGTTGATATTCAAACACGTTTCACTTTACCTCAACAAATTGTTGTTGACAATTTTAACAAACCTCGATTGTGTTCAAATTTAGCACCAAAAAAATCTTTTAAATCAAACATATCAACATTTTCAAGTTACTCATCATTACCACCTTCAATCTCATCAAGTTTACCTTTAAGTGTCTCAACCATATCATTACCAGGATCATTAGGCAATTATGAATCAATTTTACCACCTTTACAATCAAATACCAAATTTACATCAACCTCATCAACAACAACCTCATCCTTTTCATCACCTTTATATACCTATTCATCATCAAGTTCACCAGCAAATTCAAGCCCAGAATATCCAAGCATATCCATGTCACCCTCACTAGCAACATTAAATTATCTCAACTCAAGCCAACCATCGACACCTTTGAGCCATAAAAGACGCCACGAGAAGCACCATCAACAACAAGCCAAATCAAAGTGTCACTCGATAAAGGTTCATCGATCAAAAATGGTCTTCATTCAACCCTTATGTAGTAAACATTACCTTCACATTACGGGTAAAACTGTTAGAGCAACCAAAACATCTCATCTCATTGACAGCGGTAAGTCAACTTTTATTTTTCATTTTTTCTTCCTTTTTTATTTCTTTTTCAATTCTCAATTCCATTCTCGTTCACAGTCTTTAATATAACTGCAATGGCCATTCGAGGTAAAAGATCTGGAACTTTGGTCAGATTCCAAGATCTAAGATCTGGAAAGTATATCTGTTACAATAAAAAGGGTAAAATTGTTGCAAAGGTAAGAATCGAAATCTTTTTTCTCTTTTTTCTCCGAACTCTTTTTGGCTCATTTTTTTGTAGTCTGACCAGATGAAATTAAAGAGCGGAAAAAGCACATTTATCAAATCAAAATGATCACTCAAATAATGCTCTTAATTGCTCGTAAATTAGACAAGCTTTCAATATAGCTGATGAAGCGAGCAAGAATTAAATGGAAGAATGAAAAGCAGAGAAAAGAGTAAAACGAATAAGGTTGAATATTTTTGGAATTAACTTGATTATACCAAATTACCTTGATTTGTTTCTACAATTTACTCACAATTATTGTTATCCTAAATTACATTTACAAGAAAATGAGTGAAAAAACAACAATTTTTAGCTTTGCGATTTGTTAAGTTAATAAAAAAAAGAGATTTTCTGGTCTTCTCTTGGCTCTAAAAAAAGAGCTGATTGATTGCATTATTGTGATTTCATGTTTATCATCAATTTCCCATGATTAAAGTGAATAATAACTACTTCATGGTAATGGTAACATGTAATATGTAAAACAAGAAACCTTGAAGTTTCATGCCATTTATTTTCACAAAGGTTTACCTTTACAACCGTTTAATGCTACATTAACAATTGCAAATGTTTAACTGTAATTTTACATTTTTTGTCATTCACTTTGGAAATTGTTTGCCTCAAATCTTTGAGGTCACTTTTTTGGTCAACATTTAACGGCAAATTTTGATCTTTTCCAGTTGAGATGAGATTGACGATGAATGTGATCTTGATTGATTTTGTGGTGCAAGTTGACTCCAGGAATGCCCTTCTGTAATTAGTAATCAATCATTAAAATCTTTCTTCTTACGGTTTTCAGACTTTACCTGTTGATAGATCAATGTATGACTTTGATTTTGACCCGGTTCGACTGGGCAATGTTTGACTGTAACCGTATTCGGTTGGGTTTGCAGTCGATTCTCGTCTTAGTGAAGTGTATTTATCGACTGTGTAATTACGCTTGGAATGGTGAGAGTGATGAGCATGATGATCATGATGATGTTTGTTTTGTTGATCATAATCTGGCTTTGGTAATTTTATTGAGCCAAGATTAGTATTATGATTGGATGTTGTTAAGGTTGACCATGAATGGCTTCGATTATTTTCTTGTAATTGATTGATTCCAACCAATTTGTTTATATTTTTAGCTGCTTTTGCTGTTGTTGATGATGAAGATGATGATGATGATGGATAATATTCCGAAGATAAGTGAAGGTTATTTGTTGAATTGGATAGAGATACTGATGATCGATAACTGTGAGTTGGATGAAGGAATACACTTGATAATGAACGATAACTGGCTTCAGTTGTTGCCACTGATATTTCAGATGATGAACTATCTGAATCTTTGACCGGCGAAGGGGATCGAGTCAGGTTGATTGAAGGTGTACTACCAGAGAGGCTTCCAGTCAGGTGGGTTAAGAAGGATAAAGGTGATCGACGTCGCTTCACTTTACGTTGATACTCTGTTGGTTGACCAAAAAGATTAAAAAAGATTAGCTTTAAATAATTGAATTTGCTTTCAAATAACATTTTTTAGACTTTTCTTAATAGTTTTTCATTCTTTTGGAATTGCATTTTTGTTTATTGTCATTCAAATGTTGCTTTTGAATTGCATTTAAACCCTGTTTCAAAGGGTTAATAACCAGCAATCTTTGTTTTATATGGGAAACTGGGCTTAACTTTGAACCGTTAACCAACTGTCAATCAAGTTGAGGAAAAGTAAATTTTCAGGTTTTTATTTTTTCAACAATTTTCATCTTCCTTTCAGTTTATAATTCAGCAATTTATTATTGAGTCTTTAATGGCAATTTTATGAGGCATTTCAGCAGGAATTTTAGATTTAATTTGATAAAAACAATAAAATGTTTAAATCGATTCAACTTTAAGCGCTATTTTTGAAAAGAAATAGCTTCAAGTCGATCCTCAAAATAACCTTTTCTGCCTTTTAGACTTTTCGATTTCATCAATTTCATGTTGAATTTCGGAAAGATTATCGATCAAGATTGTGCATTTTTAGAAATGACCAATTCTTTGGATAACATTTTCCTAAAACACGAAATTCACCAAAAGCTAAAGATTCGAATTTTAGTTTTCTCAAAGATTGTCGAAATTTTTCTCATTCTAATGCTTCTCATGTTCAATTGAAACTTACTTTGAGGTATTTTAGCCTTAAGTATATCAAGAGCGACGATGTTGATTATGATCAGATATGAAGGTGTTTCCAGTAGATCCCATGTTTCCCGACCAAAACAGATCAAACTTATTGTCTCCAATTCCAGCTGGCGACGAACTGGATAAATATTTGACTCACTATTGGCACTGTCCAACGTATTGTTATTGATAGCAATACCAACTGGACTGGTATTACTGTTGAAATGCAAGTTGATTTGATTTGAAACTCGAGACTCAATTTGATCAAGAAACAAATTGATATCAAACAAGGTTTCCCTTTGATGAGGCAACAATCTAATTGTTCCCAAACCATCGGCTCGTTTATTATCAGGTTGAGATAAATTGAAACCACGAATAAATATACGAGATTCAGTTTGATTGTTGACGACAATGTTACCCGATTCTTCCATGATTACATCGATTCCCTGAACAGACAAAAAAAGACCAATTAAAGGCAAATGAACACACAAGAAGCTCTCAAACAAAAAACAACCAAAAGTGAAATTTTCAATTATCTAATGAGAAGCGCAAAGAAAAATGTTAACATTTATTACGATTGTTAATTACTCATCGCTATCAATTTGTTTGTACAATCATTTATTGTTACCAACGGCTAATAAAGTTTAGTCTTACCTGATCGAGATGTGATAAAGCTTCAATTGTAAGTTGATCCCGGTTTGGATTGGGAAAGCCAGCCAAACCAATTGTCAGTCCATCGAAGCCAATCGTTGAATTTGTTATTCTAACAATGGAATCGCACTGGTTTGGACTACTTCGAGCATAAGCCTTGGCCAGACGGCGATTCTTCTCCATGTAAACGATTTTCCCCCAAATCTCGGAATCAATTGTATCAAACTTGTCGGTAACTTCACGAATGTTGTCGGTAAACAGGGAAAGTTCATCAGACCAACTTTCGATTTCTTTTTTACTAAAGAAGAGAAAAGAATGGAATGAAAAGACGGAAACGGAGAAAAGTCAGAAGTCGAAACTCACCTTGACTCGTTGGCACGTTTTCTGAGTAAACTTCGAGACATAATTCGATGTTGAGCGAAATGGAAAAGAAGAAGAGAAAAATTCTTGTTATTGTTTCCTTCGTTACCAACCAACTAGAAGTAATTTTTGTTGCCTTTTCTTTCACAGTTTATGAGAGTTTAATTTTGCTCACATTTAATTTTATCAGTTGAATCATCATGAATCAGATAGCGATTCAAGGTTAATGAATTGCCAACAATTTGGAGCTTTTCTCGAGTTTGCCTTTTCAATCTTATCTTTCAATTGCAACTACTAACTTTTTATGAGGCCAACTAATAATAACAATCACAACGATTATAACTGTTGATAATTGTGTTTAGTTTGATGACAATGGGTATTCATGATGAAGTTCAGGTTTCAGGAACAGTAAGTTAGTAATGATTTATTAAAGCATAAATATTGATACAACTTTGGGCATTTTTACTCTCATTCATATGATTTAAGGTTCCACATTGTACAGTTAAAAAGGTGAACATAAAAGGTTTGGATTAACAGTTAATCGTTGGGTTTGAGTCTTGATTGAAATGACACAAAAGAAGGCAAAATTGTTGGTTCCTTTGATTGACATTTTTGTGGTTTGTTTGTTCAACCATTGAATGCCATTATAAACATCGATCAGGCTTTAATCAAGAAATTAATTCCTGTTTTCGTTCGTTTCAATTTCATTGTTTTACTTTTTTGCTTTCTTTGTGTTTTTGCGTTTTTTTGTTTCAACATTTTGCACACTTCTTTATGATCCTTGATCAAGTTCAGTAAACATTTTAATTGACGTTGTTATCGGTGATTTATGCCTTGGAACAAAGTTTATCTTTGAAGGATCTTCACCAATTTCAAGTAAAGTCTTCCAAATGTTACCGTCCAAGTGAGCTGCACAATCTTCATATGATTTGTGTTTACCGCAAGTATAATCAACGCCTTCAGCAATCTATAAATTAGAGGAACAACAATTTACATTAGATTCAGTTTCTTTCAGGTTAATGTTTATCATTAGGTCAACAGATTTCAAATCTTTCCGTTCATTTTATGATGAAACAAAATTTTAGTTTCCAAACTTTTGTTGCGCCAAAATTGAACTTCAGTGAAAATTGTTTTTACGATTTACGAATCGATTAAAGATTTTTTCATTTAAGTTCAAATTTGACTGAAACATTTCATCAAGTCTTGAAACATTATTCAGTTTTCCGTCAACTTTTTGCTTCTGTTCAAGTCAACATTGAAAATTAACTTGAGATTCAAATTGAAGGAAAAAATATTTGGAATAAAAAATTTTCGATTTTTTTCCAAGACGAAAAAGAACTTCACGAATTTTGTATTCTTTATAATAATGATACTTACAGTTGAGCCAACCATTTTGTCGAAGTAATCACTAGTCTCAGGTCCAGTTACCGCTTCGCATAGTTCCTTTGCTTTAGTAACAAAACAGTTATGAACCCAATGCAGTGAACAGCATCCAGTCAACACTCGCTCTTCTTTGGCCACATTTTGCATAATCCATTCCATTTGAGCATCATAGTTCTTCATGCAGGTATTCAGAGGTCCGAAACCACCCTTTGCCTTACCACATTGCATGTGTTTCATAAACTCTACTCATGAAAAGCGAAAGATAGGAATTGATGAAGAAGTGAGAAAAATGGGAAAAGGCAAAAATTTTGAAAACTAAATGCTTACCCACTCGACCTTCCTTGGTGTGACAGCGTTTCTTGATATCTCGCTTGAAATCGTATTGAAAAACACCGAAAACAGTCTTGGGGAAACTGACCATACAATTGGCTGAATAATCCCGTACACATTGAATCGACTTGAAACTCTTACTAAAGTCAAACATTAGTTATTTGTTGAAACCATTTCTGTTGACAAACTTACTTGCAATGTTGATCCATTTCATCCTCAGTTGTTGGCATGATCATGGCATCATTACCAAAGACAGTCAATTCAGCAGCACAATTGTCGAAATCATCTTCCGTTTGAGTGCACTTCGGTTGAGGCGCCGATTGACCTAAACAGTTGAACAAGAAGATTAGACGACACAAGCAAAAAAAACACAATCAACAAAACTCACCCGCAACAACCAACACTGTTAAACCAACAAACAATTTAAACATTTTTCTTCCTTTTTCTCAACTCTCTATTCGTTGATAAACTTGACAAAATTGATCAACACTAGCGATTGAAATCATTAAATAGTGATGAACAATTGGCACCAAATGACGAACCAAAAAACTTTTCCCTTCCCTGGTTAGACGTCAATGTAATCTAACCATAAGAAAAGTCCAAGTCTCACAATCAGTTGAACAATCGGTTGAAGAATCGAGGAAAAGTGAAATTGACGGTTAAATTAAAGTTGCCTTTATATATAAATTTGAATGTTTAACTTGTCTAACAATGAGAATCTCAATCGACTTTGAAAAACAATATTGTTCAATTGACTTTTAATGAGCATTGTCAATATTATTATTGGTAATCAATGAAGCGCAGTTTAACATTTAACCAACCATTAACGATCAGATAGTTGGCCAATAAATCAATAATCACGCAATTGTCTCATAAGGTGATGTTCAATGTGAATACGGAATGACAAAAATTAACTCATTAACCTTAAAAATTTTGCATTATTTGTCATTCGAATCGCAAATTTACCTGTTTACATGTTAATGCAATCAAGGACAATTTAAGTTTTCCATTTATTTGGATGAGACAATTTAGCCTTGAATTGATTTTCTTAAGGTTATTATCCAATTGATCAAGAATAATTTTCTCTGTTAATTATTCTTCCATGATTGTACTTTATCGTGTTACACTGAGCAACATGAGAAACAATTGAACAACTTTTTTTTCCATTTTTTATATCAAGTTTATTTTTGTCTTTAAAGCTTTCTTTAAAGTCTTATCATTGATTATCAACATTCAACATTCATCTGATTAATCAATCATTTGCAGGTTGAACATGAACATGAAAAATGAGTTTTGATTAAACACAATTACAATCAATTATTGCTTAAATGGTTTGCTGTCAAAATAAACCAACTTTTGATGTCTTAGTTTTACTCAACCAAATTAGCGTTAACCAGTTTTAGAAATGAAAATTAGCCAAAAAAAGGGAAAACAAGGCTCAGCAAGTTATAAAAAAAGTTCATTTTTCAGCGTATTTCAATGTTCCAAGAATTCAAGACTGGTCAGTTGACTGGCGATATCAACAATGATATTCAACAACAATTACGATAAGAAAGTCTCGTTAATGTGAATAACAAAAAGTGAAAAAAATGACGATTATGATGAGCGTGAGGAAGAAAATGTTGATTTACTTGATTTACTTTTCATCTTTTTTTCTCAGGTAAAAATGTTGATAAAAGTTGAAAACATTTGTTGCATTTAAAGAAGCGCCTGAAGCAGTATGACATTGGATCCAAGAATTTAATCAGATTCAGGAATCGAGAAATCGTTGTAATTGAAAAGCGAAGGAAAACCTTTGAAAATAAAACGTGATTCTGATTGCAAAATGTTTCTCCAAATTGCAATTCTGTGTCTGTTTTCTTGAACAATTAAATTCTGCAAATCTGCATCTGAACATTACTGAGTGCAAAAAAATAGTCAATTAAATTTCGTAACATTTAATCAATTAACAAACAACAGTTAAAATCAAATTAATCACTTTTTTAATTTGCTTTCTACAACAATTGTTGATAAATAAACCATTAGACTGACTGAACATTTTCATACTTTTGATGAGTTTTCCTGAAGATAGCAATGTTGAGTCTCCAGTTGATTGTTAGTTGATTGTTCAAAGCTTAGTTACAGGTTCATTGACTACATAAACATCGTCTATATCGTCGTCTAATTGAATAACTTTCTTGATAAAATTATCTGAAAAATTCTTTACTCAATTCACTTCCAATCATAAAAAAACTTCGAGTTGGCTCAACGGTAAAAGACCCCAACAGAGGAGCAAATTTGATGGGCAAAGATGCACTCTTGTAGGTTGGGAGCTTCATCAACTTGGCCTAGTTAGACTCGACTCTGTGTGTTGGGAGAAGAGATAAAAAATGGAATTTTGAATTTTCTTTGAAATAGAAATCTTTCATGAATTTCAATGACTACATATAACATATTGTCAACATTAGTTCTGACAGTTATTCAATCTGATTTACTTGTTTCTCATTTTTTGTTCATAAGGTTCAATATCAAGGTTTAACGCCTAAGGTTACAAGATGAAATTAAACAAGAAACATTCATTTTTTTGGAAACTTGTTCATTGCATTTGAACATGAAAACTTGTAAATTTTTTGACTCAACATTTAATCATTTCTTACCTTTTCAAGTGAACCGTTTTTTTATTTATATTAACCTGTCAAGTAGTTGAACCCAGTCTTGAAACATTGAAATACACTGAGAACTGAATCATTAATTAGAGTTAAGATCTTGGCACATTAAAACATTTAGATATTTGGACATTTAAAAGCATTTAATTGTAACAAAGTAAACATTTTTATTGCACTTGCACTTGTTACTTTGCCATTAGGTCAATGGAATGAATTTAGGCAAAAAAATGAAACATTAAAGTTGGATAATCTTTTAATGTTGCTTTGCATTTATCATGTTTTAATGTTAATCTTGGTCATTGATCTTGAACATTTCAGCTTTTGAAAGGTAAAAATGAATTAGAATGAACAAAACTCGGTAAAAGTAAAAGAGGCAAAAGAAGTAAATTAACTTTCTATTTCAATTGAATGTTGATGAATTATGGTCGTCAATGGTCCATTGATGAAAGTGTAATTATGTTTTGAAGTTTATTATTGAGGAATAATCAGTTAATCAGCTTTTGACCACCCAATGGTCAAACCTAATAATGTATATTAATGAGTTGCTCTGTCGTCTGTTGACCATCAATGGATGAATAGAGGCACCCAATGGTCAAGGGTAAAGGAGAAAAGCAGGAAAATGGAAGAAAAAAAGTTGAATGTTAAATTGTGATTATTAAGCATGACGAGAGTGTTTGAAGCGCTCATGATGATAGAATGAGAATGTTGAATGATGAACAATGATAAACATCGAGTGTAAAATGATGTTGAAGAGGAAAGATTAACACAAATTGATACAATTAGAGGTTCAACAAGATGCTCTGATTATCAATAGATGATCAATGTTTATGTTGACGTTTGCCTGAAAAGAGAATCTTTTTTTCTCTTCTTTCATGATGACATTTCTGGTTCCATTGAATGGTTAGTTATTGATTGTCTTAATTTGTTTCACTAGGAATGTTAATTTAATTTGCTCTTTACCTTTACCTGAGAGAGCAAGATGACTGCGAGAAAAAACAAATGATGATTATCATGATGATCATGATGATGGTGAAAAAAGGTTGTATATTGTTGAGACTTAATGGTCGAGTAAAGTATCTTTACAAAGGCCTCCCGGTGTCAACCGTTATCGGTCAAGATTATCAATCAAAAGGTACATCTTTGGATAATTAATGAACAGGGAGACAAAACTGATTAGTTGATGAGCCTGGTGATGGCCGACGACACTGTATGTGGTCAATGAATGTTTTTTTGGATATCATTAATTGTTAATTGGACATTAAAAAGTTAATTGATTTGACTCTTTGAAAGATTGAAATTCCTTTGAATTTTTGTTTTTTCTCCAAAAAAAACGAATAAAATTTTTGAATTTTACTTTTACCTCAACCTAAGGTCAACCTTTTGTGGAAACCAATTTTATCCCAATTTTGGCTATTAATAGGGAAGAGGGTAAAGGTGATACTTTTATTAAGTTAATTGTTGATTTGAAACGGAAAAGGTTATGTTTTTGCTGACCAATCAGTGGATAGGAAATTGAACTGTCATCTGAATCTGTAATAAATAATAATGATCATAATGAGCAATAAGATGAACAATTAAGTGAATGGTCAAGAGGTAAAGGTTGCTGTTTTGTCCTGGTAAAGGTAATAAGTCTTGTCTTTTCTCATCTTCATTCCTCTTACCTTTTCTTCCTTTGCAATTGCTTCTTTTTTTTGTTTCTCAACTGTGAGGGTGAAGTTGAAATGTCTTAACTTTTGACTATTGTCCAGTTTTACAAGAAAAATGGTCCACAGAGGAAAGGACAAGAAAAAGGTTACAATAGAGTTTTGTGTTTTACCCATTGAAAGATGATGAAGATGATGATGGTGATGATGATGATAACACAATGTATATTAAGAAAAGCTTGTTACCAGGTAAACAATGGTAAAAAGAGGAGGAAATATTAGTGGTGAAAGGTAGGTTTACTTTGGACGAAAATGATATTCTTCCTTCTTCTCTTCAATGTGTATAGATATACCTCAATTATGGGCTAAATTGTTCAGGTTAAAGAGAAGAAGAAGAAGAAGAGAAATGGTCGAAATAATTGTCATGTATTATTAGTATTATTATTATATACGGATACACATCATTTGGATACCTTATAATCAACCAGGAAACCGGACATGAACTAGCAAACCAATTCTCTTGAGATGATCAAGACCATTGACCATTCAAGTGAAGGGAAAACAAAAGGATAACGAATGATACAAAAGTAAAGGCTTTGTGAAAACAGGAATCAAGAGGTTCGACCAAATTGAGATGTATTTTAACAATCAATTTACTTCTCAGTTGGGTGAAGACTTTCAGTTTTTCATTTGATTTGATTTGATTTGATTCTAATGAACATTTCATTTCACTTCAGTATGCTTGTAGACGGAGTTATTTCGTGGTTTGAATGTCTACTCTCATTGAGTTGCAATGAAAATGACCAAATTTTAGAGACAATATCTCGCGAATCATTTGACTCACAATGAAACTAACAATGTAAGGTTGCTGAATGCTGGATCAAATGACGCCTTTCTCATTCAAATCGTGCAATAGACAACATGTTTCCTTGTTGGTTTACAGTCAATTTGTTGTAGATCAAGAAAGATATTGTAATCGGTCATTCAAGTGACAAATCTTGGTCAATCTAATCTTCCACATCTTAGACGATTTGCTATATTTTTGACTTAAAGCTGCTTCTCTAGACACAAAACAACCTTATGCTGCATAAGAGTTCAAGACTCAAGACTGACTCAAAGTTTAGATTGATTACAAATTTAAATTAAAACTCTTAATCACAGTTTTTTTTTCAGTTACTAAATTCATTTTATCCAGCAACCCAAGTTTAACTCAAAGTCTAGCTTTTAATTGATCACCAGGTTAATGGAAAAGCAAATATCATGAATCTCAAGTTGACTTGCACCTAACGATTCATTGGAAAGTTCAAGTCTGTTGAAAGGTTTTATCAAAGTCTGACAATTGAATCCAAATGAACCTTAAACCTTTATGAAACATTGAGTAAAATTGATTCCAACAAACGATCAACAAAACAGATTCTAGTTTATGCAAACAATCATGTAACTCTGTTATGAGTGTTCAAGTGGATGTTTTCATTTGTATTGCTTTGAACCTGATCTTAAAGGTAACATTGATTGTTGCTGATGATCGCAATTTCAGCTCACACTAATCAAGTTACACTTAATTAGAGCGAGTGAAACAAAAAGCCAAGAGTGTTAACTTGATAAAAACTTGCCAAATGAATGATGAAGCAAAAAGAAGCGAAAGTATCTTCTGTCGACAATTTTTTTCCTTTACCTTTTCCTCTTGGTTAAAATGACAATTATCTTACCTTTATCATCATCTTGATCATTATTGTTATCATCAACATGATCATCTCTCAACAAATGAACCAAGGTTAATATGCTAATGAATGTAAACACAAACACACTCAATACCTGTCTAGGCAAGTAAAATGTCCAACTGTTCAGAGACAAGGAACAATGGTTATTAATCTCTATCCTTGCATGGTGAGAGACCAAGCCTAACCTGTTGAATATTGTTAATCATTTCTTTCATGACAAACAAAATCTCACCTTAATTATCTTACTAATCAAGTTAAACAGCAAAGGATATAATCATCAAGTGAAAACTGATAGGTATCATCAGATAACCAGATCAACTACAAGGTTGAAGCAAAAGGTTGGTTAATTTATAAAGATAAAGGTAAGATGAACAGAGATGATAAGGTAAAGAGGAAAAAAAAGAGAAGAAGCAGAATTAAAATTTAAATCAGATAATTATTCCTCATCATCATCTCTAGTCGCAAGACTTGCATTCCTAAACAGACCACAGGAGGCAGATGAAATTAGGTTGAGTTTAGGTTAAGACTGTTGATTGCTTTTTTTACCTTTAACTACTGGTAATAATATTGAACCATGAAGAGATTTTATCATCATCTTCCTCATCATCATCATCATCGTGGTTTTACCTTACAGTGACCCTTGCAAAAGTGAAAGGACTCATGAACAGGGCGCTGATTGAAGGGAAAAAGTTAAGTAGTTAAAGAACATCAAAAGAATCTCTTTTCGTCTTTTTCCCGTCAACATCTTTACCTCTGCAAAGGTGAAGGGAATTAGGTCAGCATTTCTTTTCGGTAAGTTGAGGTTTGAGCAAGAAAATGCTCTGCCAGAAAAGCAAAAGCCGTTTCCGTTGCTCCAAAGTTAACCCTTAAACCTTTGATAAGGGCAAAGAGGTGAAAGAAGAGGTTATCTTTGAAACAAACAAAAAAAGATGAGTTTGAAGGAAAAGGTAAAGGGAAAAGATTCAAACCATTTAACTTGAAAACAATTTGTCAGTTGAATCTTTTTTTTCTGTTGCCATATCATTTACATGATCATGTTTATTGATAACAACATTCAGTGCCAATGATAACATGAACAGATAAAACAACAACAACAATATTGAAATAAGAGTAAATCAGAATCCATTTTGAGTCAACCTTTAACGGTCAACATTGAAAATTAGATGAAGACCTTAATAAGCGTCAAATTGAAGTTGAGAATTTGGAGAAAAAATATTTTCTGAATTGGAAACAAAAGTTACTGAAATTGGAGCTGCAAGCTTGTCTACCAAATTAGCCATGAATTTGCATCAAAACGGAAACCTTTCCAGGTCTGACCTTTATCTTTTTTAGGACAGTAAATCAAGTAAAATTGTCTGTTACACAAAATATGGTCAATTATAGATATTAACAGAGTAAACGTTGAATGGAGCAAGAAAAATAGTAATAATAGTCTCTTGCTTACCTTATTTGTTAACCTTTTTTGTTGATCAATAGGGCATCATTATATTGAAATGGGAGGTAAAAGGTCAATGATGAACAGTGAATGAGAAACATTTGCAAATGTATTTCACATTGCTTTTCATTTGACTTTTGGCAACATATTGCCTTGATTGATGAAAGGTTAATCATGAAATGTGATTATCAAACAGTTGATCAACAGCTTTAACCATAGAGTCGTAGGTTGCCCTCAAATGTACAATAATAACAAGACAGTGTAAAATGTCTATTATCATAATACATCAATGATAACTTTGAATATCTTATGAGGAAGAAACAATTTTTTTGTGTCTTTTCCTTTGTAAACAAGTAGTAATTTTAGTGGAAACTTGAATACGTTTCGTTGACTTTGCGTTCCTAGTTGTTGTGTTCCCTGCTCTTTTTGCCTCAAGTCGATCGTAAAGTAAATCATAAACTTGGAGACTTCCATTAGACTAGATCAATTAGACTGATAACACTGTAATCAGCCTTTTGTATCAGATAACAATTGATCTTGAAATGTTGATAAAAGTACGTTTTCATTGTTTGCTTTTATTGAGGGTGAAATATTGTAAATATTGAAGGCAACAACAAGTGGTCAAAGTGACTCTTGGAATCGTCCAGTTTCTCATTCTCATCATGCATTCTCACCATAAATGGATTCAAGTTGAGCTTAAACAATGGACTCGATTCACCTTTAATACCTTAACCATTGTAAGATATTGAGATTAGGAGCGCATTTTTGGGATTTTTGACATTCTTTGATTGATTAAACTCTGTTTCATGATTATTACCTAAAGAGGCTAATGATTATGTGGTTATTGGTTGATTGATTTGGGTTTGGGTTTAAACTTTAATCATTAAGTTGTAAAGTGAAATGTTCAATTACCAGGTTAACCAAACATTACATTTGTACAAGTGTTCAAAAGTGTCTATTAAATAATCAAAATGATACACTTTGTAATTGAAATGCGAAATTTTGTATCATTTTTTTTCGAGAAAAAATTTTCTTCTTCTTCTTCTTCTTCTTCTTGGCCGATGTAACGCTTGTTGAGGTCACCAAATTTGATGGTTAGGAGCCTTCACTACCACCAACAGTGGGATTATCAATGGCAGTGTCCACTCCTCTTTCACTGACCCATCAACTGTCAAGGTCAATCAGTATTGACATTTCTGTCAAAAGTTGTTCAACTTGAGGAAGAAGAAGAAAAAATTGAAATTATTAAAGGCAAATACTCAATGAAACTTGTCCAAACATGGTTCAGTTAAATATTGAGTTTACCTGTCAAAACAGTTTTTTCTTGATGTTCTTGTTACCTTTGGGCTTGGCTTATATGTAACACTAAAGTTGTCTTGAAAAAAAATAACAGTTTGTCTGAAAATAATTTTTGAATAAATCAACAAATAATGAGAGAGGAACAATCAATGAACATTTTCTTGTATCCGTTTTCACTCCCATTTCACCCTCTTTCATGATTAATCGCAAGTGTGTGGCTGAAAGGTGTTACTTTATATTTACCTTTCTTGCTAATAACATGAAAGAACCGTTAATTAATCATTTTCAGGCAAAGATTCAGTCTATTCCAAGCCATTATTTAGATTCTCATCAATTTTTACCAATCATTAAGCTTCTTCCCTGATTGTGATTCTGTGAGTTAATCACTAAAGATGTTTATTTAAAGTGATTTTCAGTTGATTACAGATTTCCTTGTTTCAGTCATTTCTATCAATGTTGACCGATTGTTATTCAAATGATTAATGATAGCGTTTACAATTGATGAATTACATACTATAAAGTAAATGTTTATTGCTCATTATTGACATTAAATATTAGATGTTTATCAAAAGATTAAGTATTATTTGCATTGAGCTAATTCATTGCAATCAGTTGACATTCGTAGTTGAATAATTCAGGCTTTTCAGATTTAACAAGTTCTGCCGAGATTAAACTGATCTTTACCTGTGAAACCCATCAACGCTGTAACCTTTATTTTTAAACCATATTCAACCAATTAACTTGAACTGGTAAAATCTGCTGTTTGCTGGAAAATGTTTATTAGCATCAAATCAATTTTACCGATGAAAATACAGTTTCAGGGTGAAACAGATTCAGAAGCCAATCAATCAGTTAAACTCCAGTCAATCCAAGTCTAGTAATAAAAGTTGAAAATTGACTCTTATTGAGTGCAATGTTATAACTCATGAAAGGTAAAACCAGAAAATTAGATAAATGTAAAGGTTGAATGTAAACTCATTTAAAGTCAGTCTAGACTCAAATGAACTCATCTTTCAAAATTAATTGTTAGATAAACCATTGAAATAACCATTGAAATCTGCTTAAGAACAATTTATTATCAAAATAACCCGAAGACCAGAAAATGGGTGAACTTTGAGTAACCCTTAAAAGTAACATAAAATGTAATCTTTGAAGTAACCAATGATTCACAAAGCAATGTTAATGGCGTTATGACAACAGCTATAAAACATTAGCTGATAATTTGGATTTAATTTTTGCTTTAATCAGATGAAAGCCATTATACAACAAGACTAGGTTAGGTTAAACCGATCGATTGGTAATCAATGTTTTACCAGCATTTTTCACTTTTCACAATTTACATTTAAAATTGTTGCCAAATTATCATCTCAATTATCACCTTTTAACCTTTCCTGGTTCACCTTTCATCTTGAGGATATTACCATAACAAGTATCATCATCATTGGATTATTGGTTGTTGAACCGATTAACATTGGGTTAACATTGGGTTAGTCGTGTTAACAGGCAATGTTAAAGTAAATTAGAGTTGATTCAATGTTTTTACCAAAAAAGGCCATTTGATGAACACAATCATAATCATAATGACCATTATCTTCATCTCATTATCTGTTATCTAATCCCTCAATTATCATCTTATCCGGTATCATCTTAACCATCATCATGATTACCATTTTCATGTAGCAAAATGTTTACAATCGGAAAAGTGAATGATGATTGATGAGTAAATGGCGTTGAATCGCATTTGTTTTGTTCCTTGGTATTTAAAACATTCAACAGCAAATTGGCAAACGAAAAGCTTCAATAATTTAATTATCATTGAATGAATTACAATGAAATTTCCATCTAATTGTCGCTCGTGATTTACTTAAATCAGTGTTTAACCATTTAAGATACACTTTGATAGGGAAAGAAATAAAATGCGTGCCAAAAAGGGAAACATTAATTTACCTGTTAAATTGTTTTAATGCAACAGTTTCCATTGTCTTCACCAATTTCAAATTGAAACGTTAACATCTTAATAGAGCCACAGTCAAGATACTCAAGAGCCACAATTAACAGCACTTACCTTTGCCGTTGTTGTTACTTTAATAACCATTTAACCATGAATAATAGCAGATCATAAAGTTGAACAGCAAAACCCAAAAAGGTTAACATTTTGCGAGATTATGCGCTTTTTTCGGCCTTTTTGTTTTCACGTAACCTTTTTGCCTTTTTTTTGTTTCACTTTTTTTTGGGTTCAACTTTATATTATTATGGACTGAATAATGATGTTTTAAAAACTTCATCAACTGAATAAATGGGTTTCTTCTTGTTCCAGTCAATAATAATAACATCTTCATCGAGACCAACAAGGAAGATAAAGGTTACCCGATGAGTATGATTATAATGAAGATGAAGATGCAAAAAGCAATTGTAAAGGTCAATAGTTTATGCTAATTATAAACCGATAAACAGTTTTCTAGTTTTCATTGTTTTTTGTTTCGCTTTTCTTGCCTTCTCAACACTTTCAATTACAGTTAACGGCCTCTCAACCTTAAGGTTGGTCAAGCTGTTGGTTTAACCAGAAAATGGTTTAATTTCAACAAAAAGGCAACATTTTGCTTCCATTTTTTTGCACAACATTTCATTTCGTTCTTGATTTACCTCTTTTTGTTCACACACATTCACAATCTTTGACCATCAAATGACCAACATTTGATTGGAACGCTTTTTCCTGTCAAAATCATGATCATCTTGATAAATGTGTTTACATTTCAGCTTTTCATTGAATATCTTTTACTTCATCTGTTCATCTCTTGTTTCATCTCAATTTGCTTCTCAATGTAACTAAAAACTAACCTTTTTCTTGTTTCTTTTGTCCCTTTTTTCAGGAAAATGGTCAATGGGATTTATCGTGTATATTTCGAGAGCATCATTCAAATGGTCTTTCATTTAAATATCAATCTTTTTACAACAACAATTGGCACCTTGGATTTGACCCGAAAGGTCGACCCATTAGAGGAACAGTGAATCGACATGAGCGTAGTAAAAGTGGTTCAAGAAGATTGAAAATCAGTAAACATTGTTATGAGTTTTCCAAGATTAATATTAAACAATCCAATTAAGAGTATTTTGGACACTTTGGTCACCATTATGTTCATCATTATCAACAATTTACCAGTCACAATCAACTTCATTAATGCACAACACGATACATTCCAATCTTTTTTCTTCTCTCCTTTTCAATGAGCAAAAATTTCTCATCTTTTTTTACAACATTTTACACTATTTTCATTAATTATTGATAAGCATGAATTATTCATTTCCATGAACATGAACATCTCTAATTTCATTTTTTATATCAATTGTAATCCATTTCTTTTCTGCCAATATATGCCTCTTATAATCATGTTACAATCAATTGAATTAAAATGTGAATCAAGAGGAGTTTATCATTATATATGGTACATAATAAATAATAATGTATAAATAAATAGTATCCAACAAGTGATTTTAAAAGTCTTTTTGTCTTTCATTCATATCTTGAAGAAGCGCCAGAGCTACAGAGTTTATTTACATTTATAATTATAGACGGAAACATGATGAACATCATGTAAATGGTGAGTTGAAATGGTCATTTACATGTACAAAGTTGAGGTGGGAAATGTAAAAGTCATTATCGATGTTGAAAGTGTTTGCACTTTTGAGTCTGTTTTAGTTGAAGAAGAGTCAATGTTTTTCAAATGATCAAGGAAATGAGCCAGTCTGGCCCGGTTGAAGTCAATGTCTTATTCTTGTCCGATTGTCCAGTCTTGAAACACTTCATCCATTTTCAAAATGGCTTTTGTGTTTAGTTAGCGGTTTGTTCAAGTGAATGGAGTAGAGCCATCTTTTAGTGGCGATTGGTAGTTTACAATTATACTTTCTTGTGTTGATTAGAGTTTTCCTTTTCAAACCGAATAGTTCTTTAGGAAGATTATCCTGAATCTACTGTATAATTGATAATCCAACATCATCATTGGTACATGGAAATTTCGAGCTTCCCTGTTATTCAAATGAAAAAAGATATCTGAATAAAGTAAATGAGTGGAATAGTTATAATATATTTTCGACTCTTGAAAATCATTTGCAGGATTTCTGGGTTTGATTTGCTTTTTGCTGATTTTGCTTTTATTGATTTTAACAGCAATTTATTGAAATTGTCAAATCTCGATTTTATCAGCAAAATTACTGTTGGTACACTTAACTATGGATGTCGATTGAAATGGAGTGAAAATAAACCATTACCAATAATCAAACAATTAACCATGAAAAATAAATTCGACTAATTCAAAACTAATGGATGAATTTTTAGCATTTCATGACGTTTATTTGTAGAGTTCATTTTGATGGAAAGAAGCATAGGAAAGTTACTCGGAGTATCTGATAGCTCAATAGAAATTTGAATTTAAAAATATTTCAGACATTTCATGCCGGCTGAGCTTCATAGCTTGTAACTTGGTTTTGAACCCAATTTTGATATTTCAATCACAATATCTTGTACATAAATTGGTTGTAACTTGAATAGATTTCATTCAATAAAAAACTGAGAGCAATAAAAAGATGAGCAAAATGGCAACTTTAATAATTTCTGTGAATTATCAATTATCATTATCGAGAAATAGATTTTCTCATTTCATAATTACTTCTCACGATGATTTCATTCATATGAAAAGAGTATTAAGGTGAACTTGCAAATAACTGCATTATCAAATTGAGGTACTCTGGTCAATGATTTTTACTTTTCGATGGATATTCATCATTTCCTTCTTTGTCCGGGTCATCGTTTTTACGTTAAAATTTGAGCTTAAAATAATCTAATAATTTAAAAGTGGCAAGCTCAGCTGGTTATTTTATGACAATAAATTCAGATATACTTTGAATGTTATTAATATCAAAATGAAATATGGCGTGAATATACTGGTTATGATATTTATCGAATTGATAAAATATAAAAGTGCAAAAAATGAAATATTCAATTGATTGTGAGTGAGTACGAGTAGAGTTGGTCAAAGTAAACTGTATCATGAGCTAGGAAATTAAGGCATCAAAGCAGGCAGTGGAACTGATCGTCTACAGTTTTTTTTTGTCAAGTTCAACAGCACGAGGCCACACCGAATTGCAAATTTTAAAGTAAACGTTTCAATCTCTTCAAGCGAGCTTAGTATATTTGTCCAAACAAGATTGGAAAATGATTCGTCAAACACCGAAGGAGATTGGCGACTTGTCTTCCTTTTTTGATGTGCTTTTGGCTCATTTTCAAGAACGATTTCATCATAAGATTCAAGTACGTGCTCCACAAATTTCATCCACAATTCCGACAATTCAAGTGATGTTGCTGGTTCAGTTTCTGGTTGCCGTTTATACAGGTTAATAAGTATGTCTTTGATAGGCTTGCTGCTAGGTTTGTTCAGCATAACCTCGCAAATCGTCTTCAATATAAATGGAGTCTCAATTTTCCAGTTCATCATTAAAACATGGTAATCTTCAAATCCATCAACATCTAAATACTCAAATGGCTCTTGATCATCAAATCTTTTTTTCTCTGCAAATTTTCTTTCAGACAACGAATACAAATTTTCAATGACCGTTTGCATGCTAATAGCGATTATTTTCACATAAAAATGAATAATAATCTTGACGATTCGTTTTATTGGATGCCGTGCCTTGTTAATTTCAACATCGGTTAAATTCGAATCGAATCCATGATAGTGTTCAATAGTACGCTGATAAGATTTACTTTCAGGTCTCATCCTTAAAACATAGCCAGTCTGCTCTTTAAGCCAGATGCGATCAACAAGATGGACCAATTGGCTGTAAAAAAGAAGATTTTTAATGAAAAAACAGTTTAGGACAAAAAAGCGAATTGCAAACTTACTCTTTTCCTATGATATCACTGCGAAATGTATCTCTCATGATGGATGAATAAATGAATGTATGAATGAAGAAAGGAACGATTGATATTGAGGTGAAAAACTGACATAAGATTTAAAAACAGACAAAGGACAAGTTTAGACAAAACTGCTCTGCAAGTGAGCGATATTATCGAAAGTGATCGATTATTGGTCCAATACCATCAACTCAGGATTGAATAAAAGCTTCGAACCAGATAAAAATGACAATGATTTACTTTTCAATTTCAAATCACTTTGAATAAAGACATTGCAAACTATTCATAAGAAAAAAGATCAATTATGTACAGCATTTCCACAAATAACAGAAAATCAATCAATTTAAAATTTCGAAATCGAATAGAAGTTTTGTAAGTAAATTCAATTAGCACAAATTGTTTGAGCTTGAAACATAAACCAGAACCAACAGCAAACTTGTGGAAACGCCACTTTTCAACCTTTGTTTTAAAGTTCAATTTTTACTGAGGAAATTTATCTTCAATCGGTTTTGAATTTCAGTTTTTATGCATTGATTTACTTAAAAGGTTAATTCAATTTATGTAAAATATTAATAGTTATTCAGAAAAATGGTGTGGCCAGATTTAATAAACCAAATATTTAAACATGAAACTAGAAACGCGTGTCAATTTCTTAGCAAAAATGTATTTTAAGATAAACTTGACACAATGACCTTTGATTTCGAGTAAATACAGTATGTACTGACCCGAGAGTAAACAGTAGCCAAAGATAAAATTGTTGACTTTCATCCACTTTCATCCAAACTTATTCAAAATGTCCAGTATTTATGATTGAGCAGTTTGAGCAGCTTACACTTAGGAATTAACATTTTCAACCCGATTTCAAACTTTACCATTACTCAGACATGGCGATGATTAGAGACGATAAGTTAATAAACAGAAACTCTATTAATTGATAACACGATGATCATCTGAATTTATTATTTTATTTGACTGATAATTTCATTTAAAAGTCCCACTTTTGGCCTCATTGATAGCATTGATCTATTGATTGCCATAGTATTGGCTATTATCATAATTTGGATTTGCTGGAAGAGGAGCTGATGCATAACCATCATTTGTAGGTAAAGGTCCACTTGAAGGCATCATATTATGTGGAGCAAAAGGAGTAGAAAAGTTTTGTTGATATTGGGGAGCGGGCTGTGGAATCGGATGTTGAATGGGTTGATTCATCTGCTGAGGAAGTGGCTGGGGAAGAACTTGAGAGGGAATATGAGACCCATGAGGATGATTCACGATTGGTTGTTGATAAACTTGCGGCGCTTGATACATTTGACCTCTCATTGGCATGTAATTTGATGAGTAGTGACCAGTAGTTGTTAATGGATAGGCATCTTTCATGAGTGAGTGATACATTTTCAAAGACTCAGTTAATTTTTGATTAGCTCCTGTAAGGTCTGCATGTTTCTTGTCAATTTTTTCAAGCTCTTGATCAATTAGGTCATTCATTTGCATACATTGCTCTATATTGATGAAATAGAAATGATGTAATTAAAGTATAAATATTACAATGAAAATTGATTCAATTATTTTACTAACCTTCTAATTGTATTAGCTCTTCTGTGTCAGGTATTTCACCAGTTGGGTCAGCTTCAAGTAAAAGATGCAACAATCTATCAATTTTTTCAGCATCTATTTCCACATGCTGAGGTTCCAGCTCGAGGGTTTTAATTTTAACATCTTCATTAAATTGGACGTTTCTCTTTTTTGAATTTCCATGTGTCTCAGGGTCATCTAATTGCGTGGTTACAAAGTTAGAAGGAAAAAGTCCCTCTCCTCGATGATTTGAACCTTTCCACCAGTTAGGATCACTGAAAGGGAATTAATATCAAGTTGAAGAATGATATTTGTATTTCATTCGAGAACATTCAAAAAATGTAATCATTGATGATTTAATCTCTATAATTACCTATCATCTAATACAAGTATGATTTCTTTTGCTTGGAATGTCAATTCATTATCTTCGGCGGCCTCAAAGTCGTACAAAGCTCTTACTTTGTAAGGCTCTTTCACTTTGACAGAGTTAGAGGTTTCATTAATTGATAAAGCTGACATGGCATCAGTGAATTTCGGATAAAGCGTGCTGCTAGTGTTGATGCTATTTGCAGATGACTTGTAGTTTGTTGCTGTCGTAGACTTAGGCGATTTGGTTTCTTTTAAGGACAATTCGATTGCTTTTGCAATATCTTCTTCTTCCTGGTTGCTAGTCACAATGTTTGGATCAGATGGAAGGGGAGCTACTGATCTTCTGGGAGGATCGGAAGATACGAATTCAACACCTTCGTTTTTCATTTTATTATAAAGTGAAGGTATCAGACTGAGTTGCGGGTCACTTTTAAACTCTTGTTCTGCCCATTTTTTAACCAAATTACGAAGTTTTTCGCTAACTTTAGGATGTCCCTTGGATAAGATTTTTTTAATTTCGCTTTCAAAATCCCTGGAGCACACTTCAAGATGAAACTTTTTACCACAGTTGCTGACACAAGCATCTAGAAGCTATCAATAAATAGAATATTATCAGTTGAAGGATAAAGGGATATAGAAATTTTATCAGATTGGATGAAAGCTTACTGTTAAACTTAACATTTGGACGTGGGGCACGGGATTGTTTAACCTTTTGGTGATTGAACGTAGACAGTCTTTAGGTCCACTAGGCTCAGTTGTGACTTTGTCACAAATATCCATAATCAAAGCCCAATCTTCGGATGTTTTGCATTCATCGGTGGCTTTCTCTGTGAGAAAAAAAGACACAAAAAAATCAACAGAATGAGAAAAATATAAACAATATTAAAAGCAAGACGCAAATGGTTAATAAGATCATCAAATCTTCTACTTACCCACAAGTGGATCAAAAGTAGACGAAGAACCAAATAATTTCTGCATTGTTAATTACAAATAAAAGGTGAAATGTTGTTTTGACAGTAAAAAGAAAATAACAACAAATGAATTAAAAACAAAATGTTTGTTTTCTGTTTCCAGTGACTCATTTGTCAAAAATAGATACAATCGATTCATCGATTTCATTGCTACAATCGTTAGTAACGCTATCAATGAATTGATCAAATTCAATTGAAAATGATCCCAATTAATCATAATTATCAGGTGCATTCAAGTTTACTGAGAATTGTATTTATCACAGGTATAACAATCGGAATGAACATTCAAGTGTTTTCATTACTGCACGACTTATAACCATACTTTTAACCATACTTACAACCATTTGTTAGATTAAATTAATCGTGAATGATAAATGTGATCGAATTCAGTTCATCAAAATCTGAAATGATTCTTCAATAATTATTCACCTTAACCTTCTCAGAGACATTTACAATAAAGTCTGGTTGAAAGAAAAAATGGAGACAATAATTTTTTGCCATGTTTTTTATATTTAACTAGAGTATGGAAATGATGAGAAAAACAGAACACAAGAATATTTGTATGATCAAATCCCTATCAGAAAACGATTGATTACATAGGTTATGCATAATATTGATTAAGTTAATTGAGTTTTTTAAATTGCATTTAAAGAAGTATTTAAGAATAGAAAAAACATTTCAACTTTAAGGGGTTCAAGAGGAGAAGGAGGATAAAGGTAATGGTTTGGTAACTTTTCATTTTTCTTCATAAAACTGCAAATGTGTGTAAACAAAATACATGTTAATGTCAAAGCTTTTAGTATTGTCATCATGTGTTGATTGGTGGATCGCTTATATTTGATTGCGCCAATCGAGAAGAAATAGGAAAATAGTCCTTTAACACGGGATTGTGTATGTGCATAGAGTAAATAAGTCAAATTGCCTTAGTCGTCAACTTGTAGAAAAAGTAGAAGAAGAAAGTCGTCAATTTGAATGTGAAAATCATCCCTCAGATCAACCAGAATCAAACATATCTATAACTATATAAATGAGCACTTATCTTTTGTTTTGAATTCGGGTAGCATATAAATATAAATATGTGGGATTAAATTATGTTTATGAATATATTAAATATGAAATTAGTGCTTATTGCTTTTACAGGTATGCTTTTCGTTTTATTTATTCGTTACGGCTAACTTCCACTTTTCACTCTCGACTTTTATTGACTTGATGAGACGAGAAATCTCTCAGATGATATTGGTGAGTGAAGACGATAATGAAGGTGATGATGTTGATGATATTGATGAAGAAGAAGATATTTAAGGACAATGATTAATTCAATCTACAGGTGGGTGAATATTGAGAAGATTGGTGATGACTTCGTCGATTGATTTAGTTTTTTGATAAGCTTTTTCCAGTGTTTCTTTTTCAATGGATAGTTTAAGAAACGTTTCAACATTAGTCTGGAAATCTTTGATATAGTTCATTTCATTATTTGCTTCTGGTTCACAGTTCATCAATCGTAAAATTTGATTTAAAGCTACGTCAACAGGTTTACCATCCAATATTTGAGCAAAAACATCATCTTCTTGAACCAAGTGACGTAAAAGTTTTTCTAAAAGTTGCTTCAATGATTCCAGTTTGTTGTCGCTTTTGTTATAGTTGTTGCTGTTTGTACGGTCATTGCTTTTCTCACAATAATCCATATGTGAATCCAAAACATTATCATCCACTTTATCAAGTTCAATAGCAACTTCTTTAGAAATTCCAAACTTTTTCCGTAAGGATTCTTCTGAGGTTTCTTCGGGTAACTTTTCTTCTTCCTCTACTTCTTCCCTCATCTCTTCTTCTTCTGTCGAGATCAAAGAGCTTTCACCAATAGATTCTCCGTTGAATATACTCGATTCACTATCGTTATCTTCAATATCTATAAAATACAAAATACGTGACAATTTTTTAGTAACATTCTTATTGAAAAGAAAGATAATAAGATAAAAAAATAGAAAATAACTTACTATCAAACTGAAGACACTTGATACCAAGCAAGTCCAAAGCCATTTCAAGACACTTGGCTTCATGTTTAGTTTTACCTATATAATTTTTAGCTTTCAAACCGCAGATTGAACAAGTAGATGCTCTTTCAATTAGTTCCTAAAGATAGTCAGGGAAATAAAAAATGAAAATTAAATGTCAGATATAAAAATGATTGAATAGGCGAAAATTTCTTACCACTACTCTTTGAGAAATGTCAGCATTGTAAACCTTGTGACATGCTTGTTCATGGTAGAAATGTCGCTGTTTAGAGGTAAATTTAAGACCACAATGGCGGCAGGATGTAAGTAATTTAGAGGCAGGCATATCAGGTTCCTCTAGGCACGTATCTTTATGATTCTTCAAAGAACTTTTTGATAAAAAGGTTTGATCACACTTAACACAACGGAATCGGAAAGGACAAGAGGTTCGTATATGATGTTCTAAACCAACAGCATTTTCAAATTGACAAGCCCGACAATAAGGACATGTGATAAGATCATCGTTATCACTTTCATCAGCAAATGGATAACTGCGCTTTTTCCTATTTTTATGATTGTATTTTTTATATAATGCATTGTATATCTTCAAATGTTGATGTAAATGTTGTCGGATTCGGGATAGTTGATTGAGAGTTGCTTTTCCTCGGCAAATTTCACATGAATATGAGATTAAACTATCTTCTTGTTTATCAGCTAAATGTTTAAGGCGATGTCGGACGAATTTGGATATATCAGCTTCACGGAATCCACACTCTGAACATTGGATGATTTCATCAGAATCACCAAGAGGCACATTTTCAGGCATATCAAAGTCAACAGAATCGTTTGGCTCTTTGTTAGCATTGTTGTTCGTATGATTATCTGTATTTATAAAAGTATTGTTGGATGTATTCTTAGTGGTATTATTTTCATCATTATATGAACTATTAATTTCCATGTTTTCATGGCAAGTTTCATTTGAGTTAACAGCTTTTTGAGGCACTGATTGGGTAGAATTATTTGGTGGAGGAACTGTTTTGTTAGATATTTCATTAGTTTTCGGTGAGATTGGTTTAGGAATTTGTTCCAAAGCACTTTCAATGTCGATCGATTTAGAAGAGCTTGAATTAGATGGGGAGGAAACATTATTACGGTTACTTTTACCTGCTTGACAAAATTGTCTCTTGTGTTCAAGTAGGTAATATTGGCTATTGTATGGACCTCGTCCACACTCTTCACACATAAGTAATCCGGACTCATGAACACGATTCATTTCGGCGATAAGTTCCCCTTTAAGTTGAGAGTTGAGAGCAACAGGGTTAGGGCTGCCAAGAAGAGCAGCTAATCGAGACTCATTTGATCCCGCTTCTGATTGAGATTCTTCCTTAACCACAGGTCTCGAATAAGATTTCGTTCGCGGTTTAGCTAATGGGGATGGATAAGGGGATTTTGGAGGTGGGACTAAAGGTCGTTTGATACATTGATATTTTTGGTGAATTCGCACCGCATTAGGGCCAGGGAAACCTTTCTTGTGACATAAAGTGCAAGTGTAATTGCTACCGAAGTATGCATTGCTAACTGCGCTTCCTCGAGGAGGATTATTAAAGGTAGGTTGAACTTTTGGTAATTGAGATTGAGAAGGTGTTGAAATGGATGAGGGTGCCGATCCAACAGAGGACGGAGAACTATTTGAACATGGTTTTGGAGGTGGAGGTGATGCAGGAGTTGGAGATATTGATTGAATCGGTGGAGGCATGATGGATGGAGGTGGAGCGGGAAGATGAGCAGCAGTTTCTTCTTCGTTTTCTATGGTTTCAGGCTTATTATCGGGTGCGATATCTTCAGATTCAGCATTTGTTTTATCTGCTTCTAAGATTCCAATATAGGGAGATGTTGAATCACACTCATAGCGATGCATATTGTAAAAGTATTTGGAATTGAAGGTCTGTGAACAGGTTTGACATCTCAACGCGATTCCTTCATTGGAACTTATATTAACCGGAGGTAGACCATGGTATGTTGTAAGATGAACACCAAGAGAGACACGATTTTTGATATCTCGATTAGGACACAATTTACAATAGTACCTGACTTGAGCAAGAGAATCGGGTAATTTTGATTCTGATTCGATTGGATTACTAGGATTGCTAGAATTAGTTGGTGGAACTGTATCAGCGGCTTGAGGACTGGATTGTTCTTTATTTTTGTTATTAAATTTAGCCTTCAAAAATGGAACGGTGGCTTGAGTTGCTGGACAATGTTTATTGCGTCTATGATTGTTATAAGCGACGGCAGGAGTTTTGCCGCCGAATATCTTGGAACATCTAGGACATTGAACCCGATTTCTAACCAAATAAGCTCGACGGATAAGTTCATCTGAAGGAGCAATAATGATGTCATCAGGAGCAAGTTCATTGAAAGAATGACTGGTTGTCTGCCCTTTAGAGTCACCGGGTGTATTGCTATTATTTCCAAAGTTACTACTACTACCACCACCAGCTGACAAATTTGGAGTACTAGCATTGGAGGAAGCTCGTTTCGATTGATTGAGAGAATCAGATGACTTTGCAAAAGAAGTATTGCCTTTATCTTGAGAATCCTTGGATTGTTTGTTTTTATCGGTGGTGGTTGGTTCTTTCGGTGGATTAGATTTATCTTCTTTCAAACTTTGACCAGGTATTAAATTATCATTGTAAAAGCTTCTGCACTCAGAACGTCGACTTAGATGGTTACATAAACTGATGAAACCTTTCATGGGCTTTAAACAAGCTTTACAATTAGTATCGCCATCAGAATGAATGTTTTCAACCATTTTGGGGCAATAGGATGACCCAGATCCACTCAGCTCCAATCCCAATGCATCCAGGCTGCCACTTAAACGACCTTTAGTAGGTGTTCGTTTCTGTGGACTTTCTTTTTTTCTTGTCAAATTTATGTCAGACAATTCTAGCTTCCTTCCACTGGGAGTGAACTGCTGCTTTTTAGTAGGGCAAACTTTCTGATGGGCATCAAAGGACATTCTCAATAAATATGCCTTGCCACACGCACAATTATAAACTTCTTTAAGTAAGTCATCGTCTTCGTCTTCCTCATCCTCTTCTATGTCAAGGGCTAGAACATTCTCAGCATCACAAGCACTTCGGGTCACCTGAATGTTAGATAAAATGGAAGATCCGGATGATGATGGTTTGTCTCCCTCTTTGGATGGGGTTGAAGATGACCGTTCAGCATTTTTGATATTATTTGAATGGATAAAGTTACTAGTGTAATTGTTGCCATTATTACTAGCATTATTGTTGATATTATTACTGATGCCATTATTATTTAAACTAGCAGATAAGTTAATAGCAGTTGCTGGTAGCGCTGACAATGCAGTAGGTGGCCCATTACCAGAGGCAGCATGAGTGGCAAGGTGAGCTTCAACTGCAACTTTGGTCGGAAACATATCACCACACGTGCTACACCGAAAAGTAGCTTTCATTTGGTGGACAGTTGTCATATGTTCAATGTGTTCATGAACATCTTTGTATTGTTTATTGCAAATTGAACAGACAACAGGTTGAGGAAATCTGGCGAAGGGAGCTTGCATCAGGTTCCGTGTATCCATTTTTAGTCTCACAAATTGGTGTTTCCAAATTATTGAGGAGTCTAAATAGAGCCAGGAAGCGTTTGATAACAAGATATATAAATAAAAAAAAAGAAATTCAAATTATTTATTAAATCATAATAGATAATCAAAATGAAAATGAACAAAGAATTAAAAAAAAACTTGAGAATGCCAGAATTCTGAGCGCCATCTGATTTTCATCTCATAAGTATTTTTAAAAAAATGAAAGCAATGTCGAGTGCCTATAGTTTGAATCAACGATCCTAACAATTTGGAAAATATGTTTTTATTGATATTTTGAAATGATATTGCTAAGAAAAATACGGTAAGTTTGTGATTAATTCATGATCATTATCATTCTAATTTTTCTGTCAAACCTTTTTAGCTTACCTTTGGCCTCTTTAGGCTGGCGACTGCCTTACACACCATGCAATCGTTTCAGCTCGAGTTCAAAGCGCAGTGGTGCATTTAATTGGGTGTCTTTTGGTCTTGCTGGCTCATTGATGGCAATAATTTCGACCGGAGTATATTTTTACAAGGATTACAAAAAGAAACAATTTGAAATGAATCATTTAAGATCGCTAGGTAAACCAGCTATCGGTGGACCATTCGATTTGATAGATCAAGATGAAAAGCCGTTTACTTCGAAAAATTTGCTCGGAAAATGGGCCATTTTATATTTTGGTTTCACCCACTGTCCTGACGTTTGCCCTGAAGAGTTAGAAAAGGTTACAAAAGTCGTTGAAATAATTGATAAAAGACACGGAACCGGTAAACTGATTCCTGTTTTCATTACGGTTGACCCTGCCCGTGATACACCTAGTCTAATTAAAGAATATCTTAAAGAATTTTCACCCAAATTTATTGGATTAACTGGAGATAAAAGGGCAATCGACAGTGTCTGTAAAAGATATCGCGTTTATTACTCCTCGGGACCCAAGGATGCCGATTCCGATTATATTGTTGATCACACAATAATCATGTATTTGCTTGATCCTGAGGGACAATTTTGCTCTTACTTTGGACAAAATAAATCTGCCAATATGATAGCAGATGAAATAGACACAGAAATAATGAAGAAAGAAGATAAAGGCTGGTTCTCTAAACGCTAAATTAATTCTTAATCTTGTTTATTGTATTAATAAATTCAATTGGATGTTCATAATCGTAAAGGTCATTCATTTGTCGGCTCCTGGTGAAATTTAAATTTCGCTCTCTAAACAACTCCCCCCTTAACTACTCTTTGTAACCAAGCAATGAGTCATGACCGCCTCGCGCATCTTTGCTTTTTTGCAGATAATTCTTTGTTCTTTACGAACTCATCTCTGCAAATTTTTGAATAATCGTAATTTTTATCTGATTTTAAATTTTTCCTAGTTTTCTCGATGTCAGGTCGTGTACGAAGACACAGTCGAGGTCATGGAAGCAGATCGCCTTCACGTGATTTTGACAATGGGGATTTTGGTCGATCCGGTTTCCCACCAAACATTGAAGGCATGACTTCTTTGAAAGTCGATAATATCACTCAAAGAACTGGCGTTGCCTTGCTGTCAAAGGTTTTTTCGAAATATGGCGAATTAGGTGATGTATATGTGCCAAGGTATCCTGACACTTTCGCTAGCCGTGGCTTTGCGTTTGTTAGATTTGTCAGAAAGCGAGACGCTGAAGAGGCCATGCGGAAAATGAATGGGTATGTTCTAGATGGTCGACCGTTGAGTATTCAAATGGCCAGATATGCAAGGCCGTCACCGACCCGTCAATTGTCTTCATCTCGTCGAAGCGGGCCGCCCTACTCCAGAGGCGGTAGATATGGCGGAGGCTTTCGAAATGGGGGTGGAGGCCGTTATCAGGGCGGTGGAGGTGGTGGTTACCGAGGTGGCCGAGCACCTTTCCGTGGTAGGTCACCTTATAGGAGACGCTCACGATCTCGTTCACGTTCACGATCACGATCACGGTAAGCATTATTTAAATATGGGTTTAAAATGGTTAATGGTTTTAGGACAGAGAAGTGTAGTTTTTTTTCTCTATCAAATAATGAAAAAAATAATTTAATACATTTATGTGTCTAGCTTAATCTGAAATTGATCTGGAGGGGATATCTCTGTCCTGATCATGTGATGAAGAAAAGATGATATTTTTTTGCGGTTCTGCAAGCTGATTGTTGCCTCGAGTTGCAAATTTTGCTGCTGTTGCTGTATAAAGATAAGCACTGATAGCAGTTGTTTTCAATGGTTGAGGATAGCTGATATGCAGGGGTTATAACTATTAATTTGATTAATCCATTTCCAGGGATAGAAAGCGTGATGGTCGTCGAAGTAGTAGGAGGAATCGATCTAAGAGCAACGAGAAAAGTCCTTCTAAACGAAGTCGTCGATCAAGAAGTAAGGATAGCAGCGGTAAAAAGGAAGACCGCAGCCGAAGTCGAAGTCCTTACAAGAAAGACAGATCATCCAAAGATAGAGACAAAGCGGATGATGATAAAGACAGGAGCCGAAGTAGAAGCGAAAGCCGAAGTGAAAGTCGCAGCAGGAGTCGAAGTCCGTACAAAAAAGAAAGATCATCCAAAGACAGAGAAAAAGCTGATGATGGCAAAGGCAGGAGCCGAAGTAGAAGCGAAAGTCGAAGTGAAAGTCGAAGCAGAAGTCGCAGTCCATACAAAAAAGACAGATCGTCCAAAGATAGAGAAAAGGCTGATGATGGCAAAGAAAGAAGCCGAAGTAGAAGTGAAAGTCGAAGCAGGAGTCGAAGTCCTTACAAAAAAGACAGATCATCCAAAGACAGAGAAAAAGGAGACAAAGCTGATGATGGAAACAGTAAAGATGAGAAATGGTCAATTGAAGATGATAATGATAACAATGATGATGTCGATTTTGAATCTAATGTTGATAAAAATGATAATGCTGCACTTGAGGTGCAAACACAAAGACAACAAAAAATCTAACAATGACCAGATGATGACCACAACACCATTCTGTAATACAAATTTAGATTCCAAGTGTGATCAACAATTAAATAAATACATATAAATGGTATAAGTGTTATTGTTGATCAAGGCATCAAACAAAAATCAATCATAAATTAACTTAAAAGCTCATTGAGATGCTCATCATTTTTCAATACAAAATTAAACATCCTCTTCTTACTTATATCATTGAATCAAACTAAATACAGGAACTGGTAAAATGGCAAAATCAATTAAATAGTATAGTTGATGAAGCAAATCAACCAGGAAAAAAGTAAAAATGTTTCCAATCCCAACAGTTAACCGTTAAATTGCACCCAACTTATATAAATTGCAACTTCTTGAATACTAAGTAATATTACAAGAAATCATCTTTTTCCTTCCCTTTTACTTTATGCTAAACCTTATTCATAACAATACTAATGGCTTTTCTTTGTGTCAACTAAATATCACTTGAAATCACCTTTTAAAGTTAAAGCCAAACCAAATGGTTTATTGAATGACATAATAAAATATACTTTTAGATGATAAATCCTTTTATTCCCGATAATATTAATTCCAATTGTGAATAATATTCAATAAACACAACTCAGTTTGATATCAACAAGTGAGTTAACATTTGAACTGATAAAAGGTTGAGGTAAAAATAGTGAAGTACAGCACAAAAGGACAGACAAATCAATAGGAATCAATGAGATGGAAAAAAGTGAAGAAACTGAAATGATCAAAAAAATGGTTTAAATCATTATTCATTTTCATCTTCATCTCTCCACTTTCACCTTCAAACCTCTTTACCAATTATAAGTTGATAACATTTCAGGGAATCAAAGAAGAAGAAGAAGAAGAAGAAGAAAAAAATATCTCATCATTTGATATAAAATACTAATAAGGATTGTTGCTTCTTCATCACATTTGATCCTTTAAAAATGTGTTCACCTTAAAAATGATATCTTAACAATGAACCTCTCCAGCTTGTTACATTATAATACAACACAAAAAAGCTAAAACAACCTAAACCAATGTTAACAGAAGATTGGTTAACTTTTCATCTTGGTCTTCTTGTTAAACCATTTTACTCTTATTTATTGGTCAACAATGATGTCTCTGATCAGCTTCACTGACCACTTTATCAGATATCCCATGATGATCTTCCGTTGATTCAATCACCCGTTAATCTCACATCATCATGATAAGAACAATTTTTCTCCTCTTCATTCCTTAATTGTAACCGAGGAAAAACATTTCAAGCTTAACTACAAGACAACTAACAACATCTAAAACCTAAACTGTGTAAACATAAAATTAGCCTTAATTTCAACCTCTTAAATTACACTTTCTTAATAAACGAAAACTGAAAAGCTGAAAGTGATATTTGATATTAATTTTGATCCAGTTTCAATGATAATCCTTTATTGTGATGATCGGGTAAAGTAGCGAGGAAAGGTGTTGATCGAAGGGAAAAAAATTGTTCACCTTTTTCCATCATCATTTTAATTCCATTTCTCATCATCATAATCATTATTAATATTGTTATTAAAACATATTTGAATGAGTTCATGTGCAAAGTGATAACAATAATGATAATGTAATAGAGAAAAGCAAAAGAATCGTTATTCAGTTAAACAAAGACCTTTAAATCATTACAAAGCTTTCCTTATCCTTACTTTTGATAGTTTCACCTTCTCATCCTGCTTGCCTTCATCCTTATCATCATCTCATCCTCAGTTTCACCCAAAAAAAATAGTCTTCCATTATATTTCAAGCGTTTCTCTTTTCACACCTATTTTTTTATCACTAACTATAAGCTGAATAACAGCAAAATGAGGAAGATGAGGATGATGATGAATTTCAGCTTCTTTCATGGTTAAAGGTTGACTTTGAGTAACTCAAGGGAAAGGGCACAAAATAACAAGAGACATGAAAAAAAAGTCAAGTGAAAATGAGTTTGAATTAGCTTGTTCATCATCCAAACAGAGTCCGACCAGTTGCCTACTTCATCTTGCTCTTCCTCGTCATTTTCATCTTCCCTTTCTCAATTGTCTGCAACAAGTATACCATGTCATTGAAATAAAGTGGGTTAAATGAAGTATGGAAAGACAAACTGCTTCAAATGAACAGCTTTCACTTTTAACTTGAAACTTTCAATTGCAACAATTAACCAGTTTAACTATTAAAACAATGTAAACCAAAATGTAAACCAAAATGTAAACCGAAATGTAACCCAAAAAATAAGCCTCAAAACTGTATGTAAACCAATCAACTTGCCTTTAGTGACCATTAAAAGACAAAAATTTCATTTTTCTCATTCAAACTCCCAATGCTTTTCACTTTTTTACAATCTTTTTCAATAATCTTCAACATTTTAAAATTTACTTCTAACTTGAAACTTCCAATCAAATTAATAAACAGTTCAACTAATGTAACAATGTAAACCAGAAAAAAGTAAAACCCAAAACCCAAAAATAAAACTATGTAAACCAATCAACTTGCCTCCAATGACCATTAAAATTTTTTCATTTGAACTCGCAATGCTTTTTTCACTTTTTTTGTCAACCTTTTTTCCTGATCTTAATCATTTTACAATTTACTAAATCAAGTTGATGACCTTTTCAATTATAACATTGTTAATTAAGTTTGATTAAAGATTTTCTGCAATCTTTTTTGCTGCAAGTTTTCAGTAAACACTGAAATTCACTTACAAACTGAAAGGCAAATCCATTATAAATCTTGAGATGAAAATTAGTTTGGCTCTTCAATCTTGTTTAATAAGTAATGTGTGTTAAACTTGTAATTAGCAAATGAATTGGCAAAGTTTGTTACAATCAATCAATCATTTTGAATGAGCCAGGTTTAAAATATTTTATCCATTAACAACCTGTTGATTGTGACTGTCAAACACGAGTTTAATATGAAATAAGTAGACCAAATGCTAGAAAAGGTATAAAGGAACAAATTGTTTGTGGAGAAAAGAGAGAAAAAAGAAGAGAGAAATGAAAAATGTTGGTCATTTTGAGCATTAATTTTGATTGTTAATGAAAAAGTGATTGAATATGAAGATCAAGTCAAGGAGTCAACTGGGAGTGAAAAGTAGGGAGTGATATTAAAATAACATTCAGTGTAATGTGATGCGCAAAGCTTTTGTGGTGTCACATGATTATACGTGATCTTTCATCATTTTCATCTTCATCTTCTTCTTCTTCTTTTTTCATTCTATAAATCTTTTCTTCCCTCATCACATGAACAAGCATTAGTCTTAAGAAGAAAATAAAATGGTGAATAAGTGAGAAGAAATGATGAGAATGAGGAAGATGATGAAGATGATGAAGATGAGGGTGAAAGGAGTGATGGAACAGCAGTAAACTGATAACTTCAAGTGAGACTATTCGTGAGTGAGAATGAACCGGTTCAATGGACTTATAGCATGATGTTCATCCTTTTCGTACGATAGTTGTGGCCTTACCTTCGAACTGAGCACTTCTACCTTTTCACTCTTTTCCTCTCTTCTCTTCCTCTTCCCATTCCTCAACCTTTCATAATTTCACCTTTCATCATCTTTTTCCTCATCTCACTTTCCCTATTATCCAATGTTCCATGTAATTCATTTTGATATCATTAGAACTCAATTCGAAAACAATTAAACCCAAAGAAATGATCAATTTTACTCTTAATTTGATGATCAATTTGACAACGTTTTTCCTCACTTGCTAATCAACTGCAAACTCCAAGTCAAAATCAAGTCATCAACTATTGATCAAAAGTGACTTAAACTTCAACTTGAAATGTTTAATAATTTCATTTAATTGGTAAGTTTTACAGTCTTTCAACTTTCAAAACCAAATTGATGGTCAAACTGTTAAGCTTTGATTGTCCAAACGCAATTCTTGTTTATCAATTAATCTCCAAGAACTGTGTGTGGACATCAATGCTTGGCACCAAATCAACTTAACCTCCAATCAATTTGTCAACATTAACGTTTCTTTAATGAAAATTTTTCTAGAAAATGTTTGAAATCTGAAAATGAAACAAACAATTTGCTTGGGACAGTAACAGCGATTCAATGACTTCATAGTTGTTTGTTCAAAAATGATAAAAACCTTAGTTTACTAAGAAAATTTTGAGACACTGATAATGAAGAAGACAGTTGACCAAATGAATGAAACAGTTTTTGGTCAATCATGATTCAGTTCTCAATCATTTAACCATAAATTTTAGCCGAGCTTCTACCTTTACAATGAGCATTGACAATCAATTTTCAACTTTTACATTGATTTCAACTCACTCAACTCATGCGAAAATGGTTTCCTCCAAAATGGTCAAAATATGAAGATGCAGTAAGCAACTATGAATAGCACCAAATGAGATTCTAGGTGAGCTTCATTCATTTGGTCAACTGTCTTCATTTTCTGCGTCTCAGAATTTTCTCAGCACACAAAGGGTTTCATGATTTTTGAGCGACAAAGTGTCTCATCGCTCTTGCTGTCCCAACAAACGAGCTTTACTGTAACTTGTTTAACTTGCAAAGTGTATTGCTTATTATGGATGTGTGAGGTAAAGGGAGATAAGTAAATGAGAATGAACTGTCGAATTATCATTGAAATTATTTCATAGTTGGATAAACTTGCAAGATATGACACAATATTCAATCTCATTTCTTTCCTCTCTTCACTCCCAGTTATCTTGTTCCTCCTTCAGATTAACTCCTCATCAATGGGAAACTTTCGTATTCACTTAACATAAAAAAACGTTTACTTTCTTTTGTGTCTACTTTAACCTTATCTTTCGTCACTTTCACCACTTTCATAACCATCTTCCTCATCACTTTCCTCATCACTTTCATCGTCCATTTCCTCATCATCATAGTCAATACTCTTCCAATCTGATCATCATTTGCAAGTCAGATGCAAGTCGATTTCATCTTTTTTTTCATTCCTTCCATTCGTTTAATTCATAATTTGAAAGGAAAGAAAAATTTTTTCTCAAAAAAATTCATTATTTTCATTCACCTTCACCTTTAAAGGAAAAAAACATTGTCATTCCAGTTTCCATTCAATTTCATGTTAATTTAGAGCAAAGAGAAAAATTCTAATAACAGATTGATTTGAAATTAAAATGCTCTCAAAATGATTGAAGGTGAAAACAAAAAACACGTAAAATAACCCAAAAATTGAATGTTAAATTGTTTGTTTACTTTGCTATCTAACGTGGTTATGCATTTAAAAATGTATCAAAACTTAATATGCTAATGTCTATTAAAAGGAGGAAATTTGGTGCAAATATTAATATTTATAGCAACTCTTAACTCACATAATAAATCACATTTTAATGATAATCAAGTGTAAACTATTAACAAAACAAACAGAAATGAAGAAAATTAAAAGTGAAATTTTGGGTTGACCAGGACTTGACCAAACCACAGAGGGTAAACAATTGAAAGTCAATGTTGAACAGCAATTATATTAATAATTATCAAGTTAACACACTTGGAATGATTAACAAGTTTTCATCAAGTTGGGAAGGTAAAGATGGTTGAGGAAAGGAGGAGGATGAAGAAGGGAAAAGATGAAAATGGTTATTCTTGTTGTTTGGGTAAAGATAGCCTGATAATAATGTTGATGATGATCAAGTAACAATGCTTAAGATGGATCAATTGAATGATGATGAGGATGATGATGAAAGGGAGTGATAAAAGATGAATAGTTAAAGGATTCAACATTGATGTATCAGTTGACAGTTGACACTAGACTGACCCTGGATGATGCTCATTAGTTTAGCCTGGGATTTAACCTTATTTTAGCTTTAATATTATGCTGATCAATGAAAGGTAATGGTTAATGCGGAGCCTTTTTGTTGTCCAGTGAGTTTTCTTGACACAAATCAATCAATACAATTAAACTGATAAAACCAACAATGTTGACAATGTTTGACCATAAAATGAACAATTAATACTATTATCCAAATTAATGAGTAAACCATAAACATTGAAAGTGAATGTTGTTTCATTAAAAAAAAACCATTTTCTTTGGGTTTCTCCATTTTTACAAATTTACTTTTTTCTGGTTTAACCAGATTGTTGATTAATTTATCAACTATTAACAATTAGTGAAGAGACAAAAATAAATGGCTAAACTGTTGAGCTGAATGAAAAGTGGAACCAGAATTACGTTAATCAGATTTAACTGTAAGCTTTAAGATTGGGTTTAAGCTTTGATTGTTGCCAATGCATTTAGTAAATGTTGGTAAAAATGAATTAATAATCATAAGGAATTAACATTTTGTATTATCGAGGTAACATTTGGGTTTGGAGAAAGAAATGAAATCGTAAGAATTAACATGAATTTTCTATCAATTTAACCATAAATTACTGAAGGAGTTTCGGTTAAATTGCGAAGGAACAATTTAAAATATTTATCAACTTTTCTCAATTCAGGATCATTTAATAATAGCTATTTCTTGCGGTGTTTCCAATGTATTATTATCCTGATTACAGGCAAACGGTTATCATTGACATTATAATTGTTATACTTTTGTTTCAACCATTTATCCAGTTGATTGAGCATAATGATAATGATTATAAGAGTAATCAAATGTGAAAATTATTTATTGAATGATTGAAAGAAGGAGAAGAAAAAAGAAGAAAATTTATTCATTTTTTCCTTCTTCTTCTTCCAATCATTGCTATCAATAGACAGTTGATTGATTCATTATTTCCGAGTTTATCTGTAATCAATGAACTTTTTCTTCTCCCTTTTTCATTCAATTTTACCTGATTTACCTTTAATCAATAATCATGAGTGAATCTATGAAAATGTGTGAAAATGTTTCTCATCATTTGCAAATGTTAATATTGAAATGATTGATTGCCTTTTCTGGTTTGCTTTGCTTGTTTCATTGATTGTTGTTTTGTTTTCCTTTTACCATTTGATTGTCAATTAACTGGTTCATTTCAAATATCAAATTTGGTTAATCAGCTGAGATGCAGCTTTAGACAACAGCAATCCTTGTTGGTAAAAGGTAAATCATTGAATTCCCGATTAAACATTATTTAATTGCTATTTTGTTCATCATTAAGGGGAAGTATTTAAAGGCAACATTTGCTTAACTTCAATTGGTATGCAATATTGTTTGATTACATTCATTTGGCAAGTATTTTAATCAAAATGAATCAACTTTTTGATCACATTTTCATTGAACTTTTGGATTCTACTTTTCCTATTCCTAAACAATCTGATTATTTGTTCAGTGATTAGACTAACAAAAAGGGTGAGATTAAGAAATGAGAATCAAAAATTCCAGTTCCATGGTTATTCATTATACAAGTATAGTCAATTTATGATCAGCTCATTGGGTTAAACAAAATAAACACTTCTCACCTTTAGTTGTTAACAATTATGGGTTATCTGGATATTTGGGTTTTTGGGTATTTTTGGGTTATTATCGGGATAACTGATGATTTTGATTTTGTTTAGAGTCTGTTTTAAGGTAATTTCATTAGATTAACATTCAAATCCAACCTTAAATTGGGATTTTAAATGTTTTCCCTTTTTACTTCAGTCTTTTTCCATCTCCTATTTTCAAGTAAATTGTGATCAGAAAGCTGGCTACTCCTTGGATTAAAGCATTTGGAATTTGTTCTCAACCTGTTTTTTAACACCATTGATTGAGTATCATAATAATAATGATAATAAACATGATAATGATTATTGGATAATGATAGAAAGGACATGGAAGGAAATATTTTTCATTATAAAAAGGTTTCTTAAACGCTTTTTGTTGTTCAATGGCTGGGAGATTACAATGAAAATTAACTTGCTATCAACTGTTCACCTTTTTGTCAATCATAACTCATAAAATGAATAAGATAAACACTGAACAGAATGCCAAGAATTCTGAGTATTTTCAGCCACTAACTTGAAATTTCTTTACTTTTATCATTCCTTGAAAAGGCAAACATTTTTGCCCTTTCGCATAAGAAAACTGCTTTTTTTATTTCTTGTTGTCCCCTTGTTTTTTTAATAATAATGGGTGACACTCAATGGTCTCGCTTTTTCCTGTTATAAATGGGGATATTTATTAATATACTTAATAGTATTAATATGATCACCAAGAATTCATTTATATTTATCATCAACACCATCATCATCATCATCATCATGCCTATTCTTATTAACTTTAATCATTTCGCTTTCAAATTTTTATTAACACTCTCTCCCCTTTACCAACGACACCTTTTCCCTATTGAAACCTAAGTCCGCCTTTTTTGCTGCCTCTTTGCTGGCCTTAAAGTAGTTAGAAGATCAACCTGATCATCATTATCATCTTTACTAATCATCTTAAACCAGTTAACTTTTGGATTATCTATCGTGATGATTTGTTAACTTCGTGTTAAAATTCAGTTCCAACATTTTTCCTTTTCTTGCTCTTGTTACTTTCAACTCTTTGTGTCATAGCTTTCCTTTGTTTAACATAATATTAACAAGCACAAGATTTTAACCTTTGAATCACAACTTTCTTTTGTTTCTCGTTTGGTTCCACTTTTTTATTCAAATTGGAGCTGTTTCTTATTATGTATTTGCTTGTTTCTTCACTTTTAATTGTTCTTTACATTCATCTGCAATCAATCCATTGTGATCCAAATAAACATGACCATCTTGATCTTCACCATTCAAATGTAACTTCGGCTAACTTTTCATCGCATTCTTTAACATCTCCGATTACGCAGTTATTGTCATTTCCTGGTTCCACTAAAAAACCAAACAAAAATTCTTTAACTTCAAATGTAACTTATTTTCAAAGTCCTCTGGATAATCGAGATGATTACCACTTATTTTGGTCAATTGATTATGACGCCAAAGTGGTTAGTTTTGAGGTTAGACTAAAGTTGAAGTCTAAATCCAACTGGTTTGTAATCGGATTATCCAACTATGGGGAACCAGCTAAATCAGATGTTTGTATCTTCTGGACTGATCGTTTGGGTCGACATCATTTCCAGGTAACCCTCAGAATTTTTACCTTACAAAAACTATTTAACTCTCAATTTTACTGTTTGTTTACTCTTACTTTCACATTTTTACTATTAGGATGGCTGGACAGACGATAAAGGTTATATAAATATAGATGCTCAAAATGATTGTCAATTAATCAATTTGCAGAGCAATGGTAAAACCATTAGATTTTTGTTTCATCGAGATTTTGACACTTGCGATATCAACGATCGACCTATTGAAGTAAGATCATATTTAAATATAAATAAACAAATACAATCTACAAACTTGATTAAATTCAACGGTAAAAATGAATGTCAAACTTTTAAAAAAATACTGAAAATGCTGACAATATTAATTAAAGCTAGTTGCAGTATTTTCCCAAAGTATTTCACTCATTTTTACCCCTCAATAGTAACGGTTGGTAGTTGTTATTGATATAATAAATTTGTAATTCGTTTATTATATCGCTAATTTCAAACTTTATACAATTTTAGGATGGAACTAATCATATTATTTACGCTGAAGGGCCAGGACCCATCAAACATGCATATGGACTCAACCTTTATAAGGTTAAACATGGTTTTCAGCGTCTGCAGTTGCTGAAAAGCACTGAAAAAGTACCAGATCTACCAGCCGATGTCAGAATAATCGATGTTACCAATGATAATGTTGTTATACCTGACGATGAGACAACTTATTGGTGTAAGCTAGTTAAATTTCCCGAAGACATCAAACGCAAACACCATATTGTTCGATATGAATCAAATATACACACTGGTAATGAAGCTCTCGTTCACCATATGGAAATTTTTCACTGTGAAGTTGACCAATCAGTTGAATTGCCCAGTTGGAATGGACCTTGCCACGATAAAAGTAAACCACCCATTCTGGAAGCATGTAGTAGAGTTTTATCAGCCTGGGCAATCGGTGCTGGGGCAAGTAACTTCAGATAATTATTAATCCTTTCAATGTCCTTTTTGTAATTATTTCTTATTTTTGACCAATCTTTGATATCCGATTATATGGTTCATTTTTTACTTTAGCCTTTCTCTTATCCTGGTGAGGCTGGTTTACCTTTTGGTGGATCCAATTTTTCTCTGTATGCCATGTTAGAAGTACATTACAATAATCCCAATCATCGTTCTGGAATCAAAGACAATTCTGGTATTCGTCTGTATTATACACCAAATTTACGAACTTATGATGTTGGTGTCTTAGAAATAGGATTAACATATAACGATAAAAATTCAATTCCACCCAATTCTTCATCGTTCATCTTGTCTGGTTACTGTGTTACTGAATGTACCCGTGTTGGCCTACCTTCAACTGGTATAACTGTTTTTGCTTCTCAGTTACATACTCATTTGACTGGTCGTAAAGTTTGGACTCGACATTTTCGTGGGGGAGTCGAGTTACCTATATTAAATCGTGATGATCATTATTCAGCGCATTTCCAAGAGATTCGAGCGTTAAAAAGACGAGTTCAAGTTTTACCTGGAGATTTATTGATTAACAGCTGTCTATATGACACAACATCTCGGGACACAATCACCCTCGGTGGCTTTAGTATTTCTAATGAAATGTGTGTTAATTACATGCATTACTATCCAAGATCATCTTTAGAAGTTTGTAAAAGTTCCGTTGATGACTCAATTCTAGCTCGATATTTTGATTATTTGTCATCTAATGAAAAACAAAATACCTCTTCAATAGAAAAATCCATTGCAGATAATTATCGTTCAATTGAATGGACTCCTTACCGCACCAGATTTTTAGATAAATTTTATTCAGTCTCACCTCTTTCAATGGAGTGTCGCAGATCTGACGGTGATCTCTTCCCAGTAAGTTGCCTTTTATGCTATCTCTATAAAAATACCGATTTAACTTTTTAACTATTTCATTCATTTCTAGGGTGATTGGAATGGAGTATCCTTGCCTGAATTAAGAGTCGAGTTAAAACCAAAAAGTCCATGTTCACAGCCCGAGGAAGCTCTATCTTCAGAAAGACGATAAATCAATGATGTTTAACATTCATGTATTATCTTATTGTTACACATTTTATTGGGTCCATATTTGATTTTTATTAGATGTTTAGATTCAAATCTCAGGATAACAAAATATTGTAGAAATCTCAAAGTGTAAATAAAGAACAAGAAAAATTATTTAGTGAACAATGCTAACATATCTGCTTCGAGAGGGTGTAAATTTCCTTCAATCACGAGACAATGAAGAGGCTTGCCCAAATCTTCATTTACCATTTGGGATAATCCACATCTAACAATAGATTGATCATCGGATCCAACTCTAGCAAGGCCAATGCAATAGCTGGACTCATCCAATACACCATCGTACTCTTTTTGATCAAGAGTTTCAAAACTTTCAATTATTTGAGATGCAGCTTCATTTGTTTTCATGAAACGAGGTGGCTCATAAGCGACTTTGCCTTTCATCATTGCTTCAAGAGATTTTTCTTTAACTTTGATATCTAATAATTGACAAAAAAGAGTTAAAATTAATGATTGAAATAATTAAAACAAGCATATTCCAAACAAACCAAGAAGGCATAAAGTATGAAGTCCTCTCTTTTTATTCGCCAGAATTTTGTCCATAAAACTAGATGGCTTCCAGTTTTCAGTCCACAAAGGTATGGATACAGTTTCCCCGAAATTGTATAATTGAAGGCCACAGCAACCAACAGCATTCATGATTGAAGCATTGTGAACTATCTTATATTTAATTCCTCTTTGAATAGCGCGTAAAATAAGATCTGTGTGGGTTGTTGCTCTTCACATAGAGATCAAGTTAATAGCAACATGGTCACCATAAAAAATCGTTGAATTATTTGCACATATGGAAATGAATATGACAAAAACGACAGCAATAAAAAAACATTTACCCAAGAGGATCACCGACAACCAGAAAAGCAATATCACCATCAACCGAACCGTCCAAAATTTCATCAGACTGGCTTTCGACCATTTCTCGATCGGCTAACAAAACTTTTTTAGAATAAAAATCCTCCTAAAGCAAAGTAAACAATAAACAGGATAAAAATTTAATCAACATTGAATGAGTAAAAAGAAAAAAGCAAAAACTTAAAGAAATTCAACTTACAAGCTTTTCAATGTTATCTGATACATTATACAACACAGAAGTATAATGTTCAAGGTAGACTTTTTCACATTTTTTGACAATTTCAAGACCTTTCACAGTAATATCAGTTAAATCACATAAACCAAGACCAATTAAGTACAACATTTTACCTTTTCACCAACACCAACAAAACAAATGCAAACAGTCAAGTTGCTAAGTTACACAAGTTAAAATAATGAACAAAAGATGACGCTTTAATCGTTCAGTAACAATTTCAATTAAAATTTAATTTCCTAAATTGTTTATCCATTAATTGTTTTAACCTTTAAAGATGATGATTGAACAGCAGCAAAAAAATTAATAAATTAAAATGATTGCCCAAAATGTTACATGAAAAAATGAATTATAAGCAATCTTGAATAACAAGCAAACAGAAAAAGTTGAAAGAGGAAAATTAATTTTCAAGTTAACCTTTATTGCCAATAATTTGGATGTTAAACCAATCATACAATCGTGTTGATTATGATAATCTTAATTGAAAATTGTGATTAGCATTACTTGATCAAAGGTAAGGTAAAGTAATTTACATGAAAATTGATTATCACAAGATTCTTGGTCATAATCAATTTCATTTCCTTCTTCATGTTAATTCATCATCACTTTAATCATCCCTTCACAATCATAATTAGTTGACCCTAAAGAGAAGTGACAATTAACTGAGTTGAAGACAATTTTGACAAAATCAAGCAAATCTAAGGCAATAAACCAAGGTAATAAAAACTGAGCAAATCAAGTGAAAGTAAATTGATAAACATAAAGCAATTTCAAGTGACAATTTCAAGTCAATCTCGTTTCAATTGCGATCAACAATTTACTCAGTCTCACCCAAAATTAACCAGATTTACCGACTAACAATCAAAATGAAAGGGAAATGTTTCCATTGATAAACCAATGTTGTTGTTGTTTTGGTTGCTTTTAATCATTTTAATGGTTTGCCTCTTCAAATGGTAAACAATTGAACTCCGACAATCTTGATATCAATTGTGATTTAAAATATTAATGATAAGTGAAGTTGAATTTCAATTTCAATCTGATCAATTAAACCTTGCTATTTCAATCTGATCATCTGAGGGAAAGTATGAAGGTGATGAAGTCCGTTCTTGAGTTGAAACTAGTTTTATTTTATGACCCATTTTTAGGACCACTTTTCCGATATGGTTTAATTGGTTTTTGAAATACAAAATTTGCTCACTTTTTGCTTCTTCAAGGAGGAAGATGATGATGTAAGATGATGAGAGGGATCAAAAAGAGGAAGAGGGAGGAAGAGAGGGACGAGGCGGGAAACATTGAGTGAGAAAAGTTGATTTGCTTTGAAATTCCAGTTGAAATTCAGTTGAATTTTTTCTTTTCTTTTTTTCTTTTCTTCACCCTCTTTATCCTCCTCTCTCTCTCTCTCTCCTTATCACCACTCTACCTTCATCATCATCATCATCAACAATAACAACAGCACCAGAATCACCTAACTGTTGTTGTTGAAACAGTAAAAGCTTAATCCTTAATGTTTGTTTTCATTTGAATTTGGTTTATACTTTTGTTTTTTTTTGTTACATTTTACATTATTTATTTGGTTAATCATCTTCATCATTACAGTCATTCAGTTATTGTTCATATTAAACCTGATTAACACCATAAATGAGAATCAACACTCACACAAATCATCTTTAAAGCTGTGATTTTTAGTGCCAAACCAAGAGCGAGCTGGATTTAAATTGTTATTCACAACCAATTTATCAACCTCAGTTAAACATTACAATTTTGTTCAAATTTACGGATATAAGACAACATCAGCTGGTTATGTTTCACATCTAAACGCGAGACATTTCACCTTTTCTGTTTCTTCTTCATCTTTCTTTCCTCTTCCTTCCTCATACCAATTAACTGATACACTTGATAATTAACTGAATCAAAATTAAACAGTTATGATTAGTCGCCGTAAAATACTTTCAAGATCCCAAAGTGACATTGACTATCCATATGATGCCTATGCAGTTGAAGAGGATATTTGGTACGACAAAGACACTCTTTACTCTGTAAGTAACACTTGATTACCGTGCTTTTTGTTGGTTAATTGTTCAACTGAACCAGATTAGTGTCACTCTGTTCACTTGGTGTTTACATTAACAGGTACCACTTAGACACAATCCACCCAAATCATGATTCACATCACGTCAGTTGAAACAAAAGCTGTCTTCATTGTCATATCCTTGTCGCTGTGATCATCACCTTCAATGACAATCAGTGAACAATTTAGACAACTTGCACACCTTTTCCTTACCTACACACAATGACCAATCAATATTTACATTCTCATTTTGATCCAAATATGAATAACTGAAAGAAAAAGGTTAATCACTTATTTGATTTGATAGTTGATTAATCAATCAACACTCCCAACTGAAACCTGTAATAAGTGATCAAACCTTTTCTCACCCAAACAGTCGATCAATATTTTTACACCTTAATTGTTTAACAATTTTAAAAAGCTCTAAAAGTATATTTTCTGGTAAACATCAGGTTAATCAAGTAAATCAACAATCTGAAAGGTAATAATTTGAATAATAAGCAAATGACAACATTTTTAATTGGAAAATGAATCAACTCTTTCGCGTCCGTCTACCTAATGATAGTTGATCAATTTAAATCACATCGATCAATCATATTGATTAAAAATAATGTTACAAAAGCTGAAAAACCTTCAATGAGTTATTCAATACAAAAAAGAGGTTCACTTTTCTGGTAACCGGAAAATTTACCTTTTTTTACAATGTATTTGCCGTTAATTTTTTGTCTGTTGTGATTCAATAAGTTAATCACAGTTAAATAGTAACATTCATATCCGCAAAATGTGATTCAAATTTGGGTTAAAAGATTATCTGTAAGTAAAGATGTAAAAGTAAATAATGTTGATCGGCTATTAAATAGGCTTTTGGTTTGTCTTTTTTATCAAAATGAAAGTTGAACCCAAATCTGGTTTCTTTCAATTGTATTTAATGTAAATAACGATGAAACTTGATAAGGTAAAAGATGATGGCAATGATGACCTACCTTGGAAGACAATGAAAGATGACAACGGATCAGGAAGAAAAGGGAAGATGATGAAATGATGAAAAGATGAGAAAAGGTTTTCCTACTGATTAATGAACAACCTTGCCAAAAATGGTGGAAGGTTAAACAAAGTAAGACTCACTTTTCATCATGAAATTCATCATCATTTTTCATCATATTCATCATATTCATCGTTTCCATCATCATATTCATGATCATCTTAATCGTCATCATTGCTCATCACCTACTTAGTTTTTTTAACCATTTATGTTGAACATTTAAGTGTGTGAAAGCTTTTCATTGTAATTACATTAAATTGTATCAATTGTTTAATGTCATCAAAATCTTAATCATCATTATTACCATTATTTGGATTATTAAACATCAATTGAACGTTATTAACTTGCTTCTTTTGCATCTATTCAAGTGAATCTCATTTCATGTAATTTTGTCATTTTCAATTTCTTTTTTTCTTCTCTTTTTACTCAAAATGTTTCCCTTTTCCATCCATTTTCAAGTCTAATTGATTTACTCCTTCACCAGTTTACCGAGTTAATCATCAATCCATGTTATGTGATCAGTTAAATTAAAATGATTATCTAGTCCATTGAGTTTTGAAAAAAACATCATCAACTGTCATTTACTGCCAATTGCCATCAATATCAACAGCTTTTAGTCAAATGTGGATCAGTCGACAAAGAATTTTGAGAAATATTTTCTTCCAAACTCATAGAAATGATAATTTCCATGATGAATATGAATCCTGGAATTATTTTGATACTTTTGTCTCGGTAAGATCAATTTACATTTTACCAACAATTAACCATTAACAAGCAAAACTTGCAACAAGTAAAAGCCAAGTAAAAGTGATTATTTTTGGGTTTCACTTTTTTTCTGGTTTTGCCTTTTATTCAACAGTTTCAATTTAAATGAAACTATTGTTTTAAAAACTGAATTTAAATCTTCTTTTTTCTGATGAACGTTTAATTTGAACATTTGTTCATTTCAATGACCCAGGAAGGGTTGGTTAATCTGGATGCCTGTAAATAACATTTGACTTAACATGTAAAAAAGAGTCTCCACTTTGAGTTGTTACCTTTTTTTCGAATTCAATGGCTTCAAACCATTCTAAATTAACTTTAATCAAGTTTATTTTGTTTTCTTACTCAATAATCAGTTTGTTATTTTGTTTTATCAACTGTTACAATCAAACGGTGAACATTTAAATTAGCCGTTAGGGAAGCGCCATTTAAGCCTTGCTTTTAATACCATTTAACTGGCTAGCTGTTCAATTAATTTGAGCATCGCCACAATTTGGTTGCCAAAATGATCAAATGGTTGACCCAATCAAGTAAATATAAAAAAGAAACACTTCTTTACCTTTCACTTGATTGTCCTCAATTAATTGATCACTAAATCATTTCATTTTCCACCGAAAATCAATTTCCAAAACATTGGATCAAACCTTAAACCAGAGTTTACACTAAACCCAAAGTCAACCCAAAATTTTCATCACAGCAATTAAAATAGATCTACAATTAGATCTGTTTACTAATTTCTGTTTCTATTGACATTTGATTAACTATTAGACTTTTAATTTGATAGTTTAACAGCTTTAATTGTCTCATCATATTGATGTTCAACAGTCCATGTCTCACTTGATTATTGTTTTCACCTTTTAAACCATTTCTTTTTTTGGTTAACTTTTGTTCAAAATCAATTCATTGAATCATGAAATGAATAAGATAAAAAAGCCAAAATTAAATACAATAAACGATCGACAATCAACAGTCGATTAAATTGATTTGCATCCGTTTGATTGACAATTTAACTTTTGCTTCAACAAATGATGAACCCAAAAATGATGTAAAATGAAATGCAAAATGATTTACCAAAATAAAAGCAACTTTCAATATCAACAGATTGTTGATGAAACGTTAATCAAAATTAATTAAACACAGTCCAAGTATTACAACTTATAAGGCGAAAACCTTGTAATTGAAGAAAAGGAAATTTTCTCATTTTTTGGATTCACTTTTTGTATTCACATAATTATCGTAACAATTAAGTCCCATTTGAATAATATTAAATGTCTTTTGTGTGGTTGACCATTTTGTAGGTGTTTAGATAGCGATCCTTTCCTCATGATTTACCTTGATTGTGATCAATAGTGGGTGATTGGATTAGTAAATCACTAATAAGGTAACAACTTCAAGGGCTAAACATGTCGGTGTTTTTGGAGGGCAAATGGTAAACCATTTGGTAAAGGCCAATGAGGAATAGCAAATGTTACATTAACACTGTGTTCCAGGTTTATATTGTTTAACCGCCAACACAATTTACAGTTACTGGCATCAGGTACGTGATGTTGAGGGTTACAATTGTTGCGTTATTCGATAAAGCTCATAATTGCAATTGTGATGGGTTCACATCGAGGCCAAGGTTTAACTCATCATCAACAGCATCATCAACAGCATCATCAACATCATCATCACCTTCAATTGTGAATCTTTCACTTTTTTTTCATTCGCTTGTCTTCACTTTCATTCTTGTTTGTTTACCATTTTGATTGTTTCTTTGTTTTTTCTCATTGTTTAACTAAATCGCTTCGTTTGACTTTTCATTGGACAAAAACAACGCTCTTAAATGGTCGATTATCATTTCATCATTTACCTTTTCTTACCTTTTCTTTCCCTTTTCGTCTTGCCAATCAAAATACCTTTTTGCGCTTACAATCAATTTTAACAGGTTAACAATACAGTTCAATGATTTCAATTTCATTGCTTATTGATGATTCAATCAATTAATCATTATTATTAGTAGAGCCATTAGTGGTACCATTAGTGGTACTTTTACTGTTAGTACCTTAATATATCTCGTTATTGGTACCTTTTTATGATGATCAATGTCAATAGTAATTGACTTTGATCAAGGCATCCATGTAACCAATTGATGTTAAGTTGTTTTGTGTTTGCTGAATATTATTCAATAATAATCCATTGGTTGTGCTTGAGATTGGGATTAACCTTAAAAAAGATGAGTGTTATCAGTTAATAATGGAAACAAATGGTTGGTGAATGAAAGACAAAATTAATGGTGATAATCATGATAATGATTTCAATAAATTACAATTGAGGTCGATTTGTTTTCAAGCCCAATCATTAGTTGTTTACCTACTATTTTAAAATCTAAAAAAAAGATGATAATGTTACCTTAAAAAAAGAGCTAAAAATATTTTTTGTGAAACCGTGAAACTTGATTTGATGGTTTTACATTTTGTAGTTATCTCAAGTTATCATTAAACTAATAATCAGTGTCCAGGTAATAACAATAAGTTTCATTTTCTGGTCAAAATTGTTTCACCAAATGAACGACATTAAGTTGATTGTTGATCATTTAATCATTTGGTTATTTTTGTTTCTCTTGACAGGATCACATTCAGGAGATATTGAAAAAATGGGAACAAATTGATGATGAGATTTGGGGTAAAATTATTTGCATGGAACGTAATCGTCGAATCGCCAAGGCTTATGCTCGAGTTCCCGTTTTGACCGTTTCTGGGTCTGATGATGGGTTTGATGGATTCAAGATTGGCTTGAATGGGTTTGACCGGGCACCCAGTCGAGATCCTTTGGTTAAACGAGTTCGTGATCACATTGGAGAGGTGAGAAGAATCAATCAGTTGGAAGAATCTTTTTGCCAACCAATTTTGCTTTTTACCTTTTTCAGGGAGTTCGAATTAAAATGGATGAATTTGGTAACATTATAATCAAAAGATTGTCTCATTGTGATGTTTTCATTCGAGGCTATGATCGTGAAGCCAACAGCATATCCAAAGGGATACTTGATCTTGATGGTGAACTTACTCTGGAAAAGTCTGTTAAATTATTTGATATGAAAAAATTTCAATCCGGTTTGAATAAGGAATTACGAAGTGCTTATCCTGACCGTCGACGATTGGAAAACCAATGTATAAATGTAATCGCTTTTGTCAAGGATGCAACCGATGTACTTGATTTACCAGTTTGGATTATGGTTGTTAACATTGTTGCCCTTGATATGCTTAAATCTAAATTGCCACAAGGTAAATTAAACTTCAGGTGCACCTGAAACAAATCACAGTCCGAGCAAGCAAAATCCAAATTCAATTTCAATCAGATATTGAGATCAAACCAAAGCAGCCAATACTAACCAATACACAGATAACAATCAAACAAATTACCATTTAGGCCTAATTCAAGTCTCGATCCAAAGCTTTAGGTTAACTTTGATTTCATGATAAATGTCTTTGGCCTAAACCCATTCGGCCATTGAGTTAACCTTAAATTATTGTTTTGCTGTTGCTTCAGCTTCTTAGTTTGACATTTGAAATATTTTACAGCTTTGGTCAACTTTCAGGTCAGTTAATCTCGATGAAACCTGTTTTTGTTTGAGATATTAATTGATAAGTCAATGGGACACAATTGAAAGGAAAAGAGTTTTTTCTTTGATAACAATCTGATTCCTTATTATTTAACTTGATTAGAAAGTTGGGCTGAGATAAATAATTAGATAATAATAGTTATTTCCGTTAATCTGAATCGTTGATTTGTTGTTAAATTGTAACACTAACCTTGTTTTTTTTGCTTCTCCTGTTAACGTTTCTGCTTTTTTTTTCATTATCATTTTAGTCTGTTATCGAAATGAAAATGTACCCAAGTTTGTTAATGTGTTTACCAAACCTGAACAAGATGAAGATCCTTATTCGGTGCCCAGTTTACCGACAAGTAAACGACCTCAAATAACAAGCGGAAAACAGTCAAATCATCGTGTAAACGCCAACAATAACACAGCATTGATTACAAGTGCTGTCAACAACAACAATAATGTCAATGTTAATAATGTTAATAACAACAATAATTCAAAGACAAGTGACGCTAAACCACCTGAATTACCTCCAAGAGATTTCGCCAAGATTAAGAAAACGAAAGAAAAGAAGATTCCAAGTATGTTTAAGAGTCTAGTTCGAGGTGAAAGTCGTAAACAAACGGCAGCCACACCAGCACCCAAGAAAGAAGTTGATTACGGTAATGGAACTGACCTCAATGTAGCAAAACAGCCGACTAATATTGACCTTATCTTTACAGAGGATCCTTACTATTGCGGTATGCAAGCTCGAGTCTCGCACTTTGCTGTACCTCGTGAACGTAAACCTGCCGCTGGATTAACGTCTCTTCAAGACATGAGAAAATCTCATTCCAGTGGTTACCTTAATTCACTTTTTAATCCTTCATCCAATTTTAATCCATACCGAGGTGGTTCCTCTTATTACTCTTATTATGATTCAACATTTGGTAAGTTGACCAGTTTATTTTAAGGCAAATCTGATCATTTCAATCTTTTACTTATCTTTTGCACTTTCATATCAAGATAATTTATTGCTTCAAGTTAAGCATCAGATTAATTATTAAGTAAAAATGGTTAATCAAGGTGAACGGCATTCCAAACTGACTGTCAAATCTGTTTTACTTTCAATCAGTTTCACTATTATAAATGGACTTGCAATTTAGCTTTGAAAGTGAATCCATTTGTTTGCCTTTTGCTAATTGTCTCAATGATAGTAAACCTTGAAATTAAACAAATTACTGTTCAATTGTCATCTGTATTATCATGGATCAGTCGATGGTTAGCCTGAGAATGGTTTCATTTTTAGATTGAGAATGAATTGAAGTTGATTACCTTGAGATTGATTATCTGGTTTGGGTGAGGTTTCAATTTCATCTCTTTATTAAAATCAATTTAAAGTGTATTTCAATTGACACTTTGATAGGATTTACTGGTTCAACTCTATTGTTATTGTTAACATTGAACAAACACTTTTTTCACTTAATTGTAATCATTTTGCAAACTCACAAGGTTCATCTGACAATCATCTTAACTGTTAATCAAGAGATTGGTCAATGATTAAGTTTTTCACTTATAATGGCTAGTGGAGGGGCTCATGATATAAGGTCAGTTCGTGATTAGTAACAATAAAATGGTTTATTAAAGGTGAAGGTGAACGTTTCAAGTTTACATTTTCATTGCAATTGTTGTCTCAGTGATTGTTCACTTGATTCAAATTTGCTGTTAGCTAAACAATTTAATGATTAAAATAAGATTACTTTTGACCCTTAAACAGTTAATGAAACAATGAAGATTGTTGTTCCAACCGTAACAATAAATCAAAAAGCAAAATCTTTGTAAACACAATGATTATGTTAACCAAATCAATTGATTCTTATTTATAGTCAATTCAATGATCTAGTCTTTGCACAAAAATATCAACATTCAGTCCAAAAACCTATCTTTTTTGGGTTAACAGGAAAATGAAATGAATGCTTTCATTACAATCAATTGTTTCCCATTTTAATGGTAAAACTTGAAACCTTTTTACCTTGATCTTCATCATCATTATCATCTTAATCATTGTAATTTAACCATTTATTTTCATTGTTGACCGAGTTTAACATTTCGCTTTTGCTTTTTTTTCTCATTCAAATTTGTTCGGAAAATCAGTTTACCTTGAAAAAATGGTTAATTGTTGATAGCCAAGAGCAGTTTCCAATGCCAATCAAGTTGACCATTCAATAATTAAGTTGGTCAAAGTTTAATTGCAGCTGAGTGAAAGAAGCGAATCGTTTGATTAGTATTACATGAAATGGTTGGGTTAACTTATGCATGCAATTTATCAATCTGGTAATTACAATATAATTTCATTTGATTATTGTTTCCACCTTTTCCAGAATCGGATCCTTACATGTCATCAGGCGATGGTTATGACACTTATGCACCACTTTATGGACGGACACCAAACCTCTTTTCCGCTCATCATCACCATCAACAGCCTCAACAACGGCGTCATCAACCTCAACGGGCATATTTATGTGAAGTCCAGGGTGAACGGTATGCCACTGAATGGGACTAATTTGGACTCTTTCTGGATTCTTTTAGTATATATTGGACAATTTTTGGTCGTTTCATTTGATATCTTTTGAGACTATCAATGTTAATTGTCAACTATTTGTATTTATGTGACTTCACCTTATGTCTGACATTTTTCCTTCGAGTCTTAAGGCTTGATTTGTTTTGTATTTTTGATATTGATTTATTGATCACAATGATTTATTTATTGGAATACATTTTGTAACTTCTTTTTTTCACCTTTTCTCGCATTTCTAATTTGTTTAAATCATTGCAATCAATTCAATCACCTCATTATCATTTATGTATGTATATATAAATGATTAATTGTACTTGTCTGATAAATCTTGTTTTCTTGTTTTCCTTTTTGTATGTTTAACATTCTCTCTTTTCTGACCGATAAATGTGACTTGGACCAGCCTTTGAGGTCAGTGATTGGGTTAAATATTAGAACAATTTACAACTTGTTCTCAATCTAATCACTTGAAATATTAAACCTGCCATTGACCCAATTCTTGTTTCCAATCCTTTCTATAACAAACTGTTCAACATGTAAAATTTGTTTCTGTTAATGGCTCTTAATGGTTAAACTGCGTTTCACTTTCAATGTCTTTCTTCCCATTCACTTGTTCATCCAAACGCCGTTGATATTGATGGTCAATCCGCTTTACTCAACACTTTAGAGTTGTTCTTAAATCCATTTAATTTGTACACTTATCGGGTAGTTTGAGTAAAAGATCAATTTTAAAGGAGAAACAAAAATTAAATTTTGACCAGAAATTAAAACATTTTGTTCAGCATATTTACTGCTTATTTACAGTATAAATCACACTTACCTACTTAAAGCAGAGTCCCGGGCCTTAACTGTTGTTTTACTATAACTTAATCTGGAAAGAAACGGTCAAAGTGCCATTGAGAAAGTAAAGATGACCACTAAGATTGAAATAAAACGTGAAATTATTAGTAAAGACATCATTGGAATACAAGAATTGCAGTTACATGTAGAGTATCATTTGGCTTACCTTGACTATTAGACACAAACAAATGAAAATTGAACTAGATTATGAAATTAATGGGTGAACAGAGTGATCAGAATAATTAAAATATGAAGAAAAGACTAAAAATTGATTTAATTATTACATTAATTAACAAAAAAGCTTGACAACAATCAAACGTTAAGTTGAAAAATAGCGAAATTTTTATTCAAACAGTAGCGAAGTCTAGTGGTAACCAAAAGAGTTGCTGCACAATTCAGTTATAAAAACCTTTTCATAAAAACGAAATGATTTTATTTTTATTATTTTTTCGCAATTTTTACTTTTTCAAAAATTTAATGTTCATTTTTGAGAATAAAACTCAAATTTGTTATCCAATCAACTGTTAATTATTTAGCAATTAATTGGATAACAGAAGCAACACAAGCATACGATGAATGCAATTGAATGAATGAAATATGCACCAGAAATACTGTTTGATCAAAAAGTTTGAAATCAAATAATAGATTTAATTGCTTGAATTAATTTTCACATTTCGATGGAAACAAATGGTAAAGAAAAACAGGTTTAATCGAGAAAAATAAATCTGCTCAACAATTGCTGACTAAGAATTTAATTGATTCAATAGCTACTTCAAGTTATTACAGTGATAAATGGACATTACAATTGCAAGGAAATACATCAATTTATGCGCATAATAAAAGCATTGATAACAGGTTGTTTGATGAAAGAGTAATCATTAGAAGTGAATAAAAACCTTCAAATGTGATCAAGATGGACAAGATGAGAAGGAAAAGACAAAAATGATTTACTATCCTTTCACACAGCGACTTGCCATCTTGAATTGATCACACTAACAACTTGTTAGCTCATAAAACCTTTTAATTGAAACCAGAATAGCAACAACAATTAAATCACTTTAATGTCTAGAAACTTAAGAGTAAATAATCTTTCATTAACAAACAGAAGAGGAAATTTTCAATGTAAAAATGTTTCCTTTCAGTTTTCCAGATTTCACCAAATCGAATCAAAAAATTATCGTTTCCCATCTTTAGCCAAATTGAAAGCTAAATGTTTTCATTGTTCACCTTTTAAACATTTCATCAATCGATTTGTAAAGCAAAATAATTTCATCTCAAGTCATATCAATTGGATATTAACCATTGAAAGGATTTGAAACAAAACCAAGATTGAGTTGAATCAAAAGAGTTGAGATTCAAGTTTCATTTGAAATGTCATTAGATGCAACAAGTTATTAACAAGTAAAGTTGTTATGATATTATAATGATGATCACTCCAAGTAAACTCCCAGTGAGAAGAAAAGAAGAAGTTTTTTTTCCAATTTACTTTACTTTCCTTATTTCAGGATATTCATGAACATTAAGTTAAAATGATTTGGAGATTTTTTTGTTCGCATTGTTCAACTTTTTGCCATCCTTGTTCATTGTTACTCTTTCATGTAAAACCATGAGAAGAAGAAGAAGAAGAAGAAGAAAACGATGAGAATGATGATAATGAGGAAGATTTGGTGTTCATTTGGTTGTGGTGGCAATGAAGGATGATAAAGGGATGAACCCAAGAAAATGTAACTAGATCAATAGATGTGTCACCAAGAATCAATCTGCTCAACGATAAACTCCCTCAAGGTTTTGCATGATCATGTGATGAAACATTTTGGGCCAATCGGAATGCTTCAGGCCAACATCTTCATCATCTTTATATTTCCATTTAACTTCAACATTCTCATCATACATCATCATCTTATCTGTCGCACTTTTCGTTACTTTCTTTCTTCTTCTAAATTATCCTCACTTGATCATCATCTTCTTCTTCCTTCCCTTTCTTCTGTTTCATCCAATTCAACTGGGAGGGAATCTGTTGTAGCCTGGGATTGAGTTTGCACTTATCTGTTTGCTCATTCCCTTTCAACCAGATAAGACACAAAATCTGACGACTAAATGTTCCAATGTTGATTGACACAGCTTTTTGTCTTCTTTCCAAGTAAACAATTCCAACCTATAACCTGTAACCTGTTCACCCTTAACCCTGAGTAATTATCTTGTCATTTGGTGAGAGCGAATCGGCCAAATTTCAAATTTCAAAAGTGAATGGAAAACAAAAAGAAGACCAGAAAAGAAGAAAAAAACGAAAACTTTTGATTCGCCTTCCTTCGCCAAGTGTGTCCATTCCCCTCGCCCTGATCATCTTCCCTCTCTCCCATCGCTCATCATCTTAGAAGAGCAAAAGAAAAACAAAAAAAAACTTTCAGTTGAATAACTTATTGTTTGGTGATTCACAAAAAGCATGTCAACCAATCCAAAGATTACCGAATCTCAATCACTGGGATCAACATCTTCACCCAATTCATCATCAACCAAATTTCAATGTTCATCAAATCAATCATGTAATGCTCCCAGTAACACCAGTAATAGCAAACCCATTGGCTCAAACAGTAATTTAACCTCAAATAGTAACCTTTGTACAGCTAATAAAAATATTGCAAACTCTTTTCGAGTTGACACCAAAAGTGAACTCGTCGATGGTAAAGTTAAAACAAGTGTTTTCCAGCAACAAATCAACTTATCTTCTTGCTCATCATCACCTCAACTCTCGGGTGGACCTGAAGGCCGATCAAGCGAGTTAAACTGTAAATCGCTTTGCAATCCAATGAAAAGTACAAATGATTCAAAGGTTTCATTAGACGACAGATGTAACAATGAAGACGATGATCAGGTCGATGATGACATTGATGACAATATTGCAACTGAATGTTTACTCAATGAAGGTTTACCAATTAAACTTGACCTGGTTCGATCGATAAGCTCAAAGAGCAGTTTATTCAATGCATTTCGCGATAAATCACTTGAGATTGTTAATGAACAGCAACAGGCAACTTCAACTTCCCCTCACTACAAACTTTCAACTGGAACTGTTGTCAAATCATCTTCATCCTCTTCCTCTGAACCTGAACGTGAAACCTGGGATTCCAAGAGTGAATTTTTGCTGGCAGTCATCGGGTTTGCCGTTGATTTGGGTAACGTTTGGAGATTCCCTTTCATCTGTTATCGCAATGGCGGAGGTAAGTTTACTTCGATCTTGACATTTATTCACTTTCTACTTTCATTTCCTGACTTTCTTAATTTAACATGAAAACCAACTCGAGAGTAAATAGAAGAAGAAACAAACGGAAACAATAAGAGAATGAAAATTTTCTCAAATTAATTCACTGTTGAACATTGTTCTTGTTTTCAGGAGCCTTTCTCATTCCATACCTGGTTATGCTCATTTTCGGTGGTCTTCCTCTCTTCTACCTGGAACTAGCTTTGGGTCAATATTATCGAAGTGGTTGTCTGACTTTGTGGAAAAACATTTGTCCAATAATGAAAGGTAATGTCCGAGTAAATGTTTACAGTTGAGAAGCTTTGCCAAAAAATGGAAAACCAAATTTTCCTTTTCTTTTAATTGAAACAAATTTCACCGGCAATTGACTTTAATCTTGAGATATTGTTTCACCATGGAAATGAATCTGTTTCATCTTTATTTCAACTGAAAAATGCTTTAAAAGGTTACCACGGAGTGAAAAGGTTGAATATTACATTTGACTGAATGACTTTTGCTCAACTTTAAAACCTTTTCCTTTTCTCTTCTTTTGGGTTTGAATGTAATCATTTAATAAGTTGTATAATGATCAAGAATAGAGGTTTAATTATTGATCACAATTCAATTGACATTCCTATTGAACAATCTTCTCTTGCCAATTACTTATCATTCAAATTGATTCAAGCCTTCCAAGTTTCCTAAGAAACCAAATTTACTTCATTTTTATCCTTTTCTCATCTCTTGCCGAATCCTTTTCCTGATCATTTCCATTCTGATCAATAGTAAACACATTCTTGGGTCAAATCAAATTAATAATCAATCTTAATCATCTTCAATCAATCAACACTTTTCACTGTTTTTCAACTTCTTTTCTCTCATTAAGCTAAATTGCTAATTATGCTAAAATGTGTTTAATTCAATTAGCTTTTCATAATTTTGTGTTCAGAAATGAAACAATCTGTTGAAAATGATTAAAGTGACAATTTAGTTTCACTTCCAACCTGCAATTTAATAACTTTTTCATGTTCACCTAATTGTTGGACGGTTTAATGTTAATTCAATTTGAAGAAGTAACAATTTAACAATGGAAATTGATTATTTTCCTATCATTTTGTAGTTGGTTGAACAAACTCATTTCCTTATCAACATTTTTATTCAAATTTTTCATTCCATTCAAGTTTTTCTTTACTCAACTTTTCAACTTTTTTCCCTTTTCTTCATGTTGATAAATCAATTTCAAATGGTTAACAATGCAAGAAAGTGGTTGACAAAATATCAACTTGAAAATGCATTGAATTGGCACCAAAAAATAACCATTTATCAGGGAAAAAAGAAAAAAAAGGCAAAATTTTTTCAAGTATCAACGTTACAAACTTGTAAATTCATCATAAAATGATGATCAAGTTATGTTTAAATTACCATTAAATTATGAAAAGTGAAAAAGTTTCCCTGTTCCTCTTTATTCCAGGCATCGGTTATGGTATTTGTTTCATTGACTTATACATGGCCTCCTATTATAACACAATAATAGCCTGGGCTGTTTATTATCTGGTCGTTTCATTCAACACTGAGCTTCCCTGGACAAGTTGTAACAACACTTGGAACACACCAAAGTGCCGAAACCTAATTGAACGAGGTTTAAGCAATACAACCGGAGTAGTCAGTCCAGCACAAGAATTTTTTGAGTAAGCATACCTTCGACTCTCAGAACTCATTCCCAAAACTTCTTGACTTTTCCTTCCCAGAGACTTCACTCCGAACTTGCATTCCCAGCAAATGCCCAATAAAAGTTTTTACTAGCAAATCTGTTAAAACATTTAGACAAAATATCACTTCCAAAGCTTGTCGACAGAACTTTTAGCATTCGCAATCCCTAAGTTGTTAGCTTCAGAAGAATATATATTTTCTGAAAAAACAGATATTTTCCTATTCGTCGACTAATTTAATGATTTTTAAACTTGTTAACAAGTTTAGATCGAAATATCATTAACTCATTTCATGAGTTTTCTGAATGATATTTTACAAAAGGGAATTCAAGTGAGTCAGTTAACAATTGATGTCACTAAATTTGACTAAAATCAATCCATAACCAGTAATCATATTCAGTCGAAACTTTGAATTCCATCGAATTTTCGATTTTCGAGAGTTTTCGATTCCAATAAAATTCAATGAATAGCATTGACAAAGTTTACTAAGTTTTTGCACTTATTGATGATGTAACAGAAAGATGCAAATATAAGTTTACTGTTATCCTTTGCAAGAGACAAGAAATCTGACAAGATTTGTCTTAATATATAAGTTCTTGTTTCACTCAGAAAGCACTCAATTGTCTCAATGCTTAAATTTTTTCTGTCCATGAAAACCTTCCATGGTACTAATCATTTTCTTTGTCCTTATCGATATACAGAAAAGTCCCTTTCATTCCCAGCATTTTCACTCCCAGCTTTGAGCATTTTTTGCCATTGAACTTGATGAGAAGTTTTTACCTTTAATTTTGTTGCAATTGAAATGGTTAAAATAAAAGGTGAAAAGTGTCTCAACAATTTCAACTGGATCAATGAAAATTATTCATTGAAATGTTTATTCAGCTTCCATCTCATTATTTATGTATCATGTTAAGAATCATATTTTTGTGCTTCCCTGCCTTCCATTACCTTTGTTATAGCCGTTGCTGTATATCATTATACTGGTTCCTATCTATATACATAAATATTAGCTTGTGAGTTTGTGCGGTGTAATAATGATAATATTCAATGGAAGTTGTTTGAAACTTTTGATTTCAAGATTGATTCTCTTTCTAAATGGTTAACTTCAGTTAACTGATCAACTCTCCCTTTTTGTCTATTCAATGGTTCATTCAATAAATTGCCATTATCTGGTTTCCGAGTTTCTTTAACTCTAACAATATATTAAAGTAAGAAATGAACTGAACAAGGTTGATCCAATTCTGAAGCTGATACATCTTTTGACAAGCAATTCTCATTACTCAAACACCTTCAAAGCTGTTTCTTACCTGAAAAATGGATACTCACTTTGTTATCTGAACAAGGTAAAAAGGTAAAACCATTTAACGATATAAAAACGTTATAGGTAAAAATGATTATAATGATCATGTCAATGATGATAATGATGATAATAATAATGATGATGATGTAACTGAAAGCAGTGAAACAATAAACTGTGATTGAATAGCACGCAATCAGATTAACCTTAACTTCCAGGGAAACATTCATCAACCTTTCCTAATCAACAGTTCAGTTATCAAATATGCAAAAATACAATCAATCAAAATATTTTGCAACATTTGTGATTAAATTTAAATGCCTTTCAATTGTAATTCAACGATAATTGAAACAAGCTAAGAATAGAGATTTTGCTGAAAATGAAAGCCATTTCAATGAAACCTTTTCAATTGATTTTTCATTTTAAAATGATTGGAAAATTTGGTTTATTTTTAATTTTGTTGCTTCTATTTTTGTGATAGATTTGATTTTCATTGTTCAATCTGTTTAATTTTACAATTTCTTGTTCATGTTAAGTCTTGAAATGATATGAAAGGGAAACCATTTTTGTCTTCATGAATGTGCTTACAGTTAACTAAGCCAATTGTTGTTTCTTACATCCATTTAATCACGTAAATGATTGTATTTAATATGAAAATCAAGTTAAACTGAAACGACTGCAAATTTAAACAATTTAACATTTTGTGTGGTTTTTGTTCCTATTACAATCAATGGTCAAGAGTTGAAAATAATATTGAACATTCATCTAAAATTAAATGCTGATCAAATCAATATACCATTAGATGGGTAAATTGAGCTTAACATTTAACCTGTTGATTTAGATGATCAATAAGAGTGATTATGGTAATGAGCTTGAATGTTGAAATGTAAAAATAACAAAAGATTACCTTCAAAGTGATTATTTATGCACCAACAGATGATTAAAGCTGCATCTTGTTTGGTAATATATTTTCACTTTTTACTGGAATGATCATAAATTTGTTGCTCTTCTTATGACATACCTTATGTATATCATTTCAATTCACTTTTTTTTATTGCTACTTGACAATTTGCTCAAGGCTATATTCACAAAGGAATGAGCCTTTCAATTGAATGAATGTGAAGAATCAGATTCGATCAATTCCAATTGTCTTTGTAAGATAATAATAATAAGCATAAAAGCTATTATTATAATACATTTCAATGGATAAAAGTGAAAACAGTCTTTTCCTTTAGCCTTTTACATCCTTTTACCATCTGGTTGATGTTTTACTTTCTTGTTTTGTTCAATCATTAAAATAGAATAGAACAATTTAGGGTTGCTTTCACAATTGAGTCCATTTCAGGTTATCACATTTTCCCCTATTTTCAGGCGTTCAGTTCTTCAAATCCATGAATCCAGTGGAATCGGTGATATTGGTCCAATTAAACCTTCCCTTGCAATGTGCCTCGGACTCGTATTTATTTTGGTATATTTTTCATTATGGAAAGGTGTAAAAAGCTCTGGAAAGGTGAGTTGATGATTGCAATCAATCTCATCATGTTAATGTTGGCCGAGTTAATTTGCGAATCTCATCATGACATTTATATCTAAAAGGAAAACAATGAACAAATGAAAGAAAATAATTGATTAGAGAAATGTTTCATTCTTTCGGCTTTTCATCTTAATCATATTAAAGATTGTTCGACTTGTTACATTTATCTGATTAATTGATTACTTTTTCTTTCTTTACATGCATCTTTGTTTGATGTCTTGTCAATTCTCAGGCGGTTTGGATTACCGCTACATTGCCATATTTCGTTCTCACTGTGCTTCTTATAAGAGGAGTCACTCTGGAAGGTTCAATTGAAGGAATTAAATATTATCTTTATCCACAATGGGATAAACTTCTTGAACTTCAGGTTAGTTCAAGGGTTAAACTGATTCCATTTAAACATGGTCACAGATAGTTATTGGTTGAGCATCAAGTTCAATTTTAACTCATCATGTAAATTTTAATCTAACAGGTTTGGATTGATGCAGCAACTCAAATCTTTTTTTCCCTTGGACCTGGATTTGGTGTACTTCTAGCATTATCAAGTTATAACAAGTTTCATAACAATTGTTTCAGGTAGAGCGATATTTCAACTGTAGATTAAACTCTGCATATCAACTTTAATCGACTTTGATTTGCTTTCTTCCATCTTATACATTTATATCATTAGAGATGCCATTCTCACAAGTAGTGTCAACTGTTTAACCAGCTTCTTGGCGGGTTTTGTTATCTTCTCCGTTTTGGGTTACATGGCCAAGGTACTGAACAAAGATGTTAGCAATGTAGTAACTCATGGTAAGTTTTTGTCTATTTGTTCTTTTAATAGCGTAATACTGATATTTTTGTTCATCAAACTCTAGGTGCTGGTTTAGTGTTCATTGTTTATCCTGAAGCAATAGCAACTATGCAATATTCGTCTTTTTGGGCTGTACTTTTCTTCGCTATGCTTATAACTTTAGGTTTGGATAGTACGGTAAGAATATCTTTAACACTATATTTAATTCATCCTGGTCGAACCGTCCTAGTTCTTGAATTTCAGTGATGGTAATGGAGGATTATATTCGTTCATGTACATGACTTTATCCATTTATAATCTTGAAAAATTTGCACTCTGATTTTTCCAGCTGATAATGTTTGGAGATTGATTTTGCTCGACATTTAGTCTCTGATCCACATAGGCTTTGATTGTTGAAGAAAATTGAAATTGTAGAACATCAATTAATCATCCAACTTCACTTTTATCAATTTATTTCAACAATAATCTTTTGTTTTTTTGTTCCTTCTTTCAATGCTCTATCATCACCATGATTGACTTTCACTTTTCTGATCCTACTGGATTAACATTGTGATTGGTAGTTTGCTGGATTGGAAGCTTTGATAACTGGAATCTGTGATGAATATCCTCATACTATAAGAAAAAATCGTGAAATATTTGTTGCCATATTAATTATTGTCATTTATTTATTTGCACTGCCAACAACAACTTACGTAAGTTGAAAATCCATAAGGACCAGAAAACCTGTTAAAAGAAAAGATATTATAATTTTTTGTTAACTTTCATTTTATAGGGTGGTAATTATGTTGTCAACCTTTTAGACTCTTACGGAGCTTCATTTCCACTGTTATTTATCGTCTTTGTTGAATCCGTCGCAATATGTTGGATGTACGGTGAGTAATACAAAACATGCTGGAAGAAACTTGAGTTACAAACCTAACATTTGATGCCATCAATTCAACAGGAGCCAATAAATTTGCCCTACAAATCAAAGAGATGCTTGGTTATATGCCCGGAATATTTTGGAGAGCTTGTTGGACATATATTAGTCCCATCTTTCTTTTCGTAAGAAACATAAACTCCATTTTAATTTACAAATATCAAATACACTTACATAACATTTTTAGGATCGCGAGTTGACTCTTCAATCGTAACTTTATAACCAGACCACTTCCCTCCAACGATAGCACAATAAAATTTAACTTAAAAATCAAAAATAAAAGATAGATCATCAAGAAAATCCGTGATTAATAAATAGTTAGACAATCGTTTCCATTGAATATTGAAATAACTGTTGTACAAAAAGCTAAACTTTTAAAACTGTGGTTTATTCCATTAGATGGCGTTACAAAAGAAATAGATTCTAGCTAGTAGTGTCATCTATTGATAAAAATTTAACTTAAAACGCTAAAATAAACAACTCAATTGGTCAATGATGAAGTTTGATAATAAAGATTGAATCAGATGGTAGCAACCGGATTAACTTTAATTAATTTGGCCATAAAAGTGGGTTCAATTGAAGGCAATATAATCTATCAGTTGTGTGATAAAAACAGATTCTGTCTTCTTTTAAGGGCAATTTGTTGAAATGAATCAGGATTGATACAAAATTGAATCATTTTTGGTGTTACATGAAAACAAAACAAATGATTACAATAGAAATGATAAACAATGAAAGGCTCAAGTTTCACTTGAATGGTGCAATCAGTGAATGAATAGTAACCTGTTTAACTTGACGTAATTCAGTGTAATAACAGTAATCAGATGACTAAGATAAATATTGGATCGTATTTAATTGTGAACGCAAAGTTATTTATTAGCCTTACTGATTCTCGCACCAATCACTTAGTTAGTGGGCAAAACAAAAGCTCAACAGCAAATATTAACATTTTTGGTCATCAACATTCCATGAATATTTATGTCCGTTAACTGGTTAAATATTTCAACAAGAGACTATTCAATACTAATTAGTAAATCAATGTTGAGTGTGTTCACGATTGAAGCAGTTGCAAGTGTAAAATACATTAAGAGCTTTTTTTTCAATTTGTGTTGATCCTTGTGAATCAATAATAGATTATCATTTGGGAGTCGGAAAATGATTAATTCTTGATACTTTTATTTATTCAGATGAATGTTCAATTATATACAGGAGAGGAAATGAGCAATTACGTTACAAATTGATTATCTAAATCAATTTAGATTTTTTTTCTCTCTCTCATCAATCTAACTTTAAGCTTGCAAGTTATCATCATTTTGAGTTGGAGTGAAAAAACGTTTGCACATAAATTATGATTGAGAAAAAAATATATTCAAGTTGATTTTCATTTTAATTAAATTTTCTTGTACTGGTATTTGTTTCATCAATTCACTGTTAAGGTTGACTAGCCAGATTGTACTCATATTAAACAAATTACATCATCCAACACTTGATGTAAATATGATAAGTACACAATTGATGGTGACTCATAAAGATTCTAACGTACTTCAATGTGATATTTAAGGGTAAATTACGTTGAATTCAACGTAAGTAGTTTATCAGGGTTGCCCCAGAGAAAGAGAAAAAGATAATCTTTGAATCTTGAGCACTTATGATTAATATGTTTCCAATACAAAAATGACAAATGCCATCAACCAATGACATTTACATTAAACAAATCTGTATGAAAAAAAGAGAAACAGATGATTGAGAAAAAACTGTCCACTTAGATTTTGGCGATGCTTGGATATTCGATATCAACAGGATTAATTTTCTGTCTTTCTTATTTTGTGTCAATCAGGTTACATTTACATTTGCAATTATTGGTTACAACGATTTGGAATGGGAAAATTATAAGTATCCAACTTGGTCAATTAGCCTTGGTTGGTTAATTACAAGTTCATCAATTATTTGTGTTCCTATTTACGCCATTTATCATCTTTGTAAACTTGATGGAACCTTTATTGAGGTAATTATTGCACCACCAGCAAAACATTGACATCATACCATTATCTTTAACTGTAAATGTGAGGGTAAAATTTTGTAAAACAACACTAAGTAAACTTATGACAAGTTCAGAATAAACGATGGACTGTCATGAAGTTTCAGCGAGACAAACGAGATGAAAGACTGAGAAACACAAATACATATAAAATATGCATGTATTTAAAGTAACAATAGAAAAACGAGAGAAAAGTCAGCAAGTAAGGGACAAAATGGAAGAAATCAAGAGTTACGATAAAAATGAGATAAAAAGAGAAAAACAAAATGAATAATACCTTATAATGAAATAAAAGGCCCAGAAAAAAAAGAAAGAGAGAAAGAGAAACAAAAGTTAGGTTTGTTGGGAGATTTATTTTTCTCTTGCTGATATTAATGTCGTCTCCATTTCTTTCTTTCTCTGGGATTTTTGGTCTTGGTCTTGGTCTGAATTTTCTGCATCATTTTGGGAATTCAGCGTCTAGTTAAATCCATTAAACCAGATACAGAGAGATGTATCCAATCGGATGGAACTAAGTCCAAGAGAGACAATTACGCTGAGGTGTGAACAAAAGGAAAAAATATGAGAAGACGGTTGATGGATATGGTCGATGTACTCCGGTTAAGCCTTGATAAATGTACTTCTTCAGATGTCTGAAACATCATAACATAAAAAATAACACAGAGCACCTGATGAAGTACAAATAACAAGCTTCCATTGGTCTTCAAAAGAAAAGTGTACAAAATTAATCACAGAAATCAATAAAAACCAGAAAAGTAAAATAAATTATGATTAAAAACAAAAGAAACACAGCATCGTAAAAATTTGAACAGAGAAAGAGATTGAGGTAAAGAAAGGAAAAGGAGTAAAGGAGGAAAAAAAAGTATACTGAAGACACTGAGAAAAAGATTAACAGACAAAAAAACTTACACTAATACACTAGTCCAATACCAAATGAGCAAAAAGGTTGAGATGTAGATGTAGAAGTGTATGTAATGTGTGTGGTAGAGAGAGAGAACAGCAACAAGATGAAACAAAAAAATATTATAAAGATGAGGATGAAGATGAAGATGAAATGATGAAGTAAAACAGACAAAAACCCGAAACCTTCTCGGCAATATATTTTCTGGTAATAGGGTGGAAGAGACTCTCTCTCTATCCAAGTTGCCTCCCTTCTTTTCTTTTCTTTCACCACGTGATTAGGGGAAACAACTTTTCTAACTTGAAACAGGGGATAGACACAGAGCTACAGATACACAAATAATACAGGGTGTTGAGTAAGAAAAAAGGGAATCAAATTGGGAAGCAAATTAAATATGTTTGAAAATAGCGGTTGATTCAATAGAAGAAAAGTTTCACCATCGGTTGTATTGTCAACAAGAAAGCAAGACAACAACAGCAGTAACACAAGAAAATGATGGGAATCAGTTTTACTGCGCATTGATTGGGCTGTTCTTTTTGCTTACAGAAATAAAAGAATTCAAGTTTTTTTCTCGCTTTTTTTCGTTTCATCTTCTGACTCTACTCACCCTGTACAGACACACACAAAAAGAGACAGACAGACAGGGGAAGAAGAAGATAAAAAGGGGAAAACAAACGGAAGTTAGAGTTAAGGAGGAGTACAAAGGGAATTTGTCAAAGAATATGTTGATGATGGAAGAAGTAGGAGGTCAAGATAAATCATCATCATCATCATCATCGTATCAAGCTGAAAAGACATGAGAGGAAAAATAGATGGAGAAATTGGGAAGAGAAATAGAAAGAAAAAGAAGAAACAGAAGATAAAAATGTGGCTCCTTTTTAAGGTTATCGTTGAATGCTTCAATCAAGTTCAACTCTTGGTAAAAATCTTTTGTTTCCTTGATTGTTGAAGTTGAACACAAATTAAGAGGTGTATGGTCAAGAGATGGTTATAACTGATCACTTTATAAAATAGATAACTTTATATAAAAAATACACACAAAAACAAAACAATTGTAACTGGTCAACTATTGAAACTGGTATCAATATGAAAATTATGAGTTTGGGTTTTTGGTTTAGTTTTGGGTTAAAGTTGAAAACTATAACATTGAGACTGGAAAGACTAGACAGTCTGAACACAGACACATACTCAGAGGTCATTATATTTGTTAGTGAAATAAACGTTGTTGCCAGTTAAACAAAAAATATTGTGAGAAGAGAAAAGAGAAAAGGCAAAAATGTAAAAACGAAGAAAGAAAAAAAAGAAAAGGCGAAGAGTTTTGAAGAGGGAAAAGATTGTGATTGGTTTTTTTTCGGGTTTAACCAGGTTTTTTTGGTTATCCAATTCTTTTGGGTAAACAAATGTTCAATGTAAGAGATTGTCTAATTGATTTGAAAAGTAACAGCAGTTTTGTTGGGAAACAAAACAAAAAGGATTCAAGATTTTTCCAGATTAAATTTTTATTGTTTAGTCCGATACTCATATGAAGGTTGGAACAGCAAATTGGTCAAAAATTTTCAACCAAAGTATCTTATCAACAAGCAAAGTGTTCAATCGGATTGAGAGAGTTAACAAAAAAAGCTGTTAATAGTACATAAATTGGTGAAGCAAAAAAGGACTCGATGAAACCAGTTATAGCGAAATTGATTCCCAATTTATCTAAACAAAGAAAAGGAGAAATTGTGATTCACAGGGAACAAAATCATCATTGAACCGGTGTTGCTATTTAAATGGTAATCAAACTGTTTGGTATTTTGCCCTCTCAATCATCATCACCATCAACAATCATCTCCTTAACCTTTTTCTTGGGTCAAAAGCCAGATACCCATTTGTACTGTTTACATCATAGGACAGGAAACTGGATCAACTAATGAAAGGCTGAAGTATCCATTAAAAAGCCAGCCAATGTACACATCGTCATGATCGTCATGATGAAAAAAAGTTATCTTCATGAATTACTGATTCAAGAGGAGGTAAAAATGGAGAGTAATCAACATTAACAATTAGCTACAATCAACCCGCACTCAACATTCAACACTATTTATATTTCATCAGGCGTTTTCAAGGCAACCAATACATTCATCATCAACATCCTTTCTCGATAATATCATCTCTCCATTAACCCAAGACCAAACACCTTCACCTCCTAACCTTTGTCACAACCCAAACACACACAGCCTGTACAACACCGTAAGTAACCCAAAATAACCTTTAACCTGGAAACCATTTTTCACTCTTCATTCCCATGGTAACTCCCTAATCAATTAATCTTTCATCTTGATCATCTGTCAATGAACATTGAACAAAATTTCAACTTTTCTTAATCAAATTGCAACCAAAGAAGATGTTTAATGATCCTGATGATGATTAAGAGAATGATCAGCGATGATTGCGAAAATAAAAAATTAGCAAAACATCAAACCAACTACGCACCAACAGCTTATTTCAATACAAAATCATCTTCCTCTTCATCGCCATTGCCCATCATCATGATCATCTTGAGACTCATTCATAAATTTTTTTCCTTCACTCACTCATTTAACTTTTATTTTACAAGAAATAACGTAAACCATGCAAATATTACATGTTATTAATGTAAAAGGAAATATATTATAATAGTAAATCCTTTGCTAAAAACGCTTCATGAGCCTACTACTTTTTTGCCTTTCCTTTTCATGATGATGATGATGATAGTTGCTTAGTTTGTTGCTTCTTAAATATCCAAAGTCATGAGTCACACCTTTGGTATCATGCCAAGTCTGATGAGCTCGGAACTCGCCTGAAAAAGATGAGGAAAGCCTGAAGAAACCCAAAGAAACATTCATCAATCTGTTTAACATCATTTTAATTTGTTGCCTTTCTCCTTCATCATCATTCTCATCATTTTAACCTTCTTCCTCTTCTTTAGCCTTCTCACTCTCACCATCATTTGTTTATGAATCAATGAATAATATTGAGTAAAATGAACTGAATCAAACTAATGGTTTAACATTTTTGTTTAACAAATTGTTACAACGCCTTTTGAAACATTTACACTCACTCATGTACATACACATATACAAACAGTTGAATCCAACTTCAATCACTTTACTAATCAGTCAATCAAATGAGTTAATTATCGCGATTTACTGATTCTTTGACCTCACCAACATTCAACTTGTCACTAACATTGGAACCAAACAAGTCATCAGATGTTCAATGTTTCAATGTTTTCTTACAACAATTGACTTATCAATAGCAATACAACCTTTCTTCATCTTAACAAATCAACAATTAAGGAATCAAGAAATTTCAAATTTAACTCAAATTGCTAAATATTTAACCAAAAAAATATCATTCCATTGACTTGGGTTAAAATAAATATTCAATTGAATATTCATTTACCAGAAAACCAGATTCGTGAACCCAATGAAGAAAAGAGCTTAAACTAATCAACTTTGAATGTGTGAAAGTAAACAATTTACTGATTAAATTATCCACTGTTTAAATCAACTGTCCATTAGTTAAACAAAATTAATCAAATTGGCAATTCAAATTGGATGGATTAAAGGAAACGAAATGAAAACCCAAAATGAATACCAAATAGCCTTAACAAAAAGGTTTCCCATTGAATTAAACAATGAGAAGACGATCAGTCTCAATTAACGCACAACAATTACAATCAATGAAAGCTAATCATACAAAACAAATGACAAAGTTGATTGTTAAATATGACGATTTTGTTCAGGTGAAAACCAGAAAACCAAAAAAACTAAAAGGTAATACAAAAGGCCAACAAATTTACATGTAAATTTTAACGTGACTTGATTTAACAATCAATTGTAAATGTATCTAAATTATTGATAATTATCATTATGATTATATAATTAAAGAAGGAACAAAGTTGACTGTAAAAAGATGATCAACAAGATAATAACAATCGAGTAACCCTTTTTTGGGTTCACGTTTCTCATTATTTTTACCCAAATTATAATCATTCTTATTCACCTTCTCATCACAATCATCCATCATCATCATTCTCATCTTTAATCATCCCAATCCTTAATCACACAAGATTAAGATTATTATTAACCAAAGGTTTCCATTAGTTCCATCAGAGGAAACTCACTTGTTGAATCAAACTGTTACCCTTTACACTGGTTTACCAGATTTTAGGTTAAACTGTTTCTAAATTGTCATTAGGATTAATTATCATTACTATTACAATTAGCTTTACAAATTGTTAATAAAGATATTGTTGAACAATTAACAGTGATCACTGTTTCTGTTAAATCTGTTTTACTCTGCAATTAACCTTTAAACCAAGGGAAGAGACTAATTATAAACTGATTAACTTTGGGACAATTAAGACATTGAAAGTAAATTTAGCGAAACCAAACAATTAGAAAAGGTAAGAAATGACAAATCTAATGATTAAGGTTAACATGTTAAAATGATAATCATTACCATCTAATTGTTTCCTTTAGATGATACAAATGGTTAAATGATTATTGACTTTTTACAATTGAGAAGCAAAATTAAAGCCATTTGCTCAAGTAATTAGTTTACTTTAGGTGTCAATTGAACAATCAAATGTTGATTCATCTAAATCAACATTTAACCTTACCTTGAGACTTCTTACCATTTCTTAACCATCTTTTAATTACAATACTAATTGTTATCATAGGTAATTATTATCACTACTATTAACAGACCATTGACTTAATTTCAACATTAAACCATCTGCATTACAAACAAATTAATTGCTATTTCCTTAACCAACACAACAACAAAAAGGTTGAAAATGAAGTAAAAAAAGGCGATTTCCTAATGTATTAACATTACAATTAACATTACAATTATATTAATCATTAACCATTAGTTTGGTTAAATCATTTTTCATCTTTTTTCACGTAAATAGCACTTTTCTTAACCTTTTTTTACCTTCATTTTGTTGTTGAACCAGAAAAGATGAATTCATTTTGTTAAGATAAAAAAGTGTTACCATCGCTTTATTCATTAGATTTTTGATTAAAATGTTTTTATAACATGAAAGAGTTGTTCATTTGATGAATTTGGGTTTGATTGGGTTTGAATGATGATGTTGATGATAAGATGTTAAGAGTTCTGAGAATTGGCGAAATATAAAAATGATAATAATTCTAAGAATAATTGGTTTAAAAATAAATCAGTTGTAACAGTGAAGGAATGGTGAAGATGGCGATGATGATAACAAGGATGAAACAATCTGAGAAAAAGTGAGTTTTCATTGAGAAAGAGGTTAAAATTGGATCGATAACCATTAAACCATAAAATGTTTAGTCTTCTGATGATCGTCATCATTATCGTCATCAATATATCGTCATCATCTTTGTCTGAGTTTTCTTGTGAATGATAATTATAGTGAAGATGATGTGCAAAAGTCTAGTAACCTCAACATATAAAGTCAATAGACTTGTCCAGTTTTTTTCAGGCTGAAAGGAAAGAATCTCAGGCTTTCAGAACAATCAGACTTTAGGATGTGTGTTTCAAACTGATGAATGAGAAGATGAGAGATGATTATTTTGCTGTTGTTTTTCATGATGATGATGATGATGATGATGCTTTTCATCATTTTATAATGAAGGCAAAATGTCTAAAAAGTGAATGGGAAAAGATTAAAGAAGCCAAACCAGAAAAAAGAAAATTGTTTGTCTGGTTCATGATAACAACGTTTTTCATTCAATTTTATGTCAGCCTCATGATTATATTGGTGTAGATGAAATGGATGATGGGATAAACAGTTTATCTGATTAACTGGAATCTGAAAACTAGTCTAGACAAAAAGAAGGAGAGAGAAAAAAAGAAATTGATTGTTGAATATTGAATAAAATGATTCCTATTGTAATGAGATTTTTTCATTTAATCTTTTCACTTTAATTGTAATGGCAAAGGAAAGTATCTTTAAAGACATTCTGGATTGACTTCATATCTAATACAATGACGATGATGATGAAGTTACCTGTGAATATATGACTAGGTGGGAAGAGAAAGAAAGAGATTCAAACTGGTTCTCTCAGTTTCCCTTAGACGATGGTGAAGTGAAAAAAAAATGTTAAACACAAAAATTTGAAGCCAAGTTTGAAGAGAGTTCAGGGACGTTCAAGGTCAAGATATACCAGGTAATTTCAGATTCCCCTCTTCAAATCATGACGACGATTCATTGTTTGAAGCCTGGAAAAAAGAAGGCAGAGAAAGAGACTGGAGAAAGTGAAGATGAAGAGAAGAGAAGAGAAGATGAAAAACAAAAGTCTTTTTTTATCATCTCTGCTTCTTCTTCATTACAACTTGGTTTTTGATGCCACTTTAGGACTTGAATATCAACCCTCAGACGTGAGGCGGGATAATTTCAAACTGTCTGGCCATTTAACTCTAACGATCACCTTGAATTGTTAGGATGTTCATTCCTCATCATCATCATCATCATCATCTCTTTCATCTTTCCCTGTCTTTTCCCTTTTTTCTCATCTTCATCAGTCTCTTTGCCTCTTCTTTTTTACTCTTTATCTTTACTCCTCACTGTTACACACACACGCACAATAACTCTCACTCATTTCTCATCTTTTTCATCTTCTCTCTCTTTATCATCTCTTTCTTTCCTTACTTCATTGATTCCAATTTTCTGATCTGAAAAATGTTCAGAGTTTCATGATCAAATTATTGCATGCTGCCCTCTATTGACTTTTTCATTATTTATTTAGCCTGAGAAATTTATGCATTTTGTTAACTCTGTTTTTTTGTTATTGTTTTTTTTGCTATTAAGTTTGCTTTGTTTTGTCAATTGTAATAATTAACATTATTATCATTATTTTCAGTTTATTGGTATCAGTGCGTTGACATTCATTGTTTTCATCAGTTTATTGTTTTACTGAAACATGATTTAATGATAATTATTGTCTCTAATATTCATTTTTGTCATTAGATATCTTTTGTAATCCTTTTGATTTTTACCTCCATTTTTTGTCTACACCTCACAATGTCTTTCCATATGAGAGATTTTTGCTACATATCTTTGCTTCATTTCAATATTGTTTTACTTTGAGGTGTTTGATGTTTTTTATTCATTGCTATAATTGAATAATTATAAATTACCTTCGTTTTTTCATCGTTTGCTTTTATTTGCAGCTTCTGGGTAAAGATGCCGATGGAACTAAAGACCACCGTTTGCTAATCGACAGGTGAAGATTAACAAGTATCATCTGTGTACTTTTGGAAGACATTTTTGAATAGTAATTACTTTTGTTAATTGTGCTAATGAAAGTAAGAAAAAAAGGTGAATATTTCTTCTAAATAATCTAAAAAGCTTTTGTTTTAGTTGTCTTATAATGTTGAAGAAACTGTTTTTTTACATGTAATATAAAAGTCAAAACATATGTACATTTATGTTTATCATGCGATTCATCAAGCTATTTTTTTTGAGTTTCATCTTTGAATAATTTAGATCAGTAATTTTGCTTCTTTTTTCTCTTTCTGTTTAGATGATATGCAAAGTTTGGTCATAATAAGAAGAGTCAAATGAAATTAAGTTACTCGCCAGTTAATTGTCCATTTTTGTCTGGTAAAAGGAAGCAAGGAAAATAAGAGAAGTGTAAAGAGAACTTCTAATTACTCTCTGTCAAATCTTCTGGTCAACGGACTGACAATTTGTTGGTTTTACCAAGTAAACAGGCATCATCATCCTCACCGACAGCGACAGCAACATCAACAAGCCAAAATCATTATACAAATGTAGTAAAGAAGAGGCCACATTGAAAAACTGGAGGAGTTACGCCAAAAAAATGAATTTGCATGCACAAATAGGACCCATGAGAAAGACTCAATCTCAATTTGTTTATTCTGTGTATAAAAAGAGTAAAGTAACCATGATCAAAGAACAAAAAGGGAATGTTAAATCAGATTAGGCTTTTTTTACAAACAGAGGATACAGACTGAAACTCATGGAAGCATTACATCATACATGATATTGCTAGTAGACTATGTAAAGTTAAATACCAAAAGGTGAATATGCATGATGATGAAAACACCAAGCAAGGACTCTAAATGGACCAATAATAAGCTGATCAGATGAAAAGAAAGGAAATTCAATAAGTGGATGGAGAATCAACAGCAAGGTTATCATCAAACCAATGTAATCTTCCCAATGTATTCAGTGATTTCTTCAGCTTTATTCCATCTTTTTCAAACGGCAGTTATTACATGGTATTCATTATAAAATTGAAATTACTATAAATACTACCATAGCTGCTTTTCACACAGAAGATTAATTGTGATGGATTGGAAGCAAGAGAAGGAAAATAATCATGATTATTGTAATTAGATGAATAGTTAATCTTATGATGAAGTTGGCTGAAAAATGAAAAGCTTGGTTGTCTTTAAAGGAAGGCCTGTTTTATATCTGTCACAACTAATCTGTTTGAAAAAGATGGTGACAATCAAAATGTTTACAGTAACAAGATTAAGCTAAAAGTGAGATTGAAACTGAAGATAATTCTGCCTGAGCATGACACCTTGATAGGTGTAAACAGGTACGTGTTCCTGTGCACAGTTTGACAGATGAAAAGTGCAAAGGATACTGAGGTTAGGATGAGGTGAAGAGCGAGAGAGAGAGACTCAAGAAGAACGGAAAGAAAAGATGAAGTTGAGTGGATGAATGTCAGGTAAAGCATATTATCAACATGATAAGAAATTGTTGTTACCTATAGTTGATAATTAGAGTACGTGCGAAGGTCGTCATGCGCAACACACACAGGATAAGCACGTACAGGATCACCAAGGAATAGTAAGAACAAAGAGAGAGAAAGGAAAATGAATGACAAAGAATCATGATAACAATGTAAGAATGATGTATGAAAGATGAAAGCCTAAGTGGAAAGGATGAAGGATGAAGGAGGAGAAGAAGGTGAAAAAGAGTGAAATGTGGGTGGAGATTTTATGATCAGTGTTTTAATGGAAATTTTGCTTCTTTTTTTTCAGACAAATTCATCCGGACAGACTAACATGTTAACACTGGACGAAACAGAAGCGGACGGAACCTCAAAATTACCAGATTAATCCTGAGGCTAATGGCAATTATCAATACATCTTGTTGGTTGAAATCATTTTTCAATATCAACCAGACACATCTGTTGGGAGACGCTTTTTGGACCATTCTGTGAACCAATTTTGCTTTTACCGGATAAATTTACTCTCATGTTTCGTCGTCTAGATCCTCCCGACAATTGAAATTTAACAAACGTAATTCAATTGTCACCTTTTTTTATGCTTTTATTATCATTATGCTTGTAAATGGTTAACATTGTTCAGGCTTTTTGTCTAGTTGAGGTAAAATTTAGTAACCTCATGTTTGTTACTTTGTTTTAATTTGTTCATTTTGCTTCGTATTCCCATTCATTGTTTTGAAATTAGTCTGTTCAGTTGTTTGGTTGATAATGTGCGGTGCACATGATAATCTTGATACAGTCTGGTTGATCCTGTGAATTTGGTTGAGAACGGTGTTACTCCTCAATAATAATGATAATAATAATAATAGCTAATGACAATACTGATGGTAATAATGATGAGTAATGATACTAATTCGGATGATAATAATAATAATATCCAAATAGCAACAAGAGAAGCCTCTTAATTAACTCTTACCCAAGCAATACATTGAAACAACAACAGCTAAAGAGTAGCATTTTTTTATTTTATCACAACAAATTAAATCCTTTCGGACAATTAAATTCAACGCACCCATGAACATCTACATGTGCATATGCATATAGATATTCACATTTTGTAGTTACATTGTCCCTTCATCTCTCAATCATCATCATGTTGGTTCCAAATAAAAACAAAAAGCCAGTAAAAAGAGACAAGAGAAAAGTCGTAAATGAACTCTTTTTTGCTATTTTTACGTTTGTTTTGTCTGGTTATTCAGTCAGTCTAGAGACAATCCTCAACTTTTTGCCTTGAAAGAGCAAAGATAATCATAATTTCATCAACTCTGATCTTTTCGCCAATCTGCATAATCGTAACCCAATATTCAGTTTATTCATCAGTCAATCTTTGTCCCAATCTCAACTCTTTTTTTGATCACAATTGTCCCTTACTAATTGTAACCAAACACTGAATTAAAGCTGAAAGTCAAAAGGCTTTCAAAGTGATCAGCTAATAAACTATTAATATTTAAGATTAAATTTTCACAGCCTAAAGAAGTTAATATTTAATCATTTTAAAATGGATGTTATAATTCAATCTTTTAGTTTAGGAAATTGAAATTGTACAGAAAAGTGTTTTCAAAGCAACTTTTTTTTCACTGATTTTGAAGACTTTTATTTATGTTGATTCCTGGTTGATCTCATTGATAATAGTTGAACAAATTAAAGTAAAAACTGGAAGGATAACAAATTGTAATCAGGTTAACTCATGTAAACTCGTATAAATCAAGGTTTAATGGGATAACAATTTATCTGACAATTTATATTACCTCTAAACGAAATCATAATCGCGATACTTTTAAAATGATGACAATTACCTTTACATTTGCTGATTACGCGAACGTGTTTGTTGTTATTATTACTTATTAACAGCTAAATAGATTCGGTTAATAATGAAAATAATAGAAATGATAATTACAATAGTTAACTTTGTTTCTTCCAATGGCTTTTTGTCTTTCACTTGTTCACCCTTCAATTGTATTAACAATTAACTATTAACATTGTTCATCCATTGCAAAAGGATAAAACCGTGATTATAATAATATATTAATCTTAATGAGCAACAATTCATTTAGTAAAGTTGATTAACTCAAATGAATCCTTTTAATATCACTGAGGACTTGTCCTCAGCAATAACAACGATTGTTGGTTTTGTCCTGAAAATGGTTAACAATTAAAACAAATAGACTGATTGTAATCAAGAGAAGTTACATTTGCAGGTCTAAAGCTTTTACCCCAAAACATTGGTCAACAGCTTACTGTCATTGACCATTTTAACCTTTTAATTTGGTTGTTTAATCAATTGAATCAACCTCTTATAGTGTTCAAGTTTAAGGTGAAAGAAACAAAAGGTTGAGTGAACACAAAAATTGTAAAGCAATGATGATGATTCTTCAAGCCTGATAAATGACTCTGCAAATGTGATGATTCAAATCAATCATTGTTATTAAAGGTAAATATTAAAGCCACACATATTACACAAAAAAAGACACAATTTGACACAACAATCTGTCGTTGTTCATCTCACTGTGTGTGTGTGTTTTTGACTCCTATTAACAACAGACACATTCAACTCCAGACAGGAACTCAATTGATCAAAATGTTGGTTTCAACATGATACAAATTGATTTCAATCGTCAATTTCGTTGTCTCATCGTCATTGCTCTTCAATTTGTCTGCAGGGTCAACCTTGTCATTAGAGCGATGAACACAATAAACAGAAATACAATTTACTATTCAAGAGTTTACCTAATATTTCTAGACTTTCTTTCCATCTAATTTTTTCATTTCACTTTTACTGATTATTTCATCAAATTACTTGCTCATTATAACTCATTTTACACACAATTAAGATCTCCTTTCTTTACCACTGAAAGCATAAAACAAATGAAAGCTAAATTAAACGCTATTTGGTCAAGATTGATGATTATTACAACTATTAAGATGATTATGTTGACATTGATGGAATAGTCTGGAAATTTTTTTTACTTTAAATATGAATTGAAAAGATCCAAAGATTTTGTCTCTTTACAAGAGACTTTGCATGGAAAATTCATCTCATTTTCATTTAATGAAGAGAAGTAAGAGTTAGGACTTCATGGGTTTGTAAAGGCATAAAAATTGAGTCCATTAGTGGCATCACAAAAATTATCTGATCGACAATTTTCGAGAAAATCGAGTCAAATGTGAAACTTGAATCTCATTTTGTGCAGTTGAACCAGATTTTTTCATCAAATAATCAATTTCTGATGTAGCTTTTGGTGATCAACCAGAAAATGCATTTTTTCGTGAAATATAATTTTCTGTTTCTGTACAATTGATCATTTCGATGTTATATTAAACATGTCGTTTCGAGTGACCGTAAGAGTTAGATCTGAAACCCATTTTTCGTCAATAAAATAGTTAGTGAACATCAACGACCGAACACTTGTTCAATTTTGCAGCAGTTCTCTTGATTTTATCCGTTGATCTTAAAACTTTGAACATCGATATCTCGAGAATGGAAGTGCTTAAAATCACCATTCTTTCGTCAATCATTAGATTGTATCATGAAAATTTTTCATTCACTTCTTCTTTTCATATCTGTTCAAGTTATTCATTTATTTTTATTTATAATTATTGAAATCTTTGAGCATGTTCTCGATGCAGAGTTTTTCATTCTAGGGACTTGTCATGCAATTTTGCAAGTTATAAGTTAGGTTTTAACTGATAAATGACTTGATCTTTATTATGATTATTTTGATCATCTAACAGGCTGTAAGATTGAAAAGACAGGAATAGACAATTGATTTATTTGAAATGAAATATCGTTGAAACATTTCATCTAAGAGTGAATTTGGATGGTCGATGAAGCATACAAAAGGGTAAAACCGATGCAAATTGATGGTGATAATTAATTGCACAGTTATTACATTATTTGTAATTGAAAGACTAAAAAATAGCATTCTTCTGATAGGAAGTCCAGTTTTGCTTTAATCAAAATCTAGTTTTGAAAATGAACTTTCCATGCAAAAGTCTTTACGGTTCATCGAAGACCTTATATTTATATTAACTTTTTCAACATAAACTGATTTCAAATTCAAATTCAGCGTAAAAAATGATAATTCAATTTACCAAAAATCTATGACAACTTTACTTTTGGCTTAATATCAAGCTTAAATGTTTTACCTAAAATATTGTAAACACAGAAATATGATAACAATTATGAAAATGAATCAATGACTGATTCTGTTGTGAAAGAAGTGATTTAACTGATAATTGACAGTCAATTGTGAAAGTTGTTACAATTGAGAGCCAGAAGGGAATGATTTGCATTGTGTTAAGTCTATTAACCCAAGTCCAGAACGAAACATGAAAATGTTTCGCCATGAATTTTGTCATTTTTTTTTTCTTTTCTTTCTTCTTGATATTTCTTTACATTATACACATTAAGTGAGAAAAGGGTTAAACAATCGCGAGTAACAATCAAAGTTAAATTGCAGAAAATGAGGGTTATTATATTAAAATTACCCTTAACGTGATTTTATTAATTCATTTTGGTTGGGCTGTTGTTTCACTGTCTGTGTTTTAACGTGTTCAAGTGATTAGTGAAGGAACCAACAGTCAACTGATTGTTGTCGTTATCAGAATCAAATTGCAATTGTAGTGACAATAACAATGGCTACAAAGAGACAACGAGCTGACAAGAATAATTAAAATAACTGAATAATAATAATATTGCTATTAAAAAGAGAGAGACTGAAAAAGGTAGCAAATTATCTTAAAATTGATTCTGATTAAAATGTCAGATAAGTGAAAGTGATTGATGAGGTTTGAATGAAAGGAAATGAACTCAATTGTGGATATATTATTTCAAAGGTTGTCTACAGTCGACAACAAGTTAGCTAATTAACAATTTCATGATAACAATCATAGTGAACAATAGTTAACCTGATCATTGACCGTAGGTTGCCAAATATGTTTACATACATGTTAATATACATCTAAATGATAACAATTAATATTACAATTACAATTTACTTTTTTCACTCTTTGCCAAGATTTCAAACTCTTGGTTCAAGGTAAATATAACAAGCTTGATGATGTTACTGATTATGTTTAACCATTTTTTGTTGCTTCTCCTGTTGCCTTATAAAATTGTAAAAGCTGTAGTTAATCAAATTAACTATCAACATGGATTATTCAACTGAGGAATCCACAATAAGGAAAAAAAAGCTCAGCGTGAGAATAATTTTACTTAGCGATTCACAATAATCATCATCATTGTCATCATCATCATCATTACCATCATCAGCAACATCATCATCATAATCTTATTTTTTAACAGCAAACTATTAAATAAATCAACGTTGAAAATCAACGTGAGAACAGGTAGAAACAAAAAAGGTTAAGTTAATCGTTTTAGATGTTGCTGTTTTTTTTCATCGGGTAGTCGAGTTATCAATTTACATATCAGAAACAACAACAAAATGAAGCTGATAATTTGCATAAATGGTTATTTTGTTGTTGAATTTGCAGCAATTTTCAAGGTTTCCAGAGTTTCTTTGCTTTGGGTTTTCTTGCTGCTTTGTTGTCCATTCAATTGTCACATAATTTAAGTTGATTTAATTGTGTCCTGGTATTAATTTGTTAACTGGTCTCTCTCTCTCTCTCTCTTATGGGATGGATGCAGAAAAGGTGAACAACTTGATTAACATTGTAATGAATTGATAATGGTTCTTCACGCGTTTGGACCATTCAATGTTTTTAACACCATTCAGAGTTGACCAGCAAACATGACCAGAATATGATTACAGGTTTGAAAATTTTGGTTAAACTGAAAGGAGAAAGAAAAAGAGATTTAATTAGTCGCAATTTTTCATTTTCAATCATCTTAAATTGATTTTTTACTCTTGTAATTTATTTATTCGTTAATACTATCAATCTAACAATTATCATGATTATCATGTTAATTTAATAGCATTTCATCTCCTCATCAATCTCCATTCAATTACTTCATCTTTCCATCTTTTTGAATTTACTTTGTGAGCTTCATCTTTGTATAATTTTGAGTGTTGATATGAATTAAAAGTTAGTAATTGGTTATAATTGTCAATTGGGTTGTTTTGCGAGCAAGATAATTGTAATAAATAAAAATGATCGTCAAATTTAATTTCAGCTTTTGGACCTCATTGAAGTTAAGGTTGGGCAAAGGTTTTTTTTTATCTGGTAATATCAATAATATTGTTGTATTGATAATTACATCAATTTATCAACATTCATCAATTTACCAATAGTAATAATAGCAATCGACAAGCATTATAATTTATCATTAACTAATAATAGTCAAATACTATGCTATAAAATGTGTAAAACTTGTGAAATTAAAAAGATAATTATCAGTCTATTTAAATGAGAAGCAAATCAAGCTTGATTCCAACTTATCCGACTAATCTGTCCAACAATGCTTGTACAATGCATATATGATAATCAACATGGACAACTGTTGTTCAATAATTTAAGGCTTCCAGGTTGTTAGCCTTAAGGTAAATTGATGTATGAAAATTAATAACCGATTAAAGAGAGAGAAAAGAAAGGACGATGGATTGTTAGACAGAAAAGGGAAAAACATATTAAATGATAATTGTGGTTAGAGAGTAAACTTTGCTCCAATCATTATTAGATTACTGTTATTATATGTAAAGATTAGTTAGTTACTTCACAAACTGGTCGTTTGATGAAGATGTTAAGACAGATAGGATGGATAGTTAAGGAAATTTAGTCAATCAAGTCGATGATGTTGGTACTGAAGGTAAGTCGTTGTACCTATGCTAATTTGTGCTCAAAGATATGGTAGAGATTGAGACTAAATTGTAGACTTAAATGAGGAGGCGAGGGTGGAGGAATAGGAGGTAGTGGGAATGGTTAATTAACTACTAGAGTTGAATATAATGATGATAATTGTTGCGAAAATGTTGATAAACTTTAAAGGCTTGCTTCTTTCATCCTTGTCCAATGATGGTTACCATTTTGAAGATGTTGCCATGTTGTTGGGCCTAGAAACAAAAGACGAGACAAATTGTAATTATAAATTTGAACAGAATATAATTTAGTTTGTCAAATTAATGTTTATAACAGTGGTCAGATGAATAATGAATTAAAACTGATTTACCTGACATGATAGAGGCCAACAAGCTTTCCTTTTTTTAAAAAAACGGATTGGTATTATCATAAACAACGACTTAAGGCAGCCACAGCCAAGCGGACAAGTTTAACCTGAAAGGAAGGAAACATTATTTTAATAATTTTGATGAACTTGACTTTAGAAGGTAAAATTATGCGAAATAAATTAATTTAATTAGTAAAATCTATTAATATGTAATTTTAAAAAAAGAGAAGCCAAAAAACGGTTTTATATTGTTTTTTGAATTACGCTCGTCTTTTTTATGTTTGCTGTTCAGTTTTAACTTTTGATTGGTTAGTCGTTTTTACCTTTCACTTTTGCTGCTTTCTATTGGGGATTGAGTGATGAGATGAAATTTAATTATACTTTATTATTATTATTACCATTATGTTATTTGACTTACCATTAAACTGTTTGACAGACAATTTGAGCATTTCATGTTCAGATAACCATGAAATCTGTTGACACGACATGTTTAACTTGACTATCTAATAATATGAAGAGAGAAAGAGAGTGAGAAGGTTTCATCATTAATCTTGAAAATTGTATTCCTTCACTAATCTGTTAGTCAGATAAGCTCAGCAACACTTAACTAGATGTTCCAATTGAGTTACTTGGTTGATTGATCGAAAATTATTTATCAACATTGACTTAAGGTATGAAATTAATGACGTTTGCTTATTAAGAAAGTTGATGTGGAAAGAGACACAAAAATGAGAGATCAACCTTTAAGTTGACAGACAAAATATTCACCAAAATCACAGGTAAACTAGACATGTAATTTAATTTTTGAAGAGATAATTTATTCGCAGTTTGAAAAGTGAAATAAATTAACTGACAATTAGAAAATGAAATGATTAAATAATTTCAATAAAAACATTTATCTTCATTACTTGGTGACATTCATTAATCAAAAGATGGCACGAAGAAAGTATAGACACAAGAGAAAAAAAGATTTCAACAAAGAAATATCATTATTATCATAATTGTGACCAGTATTTACACACAGTCACACACATAAAAGCACAATTAAACATTTGATTGTTAGTTCTAATTGTTGTAATTGAATCTAAATAGCAAACAAAAACAATTTCATTAATTGCTTTAAAACATTAGATGAAAAAACAGCACCAAGTTGTGATTAAGTATCTCTGAAGATAGATTCAAGTAGTATCAGATCATAAACTATCAAGATTTCTTACTATCAGATTAGTATCTGATACTGTCTTTTGTTTCATGATTGACCAATTTGTCACATTGTTTAATTTTGTATATTTATCGCTTTTTTGCTAATCATGTTTATTTTTATCAGAATTCATCCTTAGTTTAGCACTCTTAGTTTCTGTTTATCACTCAATAATTGCCGATGTTACCCTGTGAAATAAATTCCTTAACCATGTTCACCTAAAAGATTCTGTTGTCTGGTAAAATCAAATTGAGAAGAATCAATATTAAATTGTATTGTGTCATCGGAATGTTGTAACAATTATCTATGACCTGTTTCTATTGTAAGTATTCGTTAACTGCCATTAGATTCTAATAATTAGACATTATTTTTCAAAAACTATCAAATTTTTCATGTATACCAAAGACCTCATCACTTTATTTTTCATCTTCCAAGGAGGACATTTTGTTTGATTTATGGTCGTTTTATTTTTCAATTTACTATCTCAAGGAGCTGATTGTACAGACATTGGAATGTGTTGTCTAACTCATTTATAACTTAATTAACCAGCTATCATTTGACTGTGAAATAATTTGTATAAACATTCACATTTTCCAGCAAGGCACGATCAAAGACACGCGATCAACATCATCAACAAAATAATCATCAACAAAATAATCAACATCAAAATTATCATCATCATCAAGATCAGGATAGTTTTCATCATCATCAAGCACAAGAGCAGCAACAACATAATCATAATCTACATATGTGTACACGAACACAACTGCACTGTGTTTTGTTGGTTTCAAACAAGAAAAAAAAATTTCTTCATGAAAAATGAGTTATGACGGCAAAGCGAAGATGATAAAATAAGATTTGGTGGATTACAGAGTATTTTGTTTTACATTAGGATGAACATGAAAATGATTAATGATTATGATCGTCTGATTATTGTTGATAATTAGTAGGAAAATTATAAAAGAGAAAAAGATGCTTTCCAATTGGAACATTTTAATTGATCATAACCTTTTCTTCCCCAAGAACTCATTAATAGTTACACAATTATATTATGAAAGTTAACCAATAGTTAATTTTTGTTCTTTATCTTCTACCCCTGTTTATGCAGATGAACATGTTCCAACGTCCTGACTCAGGAAACTGAAAATCAATTTGACTGTGGCTCATCAGATGGTTGGATAGCATCAGTTAATCATCAGTTAGCCAAATCTATTGCATGGCAGGTTTACATAGTATTTAAATGGCGTGTTTACTCTCATGATTTTGGAAATGGCAATGAAACCTGATGATTCCTCGTAAAGATACAAGAAATAAGCTGTTGCTTACTGTTCATCAGTTTGACACATATTGGGCTCAGAAAAAAATGTTATAAGTTGTACTTTTATTTTTATATTTCCAGTCAATTGGATAGTTTGATCGATTGATGCAATTGTGAAATGATCTACAGTATCTGTTTAATCATATCGATAAAACTTCAACGTTGATCAGCTGGCAAACAAAACTAATGTATATTTTTTTCCTGAAAAGCTTAGTCTTTACTATGCTCAGACTAATTATTTATTTTGAGATCTACCGATGAATCTAGGTCAAAGATGGAAAATACAAGGCCACAAAAGTAACCATCAATTGATGTAGAAACATAAATTTTATGAGCCAGAGAGAAAAGAGGTTTCATTTCAAAAGAGTTTCCCGTTTTCCAGTGAAAGTTAATTTACTTTTTTACGAGTTTCTGCTTTGATAATTTAATTCGTTAGTTTCATAAACTCAATTCCTGTTGTTAACCTTTTCATTATGCAGCATATGCTTTTAAATGTTTACCACAAAAAAACAAAAACTATCCAAAGCATGAAACAATTTTTAATTCCAGTCCGATTCAAGAATGGTTTAAATTATGATTAAGACGAGTTTATCTTTAAATTTTACGACGATAGCGACTGATAAGCTAAAAATTATATAGTAAATGTGTTTGAAAGTAAAGCTAAAATTATAAAGAAAAAAAATATGCAAAACGGTAAAACTTTAAATTGTATTACATTTTGCATTTCAACTTACAACGAAACGTACGATTATCATCATCTCTGAGACTTTTCCAAATATCTTGCTGTTTATTTGATTTGTTTCATCTTGATTATTTATTATTAATAGGTTAATTCCTATCACAGGCTATAAGTAAGCATAGATAATTTCTTTTCTCTTCTGTTATACGATAGTATAATAATGATAATAATAACATGGATACATATTAATGTATTGATCTGTGAGAAAATGTAATAGCAATAAAAAATGCGGTGCAAAAAAAACGAAACATTAACAGAGCAAAAACAAGCTAACATGAAAAAAGTGGAAGATCTTTAAACCTTATTGCTTATACTATTAAGTAACAATAATTAAAAGTGCAAGAGGTAATATCAAGGTAAATAAGATTGTAAATGTTTAAGAAACAAGATGAAGATTGATTATGGTCCTTCATTTATTATCACCATAGCTTTGATTTCGGGTCCTTTTAAAGATAAATCTTGTACTGTATTTGTTTCCTGAACTTGAGCGTTTCCTTTGCATTGGTGAAGTACATGATAAAATAATATGTAACGTCGCCAAGTTGACCCTTTAGATATCAAGAAACAAGTTTCAGTTGTAAATATATACGCAAAATAGAGCTGTAATGATGATTGTGATGATGGAAGCTGTAATGAAATTATGCTGTTCAAACCATGAGGTAATAACTCTGAAATGGTAACTGGTCAGGGTGACATTTTGAGTTGCTATTAGATGATGGTGATAATAATGTGTGTTTTTACAGCAAATTTTTCTTACTTTCTTACATATGTATAAATATATAGACTACAATGTCTATGAAAATGTCAACTTTGAATTACACAAATAATGTTGGTAAAACATTTTCGTGGTTGCTGGGGCGAAATAATTACAGCTTTGTTTATGAGTTAGGCAACTTGTTGCGTTATTTGTAAATTATTTAAAACAACTTTGCTGCTAATATATCTATAAAATAGTCTCTTTTTTCACTCCTTTTAACTCATTTTCATATAATTTATTGTACTATCAACTAGGTCCAAAAGCAGCAGCTCGTATTTTTTCATCTTATCTGAATCAGCTTCTCCCTTTATGGTTGCATCTTTAAATATGATTGTAAATTAAGTTGTACAAAAAAAACAAATTAACAGGATTAGATTAATGAAGCCAATGGAAGTCATCCAGGCTTAAAAATATTGCTTCTTCTCCTCCTTGATGGTAATGAATCAAAAGTTAATTATAATAGCTTTGGTGATATGACTGTCTTTAATTATTCCACCGGGAATCTCATTTCGACCTGGAAGAGCTATTAAAGCATTGGCATCTTTAACACTTGACAATCTACTGCTTTTTTGACTTCCTCGGATTAATGAGGCACTTGGCAAGTCACCTCCATCAAAATGTACAACAGCTCGTGCAAATTCCGGCCTTTCGTCAAGATTTATGAATCCATTAGCATTTGATATTGAAAGGGAAACCTTTATCCATGGATGTAAATCATAAATATCTGTGACTTGGGATAAAGTTGTGTGACCAGAAAGATTGTCCAGAACGGGAATAACAAATAAAAGACAGGAAACAAATGCTGAAACTGGATTACCGGGAAGGCTGAATATAAATCGTCTTCTATCATTTGTAATACAAGTTGCAAAAGTTGTAGGTTTACCAGGTTTCATATTAACTCTACCAAAATGAATTTTGGCACCAAAACAGTGAACTAAAACGGCTTTAAGTATATCCTTTTCGCCCATTGAAACACCTCCAGTTGTTATTAAAAGATCCGATTTCTCCAAACCAGAACATATCCGACTCTCCAGATATCTTAAATCATCTTCAACAATTCCTAAATCAATTACATCATAATTGCGACGACGTAAAAATGATATCAACGTAATACGATTGCAATCCCAAATTGTTCCTGGAATCAGATTGTCGCCAGGCTCTCTTAACTGAAACAGAAGATAAAATAAAAATGAGTTAATAAGGCGTAACTTTGAAGCAAATTAAAAACACAAATACATTGTAACAGATTTCATATTAATTAAGAACTTAAATTTACAAATTAGTTGATAAATTGATCGGAAATGAGCTCAGAGAGCAAAGATTTGTGAAAATTTCAGGACACATTATCAATGAATATTATAAATTTGATGGCAATGAAGCAGATAAATCAAAATCTTTAGGAAACAAAAAGAGCAATGTTCAAAGTTTATAGAAATATCTGTTTACTAAAACAAATAGCGGTCTATTTGAAAGAAGATAAATTATGGCGTATAAACTATAGTATTTCATCCTTGATGTCTAAAATTAGAAAATTTGTGATCTGTGCATTTCATTCATGTTTAATCTGAAAAATAAGGTGAATGAGGCGAATGAAAGGTGTCAGTTTTCGTGAGACATGGACTGAAATTTGAAGCGGCTATGTCAATTAAAAATTATTGGTCAAAGATTAACTTAGATATTGATTTACGAACATTTTGTAAAAATAAATTTTCACCACAGATTATATTCACTGATAATTTATCAAATCTTTCAACTGTAGCAGGTTCAATGATTTTGATTCAAGGTTTTTATTCAAGCTTGATGCGTGAGTTTTATCAAATTTATATAATCAGCTTATGAAGGTTACCACAACTAATAGTTTGGTTTGAAGATGGGAAAGTGCAAATATTATTTTAATGACCTCAGCTCTGAACAGGTGATAACTTATTAGACCATAGAATCCATCAAATACTATTGATACTTCAAGTAAAATGAATAAGAGTCAAGGATTTTCAAGATATAACTTGATAAAAGTAATGAATAAATTATCAATGAAGATATTTGCAGCTTTAACTACAGCTGTTAAAATAATCAATTTTGAATTGACTTGATTAAAGTTGTCCAAGCAGGATAGGTATTGAATGATAGCCATTGTCATCTAATTGAGTAAAATCAGTGATAGTGTTGCCAATATTTGTAGTGATTCCTAATTGACTAATACTTAATGATTGTCAGTTAATGAGTCGAGAAACTCAACAAGAAACCTTTCACTGAAGTCTAGTTCATTGTTCATTTCATTAAATTTAATGATGATGATTTTAACTAATCTCTGAGTGATCAATTAAAACAAGATAAATAAATTACCTCGTCTCCTGTAGAGAGTATTGCAACTTTAGGTTTACGGTAAACTGGTACATGGGTTACACCTATGGAAGCCAAAATGCCTAGATCAATGGGTCCTATTTTATCACCAATTTTGATCACAGTTTCACCTTTTTTAATATCACTTCCTTTTTTACGAATATCTTGCATGACTTTAGGGGCAATTGAAATTTGAATTTCGGTTTCCTTTCCATCCTGAAAGAGAAGAAGAAACAAAAATGATTAAAACAAAAGAGAAAGATAATTCAGTGAAATGCAGCGTAAAAAAGTTGCATTGTCAGTCTATTACAATTGAGTTTACAATGTTTTGTGATATGTGAAGAAACAAGAAAGTCACTTTTCATATTACAGTTGAAAGCAGTGAAAAAAACATCTAAAAGTATCAAGATACATGACAAAACATTTGCACCAAGGGTAATCTGACCTGAATTGTTGAAGTAACAATCAAAAAGGAAATGGAAATATTTAAACTTATATTTGACCAACATTGGTTTGAATAGAAAATTTCAACTACTAAATAAATATTCTACTCAATAACTTAATGCATTAAATTGTGCCATTTCCTTTTGTCAAAGAGGAACCTTTCAATCGATTTAAAAATTATATTCAATATTGATATCAACTAACATCAGTTCTGGATACAACTTCAGTGTCTTCAACTTGAACAACAGCATCACAGCCATCAGGAATAGGAGCTCCAGTATTCATCCTAACACACCAGCCTTTATCAATTGTCATTCCGTCCGCTGGTAATCCGGCTGTAATAGATGATGATACGACTTTACGATTACCTGGTCCATCTGATGATAAAACTGCATAACCATCCTTAATGGAGGCTGGAAATGAAGGAACATCAACTTTTGATTGAATGTTTGACGAAACATGACGACCTAAGAGATCAGTTGCATTTTTCAATGGAATAAGTTCAGTTTCCAGTTTTTCCGTTGAATTGAGTTCAGTCATTATGTGAGAAACTGCATCGTTCATGGAAACCATTTCATATGGTGACTTTCTGTATTGAAATCCTCCTCCGCCTCCTACTTTTAAGATTGGGGCAATTTTAGCGGTACTTGTGGTCACCAAAGTGGATCCAGATGATGTGACTGGTGTAGATGAACGCACGTTTGAGGGTATTGGCTCATCTGTTTAATTAAAAAATGAGAGTCAATTAGTTCTTCAATAAAGAAATTAATTACATATAAGTAAAGCAATAAACCGAATCAAATTCAGCAATGCACTGTAATTAAATGATAGGAAATTGCACTTTCAAGTCGATAACATTCTGTGTATCCATGGATAACTGAATTCAAACAGAATGAGATTAACTTTATTGTTCATATGAAATCTTAAGATAACTTGATCAAAACTCACAGCTCTGTGAAATTTTTTGCTCAAAGTTAACATAATAAAAAGGTTAAAAGCAATTAATGTGAGATTGAATAGAGTCGGGTAAAACTTACGAGGATCTTTGATTGTCAAAACAATTGGCTTACTAGGCTCTTGCATTTCGGTGTGTTTCACCTTAACACGAAGTTTATCACCACGTAACTGGTCAATACCATGATTTAAAACAGGCTCTAGAATTGGTAAATACTCTTTACAAGCTTTAACACTTCCAGGCAAGTTGACAACTAATGTTGATTTTCGTATTCCAGCACAAAGTCTTCAAGTGGGTAAAAATGAAAAACACATGGATTAATATCACAGGATGAAAAAGTAAAAAGTAGGTCAAGAGATAAATCATCAAAAGATCAAGATTGGGTGAGATCAAATGAATCGATGAAAGTAAATTGATTTTCCTCGATCAAATTGATACCAAGCGTGATTAGATTGTATATTTCGGCTGATTTACCTCGAAAGCATTGCATATTCAGTCGATTTAAGCCCGTTCATTATCATTCCAATAACAAGTCCAGGAGTCTCTCGTTCAATTATGGACTTTGTGGCTTCTGGGGTGACATCACGATCAGTAAATCCAGTTCCACCGGTGGTCACAACGAAATCAATTTTGGCTGTATCACACCAATCAATGAGAACATCCTTTGAGAAAAAGAAAAATGATAAGGAATTAAATTGATCAAATATCCACAAATCAAAATTAAAACTAACTTGAATTATATTGAAGTCATCTGGGATACAATATTTGTGGACAATTTGATGTCCTTTTTCGGTCAAATAATTTGCAATAAAAGGTCCACTTTTGTCTTCACTTTCACCTCGAGAGCATCGATCACTAATTGTTAGTACAGCTATCCGACTTGGTACTCGGGTTTCACTTCGATCCGTCATATTTTCAACAAACTTTAAGTTGATCAACACTTGAAATGGTCAATTATCCAGAAACTGGGAAAAGTTAACCGGTATTTACAGTTCAAGTAAACAAATCTATTTGAAAGGCAAAAGAGCTTCTCATCTGAATCAATATGATATCAAAGATGAAACTTACTCAAGTAAATCACAATTGCATAAATATATATGTTGAAAGGTTACTTTGTAACTAAATTATGCCGAAAAGTACAGTTATACAAAACTCTGTAAAGGTTTAAAGAAAACGTTATTGTTGTTGATGTTGTTGTTTACATGTTCAGAAGATGAGCTTTGCGATTGCCTAACTGCTTGAAATAGCTCCACCTAGTGATATTTTTTCAATATGATTCAATCTTCGATTCACGTTTTTTATTTTAAAAGTTAAAGCTGCAACTAAATGAATCCAAGGACCCACAAGTATACAATTAGGAACAGTTAATTGTTTACAATCATTTTGACTTTCAAATCTCCATTCTTAATTTGCACTTAATTATCCAATTTCAAGAATCAGTTTTGAACTTCAGACCAAATCCCATCTCTATCTTATTATATTTTGTATCGAGCTTTATGTCTCTTCAAAAGTGGTTTCAATCGTTTTCATCTGTATTTGGTCGATTTAGATCTGAAATGTTGATCTTTTTTCTTGTTATTAAATCATTGACTTTTATCGTTGCTTCAATGAACCAATGAATCTTGACACAGATTGTTCAACTTGTAGAGTCGAGCCAGTGGTCGGTCACCAAGTTGCAGATTGATAATTGAAACTTGAAATGATTAAGTCTTGGGTTTACACTTTGCTTCATCATTGTAATATAGCTAATTGATTATATCATTAAAGATCAATAAACTCTAGTTGATTTTAAGTTTCGATTTGTGGAAAGTCAGCCTTTGGCAGCAAATAAAACCTTGTATTGCTAATCAAAAACCCAATTGGTGTTGTTGATAAAAGCTTATGAATATTTGCAAATAACAATAATAAGGTAATAATTTTGTCAAACTGGGAATCTCTTTGGTTACAAAGGGTTCACTAACGTAAGCAATTGGGAAACTCAAAGGGCTTGCAATCATTATTTCACATTGATCTTGAAAAATATACAATTTAAGGTAAATTTGGATTAGCGGGTAATAAATACAATGATGTGTCCAAGGAAATCGGTTAATAAACATTGAATAAACATAATAAACGGCTAATTTAAAACGGAAAACATTGGATTAATCCTTGAAAATTATGATTAAACCAATTGATATTTATAAGTCAATTATAAAATATGAATAAACTAGCAACTGAATTGTGAGTTTTATGGATTTTTGCGTAAATAAATTGTGATCGAGTGTAAGAAAGCCAATCATTCTGAAAAGATTGTTCAGTAAATCACAATCAAGAATCTCCAAAGGTTTTCATTTAAATCCAAGTTGAACCGTTGATTTTGCTGGTTTAACCTAAACATGATTTTACCAAAGATGGTTTCGTTGACAATTTTCCTGGTATTACCAGGTAAGTAACTCTTTAACATTAATATGAACCCAAATTAGTAACCCATTTGTTTCTTGATAGCTTTTCTTCTGGTCAATGGTCAGACCAGTGTAACTCCAGCTCCTACCTCTGCTGTTGCCACTTCTGCCCCTTTAACTCCTGCTGTTTCACCCTCTTCTGGATCATTTTTACAGCAGATATGTTTAAATGTTGAGGAGTATCGATCAATGTTTACATCGATTCTCAGTGACAACAGTATCTTCAGTCGAGATATAATTGCTCGAGTGATTACTTGGGTCGATTGGTTCTACAACACTTACAATAGATACAAGTGGGTCATTGATTTCGCCCTCGGAGCTATGACTACATTATCCGTCTTTCTGCCTGGTGGACCTTTGATACCAATCATTAGTAAAGTTGTCATTTCAATTGCCATGGATTCAAACATGAGGCGGTTAATCAAGGAAATTACATATGAAGTTTGGACAATGATTCCACCTTCAGGATCGGAACAGTATAATGTTGCCATGGAAAATTCAATGGTAATTGTCCGTCAAATTGCTGCTCCAACAGCTAAATTGTTTAAGCGATCTGTTGAAAATACTAATTGGTCAGCTATTATTGGTTCACTTTCTCAACGGCTGGCTGATTTACAGCGAGATGTTTTGGCCAACAAACCCTTTTAAACATTTACCTCTTCATTTGGCTGTTTATTAGACAATGAATTTTCAACTGATTCATGATCTTCTAAGGAAAAAAGCAGGTAATCAAGTTACTAAATTAAGATCAACTTTTATTTTTTTCGTTTGCAAATATCATTTTGATTTATAATTTTTCATGTTAAATGTATGAATAATATATATAAGAGTATTCAATTATATTATAAATAAAATAATAATGATGAAGACAATAAATTCATATGTATTAATAAGGTGAATTGGAGAGACAATATTACTGTTGACTAAAAAGACATAATCAACACAACTATCACCTTTATGAACAAATTGACACAAATACTGAAAGTAAAATGAGCTAAAAATGGTAAAAATAATTCTCTTTCCAATTAAGACTCTGCTGGTTCGTAGGGATATGAAAACTGCATCCAATTGTGTGACTTTAAAATTTGTCCGATCAATAGTTTTCGAGAAAATGGAGTTCGAAATTGAAACTTTGATCGCTGTTTGTCCCATAATGGAAGCAAATTTTTTAATGAAACACATTTCTTCGATGTATCTTTTGATAGTCAACCAGGAAATGCACTCATTTTTAAAAATAAAATGTTTTGTCTCAAATAAAACAGATAAGTTCGATTCTCGGTTAAAACGATCTATTTCTGTGACCGAATTAGTTAGAGAGCTGAAACTCAATATTGCTGCATGAAAATTGTTTGTACAAGACATGAACAGAATGCTTTTTTCACTACATCAATAGCTCTCTTGATTTTGGCCACCGGTCTGAAAACTTTGCCCCTCAATATTTCAAGAATGGCATCACCTACAATCGTAATTCTTTGACCAAGTTCTTTCTATACTAATGAATAAACAAATCGGATTCAATTACTTTCCATCAGTGCATTCGGGTTGCGTTATTTGGACTGTAAATGCACGAGAAACAACTTATTAAACAAAACAAACTCATTTCTTGGTAAACAAAGCAATTTTCTGGTTAAACTTATAAATGCAATTCAAAGAGTGTGGCCAAAAGCTCGAAAATTTGAGTAAAGAGTTGAGACTAAGTGGGGTTTGTAGGGAAATAGAAACTGCGTCCATTGGTGCTGTTAAATAATTCATCCGATTGATATTTTTCTAAAAAATCGAGGTCAAAGTTAAAACTTCGATCGCTTTTTGTACCATAATGGAAGCAAATTTTTTAATGAAACTCAGTTCTCCGATTTACTTTTGATGGTCAACCAGAAAATGCACTCATTTTTAAAAATAAAATGTTCTGTCTAAAATAAAATAGATCAGTTCGATTTTCGGTTAAACCGATCTATTTCTGTGACCATATCAGTAAGAGAATTGAAACTTATTTTTTGTCCACAAAAATTGTTGAATCACAACATGGATTCAGTAATTTTTTCGCTATATCAATAGTTCTCTTGATTTTGGTCATTGGCCTGAAAACTTTGAACCTCAATATTTCGAAAAGGGCATCAGTTACAATCGTCATTCTTTGATCAATCATTGATTGATGTTATGGGCTATGCAATAATTTGACTGAAAACTGAGAAAATCGAAGCTCAATTCACTTAATAATAAAAATTCTTCCAGCACATCAGGAGTAAAGATTTCCCTTAGCTAATCTGTTATCAAATATGACAACCTAAGTAGTACAATGTTATAAATATTTGTGTGGCTTCTTGAATTATCTAAAATTTGAATGCATCATAGCATGTAACAAAATCTAATGAATAGTCAAAGAATGACGATTGTAGCTGATGCCGTTCTTGAAATATCTAAGGGTAAAGTTTCCAGGTCAATGGCCAAAATTTAAGAGAACTATTGATGAAGAGAAAAAAGTATATTGTTCATGTCTTGTACAAACAACTTTTCATGCAGTGATAATGAGTTTCAGCTCTCTAACTGATTCGGTCACAGAAATAGATCGGTTTAACCGAAAATCGAACTTATCTGTTTTATTTTAGACAGAACATTTTATTTTTCAAAACAAATGCATTTTATGGTTGACCATCAAAAATAGCATCGGAGAAATGAGTTGCACGAAAAAATTTGCTTCCGTTATGGTACAAAGATCGATCGAAGTTTTAACTTTGACCTCGATTTTCTAGAAAAATATCAGTCGGATAAATTATTTAACAGCATCAATGGACGCAGTTTCTATTTCCCTACAAACCCCACTTAGTCTCACCTCTTTACTCAAATGTTCGAGCTTTTGGCAACACTCTTTGCATTTCATTTATCATTTCAACCAGAAAATTGCTTTGTTTACCAAGAAGTGAGTAAAGATGAGTCTCTTTTGTTTAATAATTTGTTTCTCGTGCATTAACAGCCCAAAAATCGTAACCCGAATCCACTGATTGAAATTTATTAGATCAGATTGAATTATGCATTAGTAAAGATGCAAATCGGTCTAAGAATGATGTCTTTAGGAAATGCAATTCTCTAAATATTGAGGCTCAAAGTTTTAAGGCCAATGGCAAAAATCAAGAGAACTATTGATAAATTGAAAAAAGTTGTTAGTCAATGATTTTAACACCAATTTTTATCAACAGATAATAAGTTTCAGATCTCTAACTTTCACCATTGAAGAATGCGGCCACTTAAACTGAAAATCGAACTAATCTGTTTACCGAAAAAGAAAAGCTTTATTTCTCAAAATAAATACATTTTCATTTTAGCCATCAACAGTTATACCAAGGGAAATGAGTTTCATGAAAAAACCTGGTCGCACAGTGGTACAAAAAGGGATCGAAGTTTAAACTTTGACCTCGATTTTCTCGAAGACTATCGATAAAATAAACTTTTAAATCCGCAACTGAACTCAGTTCTCACAAACCTAACGATTCTTAATTTCAAACAAATGTATTTTTACCCGTTTTGACTGTAACTGGACCTCTCATGGTTCACATAAAATGTTACTCCTCAGCAAATTATACAAGTCAATCATAATTAATCTTTCATTTAATGAACTCGGATCAATTGGTAATCGGATTGAATACGTATTGTTCACTCTTAAGTTAGTGCTTTAACAATAGGAAAAAAGCTCTTGGTCACAATTATCACGATCGAAACAAAAGCAAGAAAAGTGAAAGCAATAACAGTTTTAAATCAATTGGTTAGCAGATGTTAGCAAGTTAACTCACTTATAATTGTGATCGATATAAACCATTACCGCTTCAACATCTTAAAGGCGCAACAGCTTTCCTCCTACTCAACGCGTTAACAATTAGGTTAAATAGTCCCTTGATTAATAACGAATACACAAATTAAATGTTTTTAGCCACAGCTTGTCTTTTACTTTGAAATGTGAAATTGTCTTTGATCAAATTTACATCTATTAAACAAAATGAAATAACTATTCAGACATGACAGTAAACAAGAATCAGCATCAATGTACAGATTGTTTGTGAAGTAATGGAAAGTTGATATTCACAGAATTCGTGATCTTTTATAATCAACTTAATTAATTATTGTTTTATCTTTTCGTCCTAATTACATTTAATAATAGTTGAATATCCTAACAACTCCAGTGTTTTATCATATTTAGACAATTGAAGTTGACCATCAGATCATCTAATAATTAGATTCACAGTTATTTAAGTTGTTTAAGGTTAAAGGCATTGTAATGGACTGTAAATGAGGAAAAACGAAGTTGAATAAAAGGTACAGATTTGGTTATTATGCCACCGATCATTTGTCCAACTATTCCAGAAATGAATTGAAACTGTAAAATGATCAGAACTTTTGATGGCTAACATATCAATGTACATCATGTATTTATTTTGAGAAATAATGCTTTTCTTTTTCGGTGAAACAGATTAGTTCGATTTGCAGTTTAAGCGACCGCATTCTGTAATAGTAAAAGTTAGAGATCTAAACTTATTATCTGTCGATGAAAATTGTTGGTACAAATCATTGACTAACTACTTTTGTCAATTTATCAATAGTTCTCTTGATTTTGGCCATTGGCCTTAAAACTTTGAGCCTCAATATTTCGAGAATTGCATTTCCTAAAGACATCATTCATAGACCAATTTGCATCTTTACTAATTCATAGTTCAATAGGATTTCATACATTTCAATCAGTGCATTCGGTTTAGGATATTTGGGCTGTAAATTCACGAGAAACAATTTATTAAACAAAAGAAACTCATCTTAACCCATTTCTTGGCAAATAAAACAATTTTCTGGTTAAAATGATAAATGAAATGCGAAGAGTGTTGCCAAAAGCTCGAACATTTGAGTAAAGAGTTGAGAACAAGTCGGGTTTGTAGAAATAGAAACTGCGTCCATTGGCGCTGTTAAATAATTTATTCGACTAATATTTTTCTAGTAAATCGAGGTCAAAGTTAAAACTTCGATCGATCTCTGTACCATAATGGAAGCAAATTTTTTCATAAAACTCATTTCTCCGATGTTACTTTTGATGGTCAATCAGAAAATGCACTCATTTTTAAAAATAAAATGTTCTGTCTAAAATAAAACAGATAAGTTCGATTTTCGTTTAAACCGATCTATTTCTGTGACCGAATCAGTTAGGGAGCTGAAACTGATTATTGCTGCATGAAAATCGTTTGTACACGACATGAGTAGAATACTTTTTTCACTACATCAATAGTTCTCTTGTTTTTGGCCGTTGGCCTTAAAAATTTGAGCCTAAATATTTCGAGAATGGCATCACTTACAGTCATCATTCTTAGATCAATTTGCTGCTTTGCTAATGCATAATTCAATTGAATTAAATTACTTTCCATTAGTTCATTCGGATTACGATGTCTGGATTGTAAATGTGCGATCAACAACTTATTAATCAAAACAAACTCATCTCAACCCATTTCTTGTAAATAAAGCAATTTTCTGGTTAAACTAATAAATGCAATGCAAAAAGTGTGGCTAAAGGCTCGAACATTTGAGTAAAGAGTTGAGACTAAATCGGGTTTGTAGGGAAATAGAAATAATAAATAATTCATCCGGTTGATATTTTTCTAGAAAATCGAAGTCAAAGTTTAAACTTCGATCGATCTTTGTACAATAATGGAAGCTGTTTTTTTCACCAAACTCATTTTGACGATATAAAGTTTGATGGTCATCCAGGAAAGGCACTTCTTGTGAGAAAAAGTATGTTCTGGCTAAAATAAAACAGATAAGTTCGATTCTCGGTTAAATCGAGCTATTTATGTGACCGAATCAGTTAGAGAGCTGAAACTTATTATTGCTGCATGAAAATGGTTTGTACACAACAGGAATAAAATATTTTTTCCCTACATCAATAGGTCTCTCTGATTTTGGCCATTGGCCTGAAAACTTTGCCCGTCAATATTTCGAGAATAGCTTCACTTACAATCGTCATTCTTGGCCAAACATTAGCTTTCGTTATGGGCTTTATATATTGAATATTAAAGTTAAATTATTGTTGTCAAATTTGAGAATCGGTTTATAAATTGAATGGCTAACAAACACAATCTTATGCTCTAGAAGTATCTTCATTATTAAATGATCTATCTAAATCTATCTATTAAATTATCTAGAATATATGCGATATTTAGCCAGATTATGGTCCATGTTTGGACTAAGTATGATGATTGTGGGTTATGCCATTCACGAAATATTGAGACTCAAAGTTTTAAGGCCAATGGCCAAAATCAAGAGAACTATTGATAAATTGACAAAATTAGTTAGTCAATGATTTTTAGCAACGATTTTGATGAACAGATAATTAGTTTCAGATCTCTAACTTTTGCCATTGAAGAATGCGGCCGCTTAAACTGAAATCGAACTAATCTGTTTTACAGAAAAAGAAAAGTTCTATGTATCAAAATAAATGCATTTTCTGGTTGATTATCAAAAGTTACATCATTGCAATGAATATCATGAAGAATCTGCTTCCATAATTGCGCAAAAAGTGATCGAAGTCTTAACTTTGATCTCAATTTTCTCGAAAACTGTCTTTCAGAAAAAAATTTTAAAAGCACAAATCGACTCTGTTCTTATGGCCCTACAAACCGAAAGATTGCGAATTTGAAAGAAATTTATTTGTACCCGTCTTTGCATATTTTTTTATAAATGTTATAATTATGTTAATTGTGTCTTTTTATTAAAATATGTTTTTGTGGTCAAAAGACAATTATTTTTAAAGATTTGTCCAAAGAGTCTTTTATATTGTTTACTCATTCTCTGGTGATAAATATCAATAAATTTGAATATTAAGGTCGTTAATATCCGATTATCTGTTGATAAAAATTTTGGGTTAAGCTTTAACTGTACTTGCAATCCAAGCTTAACTCAAAGCAGCTGATTTAGCTGGCGGTCTTTCTAGTACTTGACTTCGTCTGTTAATTTTTATCCTCCTTTTTCTAGATAATTTCCAATAGTTGATTAATAATTTGATTTGTTTGTGGACTTAAATCAGGAATTAATGTACTACAGTTGGTGAGAAAACAATTTATTATGCTAAAAATTTATATTGTGACAATAATATCAACCAAGGTTGTGACGACAACCCAATACGCTATCTTTTCACTCATAAATCAACTACCTTTTACTCATTCCTCTTCAACATAACCACCACCATCATCATCATAACTATCATAATCGTCACCGACTTCAATCTCAGCTTTTCATTTTCATTTAGCTTCTTTATCTGTGTAAAGAAATGAAATGCATCTTTGATTCAAAGCCTTCATTGTAAAGTGTTTTTTTTGCTACTGGTTTATTTGTTTATCACTTTTATTGTGCTTATTTGGTGTTTATATCTAATATTGAATGAAAACTAGATAACATTCATCATCAGCAGCATTTTAAACACCAATTGCAGTAGCTGGTGTCACAATATAACCAGATTATTATGACTTTGTTGGTGTTTCTTGGACTCAACAGTAATCCATTATCATTTTTGTTTCTCCTCTTTTCATTGATAGGAAGATTAAATCATACTCACTGCGAAACATGTGCTGATCGGTTCAATACCGAAATAAAGGGAAAATGTTCCTGTTTTAATATAATGGATGACTCTGGTGAAGAGGTTGGTCTCGGTGTTGAATGTTCAGAGACAAATGGAGGTGATTTACATCGAGATATTGATGAAATCAGCCATGAATCTAATATTCCAATTGTACATTTGAAGGTTCGTGACTCTAATCTGAAAGAGCTGACTGATTTACCCATTGGTTTGGTTGATATACGCTGGTTGGTTCTTGATAATACCTCAATTGATCTTCAAGTCATTCGGGAATCAGCTGAGATGCTGGGTAACCTGAACACTCTCAAGCTATTCAATGAAAATTATACAATTATACCTGAAAATGTTTTCCAAGAAGGATTGGAGGATCTCCAAACACTATGGCTAAATGGTATTGGTATCTACAGTATTTCCAGAGCAGCTTTCAATCATCTTGATAATTCATTGGTTGAATTATCTCTCCGTGAAAATAAATTAGGAACAATTCCATTGGCAATCATTGCTCTAATGAAAATTGAAGTTCTCGATCTAACAGATAATGAAATACAATCTGTTTCTGAGGGATTGGCCAATGACCTTTCAAGAAGCCTTCATCGTGTTCGCAAAATCATGCTAAACAGTAAGTACAGCGTATTAGCCTTTATTTTGGATCGGTAAATTTTTAGCAATATTTAAGGCCAAAGATTTAAGCTTAGCTAGCTCATTAACTAACAGCATGGTTCAAAATAGCTGATCTATATCTTAAATCATTTCGGTGTTTAATTAAAGACAGAGAAAAGGATCTCATCATGTGACTTAGTTAATGTGCTTCTTCATTAATTTTATCAATCAACACTTGATGTCAGCTTGAAATCTTGAAATTTTCAAAGCCTAACAAGAGCCTGCATTGCTGGGGATTGAAAACATTGATTTATACGAATAATTCCGAGACAAGAAATTCTCGAAAAAAGACAATTTCTTGTTTGTTTCAACTACAGATAATGGCCTTTGTCAGCTTGAATTGCTATTGATTTACAATACCAAACATTGATATTTTATCACTATATAGATGATTAACTGTCAATTTCATTGCTCTTTCCCCGCAGAAATTAATTGTACATGCAATTTTGCTAAATCTCGGTTTGCTCGTTGGATCCGTGAAAATGCCATTAAAGGAGTTGAATGTGGTTATCCGGCTCGATTTAAAGATTATGATGTTTGGTCAACACCAAGTGAAGAGTTTTGTAGCTCTGGATCTAATACAATACATTTACCAATTTTTATGTTAACTTTTCAATTACTATTTTTCCTGGTCAAATTATTAACCTAGCTTGCAACTTAAAGATATCCAAAAACGGGTCCTTAATATTGATTCGCCACACTAATCAATGATTTATAATTTATCAAGTTGAATGTGCAAGTGAACTTCAGATTCACTTTTAATTATTCCTATTTACAGCGGTTAGAATGTTGAATCTGTGTGCTTGGATAAGTTATTCAGATTATAACCTTATTTTTAACATTTTTACATTCGACATCTGATCATAAAGTATTAAAATTATGGACTAGTGTGGCTAGTTTTACGTTTTGAAAATTTGTCAAAATAAGTGTACATTCATCTCACTTCGAACAAACTTAAATAAGTGAACAATGTGTCTTCTGGATGACCAATAAGTCTATTTATTTTTTATCATTTGAATATGTGTATGTTATGTATACATTTATATTTAAAATCACTTTTACAACAAAGTAACATTCATTAAATGTAATATTAACTAAACATTAACTTCGATGTTTGTTACAAACAGTTCAGACTCAGTTCTGATGGTACAGTCGTTATCATGGACTTGGGTGCATTAAATGTTGAAAGAAGTCGTTTCAAAATTATCTTATGTAAATTAGTTTGATAAATAAACAATTTGGATAATAAATAAATTAAATTGCTCTTTAGTGATTTTAACGCAAGGCGGATTTTTTTAAATTTTTTGTTTCATTCAGTTTGGTGGCGCTGTGCAGTAACCAATAGTTTCAAGTTTCCCATGTTTATCTCTTCTCAATTTAATCTGTGTAATTGTTGAATTTACTAATTTGTAACTATTTAATCATTTAAACCAATTTTATTTATTGAAACAATGGATCCACCGGTTCAATATGGCTTTTACCCCGTCATTCAATCAAGTGAAAAACCAGAGAGAACCTTAGTTCCAGTTAAAGCTTTAGATCCGAGTATTCGTGAAACAGTTGTTTGGTTACGAGGACGTGTTCATGCAATACGAGCCAAGGGGAAACAATGTTTTTTTGTTCTACGACAGCAACAATATACAATTCAATGCTTACTTTCGGTGTCTGAAACGGTTGACAAGAGTATGTTAAAGTTTGTCTCAAGTATTTCCCGAGAGTCATTGGTTGATATAGAAGGATTGGTTAAGAAAGCTCCCAAACCGGTGGAAAGTTGTACGCAAACTGATGTTGAGATTCAGGTTCTTAAGGTGTTTGTGGTTAGTGAATCAGAATCGCGATTACCCCTACAAATTGAGGACGCTTCACGTCCAGAAGGTGGAGATGAAAGTGGTCCTGATATCGGTGTTAACCAGGATACTCGACTCGACAACAGAGTTCTAGATTTGAGAACACCAACAAATTTAGCCATTTTTCGCCTTGAATCTGGTGTTTGTCAACTTTTCCGGGAAGCATTAATTAAAGAGGAATTTATCGAAATTCATACCCCAAAGATCATTGCTACAGCTAGTGAAGGTGGTGCAAATGTATTTGAAGTCTCCTATTTTAAAGGTAAAGCATATTTGGCACAATCCCCTCAATTGTACAAACAGATGGCTGTGGCAGCTGATTTTGATAGAGTATTTACAATCGGAGCAGTTTTTCGAGCTGAAGACTCAAATACTCATCGTCATATGACTGAATTTGTTGGACTCGATTTAGAAATGGCGTTCTGTTACCATTATCATGAGGTTTTGGATGTACTTGACAGACTTTTTGTTTCAATTTTCAAAGGATTGTCTATCCAATATAAAGAAGAAATAGAGATTATTCGTCGCCAATATCCTTCTGAACCTTTCAAGTTTTTAGAACCAAGTTTGAGACTCGATTTTCCTGAAGTGGTAGCTATGCTGCGTGAAGCTGGAGTTGAAATGGATGATGAAGAAGATCTAACTACAGCTAATGAAAAACTCCTCGGTAAACTAGTTAAGGCTAAATACGATACAGATTTCTTCATCGTTGATAAATTTCCTTACAAAGTTCGACCATTTTACACTATGCCTGATCCTACGAATAATGTAAGTATTGCTTGCCCTTTTGCCCAAATTATTTGCTATTTCATTTTTCGTCATTTTTCAAATTCTAGAAATATTCCAATTCATACGACTTCTTCATGAGAGGAGAAGAAATAATGTCTGGTGCTCAACGTATTCACGATCCTAAACTTTTGATCGAAAAAATCAAAGAACATGAAATTGGTAAGCTTTCTATATTAAGCTCCTTTCAGGTCAAACTAACCATCGACATGGCTTTGGTTTGACATTCTTTAATTGCAGAAATCGAACGCTGTTATTCATTCAATTTTTCTCTTAATCAATTACAGATCCAGCCAAGTTGCAAAGTTACATCGATGCATTCAGATATGGTTGTTCTCCTCATGCAGGTGGTGGTATTGGATTGGAAAGAGTAACCATGTTATTCTTAGGATTAGATAATATTCGTAAAGTTAGCTTATTTCCCCGTGACCCGAAAAGATTAACTCCTTGAGCATGCAAACAAAAGTATGATTTGCATTTCCGTTTACTCGAAAAACTTCGGAAAGGATGACTAATTTCATTTTTACATCATAAATATGCTTTATTGAATAATATCGGTTTATGAAAAATGATTTATTGTCTAAAAACCTATATTACGATTTATAAATACAGTACTTCTTTCTGTACTATCTAACCCGGTGTATCGTTATTCAAAAACCTAATGTTTCAATCAAGAGCAATATTAAAACTAAGATGAAAATCTCTGTCTCTTATTCGAACCTACTCATGATTTATTAATTTTTACGCATCTATTCAACAGTAAGATGAATACTTGATAGTAAAAAAAGCAAATTGTGAAAAGATAATGATAATCTCAAGATATGATTGTCTTGGCAATTTTGATTTCTAGCATAGTCATCAAATTAGGAATCTAATAAGTTTTCAATTTTCTATAACTAATGTTAATAACACTTCCTTCGAAATAAAAATAATTAACAATCCCAGAAATATTTATCATCACCTGAGCTTCATCATAAATGTGAATCAAGTTTGGGCAATCATCATTGTAAAAAATCGCCGTTGCTTTCGATTATTTTGACATGGAATCACAAAAGTCAACTAAACAGTTAATAACGCAAAATATAGCATAAATCACTGTAATCCTTAACAGTAATAACTGTAATAATAATGTTAGATAACCCTTTATAAGTCCACTGAAAATACAGACGAAAATTGAAACTTATCGCAACTACAAGAATAAAAATAAGCGAATTTCATGTAATGCAATGTCAATATATTTTAATACATTATGAAGCAGAGAAGAGTCTATTGTAAATACAATTGGTCAAATGAAGATGGCGATCAGATAATGATACAATATGCAACGAACAAATTTGCTGCATCTCGTCGTCCTAAAACATAGAGTAAATTTGAGGAAATATTACAATTGAGTAAAATGACAAAACAAAATTTGCAAAGAAAATTTGCAGGGTAATCTCTGATTTTAAATACAGTCATTTTGAAGTTTTTTGTCCTTTTTTTGGTTTGATTTTGGTTAATAAACTTATTTTGTAGCTTATTTTTACCGAAAATCATGATTGGGCATTTTGTACGAAGAAAAACGAAAAACAAGAAAACAAACCATCCAAAATCAGAAAGGTTCGTTTGCACTTGATTGAGCTGAAATTGTCACATCTGCTTGTTTGATTTCCTTTTTTTGTTGTTGATTTTGTAGTTATTAAATTAGATCCCGATAGTGTAAATGATTACCAGTTTAATACATCTTGAGAAAAAGTCCGAAATAAATGTCAAAACTCGTCTATCCGTCAAATGGCTACCATATGATACTTATAGGAATAATTGGAGTAGTCATTTTTCCAATCTTTTAAAACAGCTATCGACGATTCCACTGGATGTGCGCTGGTAATCAACCTGTTAAAGGTGTTTTTGTCAAGTAAAACACCTTGTTCATTGATCTTCGATATTAACAATAAACAGGGCAAATTTTGCCGAAGAGTTTTGTTTGCTATTCTTCAGAGACTTGTTAGAGTCTCGCTTTCTGCTTCGATTATTATATTTTCTCAAGAAATTTTCTTGAGCTTCCTCTGGAAGGTGAATAAAGCGGTTCCATACCTAATCGGAAGGAGGGAGGAAACAAAAAATTATAAAATACCATTTAATCGATGTGAGAGTCGAAACTATTTCAATTTCCTTACTTGCATATTTTCCTTGTTCATTAAAAGTTCAGTGAGGGCAGTGACAGAGTGAGGCACAAAGTCGTAAATGGACAATTCAGCAAGATGATCATCACCATCGATCACAGGTATGTCTTTGAAAAGGTTGGCTGCAATAAAAGATAAAACGAAGAGTTGGTTAGTTTTATAAGTAAAAGTGAATATCAGCTTTAAAGGCTTAGGAAACAATTCACATCTCAGTAAATCAAAAATAAGACAAAAAATGTCCTTCTTCTTTCATTTGATTATCATGTATTTGCAACTGTTTTCAGCGAAAGCTCAGTTTGTTTGCCAAAAAAACGAGTCATACCAGTTAGAGAGGAAGGAATGAAAAAACCTTACGTCACTTGAAAGAGGCCTTAATCAGGAATTTTGCTAATAATTGTTCTATAATTATGGTAGGTAATTAAAGTAAATAGATCATTAGATCAGTGAGTTGAATATTATAACAATATGTACAATAATATGAATAAAAACACAACAATCATTACCAGCTAACAATAACAGTTAATAATTTGAATAAAAAGCTGATGTTGAACTCATTGACAGTAGCAACAAATTGTAAAAGCAAAGCTTTTAGAGCTTATCTGAATTTATGCCAGAACTCTAACCTCGACCTCATATGTTTCTTGTTAGTAATAATTTTAAAGATGACTTTGAGTCCAATGTAATTTTACACAATTAGGTAATTTAGATTGGCTTCTTGCTTTTAAACTGATCTGATTATAACGAGGTGAAGAGCACATCGAGTGGAATTAATATAGATAGAGAGGAATATCTGCAATGATTTAAATGATAGGTAAATACGTAATGAAGGAAAACTTGCTGATAAACTGATTAGATTTTCCTTCATCAATCCTAACTCTCAGAATTCTAAAACTGGTGTTTACCTTACATCCTTACACGAAATGCTGACTCAATCGTGGTTTTGACTGTTCAATCAATTTAATAGACACACCCCACTGAAAAGGGTAAAGATATATTGTTGATGAACATTGTACTGTTGCTAACCTGTTAAGACACCAAAGTATAAATCGGGCACCTGCTGTAAATATGAAATATTTCATTTTATACTTCAAAATTCAACAGCTAGATTGTTCAACACCTCAAGAGATAGACTCAAAGCATAAAATATAAGCTATTGATGAGTATCAGACTTGCAACACGAGAATAGAACATGTTCTGATTACAAAAGGAAAACAAAGCTGATGTAATGCAATGACTTTAACCAGTTTAACCTATATGGATTGAAATCTCGAATGAAAGAGAAAGAGATTAGCTAATGATTAGAATGAGATGTAAAATGGATAAATGTTGATAGATAGATATAGATGAGGATAGATAGGCCTGTCATTATTGCAACAGGGATTACCGTTCTCGTAACGGCGATATTTTTTGTGGCTTTTACCACGACAACCAAGCCCTCTGAAGGTAGGCTCAGGTCGTAGGACGGTTCTTTGCTGTTGTTCACGGAACCGACGAGCTCGGTTTCTATCTTGTCTTTCCATTTCACGAGCTTGAAATTCCTCAGCTATCTGACGATCCAAGTCAATTTGATTTTGATTTGTTGTGATGGTTTCTTCTTCATGGTCGCCATCATTATCTGAGATACTTCATGACAAAGTAAACAAGTGTAAACACACACAAAAACCCAAAAATGGATAGATCACTTACGTGGTTGGATTGATTACTTCCTCAGGGTTAATGTTGGCGCTTATTTCATCTTCACAATCGGGTAAATGTTTGCGTATAATACACATATTCAAGGGTCAAAACTATCCAGCAAATTCAATAGGTTATATCAGAGGTTGGTTTTACTTTAGAAAAAAACTGAAAAGTAAATTGATGATAAATAGGCTACAAGTGCAGGTACAGTAAAGAAGTACACAGAAAAATAACAATGAGCACAATAAATTGATCACAATCAAGTGAAAAACGTCAAGGCAAACAAGGTTTTTTGATTATAAAAAGATCAGCAGTATTATGTTATTTGTTTTCTTTCACTTTGTTACTAAGCTATTCTTGAGCTTATCTAACACTGTCAGCCGAGTAAACTTGAGCTAAAGACTTTGCTTATAGTATTTTTTATAGCATAGAATAGCATCAGGAATATAAAGCCAGCTATTCAATTTAAAGCTTGGCTTATAGATTTAAACATATTTCAGTCGATTATAAATCTATTGCACTCTATCGATTGTTGGATCGATTACTCCAAGCTTGTGAGTCTCTTATGCAGTAAAACAGTTTCATTTGTGAAATGAAAATTGTTTTGGTTTGATTTTGTTTTTTGTTTTAATCAATGGATTGACCATTCATCTTTTTCCTCTCCATCTTTTATTTTTTATTCTTTTCTCCCTTGATTAATGTATTATCTAGTTCCAAGATGTTGAATTTGTGCTTACACAGCTATTCTTCATCGTTAAATTGTATACAGTGACATTTGATTTACATTCAATTTCCTCATTTTCCATTGAGCCTTTCGATTAAACTCCTGATTTATTTACTCCCATAATATTCATTGTTTCATTCTGATTACCACCCCACTTTTCTGCCTTGAAGAACAATGAAGAAACAATTTTTAAACATTAAAAATTTTGTCCAAGATGGTCTCACTGTCGTTAGGTAAGCCTTGTTTTATTTGGTGTGTCATTTTTCTATCAGTCAATACGATAAGAACACTCACGGATTTATCATTTTAAGCTGGATTAATGTGTCTTATATTTGCATTATCACTCTTCTCTCTTTTGCTATTACCTTCCTTTTATTATTATTCATCCTGTTTCTATTTCTCTTTTTAACGATTCATATTTTTTTTCTCAATATAGAGGTGATAAAAGTGATGTGATGACGGTTGATCTTGTCAACGCTGAGAAAAAAGTTGATCTCATGAAGGTTTCATGTCAATCAACGGAGAAAAAGATAGCCGGTTGTCTAAGAGGTTATGGATCTGGTACTGAGGTTGAAAAGCGAAGTAAAAAGATTCCCGAATTACACTTATCGCAATGTCTTTTGGAGCATGGAGAACAATTGGGGGCCGATTCTCTTCTCGGGTTAGTTGACAGTGCTATACTGATGAATTTTTCTCGCTCTCCCCTTTATATCTATCTTTTATTTTTATCTTTCTAACGCTTCGCGAACATCAAACAATAGTGTGTACTTGTTTTGTATTCTCTCAAGCTTTTTCATTTAAATTTAATTGAACATTCATCACTCAATTTCTTCTAAATCCACGCTCAGTGAACTTATAGCCCAAACATTTGTTACATTCTCGAGCTCCATCAATCTGATCTCTACTCACTCTCATATTTATTTTTATTTATTTACTCTAATCATGTAATGTTTTCTTTTTTTCTGCTCTCCAGACAAACCCTGATTGATTGTGGTGAGCTTCAAAAAAGTATCGGACGTGAATTGATAAATTACGAAATGGAGGTAGAAAAAAATTGTTTAACTGCTTTAAATTATTTTATTGATAACGACATTCCAAATGTGGTGAAATCGCGTAAGCAACTTAATAAAGCAACTTCTGATATGGATACCTGCCGTCAAAAGTATCAACAAGCAATGAAACAAAGTCATCAATCTACAGGGTCATCTGCAACTGTGGCAGCAGCCAATAAGTTGGAGACAATCAAGCAAGAGCTAGAAGAGTCTACGACCAAAGTAGAGCAAGCCAAAGATGCTTTTGCCATAGAAGTTTTCAACTTTCTCAGTCGTGAACCAGATGTAGTTCAAGTTTATTTAGAATTTGTTAAATTTCAAGCTGCATTCCATCGTCGGTCTGCAGCGATTCTCGAAGAGGCCATTCCTAAGTTGGAACAAAGAATGGGTTTGTTTAATTTTTTATGCCACAAAAACATTTATTCAACGCACAATCGACCTTGTCAGCACCTAATTAATAATTACTATGTTTCATTTCCTTGTCCTCATTCATTTCTATTACTCTCCCTATTGTTTCTCTCGATTACCTGAACAACAGCAAACAACTCACAGAGACCAATTTTTGGTACTTCTTTGGAAGAACATCTTCGAATCACAAATCGTGAAATAGCCTTAGTCATTGAAGCTTGTATCGGATGGTTACTTATGAACATAAAAGAAGAAGGAATCTTCAGAGTACCTGGCAGTGTAACTAAAGTCAAAAAACTGAAAAGTTCTCTCAATGCCGGTGTAATCGACTTTGATGAATATATGCGTGACCCACACACTGTCGCTGGATGTCTTAAATCATATTTGCGAGAGCTTCCTGACCCTCTTTTAACCCACCAGCATTATCAAGCCTGGATAAATGCTGCCAAGTATGTTACAATTTTATTTACACAATTTCCCATCCATTGACCATTTATTTTGTATTTGAATATTTATTAACCCTTCAAATTGTAAAAATATTCTTTTTCTCATTCCCAGAATTATTGATTCAAATAGTAGACTTCAAGCATTTTGGCAGATATGTAACAGCTTACCCAAATCTCATCATAATAATTTGAGATATTTAATCAAATTTTTGGCTAAACTATCGTCACATTCGGAAACAAACAAAATGACTCCTTCCAACATTTCCATTGCGCTAGCACCCAGTCTTATTTGGAGTCCGCCAGCTGAAGTGGACGATGCTTTCGGTGCTAACATGGCAGCAGCCAATCTTCATTCCTTAATTGTTGAAGCCCTTGTCAGCTATGCTGATTGGTTTTTCCCTGAAGGTATATAATCATCATGATAATTTCATCATCATCATTATTCTGATGAACATCAGTATTTTTTGAAACAATTCAACTATAACCTTTACTGTTTCTTGCTCACTCATTCTGTTTTCTTTCTCGACTCTTTCCTCTGCCTTTAATTAATCCTCTTTGGTCTCGCTCTTTTCCGGTGTGTACAGAAATTGAATTCACATCACCACAAATATCATATCTTCCGGAGGAAAAGCCTCTAAATGGTGAAATCAGTCAAGAGCGGCACCCTACACCGGTTCCACGGGCCAGTGCACCAAGATCTAACAAGAAGCCAGCTCCACCCGCTCCTTCTAATCCACCAACAACATCATCATCGTCTTGTGCTCCATCGTCTAGCGATAAAAATCAACAACAACAATTAAATCAGCAGAATGAACGAACAACAAGCTTATCTAATAGTCATTCTCCAGCTAATTTCATGAAAAGCCAAGGTTACTCACCGACAACTACTGTAAAACCTGTTGCTCATAAACTTGAAAATTTTTCCTCTGAATCACCTCCTCTCTCATCTTCATCTTCATTTTCGTCTGATGTTTTGGCTGATCAGTTATCTCATGTAAACACACCACAAGCACATTCTAATAGTCTCATAAATAGTGAGAGGTTAACATCATTTTTAACTGGTTCATTAGATCGTAAACAACTTCGTAGCAGTTTAGATCGTAAAAGTGAACGTAAAGCTAAAGCAACGTCTTTCATTGGTAATCCTAGGACACCGAGGTTCAATGTGATTGAAAAACCTGCAATACCTCCGCCTGTAGTGCCTTTAGCACAATCTAAACAATCCACCCATTCCATTGAGAGACCCAATTTTCCTCCACCAGAACGACCTAGTCGTGATCCGATCAATCAATCTTTGAAACAATCATTAGAGAATATTTTTGACCTAGAAGAGGCACTTGAATCATCTACCGAAGAAACCTCAATCAAATTGTATCCAGATCTCTCACAGTTAGCCTCGGATGATGATCTAACAACAGCCAGATCTTCATCAAGTGATGTGAATGAAGGCCAATCAAAAAACAATATTACCACCAAAAATAACAACAATAACAATGAAAATTTCGCCAGCACTAATCCTGATAAAGAGATGATCTCATTTGCTGATGATTCTGAAGAAGAGTTTCTTTCAAAGTTAGGTAACCGAGATAGTAGTAGCAGTGAAGATTATAACCAGAAACGTTTAGATATGCCACCGGATAAGCCAAAACGAGCTTCACCTCATAATTACATTTTAAATAACGTCAACAATCATCCAGAGTGGGATAACGGTGATAGCAGATGCAATAGCGGTGAAAGTCAAGCATCAGTGACTCGGCGACCACCAAGGCCACTTCCGCCTGCTCCTGCTATTGCTGTCAAGCCAAAGATTACAACTGCAAGTACATCAACCTCGGAAAATACTTACCTGTGATCTTCAATTAACTTTTCTGGTTCTTTTTCGCTCTTTTCGTTTTCGGTTTCTTCTTTCATTTTTATCTTTTCTTTTTAGCCTCTCACCTCTCTATCTCTCTATATTTTTCGTCCAAATACTTCACCCACCATATTTATCCATGTTTTCGGCTCAACAATCAACATGACTCTTTATTGTTATAACTATTATTATTCATATTATTATTAATATTAAGCTTTTGAGATAGAGACTTAAAAAGAGAGTGAAAAGAAAGTGAGAAATGAAATTACTGTTAAATTATTGTTGATATTTTCAAGTTTTGTTCTCAAGACAAGTGAAATCGACTCTAGTCGTTATTTACTATGATTAAAAAATGAATGTGATTAATCATACAATATTTTTTACTTCTTTTTAATTAAAAAAAGGTCATACTTATCATCTATCATTGATAATTTTAACCATTACCTTTTAAAAACAAGTTCATAATCAATATTATGTTGAATAATCAACACAAACACAAACAAATTGTTTCTCTTGAATAATTTTTGTGATTGGATTTGAAAACCAACCTATTGATTGAAAACAGGATATTAAAATATTTTGTTGCACATTTATTTGTCAAATATTTCTCTAATTAAATTATATTCCAGTTCTCACCATGTTACCAGCTAATCAATCTGATGAATCTGACCCCAAAGTAAAGTCCAAAGATTCTGATGACGAGAAAGCGATTGACAATGCAGCCACCAACCAAATTTCAAACAATACCAGACGTTCCTACCTTTTGAGTCGAGCTTTGGTTAAATGTGCCTTAGACGGGGTTCCATTCACATTTAAAGACGATATCAAATCATTGCAAGTGTTTTTATTTTACTCTGATCATCGATTTGGATACATCACAGCGTCAGCCGTTTTTGTCCTTCACGCCATCGCAATTTGGGAAGACGATAAACCTTCAACTACACATTCATACATCATTAATTCATTTGAATTGATATGTTTGAGTATTATTTTAATTAGACTATTCTTTCTGTTCCTATGCTCTCATTTTAAATCCTTTTGCTGTGATGCAAAAAATGTTTCTCAATTACTGTTGATTAGTCTTACAGTTGCCGATATTGTTTGCCATCAGTCAATAACTGGAGTGTTTCCAGCTCGATATTCGTATTGTTTGAGACCATTTTTCATATTTTTGCTCCCCGAACAACGTCAGGTAATTGATCAAAATACTCATTAAAAGATATTCAATTGAACCATTTCATTATTTATCTTTCAGCTTAGACGAATTATTCGATGTGTAATAAGTACTTTGCCCGATCAGATGAACGTCTTAATTCTATATTTTCTTTCCCTCGGAATGTTTTCGTTGATTGGACTCAAATTGTTTTCCCAAAGACGCTTATTTGATAAAGAGAGTATGGCCTTTGACAAGTATCATGAAAGTCTTTATCATCTTTACGTTCTCGTTACAACAGCAAACAACCCTTCCATTATGTATGTTAAGATGTTTATCAATCTTATTGATTGTTTCGGATTTTACTAATTGATCTATCTGTTATTCAGGTTACCGGCCTACAATCACAATCGTTTTTTTGCGCTTTTCTATGTTATATTTTTGCTCATTAACTGGCTTCTCTTCATGAATATTGCGCTCGCTGTCATTTACAATTCATACAAATTACATTTAAAAGTAAGATCTGATTGAGATGAAAATTTTAATGAAATCGACTGACCATCTTAATTTGAAATCTAATTAATTTTTTCTCATCAATTTCATAGGATGATGTCTCGGCTCTTTACTCTCTCAAATTATCCAATCTCAATAAAGCTTTCGATGTAATCACTTCAAATGGACAACATGGAATGACCAGGGAACAATTTAATCACATTATCGTTGATGTCATTCGATACAATCCAACTTTTGCGACAGTTTGCTCACGACATTATCTGTCAGTTGTTTGGTTTCTATTACAGACAAATGGACTTATTAATCGAAGAGAGTTTCTCAAGATTGCTGAACTTCCTGGCATACAGGTTAACATAATTTATCCTGTTCGTTCTGATGAATTATCCATTTGGATTAGCCGAGTTCTCGCTAAATATTACGATTCTTCCTTCTCCATGATGATTAGGATTATTGTTCAAAGTGTCTATTATCAATACACATCAGAATGTATTCTAATACTTAACCTTATTGCCTTGGCCATTGATAGCAGTCCAGATCATGTCGATATTGAGTATTTCGTCTTGTTGGTTCATGTTATTGACAATTTTGCCAAATTGTATACCCAAGGAGTAATTGTTTATTGTAAACAATTTTGGAATCTGTACAGTCTCACAGCAACAACAGTTGGTATTTTCATGTTGGCTTTGATCGTTTTTGGTTTGGTTGGGGAAAAACAATTAACACCTTATTTCGATGTTATCTTGGTACTTCTAGCCTTGCCCATAGTCAAAATGATTGGAAGAATTGAAAGATTCCATTTGATTGCTAGTACTGTTCGTTGGTTGATACCGTTCATTGTTAACTTTGGAATCATTCTTTTTGCTGCAATTTATTTTTTCGCCATAATTGGAATGTTTCTGTTTTCTGGTTTAATTGAAGCTATTCCAGAAGGATGTCCACTCGGTTCAATTGATTGTTGCCCTGCTAATCTAGAAGCTAAAGGGGTTCGCTATTGCTCTATAAATTTCAATACAATCCAATCATCATTCCTTTTACTCTTTGATTTGCTGGTAGTTAATGATTGGCATCAATTTGTGCGTAATTATGAAATAGTTACTGGTACTAAATGGGTTCGATTATACTTTGTCTTCTTCCACTTGTTATGTGTAATTGTGGCTCTCAATTGTTTCACTGCATTTATTATTGAATCTTTCATATTGGAATATACCAGGAATGAGTCAAACTCACCATCGGGTCGCCTTATGAACAGAATCCGAAACTTGGCCAAAAACAACTGTCCCAATGTTCGATTAGCTTGTAATCCAATTGTCAGGTTATTGGGTAAACACAATGATAATGAATGGGTTATCTTCAACATACCAGAAAATGTTACATTCCATGTTGAGGTAACTGAAGCGTCAACAGTTGAATCTTCATTGATCAGAGTTTTTCAAAAGGAGTTGGAAGACGATGATCAATTCAAAAAAGCCAACGAATTGTTCAATACCAAGCCTGATAACGATAAAAAAGATACTAATAAAACTGGTAAACAAGCATGATTGCCAACGCAATTGTAAAACATTAAAGCTCCAAAAAGATTGCATTTTAAATAATGCAAGAAACTGGACATAAGAATATGAAACACAAATCAGTTGCTCATTCGTCTTGATTAAACTTTACCTGTTCACCCAGTTGCCAACTTTTTTAACAAATCATTGTAAATAACTAAATAAATATTATTTTAACTATATTTATTATGTTCACAAAACTACTCTTAACTCGATTCACCTAATTATTACATTGTATAAAAGTTGTATTGCTAATCAGTAACCTCTGATATTAACTTTTATAATCTCATAAAAATATCCCAGGCTGAACTGAATGAAGGAGTGACTTTCTATTGTATCTCACAGAGGCTTTTCCAGAAGCTTGTCAGAGCATTTCCAGAAGTTTTCTGGTCTTTTGTGCATTTGCACCTTTTCCTGAAACGATAAGAACAGATTAACATATTTAGTTAAACAGTCTTACAATTTCAATTCATAATCATTTACTCTTGATGAAATTGATAATACACCGAACGGTGATAGAGTTGGTTGTGACGAAGATGATTTGTAATGATTAGGATTTTAAAACAATTTATTAATAATAAACGCTGTTATCTAATATTTCGTGAGCGTTCTGTAGGGATGAGTGGTTGACGGTCATCGTGAAAGCAAAAATACTAAATCTATTGTACATTAAGTCACAAATTCAAAATAAATAGCTTCATAACGGACAACATTTAGGATAACCAATGCAACTGGTACTTCCACCTGGAGTATCACTTTAAGCAATCGCCTAATCTGGTTCAAATGGTAACTTATAAGATAGTGTTAGAGTAAACGTCATGTCGCATGATGAACGGCTACTGAAGACGATAGACAAAATTTAAACATAATTTATTCGATTTCTTATAAAATTAGAAAAAAAAGAAGAGCGAAACTAAAAATTTTAATGCTGGCTTACAGTAAACGGACTTATCTTGAACGTCACTTCAAAATGGAACCGAATATTTTCTTGTATGTTGAAGACAATCATTTATTTGATGATCTGATGATCAAAGTTAAATCTCAACTATTTGCTCCATAAAAAAATGTAATAATGAAAAGAGCAATCCTAATCAAACGAATAAACAAACATGATTACAAACTCAACGGTGTATTTGCTTGTTAAACATTGCTTATCTTCATGATTAATATTCAAGTTCAAAAAGATTGAACTGAAATGTGAATGTTATAGATAAAAAACCTCTTATAACTAACAGAAAATATTAACCATTCACGAAACAATCAGAATCATCAAGTTGTACATTCAATCTTGCCTCGACTAAACTTCACCTGTTTACCCAATTACCAAAATCTTTTTACCAAATCATTGTAGTTAATAAAATAAATATCACTATAAATACATTTATTTAGATAATCAATCCAAAAATTGATATTCCTGATTAACGTGATGACAATACCAAGCTCTTTTCACTAAAAATACTTGGTAAGATTTCTGGTTAGATTGACAAATATTCACGATAAAGTTATCGATCTGGTACCAAAATGGGTTCACTTCATGAAAGACACTTCAAATAGATACAAACTGTAGTCATAATATCTGTGAATCCAACGTGATTTGCTTCAAGTTACAAACAGTTACATAAGCAAATGGACAGGTCATCTTCTAGGGATCGCTATTTATTAATAACTGTTGAAAATTTTCACTTGTTTTGTATTTGATTAAAATGATCTTCAACTGTTTCTGCCCTTAAAACCGGTAACTATGATCAATTTTGATCATCGGCTTGTCAACAACTAACAGCTGATGATTTGCTTACTTTTCAATCAACAAACTTGATGACTTATTTGACTTGAATAACCATGAAAGTTGTAGCAATGTCAGTTGAAAATACATCAATACAAGAATTGATCTGAGCCTTTTCCAAATTTGATTTGAATCTCGCTTGATAACCAAGCAATAAAATGATAAATCACAGGTTGCTTCAAGTATCATGAGTCTTCATACTTAACTCGTTACCTGTAGACTTAAAATTATTGAACCATCAACTGTACTCTTCTCAAGTCAACTGATCTGCAAATTAAAAATACAACATTATCAATCCTGTGAATTAACAAAACGTTAATAGCAGTGTTAATTACTGACTGAAACTTGTCTATTCTTCTCATTCATCTCTTTTCATCTTTGCCTTTCTCTATCTTAGTGTTTGCCATAACAAAATACATTATCAACTCACATCGTCAACTAAATCATCAACCAGGAACAAGTGGATAAAAAAAGGTGTTTCGTTGTATTACTTTTGCTTGTGAGTTTGCGAGAAGAGAAAAGAAATAGTCTCTTAAACTTTGAGCCCAACTTTGGGAAGCCATGTTTATTGGATGCTTATGATTTTCCCTGCCTTATTCAGTTTAGTATCATCCCTTCATAAAGATGGCGTCTAAAAAGACTAGATTACTTTTCAACTGTAGAAGCAGATCAACAACAAATAAAGCAAAAATATAATCTAAGGAGGGAAACACAAGTTTTCAAAACGTTTCTTTCTTAAAAGTTGAGGTAAAAATGTAACACAATAAATGGTAATACATCTTGGTTAATACATTTTCATCCATTGAGATGGTTTCATTGTTAATGAGCTAACTCTTTTTCCCAACAAATCCTTTGGAGCTGATTCATTATACAAAATACGTCTGATTGTTCACTTTACTGATATCATATGCTTACCTACCGTGCTTGGTATAATTATAAGAACACTTAATTTTAAACGAGAAAACAATAGTTACGCAATATGAGATTGCTGATTAAAATTTATCCTTGAGAATCATATAAGTAACCATAATCATTGGTTCACAGGAGAAGCAAAAATTCAGCAACTACTGAATATTGTAAAGAAATTTAGGTTTTTCTTGTACAATGTTTGACTTATTGGTTGACTGGTAAAAGTAGAGTTAGTTTCATGGGTTCGATATAAATTAATAAAGATGATCGTCTTATCTTGAACTTAAAATTGTAAAAATTTGATAATAAATACACAAAATTAGATGAGTAAATTGAATAAAAGAAAAATATATTTAAAGGTAATTCATTTTGTTCATACATGTAGTGTTATGTTTATTTGTTAAATGTTGTTGACGCCATTTTGTTGCCAGGTTGATATGCGTAAAGACAATTCTTAACGCACACTCTCCGCTTACAGTTTACAGAGTCTGTAATATAGACACCACTCTTACTTGTAATGTTTTCGCATCAAACCTCATCCGTTAATCAATTATTTCATCAATAAACAATCAATTTTTTGCTTTTAACTCAATGTACCTAATCATTATCAACATTGTCTTGCTAATCAGTAAGTAAAATTAATTAATTTTCATTATTCCAATCTCCTTTAAATACAATTTTTTTCAATTCAATTCATGAAATCAATCCTTTTCATGTCTCCTTATCTATATGTTTCTCTCTTTCTATTTTCTTTCGCTCTCTTTCTTTTCTCTCACCTTTTTTCAGTCCTTCTGATCCTCCATTTTAGTAAGCATCTTTTTCTTTCTCTCACTTTTTGACTTGCTTTTTTTCCCTTTTTCTGCTCATAAGAGAGCAAACAGAAATTCATTCTCTTGGAAGGACAAATCTGTTCTATCTAATTTTATATCTTTTCTGTCTATTAACTATGTTCTAATGCCTGATAGTTCACCATTCCAATTATTCCGTTTTATTCTTCCTTTTCATTGATCTCAAAGTCGCAATTATTGACTCGTTATTTATTTAAATGTTCACTTTCAGGTATTAACTTATAATCCTGTTTTGTTTTGGTGTTTAATATGTGGCAAAACGATGATAACAAAATGGAGATGAATCAAGGTTGGAACATTCCTAACAGAGGAGATGATAAAAACAGTGACCAACAACAAAAAATGGATGCAGATAACGAAAAGCTGAGCTTTAACGATAATTTGGACGAACTCCTTGGTGCTATTGGTGGTTGTGATAATTTTATGGGCACTGGAAGTAAAATGACTAATAATAATAACAGTGGCAACATCAACAACACCAGTGATAACAACAGTCTATCCTTTAACAGTGGACCAAACTGTGATGATGGTGATGACCGTTCTTTCCCTAATTACAACTTTACCTCTGGTAACACTTTTAATAATCACTCAGAAAGGTCCCAGGATGGACTGAGCAAGAATGAAGGATGGCCTTCCATTGGATCTCATAGAGGCGAAAGCAGTTTAAATTGTGGAGGCCTATCTGCTAATTCAATGTGAGTTGATGAATCATCCCCTGTTTGTTCTCTTATTATTAAGGAAAAGTTACGATTTTTATTTTAAAATTGCTACCTCATCATTTAAACCTGAAAACAAACTAAAGACCGATTTTTAGTAAATTCAGGTATTCATCAATTAGCTGTAGATGACTTTTGGATGTAGTTCATTTAGATGACTTTTAGATTTCTAATTAAGGTTCTGGATTGAATCCGGATTATTTCCTATATATTTCATGAGAAAGTGTTAATAATTTATGTTTAATATCTGATTTTAGATCAACAGACTCATCTCATGGTTGACTAAAATTGACGTTTTTGTTAAATTGCGTCGAATTAATCAACTGACTTTATCAATTTTACCTATTTGCTCAGAATTTATCTTTATTTTATTTTATATACGTTTTTAATCGTGAAATTTTTGCAATTCCTCATGCAATTTCATTTTTTTAGGAATAATGATTCTGGATGGGGTTGTGCTAGTCAACAGCTTCAACAAAATCAATTTCAACAACAGCAAAAGAAACAAAGTAGCAACACTCAATCCAACAACCAAGGAGCTCCAGCTTCTAGCTGGGGTAGCTCAGCTGTCTCTAAGGGCTCGGGTAATCGAAATTGGCTGAACGATAGCAATATTCAGGATGAAGGAAGCCACATGATCCGTGAAAATGATTATTCATATGGATCTCATCACAATTCCGCCGTCGCCATGACTGCCACCGATGGAGAGGGTAAACCTGTTCCGAATGACTATCTCAAAGATGCTGCCCTCTTCTCTGATGACTGGGGTAAAACTGTAAGTGTATAATTAATATTTTCAATTTTCTTTCAAACCTTTAACACCTCTAACCTTTCGTTTATTGTTGTCATTTTAGGTGATAAACCAGGAAAAAGCCTGGGATCTCCCTCCGTCCCTCCAGTCAAGTCCAAATGAGAGTAGCTCTTTGTGGTCTACCGGCTCTATAACAGGCACAGAAATTTGGGAATATACCGTCCGTAATAAAACCAAAGCACTTATCTCAGTGGCTTCGGCTGCATCATCATCATCATCAGCTGCACCTATTGCTGCAACTCCAACAGTCTCAACGAATCAAAAGGTATCTCAACAATGGGGCCATAACTCTGCATCTCATATCGGAGGCACTTGGGGTGAAGAAGAAGATTCAAGCAATGTTTGGACAGGCGTTCCCTCTGGTGTTTCTGCCACAGCTCCCATGGCAAGTGGTGGTGCAAGCACAGTTGCAGCTTCCGTTATTAATGCCAGTAACAATCACTCTGTTCCTTCCGGTAAGAATAAATTCACATATTTTTTCGTAATTTTTTTCCCGAAAAATATCTATTTCATTGAGACAAACAAAAGCTGGTATCAATTATTTGGCAATACATATCATTTGTATCATTTCAACGTGGCATTTTTGCTCCTATTACTGCTTAATTAGAACCTATGATCTAGTACCTACCCTGCAACAGCTCCTCAACTGTTGCTTCTAATGATTCCCTTCGTTTTAGAATTAATCTATTTGATTTAAAATTGTCTGATCCGAATATATTAAATGATAGTTGCACAATTTTGAATGTTCTGACTTCAACATTCAACAAAACAACGCTCTGTTTGCCTTGTCATGTTGACCTGAATAAAAAATCTCCCCCCCAAATTATTTCCCTCTTCTTCATTCACTTTTACTATCACTATTCATTACTTCATTAGAACAACAAGTTTTTTTCTTTTTATTTGAATTTATTCCTTAACTCTACTTATTCATTAATATTTGTCTCTTTTAAGTGTTTTCCTTTTTCTTGCATCTTTATTTCCTGGTGCATTTAAATAGATTGTTCCTTTAAAATTTTATGCAGCTTCTGCTTTTGTTGACATTTTTTCAATTGCCATTACATTGAATGTTTGTCCATTTGATGTTTGATGTAATTTTTAAAATTTGAATCATTTCATCTTTTACAGAATCTGATCCATGCTCTGACAATGCAGCCTCTATTTGGGGAAGCTCAACCAAAGTCAATAATGGAAATGGTGCATTAGTACCAAATAATGTGGTTAATGTTTCAAATAGCAGTGTTGTTGGAAACTTTGGTGGTCCTATGGCCACTGGCTCAAACTTAGGCATTGTTAACCCTTCTGGTGTTGGTATGAAACGTGATAATATAAATACAATAAACAGCAATAGCATGAAAAGTTCTTGCTCTTCTTCAGCATCTTCTGGCTCAGGCTCTGGTTCAATTAACATTGGAACCTGGGGCACTTCTCAAGGTGGATTCAATAAGAATAATGAATCGATACAACCCACAGGTTGGGATAATGACGAAGAAAATGCCAGGAAACGAATTCCTCCTGCATCTTCTGGTAATGTCGATGATGGAACTGCTGTTTGGGGTAAACCTGAACAGCATAATAAAATTGCTCGCTGGAAAGATCCTGCTAACAATGCCAAAATACCAGGTAATAGTGCCAATGGAAATAATGCTCTTGCCTCACAAAGTAACAAAAATGGTGCAGGTTCGGGAATAACTTCGCCTAGTCCAGGAATGATCCGATTACCACCTGGTACACCAGGATTGAAAGGAATCAACACAAACAAAGGTAACAGTGGCAGCAACAATAATAACCAAAACAAACAAGTCAATGGTTTGACGAGTAATCTCATGAGTGATGGCGGTGATGTTGGTGAAGTTGGCGGGCCAGCTAATCCAAGCTCACTGGGCACTGATATCTGGAACAAACCATCCAACAGAGGCTGGAGTGATAACCAAAACTCCAATTCAAAGAATAATCAAATGCCTATTGGAGGTAATAACCAAAATAATATCCATAATATTAATAACACTTACAATTTCAATGCTAACCCACCAAATGATGAAGATCGTGATGCTAATGCTTCGATTTCATCTCAAGGTTTTGGATGGGGCCAAAAACAAAGTGAAAACGGAACTCCTAAAACTACACCTGGTACACCAAATACTCCTGGAGGTAACATTGCTGGCAATTGGGGACAAGATGTTGGACCTACCAGTCCTCTTTCCTACTGGGGATCAAAAGGACGAACTGGAGGAGCAAATAATTGGTTAACTGGCGATGAGTCTCTTGATGTCGAAAATAATTGGAACAAAAATAAACAAGGAATGCCTTCTCAACAACCACCTCAAATATCAAAAGAAATGTTGAATTCAAGCAAAGTTTATCGACTGTTGATGGAAATGGGATGCAAGGTAAGTTCACTGAAAAATTTGTTTGCCTTTACTCTTTCTTAACTGTATTTTTTCTGTCGCTTATATTTTCAGAAAGAAGATATTGAAAATGCCTTACGTTCCAGTGGATTGTCAAAAGAAGATTTTAATGGTATGTAATCTTGATTTAGAATTTAATTTTACTTTACATTTTTTAAGGCAATCCTGTTTTGGACCATGTTTATTAATTTTTCATGCATTACTTTCATTACTCAGATCTTGCTCGAGCTTTCTCAATGCGTGATAGTATGAATGAGATGGATTTGAGGGGTAAAGACCAGGTCAGCAGCAATACTCCGACTAGTCTACTCTTGAACACTGGCCTCGTCAATTCTAGTCTTTCCAGTATTATGAATCGTAATCCATCTCAAGGGATGCAGCAGAACCAACCTCAAGTGACTCTTTCCTCTCATCAGACTCCAGACCATATCATTAACGTCCAACAGTCTACTTCACAGCAACAACATGATCAAAGCCAAATTCATCATCAGCTTAATCAAGCGCCTTCTCAAGCATTACCCTCAGTAAGTATAACGTGTTAACTATTTGCTCTACCAATTGGCTGAATTTTGAAAACAGAAATTAACGAACAACTTTTTAAATTATTACAATAATTAGATCAATCATGTCCAAAATGTGCTAAGGAATCAAGCAGCTAAAAACTTGGGCTCAGGTCAGCCCAATTTGCCATCAGAAAAACAATTGATGCATTTGGTCCAACAGATTCAGTTAGCTGTTCAATCTGGCCATCTCAATGCTCAGGTAAACTATCTCTGCCAATTTTGCTTTAATGTGTCTGATTTTCTTTGGTTGAGTTTCAAAATTACAAAAATTTGTTTTCAATTTTTTAGATATTGAATCAACCGTTGGCACTACCTACTATCCATTTGATCAATCAGCTTTTACAAAATATCAAAACACTCCAACAATTACAACTACAAATTGCCTCTCACCCCAAAAACGGGGGACCTTTCAATAACTCTTCTCAGTCAAATCTTCACGTACAAATCACTCAAACCAAGTTACGAATCCAAAACTTACAAAATCAGATAACTATTCAACAAGGTTTGTTCCTAAAACAGCAGCAGCAACAGGGACAGATGACTGGTGGTCCAACTCACTCTCAACCCAATGTTATGAATTCACAAGCATCACTTGTAAATCAAACTGCATTAATTTATTCTCAATCAAATGGTGATATTGGAGGAAATGGTGGGGCACAAAATCAGTCACAACAATTGTTGGCTTCTGCACAATCCTCCCATGCTCAAAGTGTTCACCATTCTGGTATGGTATCAAATATTGGCAATAGTAACTCTATTCCTCCGGTATTCAATGCAAATCATGGAAGTGGAAATGGGGCTGGCATGGACTTCCTCAAAGATAATGATAGCATTCAATTGAACAGTGATTTCCGTGATTTATCGCTTAAAGATTTTGTCCAAAGTGGTGCTGCTGGTGCGCATCAAGGGCTTGGCATTTCTAGCCTCAATGGAGGTATGAATGCATTAAATGTTGCAAATCAACAAGGTCATCAACAGCAACAAGGTGTTCAACAAGGTAATGGTGGGCAACATCAGCATTCACGATTGAAAACTTGGAAGTTCTCTAATATGGACAGAGTCGAACATGGTTCATCTGGATCAAACAACAGTGGAAACAATGATTTTCTTCGTGCCCCTGGGTCATCAAAGCATCATCTTAATGAAAGCGGTTTGAACCGTGGAAATACTAGTGATAATGGTTCTGGAATCGGAGGTTGGTCAGGTTTAAACTTCCCTGGAAATGCAAATGATGGTTCAAATTGGTCAAAAGATTCCATGATGAATGCTGTTTCAATTGCCTCTAACACTGTTCCTTCCTCTGTTATGAGACCAAATAGTACACAATCCGGAGACTTGAAAAGTTTAGTCATGTCAAGCTCATCTAGTGTAACTGGAGGCATAATGACAGCTCCTAGCCAAACAACTGTGAACAATTTGGACCTTAATGATATTAATAACCTTGTTCCTGAATTTGAACCAGGTAAACCATGGAAAGGTGTATCTGGTATGAAAATCGAGGATGATCCTCATATAACTCCCGGTAGTGTTACTCGATCTCCGCTCTCTGTGAACACAATCCGTGATCCGGCAATATTAACCGGTTTGTACAACAATTGGTCAGCCAAAGGTGCAAGTCCAACCTCAATGAATAGTGATATATTGGCCCCGTCTGTTGGCTTATCTTCCAACGCTACTTGGGCTTTCAATACGAATGCCAATGCCGGTAATTATTTTTATTATAAAAGACCTATTGAATAATTTTTTCAGCATAATTTGAATGAGTTGATTCTAAAAATAATTTTTTTCTTTGTATCAGGTTGGGGGGCTATTCCAAATGAAACTCCAAATAATGAAGTTCTATGGAGTGGATCTATGACAAAGACTCGAGGACCACCTCCAGGATTGGGCCAAGAGAGACTTGGTCCACGAGGAGACCAATCAATGGCAGGTATCCGTCCTCAATCAAACTCCTACGGAAATTGGATGATGAATCCTTCCAATGAAGGTGATCATTTAAGCAATGGAGGACTTGAATCGAAAGATCTGCTTTTCTCCCGAATGATGAATAACACTAATGGAATGGGATTCGGCATGGGAGTTAACATCGGGAACAAATGGATGTGATTTTATGTTAATTTAATTATGGGTAAACTACTGCCCACTACGTTACAAAAGATTACCAAATGAATCTATTGACCTCCAAATCGATACCGCCTTACAATCCAGATGCAAAAATGCAACAAAACTACATATTCAAGCCATTTATCTTCAACTTCATACCCAAAACACTCATCATATAAATTACATTCAAAGACGAGACAAGTCAAGTCGAATCAAGTTCAGTCAAGTTTAGTTGTGGTTACAAAAGTCAAATCAAATCAAGTCAAGTCAAGCCAAGTTTAAGTAACTTGTTCTTCGCTCAGTTTTACGGTGTCCAAATCATTACTCATAAAAAGGGTGGTTTAAACCCTAAAAGTACAGTGATTGGCCCAATCATCTTTAATGTTCATTTACTTAAAAAGGATGGCAACAAACCTGCAAAATACAAAAAAAAAGATTTAAAAAGAGTTGTCCTCAAGTACCATAAACCCATCTACTTTTGATGATGTTGACCTTCATCGGCCTTCATACAAAAAACTATAGCCATATCAGATGAATATGGACTATTAGCATCAATGGTGATATTTGACTAAAGTCATGAGAGGATATATACCTGTAATAGTACATATTCCTCACCCATTCTCATCTCACTTCCTATTCTTGGAAAAACTTTTTGAATCCTCACACAATCCTCATTCTCATGCATCATCTTTTCAATTTTTTGTTCATCATTTAAATCATTTCTTTCCAATTCTCTTATTTTGTCCCAATTTTCCTTATCTCTTTTTTGGTCTACTTTTGCCTAATTTTCTCTTTGGGAACTTTAAAAGTTAGATGGTTTAGCCTAGTTTATCGCAAAACAATATTTTATCATCGACGATAATATTGACGATTAAGCCAAAAAAATGTTTCAATTAGTGCACACCACCAAATAATTCCTGCCTAACAATGACTACTATCCTGGCCTTGATCTATCTTTCTCTCTATCTTTCTATTTCTGGACCTGGTTCACTTGTTAATTACTGGGTTGTTGCAAATATCTTTCTTTTAACTTCTTCCTTCCAACTTAATTTCTATAAGACAACTGAAAATCCAAGAGGTGAAGTAAAGTTATCATACTTTCGACAATTTCTTCCTTTAAAATGCATCTACTTTCTTGCCTCTGATTTTCCTCTGTCTTTCAATGTTTCTCCTTTTTCATCAAGTTCAATTCTCATCCTCATTTCCTTAACAAATGATCTTAACCTCCTGCTCTTTAAATATTTGCTTCCGTTTTCTCTTCTTTCACCTCACTCATAAATTTAAACACAAAAAAATAAGAAACCCATTTATATATTAATATATATATAAATTTATTTAAGAGAAGATTCAGAGATGATTACAGATTTTTCCTCTCTTGCAATCACTTATTTAACGAGAGGCCAAACAAAATCATCATTTACTTGTCTATTGAAATCGATTGTTTTTCACTTCCCATTCACCCTCTGATTGTTTGTATCTCTATTATATCACCATCTTCTGGTGTAAAAGCTCATATTCTAGCAAAAAAAAATACAAAAACATTATTTATATTTAGTTCATCAACTCTTATATCATATGATAAAAAAGTTGCCCATTTTTAGAAGTTGTAATGTTTTGAGAAACAAAAAAGTCAACAAGGATAATGAGCCAGATTCGGAGATGGTGATTTTAATGGAGTCTAGTTTGAAAAGTACACTAATTTGTAACTTATATTTGAGAGATTAGAAGTTGAAAGATGAAGTCAGAAAATCTTAGAAGCCTTTTTTTCTTTGATGTTTCTTGTGGTGTTAGTCAAGACAAAGTTCTTCCTGTCCATAACCCTTTACCATTTTACCACCCTTTTAATATCTTCCCTCTCTGTCTTTCATTATTTTTTGCTTACTTCGTACTCACAACTTATCTCTGAATATCTTAACAAATATCGCTGTATTTCAATGTAATTCCAAAGCCTAGTCCAAGACTCATGACATTTTTAAGTTTACTTTAGAAACTCATCAGAAAGATTCTTTCCAAAAGTTGAGTTAAATATCTTTCTTGATGATGAAAACTTTGCCTGGCGAAAAAGTAAAAAAAATAATAATTAAAACCTTGTTAATTATAATTATACATAGATACATGTATAAGCGACAACGAAAATTAAGTTTGAATTATTTATGATAATCTAATGCCTAAAATTATCAGACAAAACCAAACATATTTCATTTTTCAAACAATAATCATGTTAGATACTCTCCAAATAATTGGGAAAAAAACACTGAAACAATTGAGTTATCAATCTTTTTTCCCAGATATAAAGCATTAACTGTGCATTAGATTTTGATAAAAAGGTTTCAACTTAATTTCCGATGTTGGTTTGGTAGCACAGAGAGAAAGAGTTTCAATTGAAATAATTTTTCAATCAAACCTGTGTCAAGCATAACACAATGAAACAAACAAACAACGTTTAACAGATCTCCTTTTTAATCGTGATTTGAGACCTCCAAACCTTACCGTTAGAGTTTCTGTCCAATTCGCAATTCTCGTCTCGTTTCTTGAACAATTATTGCCCACCAAAAGTATATTCAACTCAACGCTGCCGCCGCCAAAAGAAACACACGCATACATATTCACTTCACCTCTATATGCACCATGCTCATCCACATCAGCATCAATGTACGACCAAAACAAAGCAACAAAAGATTCTTTTCCATGGTCTTCATCTTTCCTTCTCTTTCTCTCTCTCACTCAAATGACTCTGTTTCCCTTTGACCCCACCTCGACCAATGTTATCTCCTGAATCCCGTTTTCACTAGAATCCAAGTTAGACTGAAAAATGTTTACTCTATTGCATTATTCACATTGTATCATTAGCTTGTTCACCAATCCTTAGTCCTTTCTGTTTTCCCTACCTTTACATGATGAAATCTACTATACTGATGCTTAAACCTTTTCGGCTCACAATTTTTTCACCTGTTTGAACAAACCCAAACATGGCATTCAAACTTATCAATATCTAAGACTTCAACTCCTTTAACTCTGTTACATTAAATTGGTCGGCAAAACTGATCGTGATGTGTGCCAATGATTGTAACATTGGCATTGCCTTTTTCAAACAAATTATAACCTTTATATTTTACTTCACATCATTGGGTGTTAAAAAAAATAAATCATTTCCATGAAGTCTTATTTTGATAGGTTTGTGTGATTAAACTTTTTTCCCCTTTTTCTCTCATTATTCGCTTTCTCTTTAATTTCCCAACTCTTTTATGCCTTGAATATTTCCATTCAATTTTACGCAATTTACCTCTCAATTTTGTCCCTTTCTCCGCTCATGATAATTGAGGAGAAGGACGATTATTATTGCTGTTTCAAATAAAAGACTAAAAGATCTTTAATTATCTTGCAAATCATAATGGCTCTGGGAAACAAAACTACATCTACTTTGACTACAACAATCAATCAAAGTTTACCATTTCAATTAATGGATTTGCATTTGGTTTCCACTCATTTACTTGTGCACTCTTTCATAGATGACCACCAATTATCTAATTATTTTAGAGGAATAAATCACCCAAAGGAGGATAAATTTCTTGTTATTTACCAAAGCAACAATTATTTTGTCAAATAATGGATAATCATTGGCACATCATCATGACCATCACTTTGAAACAATGTGGATACAAATGATTACCAAAAAGAGGGAAACAAGATTGAAATACCTTTTATCATCTCGTACGGAATAATTAAAGTAATCAACCTTCTTGGATCCCAATCATTTATCATCATATAAATATATTTACTTATAATTTACAAGTCCCAAAGTTTCAAGCAAAGCAGCAGCTACAAACATTTTCTTCATTGAGTGAGCCAAAAATTATACATAATATACATATGAGATAACAAAACCAATATAATATACGATGAACGATTACTGAATTTAAATGTACAAGCAAAATCGACGACAACAACCGTAAGCCTTTCTCTCTACGCTATCAATCTTTATTGTCAACCTTTTTCCCTTTATTCTGTCCTCTTCATTTTTCTCACTCTCTGTCTTGTATTACATTATTGCTCACAAATGAGATGAAATTATTATTATCATTACAATTGATGATAATTATAATAATAATGATTTTAATTGTATTATAAAATGACAAACAACAAATATTATAACACTATTAAACCTGAAGACGATGTTCAATGTTCGGCTCAGGGTTTTATGTTTTGTGTAAAATTTTGATTTTCAAACGAAACAAAAGCGAAGTCTCAAACCAAAATAATACAAAAAAACCAACAAAATGTAATGTGACTTGTCTTAATTAATTAATTATGCTAACAAAACCACCAAGCCTACAATTATTGATTTACTAATTGATTATGAAAAAACTCAGGAGCCAAAAATATCCAAGCAAAATTAACATTGATTCATTGATTAACCCTAACTCTTATTTTAGCAAGCCAAACTGTTAACAATTGTCCCACTTTTTAACCTTTTTTTGTTAAAATAAGTTGGGATGTTAATTGTAATCAATTATGTCTTTTACCGTTCATTTACAATCCAATTTTGTTTGTCTAATTTCTCTGATCATTTCAACTTGTTCCTTATATCAATATATATTTCCATCAATCAGATCAAACCTTGCAAACGAAATTTCCTCATGATTAAGGTTTCATCCAAAGTTGACTTGACAATTTAACTTGTTGTAAACTTGATTTTAATTCAATCAATATCTTGTTTCTTCCTGACAACTTTAATCATGATCAGCTCTGCGGATTTTTTCCTGATTTTATTGTCTCATTATCATTGTCAACAAAAATAAAACAAAAGCAAACATTACTTAATTATAGTAATAATGAAGATGATATTATTTAATATTATAATTATATTTCCTATAATAATTGTCGGATTAAATTTCAAGTTAATTGGCAATATAAATTTTTTTTGCATCAATAAAGATTATTGATCAAACTTATGGTCCAAATCATTAAATAACTATCTTTAAATTCATTTTACTCCAACAGTCTTTTCAAGTCAGATTGAATAAATCACTGGAACCAAAGGATTTGGGAAAAGAATCAACTGAAGGATCAAAACTGAACTAATTTATCAATAAAGGAATCTAAATTTCAAAGCCAATCAATGATTTCACCACAAGCCGTGTCTTGGAACCTCGAATTCGTGATTTTCTCCAATGAATCTTGTCCATCCTTCAGAAAGTACCGATTCGTATTGACTCAACTCCACTCAATACATTTACTGAATATGGCTTTGAGCAATTAATAAAATGCTATCCATTAAATACCAAGTACTTATGTACCAACTCTAGTTGTCTGGCTAGAATCGCCTATGATCAAAGTGCTCATGAAAGAAATTGAAAAAATTGTAACATTGAGGTGAACAGCAAAAGTAAAATTGTTAAGTGTGTTATTGAGTCTTTTTATCAGTTGTAAAGATGGAAATAATGAGATGAAATATCGAATTTCGGACGAAGAAAAAAGAAACAAAAGATATATTCTCAAATGTTATAACATCTTTTACTTGAAAGATATCAAATGAATGTAAAAATAAATTATTTCAGGTTAAGATAATGTTGGACCAGACGATCGTTTTTTTTCATTATTGAAACCCTGATCTTGTCAAAGCTCAAGTCATCTTTCGTAAATTCATTCGTGAACTGATAATATTAGAAGATAATAAAACAAGATCATTTTTACATCATGGAAAAGCAAAAAAATTGAAACTTTCTGTTATTTCGTCTTTTGCTTTTAAGCTTTCTTTATCAATCATGAATATTTGTAACAACATAGCGAACCAGAATTTAGCTTTAAAATTATTGAGATCGTTACGAAATTTGATTTTACTTACTTTAGTTTCTTAAATAAGAAATGAAAAAAATCCCAATCTCAAGATGAATCTCAAATTGAACTTAATCACATTTTTTTGTTTATTTGTAATAAATTTGGTTGTCAACCATTTGGTTGCCATATCAACAGTCTTGCTTTCAACGGTTTTCAAGATTTTTTGAAAAGGTTTTTTTTCGTGTTTAACTGTAAATTAAATTAAACAATTAAATTCAACAACTGTATTAACAGTCTTATAGCCAGTAATTAATACATCATTCCAGGTCAATCCAGTGATAAAAAGGACTGTTCATCACAACCCAATTATTTTGTTCTGGTCTAACTTTTGGATCCACCGTTGAATGGTTCTTTGGCTGCTTTTCACTTAATATCATCCAAATAAATCACAACCAACTCTCTCTTCAAGACTTTATTCACCAATCATCATCTTTCAAGGTTAATTTCATCATTTAATCATCTCAATTGAATGGTTTATTTGTTGGAATCTTTTCAATCGACTGGTCACTTCGTTTTCTACTTCTTTTCTTTCTACCTTTCTGCCTATCAACATCTTCATCTTACCCTTGTTAAGCGTCTGTTAAGTTACGGTCAGTGGTGATCGAAAAAAAATTGGTACATTTGTCTTATATTAGTTAATATATCAAACAAATTGGATTTAAACTGTTGAATGAACTAATCAACTGACCATTAGCCCAATTAGATGACTTTCCATTTAGAAGACGGTATTTCTGGCCAACTCATTTGACCCACTCCATTGGTTAACCAAGCTACATTTTGACGAATCGACGATTTTCCGTGTCAAGGATTGTTTAACCTTTTTTCATTTAACCATTTCAGCACAGCATATCATCAACATTATTATGCTATTACCATCATTGTTATTAACATTTCAATATATTCCATATCAGTTTGGCTTTTACTATTCATGGAAGGAATGCGTTTTCACCTACAAAAGAGTTATTTGTTGTTAATTTGTTCTGCTTCATCTTTTATATCAATATCAATCAACAGGATAATCATTTCTCCCTTTGTCCATGTAAACAACAATAACAACAATTAGTCAATTGATAAACCATAAATAGTTTGTTAATCAACATCAAACAACACGCACATAAAAAAAACGGAGATATCAAAATTGTTTGTCATTCATTTTGTCTTCAAACTTGGAGTTGATGGCCTTTTTTCAAAGACTCATTCAATTTGATTCAATCAGTCAATCAAGACACTTTAACACAATCACAGTAATGAGACGGCAATTGTCAAGGTTTTTAAGTAATCAAAACAAAATGAAAGTATTTTCCAGTTAATGGAAGCCAATATTAATCCAATTGTACTGGCCGTTTCCATTTTAATCCAGCATGTTGGACTGTTGGTTTTGAACGCTCTCAAGCAATCGATATTAATGGCTTTAATATCACCAAATCCAGTATTGAAATAATTTGGATCTTTTGAATTGTCTCGCAAATTGAACTCAATATCTAATGTGGATACAATCATCATTTAGTTATGAAAATTAGAGTTGAAAAAAGAAGCTCTAAATTGGTCAATTAAATGCTGTTAAATGGTCAGTTAAGGACTTCACAAAATTATACAATTGAATCTCTTTTTAATAATCCAATCTAATTGAAATCTTGTTTTGTTTCAGTACAATCAGTAATTCAAATGAAGCCACTGTGAAATGGATAATTGGAATACTTTCAGTTCTCACAAAACCCTAACTTCATACCTAAACTGTGAACACATTTCATGAATAAATTAAGCAAAAGACTTAATTGTTATCTTCACTGGAAATGCAATTCAACTTCAGCTGTTTACCAAACCAAAGTAACCAAAGTCAATTGGGTTTGAGTTAAATGAAAATTGATAGATTTGATGGAAATTTTAAGAGAAAGTTGAAAGGCAAAGTAAAATTGGACAAAAATAAGAGTTAATCATTTGACGGTTGGTTACAATCAAGATGGCCTTATGTTTAATTGTTTCAATTATCTTGTAAATCATCATAACCATCATCATAATTGAGGTCGTCATTTTTTCTTGGACATCAGGGAAAGACTTCACCATTCAATGTTGTTAATGCAAAATAATCTGGCAGCTCTTGACTAAATTTGTTTGCATCATTATCAACTATTTATATTTTGTTTTAAATATTATTTACTATGTAAACTCACGGACTGAAAATAGATGTACTTTATAATCAGATAGATGAATATTATCTGAATTGTTAGCGTTTTTCTGACCACAATTTTAAACTGTCCAATTTGTGTATCGCAAGGGTTCACACAAGAATCCAGTTGAGTCCATCGAAGCCTCAAAACGAGTTCAACCCGTTTTAAAGTCACTCTCATCACAATTTAGATGTATTATCAAATAATTCATTTCACTTGGACTATTTAAAGGTTGAAAGTTATCGTTAAACTCACAAATTGTAATTAAAAAGCATAAATGAAAACAATCATTGATTGGATAACTGTTAAAGCAAAGACAATTAACTTGCAGATGACATTAAAGTCTATATTTTGTAATTTCACTTTCAATTTTCTCAGATTGGCTATTTTAAACAAAATTTCAAGAATTTGAATCGTTCAGTTAAATATCATCATCTTATTTCATTGTGTCCATCAATGGGATGTGATTGTGATTTCAATCAAGCTTGTAATTGATATGGAAATTAATTTTAATAAAAAGAAGCCAATTTATTGTTTACCTTTTCGGTGTATTTGCTTCATTATTTTTATGCTTATGTTAAGCTGATGTTTATATTGCTTTAATAGTCATAAAGCTTTATTAGTTCAATCAATCTACTTGAAAATTACTTGAATAGATGATCAATATTTACATTTACTTGTTGAATGTGTTGACTTGATTCTGGCTGCTTGTTTTGAGCTGATTAGATCGATTTATTATGTTAGCACAACAAACTCCTGTTTAGAAGCTGTTATTTGATGATTCAATGTGATTTTATAGATTGTGAATCAACAAATTAACCGATTTGGTTGCAATAAGGGCTAAAAAATATTCTATAATCATTAAATGATTGGTATCCTCGTGGAAATAATGATTTTATTAGGAAATTGTTAAAAAATTGTGAAAAAGCGTTGAGAATTAAGTGTGATTTAGATTATTGATGTTGAACAAACAGATTGATCGATGAAAGGTCAAATTAGCAAACATGATTTAGGGGAAGTCAAAACAGAATACTAAATAAAGAAACTCAGATTAAAGAAGCTCAAATGATTAAACTGATTAAAGGTTTTCGAAAAAATCAAGTTCAAAGTTGAAACTTCGATCGCTTTTTGTACAACTATGGAAGCAGATTTTTTCATGATACTCATTTCTCGGATGTAAATTTTGATGTGTAACCAGAAAATGCACTTACTGGAAAAATTAAATTTTCTGTTTTCTGTACAACAGAACCCTTCGATTTTCAGTTTAAGCGACCGCATCTAGCGATTGCAAGAGTTGGAGATCTGAAACTTATTATTCGTCCATAAAAATCGTTGTCACACATCATGGATAGAGTACTTTATTCAATACAACAACACTTATCTTGATTTTGGCCATTGTTCTCAAAACTTTGAACCTCAATATTTCGAGAATGGCATTTCCTAAAATCATCATTATTTCACCAATTAATTCTTTACTAATGTAAAATTCAATTTGCTTAAATTCATTTTCATTAGTACATTAAGGTTACGATGTTTGGGTTGTAAATGAACGAGAAACAACTTATTAAACAAAAGAAACTCATCTCAACCCATTTCTTGGTTAATAAACCAATTTGCGGTTGAATTTGCAAATAAAATGGAAAGAGTACTACTAAAGGCTGGAACATTTGAGTAACGAGTTTAGACTTGGTGGGGTTTGTAGGGAAATAAAAACTGAGTCCTTTGGTGCTATTAAATAGTTTATTGGATGTCCAGTTTGTGAGAAAATCGAGGTCAATTTTGAAACTTCGATCGCCTTTTATGCAGCTATGGAAGCACATTCTTTCTAGAAACTAGTTTTTCTGAGGTAACTTTTCACGACCAAACATAAAATGGTCTTGTTTTTCAGAATAACATTTTCGTTTTCTGTAAAACAGATCAAGTTCAATTTTTAGTCAAACCGATCGCTATCTGCAACCATAAGAGTTTGATAGTTGAAACTTATTATGCGTGTGTAGATATTGTTTGCACACATCAATAACCGAACACTTTTTTCAAATTATCAACAGTTCTTTTGATTTTGGCCCTTGATTTAAAAACTTTGTGTCTCAATATTTCGAGAACGATATCATCTATAATCATCATTCTTGGCCAAACATTAGATTTCATTATGGGCTATAATATATCGAATCATTAAAGACCCTGCAAAAAAGTTATAGCATTGAATTACTTATGTTGTCAGATTTTAGACTTGATTTATAAAGCTAAACACAAATCTTATGCGTGAGAATGATCTTCATTGTTGAATGAATCTGCTCAGATTTTATTAGTTATTTAGTTATATGCTGTTGTAGCTCATAATGAAATCTAATGGGTGGTGAAAGAATGACCATATTAGGTGCTACCATTCTCGAAAAATTGAGGCTCAAAGTTTTTAGACCAATGGCCGAAATTGAGAGAAGTGTTGTTAAATTGTTAAAAGTATTCAATGCATCATGTTTAGCAATAATTTTTATGAACAAAAAGTAAGTTTAAGCTCTCTAACTATTATGGTCACAGAAATTGATCGGTTTAACTGAAAATCGAACTTATCTGTTTTATTTCGCACAGAAAGTTTTGTTTCTTAAAATAAGTACATTTTCTGGTTGAGCATCAATCTTTATATTGTTAAAATAAGTTTTTATGAAAAAAACTATCCCCATAGCTGAACAAAAGGCGATCGAAGTTACAACTTTGACCTCGATTTTCTCCAGAATGATTCATCCGATGCATTATTTAATTGCACTAATGGATTCAGTTTGCATGTCCCTACAAACTCACCAAGTCTCAAGTCTTAACTCAAATGTTCGAGCCTTTGCCAACACTCTTTGCATTTCATTTGCAAGTTTAACCAGAAAATTGGTTTATTAGCACAGAAATGGGTTGAGATGAATTTGTTTTGTTTAATGTGTTGTTGATCGTGCATTTACAACGCAAAAATCGTAACCCGAATACACTGATTGAAATTTATTAAATCCAATTGAATTATGCATTAGTAAAGAAGCAAATTGATCAAAGAATAATGTCTGTAGGTGATGCCATCCTCGAAATATTGAGGCTCAAAGTATTCAGACCAATGGCCAAAATCAAGAGAACTATTGATGTAGTGAAAAAAGTATTCTGTTCATGTCTTGTACAGACAATTTTCATGCAGCAATAATAAGTTTCAGCTCTCTAACTGATTCGATCACAGAAATAGATCGGTTTAATCGAGAATCGAACTTATCTCTTTTATCCTAGACAGAACATACTTTTTCTCACAATAAGTGCCTTTCCTGGTTGACCATCAAATTTTATATCGTCAAAATGAGTTTGGTGAAAAAAACAGCTTCCTTTATTGTACAAAGATCGATCGAAGTTTGTACTTTGACCTCGATTTTCTAGAAAAATATCAATCGGATGAATTATTTAACAGCACCAAAGGACGCAGTTTATATTTCCCTATAAACTTCACCAAGTCTCAACTCATTACACAAATTTTCGAGCCTTTGGCCACACTCTTTGCATTTCATTTATTAGTTTAACCAGAAAATTGCTTTATTTACCAAGAAATGTGTTAAGATGAGTTTGTTTTGTTTAATAAGTTGTTTCTCGTGCATTTACAGTTAAAATATCGCAACCCGAATGCTCTGATGGAAAGTAATTGAATCCGATTTGGTTATGCATTAGTATAGAAATAAATTGGTCAAAGAATGACGATTTTAGCTGATGCCATTCTTGAAATATTGAAGGGCAAAGTTTTCAGACCAATGGCCAAAATCAAGAGAACTATTGATGTAGTGAAAAAAGCATTCTGTTCATGTCTTGTACAGACAATTTTCATGCAGCAATAATGAGTTTCAGCTCTCTAATCAATTCGGTCACAGAAATAGATCGGTTTAACCGAAAATCGAACTTATCTCTTTTATTTTAGACAAAACATGTTATTTTTAAGAATGAGTGCATTTTCTGGTTGCCCATCGAAAGTTACATCTGAGAAATAAGTTTGATGAAAAAATTTGGTTTCATTATTGTACAAACAGCGATCGAAGTTTTAACTTTGACCTCGATTTTCTAGAAAAATATCCATCGGATGAATTATTTAATAGCACCAATGGACGTAACTTTTATTTCCTTACAAACCCCAATAAGTCGCGCTTCTTTGCTAAAATGTTCGAGCCTTTGCCAACACTCTTTGCATTTCATTTGCAAGTTTAACCAGAAAATTGGTTTATTAGCTCAGAAATGGGTTGAGATGAGTTTTGTTTTGTTTAATAAGTTGTTTCTCGTTCATTTACAACCCAAATATCGTAACCTTAATGTACCAATGGAAAGTAATTTGATCCATTTGAATTTTACATTAGTAAAGAAATAAATTGGTGAGATAATGATGACTTTAGGAGATGCCATTCTCGAAATATTGAGGTGCAAAGTTATTAGACCAATAACCAAAATCAAGAGAAGTTTTTTTAAATTATTAAAACTATTCGATCCATAATGAATAACAACAACTTTTATCGACAAATATTAAGTTTTAGCTCTCTAACTCTTATGGTCACAGAATGCGGCCGGTTTATATAATAATCGAACTAATCTGTTTTGCAGAAAAAGACAAATTTTATTTCTCAAAATAAGACCATTTTCTGATGGATCGTCAAAAGTTACATAAGTGCAATGAGTATCATGAAAAAATCTACTTCCATAATTGTACAAAAAGCGATCGAAGTTTCAACTTTGAACTCGATTTTCTCGAAAACTACCAATCAAAGAAACTCTGCAATTGCACAAATGGACTCAGTTTTTACGTCTCTACAAACTTCTAAACTCGAAAATAATCAGTTTTTACCCGTTTTTAAGCACCATTTTAAAATTACAAAATAGGAGAATACATTTTACCAGCGTAACATAAGGTTGCACTACTTCAACTATTTCATGCAATCCGATACATGCATAAACAATGAACCATTGAAAACAAGTTAATTGATATATAATTCAGGATCTAGATGATTTACAATTGAAATGGCAATACTAGTGTCATTAATCAATCCAATAATAATTTGTCATTTCAATGCTGTTGTTAGCTTTTGATAGTCGCCAAAAGAGTGTTTTATGAAAACTTGTTTTCTATGAAATCGTGTTTTTGATCATTTTTAATTGTCATTTGTTTTGTTTCCATCATCATGGTTATTCCAATCAACAATTAGTGGGTCATCAACAGGATAATAATGATTATAGTCTACAAAAAGGTGTAATAATAGTAACAATCAAACTGGATAACCATAAATGAAGAAGAAAAAATATAAATCAGTGTAACAATCGAGCTAATGAACGACACGAAATTTAATTGTTCAACTGTGAATCTTTGATTATCGGTTCCGGATCAACTTCATTATCTTCAGAATCAATCCTTTGCTTAGACTGTACAATTCAATTAACACAATCAAACTTTCTTCGCCAGTTAATTAGGTTAACTGTTTCACTGTTTTGTTTTAACAAATCCAAACTACAATAGAAACAAATATTACAAGTTAAAACCTTTTTTAATTGACTTATTTCACCCGATTTCACCCAATTTCCCATCAAAATCAATTTATCTTGTTGTCTTTTCAATTCATTGACATAATTACAAAAACAATTGGATCAATTGAAACCCAAATACCTTCGATATGGAATTGAAATTGTTTTGAAAGGAAAACTGTCAATTTCAAGATTCACTAATATTACCAATTAACCTCAAAATTTAGACAAAAATCAAAGTATTTGTTGATTAAGTTGAGAAATGAATTAAACATCTATTGGTGTTTTTATGTTAGTTTATGTCGCTCATTTTCACAATCAATACGATGATTGGCGCTTTTTTAGATTCATAATAAGCCCTCTGAAATGTCAGGAGGCCAATCGATTATTCCGATCAGCCGATAAGCCAAAATGCTAATCGCACGAAGTGACCATATTACAAGTACAAGGATAACCATCCAGTTGACCATATTACCAGTTTATTAATACTTGACTCTGGTTGACGCTTCAATGTTCAATGTTGAAAATATTGTTGTCATAGAAACAATGGTTAAATAAAAACAATTTTACCCATTTTTGTGCCTAAATTTTTTGAACAATCAAAGTTGATATTATTTCATTTTCTTAATCAGTTATGAAATTACTAGACTTAATTTCCCTTCGATTCATAGCTTTGATCGGACATCTTGTACTATTGATTGACAATCTGTGGAATCATGTAAGTATTATTTCAAACATTTTACACCAAAACCCAACCTTTGTTTTTTTAATTTAAACATCTTCCAAATTTCACTCCATTAGCCTTTTATTTCAACTCCAATTTGGTTAATTTGATAATAATAATTGCTAATGAATTGTATCTAATTGCCTTAGGATGGTTCAACCAGAAGTTGTCTTCGTTGGGATAATTCAATTGCATCGTATAACAAAAAAGATGTCGAGTTAAGTTGATTGATTTAACATTTAAAATTTGCTCTAATTTTATTTCTCTTATTCACAATCATTAGGTTCACAATTAGCTTGTCAATTTCAATTTTCTTAACCCTTATTGAAACCATTAATTTTATGATTGGAGTCTCAATGTTTTGTCCTATGCAATGTTTACTCTGTAAGTCTAATCATTCCCTTAATTTTACAATTTAAACCGTTCATTAGTTATCTGATTAACTGTTTCTTATTTTAAAAGCCTTAACCGCTCATGGATCAGGAGCTTTTATCTTATTTTATTACATGATGCATGTTTGGGAATGTTCACTCTCTTGGTGGATCCTTGCATTGACAACTCTTTTACCCGCTTTAACCGAGATAGTTATTGTAATTAGAGCTCTAATTAGTAAAGTGATTTAATAAACTATTAATATTTAATATTTAAATTAATTGATGTTCCAACTTCTCTTGGAAATGGTTTAACAATCACATTAACATTGAAAATCTGGTAAAAAGTGGGTTCATTCATTTGGGATGGAAAAATATCTGTCAATAGTTGCGATATGTAAATTTCATTTTGCACAATAGATTGTGTTTTGCGTTTGTTTTGGTCACATTCATTGATCACATTGATTAATTTTTAAGTTAAGGGATGGTTTAAATGTTAATTGATTTGCGTTCATGATTACAGATGATTATTGTTAATTTATGCTGTTGAAGCATAATGATTAAATTAGTGATGATATAACAATTTAAGATGAACGTGACTCTGGGAACAACAGGTATTTCGGGTACATTAATCAACACTACTGTGAACAATCAACATATTGCTGGAAATAGTGGTTATATTATTAATAATAATAATAGTGATGATGTAATTACAATTAGCAAAAGGAATAAAAAGTGATAGAAATTGTTCAGTTAAGATGAGGAAGCTTTTGCGTTTACTGAAGATGGTTTATGGCGATGGTAATGATGATCATGATTATCATTATGATGTTGGTGTGTGTTGGTGGTGGTTGTGGTGATGATGGATGATTAAGAAATGAAAAACAACAACAGATCATTCATTGTTGGATGAAAATTAGAATTTAGTGTTTTCCATCAACAGAAAAACAATTGATTAAATTAGGGTTGATGTAATTTGTTTGTAATTGACTTCTGGGTTTAAAAGCTGCAAAACCATTTCTACCTTGGAAAGTGAAACTTTTGTAATGTAGCAACCTTATTAAATTCATTGTAATTATTTGTATTTCCAGTTGATGAATTGGAGAAGAATGATGATGTTGATGATGTTGATGGTGAACTGTTAACTTTACCATTTTTACATTGTGAATAGGCTCGAAGGCGTAAATAGAAGAAGGCAGCGATTAATGTTGACATACAAAGGATTAAGATTAAACAGATTAAACAAACCATGAAGTTTGTTGTTGACATACAAAGTAAACTAACAGGTTCAGAGGTTTCGTTTGATAAAACATCAAGAACCGTTGAATTGATTGATCCTTCCTCATTTGAGGTGGGTAAATTGAAAGAAACATCACCAGGAGCAACAACTCGGATAATCTTTTCCGTTTTAATATCAGCATAACGGGGTGGTGACGATGCTGAAGATGATGAGCTTGCTGCTTGACGACGAGTTCGCTGTCTGTTTCGCCGAGAATAATCAGCATTCAAATTGGTTGTAAAAGTGGAACGCGGCATTCCTCCAATCGATGATACATTAACCAGCTTCTTTTTGTTGTTAGCACCATTCAAGGAGGCTAGACTTGCATAGCTGCTAGTAATGTTTGCTGGCGAGTTAGGGGTTGATGAATAGTCATTGATTGTAAGTCCATCACCTTGGCGATTTAGGAACATATCAGGTGGATAAGATCCGATTGGATATCCAGTTGGCATTTTTAATATGGTCATTTTGGTTGGATCAAGGAGATGATTTGAAGAGCTGACTGAGGACGATGATGCTGTTGATGGGACTGGTACTCGATCACCGTGAATACTTGATTCATCAGTTTCTAATATAGTTGAAGGGGAGACGGAAATTAAACTTGGATCTCTTGGGTTGATTGAATCACTTCCTCCTCCTCCTTTGATTTGAGTTGGGAAAGGTTGTTCAGAGCCAGCGATGGATCCCGAGCATTTAGGCTCTGGACATTCATAACGACAGACTTGAATAACACACTGGAAGTGAACATTCATTGAATCGGGGAATTTGAAGGCTTGGAAGTATGAGTAAGACACTACAGTTGCAGAGGAACCAAAGTTTTTAACCTTTTGGAATCTTGACATAATCTTGGGCCTGACAACACATCCATAATCGTCGACTAATTGAATGGGCTGGTGTTTACCGTCGTGAGCAACACAATTGCGAACCAACATGTCAAACTTGTTCTCGTCATCTTTAATGGCTAAAACCATGGTCATTGTTTGGCCAATCTTGACAATACCTGTCACCTCTGATGCCCAAGGACCTTTACCAGCTTGAATTTGCATCCAACACTGAATATTGTCACCAAGAAAGTTAGCGGTAACTGCGTCCATCATGTCAACGTCAAATGGTCTGAATGTAACCGATTTCTCATAAAAATCATACCAAGTACAGCGAAGACGACGAGCTTGATCCCAAGCTTCTTGAACTTGTGGATCGTATTGAATAATAATTGTATTCTCAATGTATAATCCACTACCCGGTCTGCCAGTACCAAAGGTGGCTTGATCAGAAGAGGTCATTCCACATGCTCCAAGGAAAATGTCAAATGAGGTTACAAGTTGACCGGTTCCTGGTGCAAGATGAACACACTTAGTATCACTGTAATGACCCTTGGAAAATATCATCCCATAAAAAGGTCGATCAAATTCAATGTTTACTTTCATGTGATTTTTTTCACACTTGACATTGATATTTTTAATCTGTGGAGATTCATTTCGTCCTAAAGGCCATAGTTCATTTCCACCACCAGCCGGTGGTATAAGAGAGGTGGTCGGTTTACCACCTTTCACTGAGCCTGGAAGAGCTCGATGTTCAGCATATAATTCACCAGCAGAGCTTTCTTCTTGCAAAAGATCAGTTTTACTATCAATTTCTTTGGCATCGACAAGCTAAAAAAGACAAGAAAAACAAAACACATTTTAATTAAGTAACATATTAAAATAATTTAGATGCTAAATAAATCACAAATAACCAAATTAAGCGATAGATTTGAATAATACAAAAAACCAGCTAATCAGGTGAACACAAGTGACAGCATAGGACATTTTTATGCCAAACTTTAGCCAAGCTTAATCAACCCCTTTTATGCCAATTATGCTAAAACCAGAAAGGCATAAAATCCTTGCTTGATTAACCTTTTGTCATTTTTAAACTAGATTAGTGTGTTAAGATGGATTTCATTAAAAAAGTGAAATTTATTTCGCAGAATTGAGTCTGGAATTTTCATCTTTTCTCAATGAAAATCATCTGTTGCCAAAAATAGCTTCATGTTGCTTCTTTTCGTTTTTATCAACAATAAAACAACAAAAAAAGTAGAAGCTTGCTCTTGAAATGTAAAAGATATTTTATTGCAACAATTATCATCAAGATTAACAATTTATTACATGATCTTCTCTCTCACTTGCGTCAAGTTCATTTTGTATTGTTAGTAAACATTTACCTTTTTTTCATTAGTACATTATATTTTAAAATTAAAAGTTATTTTTGTCTGTTTAACTAATTACTTTTGAAATGGTTGTTGATATATTAAATCAAATTAAAAATGTGTGTGACCAAGATGAGAAAGAAGAAAAGGAAAGAATCGCGAAAATGCTAAATATGAGGTCAAAAAACTGGCTCATTAACCTTGTGTCTGTAAAGCATTCAGAAATATGCGAAATCCAGTCAAGTTTCACTTGTTTCTCTTTCATCATTTCTCAATTGATATCATCATTTTCAACGTTATCATCATGATCATCGTAAAGTTGAATGTCCAAATGTTGACAGTAATAGTGTTTATTTCATAAGTAGAGATGAATAGCTAGAGTTTATCAAATAATTTAGCTAAATTAACAGGTAACCGAAACAAGTGAAGTAACATCATGCAAACCCAAAAGCATGTCCACTTTCACATCATCCAATTAATAGATAACTTGGACTCTCTCTTTTAACCATTTCAACTCGAAACGCTCTCGTTGGTTCATTCACACTCGGGTTAACCTTGAACTTAAAAGTAGATCAAAAACGTCGATTAAACGATTAAAAAAAAGCCTAAAACAAAACAAAACACAAAATGAAAACAAAACAAAACAAGACGCAAAAAAAAGCTAAAGAGTTCAATAAACCTAACACAAGATGGCGTTTAAAATCACTGATTGTTTAAATTGTATTTTGTATTAAATATTATTTAATAAACAAAATGTCAATGATAATGATAAACATGAACAGCAACTAAATACATAAAACCAAATTCACGTTATTACCTGAAAATATGAAAGTTACACATACCTTTAGCTTCTTCAATGATAATAAACAAGATCAACATTAACATCTTGATTGCTATTAAAATCAGATTCACAATTCAACTTACCATTAGTTAAGCTTATAAAAAAAGGTAAGGTCAGCTACTTTACAATTTGATGAATTGTTGAAAATTATATTCATTTCTCTGATTACCATCATAAGCATTACCACTAACCTTTATTATCGTTTTACTATAAAACAGTAATTTGGATTGTCAAAATCAACAACATCAAATTGACCCTTGAATTGGTTGATTATCATGTTTATTAACAATTCCTGATTTAACCCATAATTATGTTTGATCATCCTTGTTGTTAGTTTGATCATTAAAAGGCTTGCCAATGAATTTGTTTTTCAATTTCAATAAAATGTTAGTCGACATCAAAAAAAAAGGTTTACTATTTCAATGAAATTAAGCTAATCAAGAAATTAACTTTTTTGCTTCATTTAAAAGTTTGTTTTTAAAGTTGAACAAGTAAATTAAAGGTAATTTAATACACAATTTTTAAATATAAATTGTTAAGTTAAATTGTAACGATTTTCAACTCAAATCAATTTCATCTTCAAATCCAAATCTTCCTGGTCAATTCAGATTGTAATTTCTATCAGATTTTATTAAAAAATAATCTTGAATGAAATTTAAATTGTTAAAATAATGAAAATTTTCTGCTTTCTTGAATATCAGACAAAACTAATGAAAATTCATGTAATCGGCTGATTAACAGTAAACTAATGCATCTATTATCTGAGGCCAAAGGAGGTTCTCAGATTTGTCTCAGATGACTATTTCTGATGTAAAATTTTATGTTGATTCTGAAAATATAAAGCAGTTTTTGATCGCGAGAATTTATGAAAAGAGGTTGCATTTCATACTGAAAAACTGTATTCATAATAATTCAAAAAGCAATTCATTGAAAAAAGCAAGATAATTCTTAGTCAAACACTAGATGCAATACAAAATCAATGAACATTTCGATCCCTGCAAAGCTTGTTCCTATTTTGTGATATTTTTCATCATGAAATGCAAACTCTTTTTCATTAATCTCCTGCATTTCTCTATTCTCCAATTTCTTAGTTTTTACGTGAATATCTTGCAAACAACAACTCTGATCAAAAAAGAACATCAGAACAAAGTTTCAAACGAGAAAAAAATTACCTAAAAAGTCATCTGAAAATAGACGATTTGTCTAATTCATTTTAAGATTCTCCTTTATACCCAATTTTCATCGTTATTTAATCCAACAATTAGATGGGCTTTCGTACTAAGGTTAACCGGGTAAAAGTAAATCTATTGCTTACAATTTAAACTGTCAATATAATCACAAAATGGATTAATTTGGTTAAAATCGAGCTTTCAAAAGACTGACTCTGGTTTTTGGTTAACTGGACATTTAGTTTTTAAAGCTTACATGGTTTTAACTTCACAAGTATCATTACAATAACATTTCATCTTATTTCAATGTTCATTCTGAATACGCTAGATAAATCAGTATCGTTCTAGATTGAGGCTAATTTTCATAAAGATATTCTAAATGGCATGGAATCCGTGTAACCATTTTCCTGGGAAAATGTTGAATCTCGTCATTTTGTCACAATTTTCAAAGCTTTAAATCATTTCACCATCTGTAAGTTATCCAACTAATTACACCTCTTAATATTGACTCTTGTTCACATTTACCAGGTAATTCTGAACAAATCTTATTCTTCTAATTATATCCTTTGTTTGATCAAAATGTTCACAAATTGTCTCCTCGACAATGTTTAAGGTTGATTACTTGAAACTGCTCTGATTCTCATGTTAACCAATAAACTGTGAGAATGACCTAAACATGTAAACTCGTTTCCAAAATTAAATCTCATTGTCACCCAAATCTAGTCTTAATTTGCTTTACAAACGATCAATTAATTGTAGTGTTAATTTGTGTTAATCAACTTATGAATATAAATGAGCTGCCAAACGAAATAGCTTTTAATATTAATCATTCCTCAATTGACATTTACATTGTTTAAAGGGTTCAATGGTTTAACCTTTTCAACATTTTTTGTACTTTTCATCAACACTGTAAAAAGAAATGGCATTAACAATCAATTTAAATGATGAATGTCAATTGTTAATCGAGTGAAACAACAATTTATCAAGTTGCCATAATATTCAATTGTTTGAAAGCTCAGAGGAAATCGGATTATTTGATTGATCATTATAATGAAGATTAACATTAAAAAATTGTAAGAAAAGAGTTTAACTGAACAACAGCTAAAAAAAGGACAAATGTTATTCAAATGAATTCAGTTGAATAACAAGTTTTTGTTTCAGCATTCCAACATGATTTAACACAGATAACTTATATCAGTTGATCCATTATCATCATTCACATTCCAATTGAATCCTGTAACAAAAAGTATCAATAAACAATAATCTTATTTCACCCAAACCTGGTAAAATGAATAACTTGACCTGACAAATTTTCCCTTCCTTTCCTGGTAACATTTGAAACAAATATATTTATCAGCTTGATTCATGATAACCATTATTTTCATTCATCTTTACATCCAACACTTTAAGTGTCATTTTAATCATAATATAAACATGAAGCTAAAAATAACATTTGATTGGGTTTAAGGGTTTAACATTTACTAACCTTTATTAAAATGATGAGCAAACTGAGGATTGAACTGTTCAATATAATCTTGCTCATGATGAAATTGATGAAATGGTTCCTTTCTCATGGGATTGTGTAAATCTGTAAGAAATTGAAATGAAATTAGAATACAAATTTTCAATATTCAGATTCAATGGTCTTTGAACCAGAAAAGGTTTCAAATGTTGGACATTTTGATGAATTTCAATTTATTTTGGAGGAACAGTCAAAATTGAATTGTAAGATTGATTGAGATTTTGGACAAAAATTTGATTTTGTGAATTCATCTGAAAGTAAATTGTCAACAAATTGTCAGCAAATTGTTAAAGGGTTTGAAATTAATTAAGAAAAGGTTTAAGAACTAATTGGAAGACAAATTAATGATGTTGATGAAGGTCAAGGGAAAGTGGGTCATAAATATAACCTGGAAGGCATTCAAGATCAACCTTTTCATGAAGATGATGTTAGTAGCTGAATAGCTGAAAGATGTTCATTTTTATTGTAACTATTTAACTCTCGGTTTATTATTAACTGTTGCCTTTGGGTGGATTCAATTGTTGTTTTATTGACTTTAACCATTTCCATATCAATGTAACTTCTGATGATGATAATAGCAATAATTAGTAATGAACCCGATTTCATCTCTTTTGTTTCAATTGTTATCCAACCTTTTCTTTACAATTTCACCTTCTTTTCATTGTAAGCATCTTAAATCATAATCTTGACGGAATCTTCATTTTTTGGCAAAAATTTTCACCTTTTATTGCTATTAGATTAATCATTTGAAGATCAACAGATTCGGTGTTTATTACCTCAAAATTTACATTTAGCTTATTTTTTGGTTCCTTTTTTAATCACTATTTTAATATAAACTGCTTTTCATTGAAGTTGTATTTATGTTTCATCTTTTTGGCTATTTTAAAGTAACTATTGCTAAATGGTTGTTGTCAGTTGATCAGTTGATTAATTAAGTCTAAATTGTGAACTCTCTTTAAGGCTATTAAATAAATCACATTATTGATCAACATCAGCATTTATCAACCTTATTGTTGCTGGTCAAAGGTTGCTGAATAGGCTCAGCGTGACTTTAAAAGGTATCATCATCAGTCTGGTCATCATTTATCAACAACCTTTTTTTTGTGGGCTAACTGTAAATAAGTCTAAATGATCAAGTTTTTTTTAAATCAACTGACCAATCTGGACCACACTGTTGTAGTTGTTTATTCTTGATTGCTTGATGATCAATCAAAATTGTTACCATGAAAGGTTGCGATTATGATTAAGATGAATTAAGTTGACGTCATTAATGTACATCAATACATTAAGTTGAAAACAAGGAATCAAAAAATGATGCTTCATTTAGACTGCTCTATCATGAAAGGTAATATTGTTTTAACCATTTTCATTAATCATGAAATAGAAAAAAATAAATCAAAATTTTAAGTCTATTTAACATAATTAATCGTCAAATCAAATTTCCCTCCATAGATTGTATCAGCTGACTACCTTTTTGAACCGCCAAATTAACGGATTGGTAAAGAGACTCTTGTATTGTTTTAATTAAGTGCCTTTGTTAAAAGTTGAAGTAATTTAAATTGTTAATTTCATATTGATCTATCAAATTGTTAAATAATTCAAGTGATAACTGTTAAACTAAATCAGTTTGTCAAGTAGATTGGTAACAAAATGATTGTTTCTTGGTCAGGTTTTACCAGCCATTTTGATGTTATCTGATGTCTCCTAATTCTTGTCAATTTGTATCAATATGTCAATTCTGTGTACTTTACGTGATACATTTTATCAACTTTTATCCGATGACCAGCTTATGAAATGCTTGAAAAAATCATGCATAAATTGACAACAGTATGAACTCGCGTTTGGTTGACATTACAAAGGATAGTTACGTCTCTTGGTTACATCCCTACCAGATATTGAGATGGATAATATTACCTAAAATATGCGTGGTCAAGACAACTGTCACTGGTCCAGCTACCACTAACTATCAGTCAGCAATTGCTTAATTTATGGAATATTTCATGGAAGAATCAAAGTCAAATAGCAAAGTACCGTGCGTCTTTGGATAAAAGATCATTACATCCTCACTGTGGTCACATTTTCATTGGTCATTTCGCTTTCGTTTGTTGGTTGATAATGATAGCTGATTATCGTTGTTATTGGAATAAATTTTGTCATATTTGACTTTCCAGGCCACCCAATCTCTTCAATGTTCACTATCATCAACATCAAAGATTATTGAATGTTGCCTGGTTTTTTTCGCAACGCAATTTTTTGCCGGTATCATTTTGTTAACACTTCACTACGTTGACTAAATTGAAAGGACTTGAATCACTCAATGGAACAGATAAGTGGCCTTCCAAGCAAACAAAAAAAGCTAAATATACAATAAGATGGAAAAAAATACATGTGAAAAATTAACTTACCCTGACCCTCTCTTGGCTTTCACCTGGCTGTTTGTAAACACTTTGATTGTTGTTGCAACAGTTGTCGTTTTTTGTCACATGAAATTTAAGATTGACAAATCATACCTTTTCTTAATCAAATTAGATTGACTATTATAACAGACTAAAAAGATTGAACAAACATGATACAAAAAACAGTTATGAGTCTGGGTCAATTATTATGTAACTAAACCCTTATTTTTAAATCAAACCGCAACCTAAACCATCATTATTGCCATCGACATCAACCTCATCGTAATAATCGTTATTATTGAGGTCAATCGGAATTAATTCTTACTGGTGAAATTTAATGATAAGAAATCATTGATCAGATTCCCATATACACTACATGACATGATTAACTAATCACCGGTATATGATAATTCAATTTATACGAGATTCAACCAAATTTTACCAATCATCATAATTTACATCATTATTAAGAAGTAATCATCTTCAATGATTCCAAACAGATTTACATTTATTTATTTCTTCACCCAATATACATGTAATATCAAGATATGCAGATTAATTTAAATCACTCTTCCCGATCAGATTAACTTGACTGCATCAACAATAAACAACATGGAAGCTTTAAAATGGACAAGATTGACTTGAATACAAAGTGAACCCAAATACAAATTGAAGTCACAAAAAGCAAATAAATCAAAGCGTATTGACAGTAAATCCTGAAAATTTGGCTTGAAATGAAGATAACGATTGATTAATTAGCAAATGATTGGTTCATCGAATTGATTTTCTCGGATTCAGCTCAAAATCAATTAACTTGAAACATTTGTACTGGCAATCAATTTACCGTAAAATATCAAATACATTGTAAAACATGTTAAATTGGACTCATTCAATCAGCTGGTCAATTTAATAATGGACAAAAAAGTGTCAAGAAATGAGCTGAAAAATTGAATCAAGCTCAAGATGATGGAAGTACAATTTGAATAAGAGTGACCATTAAAGGGTCCATTGTTGGTTGCCAAAAAAAGGCAAGATTTACAATTGAAAAGGATGATGAAGATGATGAATAGAAGAGCTAAACGCCTTATCTTCCAGAAACATTTCTACCTTTAACAGTGAAAAATCTTCTCTGAGAAAATAACCTTAGGCATTGAAACAGAGCGTAAACTTTTCTCAACGCTTCGTTGAACACAGCTTCATTCAAGCTAAATATTATAATTTTAAAGGTATAATAATACAAAGCATCATCATATTTATCATCATCCTCATCATCTTCATCAACTTCATCACCTTCATCATCCTTATCTTGCCAAAAAAAGATCTTACCTTTTTCTTTGAGTTTCAATGTTTTATTTTTTGCTTTAACCTTTAAAGTGTTCAACTTTTTTTTGATGCCTTTTCATGTTGCTAATAAAATTAAGGGTAACATTAAAAGCTTCTTAATTTGAATTGGATTAAGTGAGTAAATTGTTGATATAATACACTTTAAACACATTAATATGTTGATCAAATTAATCGGATAAATCATTTTCTAATTGTTACCTAACCATTACCTTATTTGAATATCTCGTTAGCCTTTTGTTTACTTATGTTTAGTGCTTTTAATAAATCAATTTTTTCGTTATAATTTGCTTTTTATTAGACAATTGAATTATACCTGATAATTTCAATTGTAAAAGCTTAATTTTTAGGTTAAATTGCTCATGAAATTGATCATTGATTGTAAGATTGTAAGAAAATTGCAATAAATGTTTTCAAATTCAATGAAATGGTTAAAAATGGTTACTTGAACACACATTGAACACACATTAAATGGCTTGTCTATTAATATTAACATTTAAAGTTCTGATAATGAAGTTAATTAAGATCGTAATCTAAATCATTTGGAAGATCATTTTGAAACAAAATACATTTTCAATTGTACTTCATTTTTCAGGTTCATTTTTTTTGGGTGCGAACCCTAATTATTAATCAAACAACAGGTTTTATTATTCAATTAGAATAGTAATTTGCTTACTTTTTGGTTGAATATAATTAAAGTAATGTCACCACTAAATTATATTACATTTGATTAAATAGCCTTAAGGTTATTTAGATAGCAAACAATAACAAATTTAGTGTTTATAAACATAAATCAAAATCTGAATTGTAACAGTTATTATCAAACAATCAAGAAAACCATCTTTAATTTTATGCAAATTGAAAATTGGTGATGGTTTTTGTGGTAACTCAGGAAGAGGTAAATTTGAAGCGATTAGAATATCAATTTTGTTCAAATTACAATTTGAAACTGTAGTTAACAAATAAATTAATTACTATTTTGATTTACAAAATAAACATTAATTTATTATCTTCATGTAAATGGACAGTTGTATTGTTTAAATTAACAAATGGTCAGGCTTTTGGTTGATTAACTTGCTTTTTTCAACTTCTTTTTGCAAATTTAACTTGTAATTTGAATTGTAATTTTGTGTGGTTTTTTTGTTCAACAAGATAAATTAAGTGTAATGTAATTAACGTATTAAATCAATTTCACAATGGTTAACCATGTTATATGATTACCTTGTCTTGAATACCAAGAATTCAGTCTTTTGTACCTAACTAATGTTACTGTCACTTGTTGCTCGCAAGCCGCAAGGCAAATGTGTTATAACTGTTGATCTTGATTCAACTTGAAACGACCAAATTGTAGACGTTAATTTAACTAACAAAATTAAACAATTATCTTTCCTCTCCTCTTGTCAGTTGTTCATAATTTTTATCATGCTATTTTTGGAACCATTGAAACACAAAAATGTCTTCTTTTCTTCCTGTCAATTTATCTTGTGGACATGAAATGACTGCAGGTTGAATGGCTATTCCTAGTTTTGCTTTCAAGACCAAATGTGTGCTCGAGTCAACCTTTAGAGTTAACAGTTTGCTTTCTGAAATTAAAGAGAGAGAGAGAGAAAATGACTTGAAAGATTAGGATAAAGATGATGGTGAATGGTAATAGTAATGGTAATGTTTATGATTAAAATAAAGGTTGAAGAGGAAGATGTAGATCCGGTTGTGATGGGCAAGATTCCACCTTAAAAGTTGAGTGTGGTGATGGTAAAAAATGATGGGTAACACTACAAACCGTTGAACTGGCCTCTCTATCAGTTTCCTCTATCACCTTAGTTTTCTTCATCTTTTCCATCTTCTTCTCCTTAGTTAATCTTCTTTACAATTTATGATCTGATTCTGGCTTGAATAACGGATTAAATTTATTCAATGGGTGAAAAAGGATAGAATGTGATCATTTTGTTGAAGAAAATAAAAGAGTAGCTGTATCAATGTTGAAGATGGAGGAGAGAACAACAACTCTTACATGATGTTTACATGTTGAGGGTGAGTTAAGATGTGATCAGGCATATTAAAAAAGGATTTATCTCTATTTTTTGACAGGCCACGGAATAATATTTGATCGGTGATATATCCACAAGTATAAAAGATGTTCTTATTCTCATTCTTATTGTTTTTGCGTCCAACAAAATTAGATGATTGTATCGGATCCATCCTCAAGTAATTTTCCTGTAATCGGGTATCCCATTTTCAACATTGACCAACAATAGAAATGCTTATTAAAACCAAACAATAGACTCCTTTGCCCATTTCAACAGTAAACCTTTGTTTTATTTGCTTTAAATGGTATCAATGAGTCGGAATCGGTGAAACAAAAGGAAACAGAACTTGGGAAATTAAAACTGTCGTTAACCGTGCTTCACTTTTTATCCGGTTGTCTCAAACGTAGGTTGGTGGCATTTTTTGGTAAGCTTGTAGCGAATTAAGCTCTAAAAAGATTGACCGACAGATTATAAACAAAAGATGACCGAAAGATGGTAACCAGAAGAGGCTTAAATTGAAGATGTTGATGTTGCTGTTGTAAGATAATCAGAAACAATTTCCAGACTAGGATCGGTTAAAACACACAACAGGAAAGGGGTAAACTTGACTAAAATAAACAAGAGCAAAAATTGTAGCTTCAAAGGTATAATTAAAGACAACTTTTTTGGGTAAAATGTATTATAATAATAATCAGGTGAAAAACACAGCAATAGGATTAAATAAGGTAAAAAGCATTATAAGAATCATGCTATTATTAACTAACAGTGAATATTAAAGATTAACTTATTTACATGCAAATTTGAAAATTGCTTGAATATCTTTTGCTACTCTAATCCTATTAGATATATCGATACAATTATCGATGTACTCGATCTAAATTAATCTCATTTCCCTCCTTTTATAGTGGCGCTTAAAAACTGTTGAATGATGGCAATGTTTTTGATCAACAAAATTGTTAAATTGTATTAATTACTGTTTTAATTATAACTTTTACTTTTTTACGTTTATCTAATTATTATTACTATTACTGCTACTATGTGTGCCATTCTTGTTTACATAAATTACCATTTCGACCATTTTGCCAGTTTCGTCAATGAAGATGGTTTAACACTTGTGTTTTAAAATGGCTATAATCTTATCAATCCAACTTGTATGATAACTTGTTATTTGATTGTTTTAGTTTGAGTTATCATTAATGTTCAAACTTACATCTACATTTCAATAATAGTCTGAGAAGTAGATTGATGTGAAAATGACCATCTTTCATGACATTATCAACGAGAACTACTCTTTATAATTCTTTCATGTATTGTGAAGATGTTTGTAGTTGTAAATGATGATGATGATGTTTAACAAAATAATTTATTTTCAAACTGTCTTTATCTCTACCATTTCATCCTTTCACATTTTGTTGTAATTTGTGAATCCTCAAAAAGAACAGGGTAAGTTTAATGTTTACTTTTCACGTAACTGTCTCATTTCATCTTCTCTTTTTTTGCGTTTGTCTCAGAGAAACAAGCTTAATCAATTTGGAGTGGAGCAAATTGCAATCATGGCGGGACGGTGACATTGCTAACCTAATGATGGATCAAAAGGTTAACAAGGACGGTGGGACAAGATGCAGGTTGCTACTATTTGACATTCTCATACACGACTAATTAACAGTGCAGAGTTATAAGATAATTTGATAAATTGAGGTCTACCCTTTGCCTCTTTTCAAGAAACTATAAGATGGATCAAGATTAAGTCAATTAGTGAAGCATTTTATTAGAGTGATGATGAAAGGAGGAGTAAGGAGTTTTATGAAATACAGATGTAGATGTAGATGTTGAAGTAGATAATGATAATGAAGGTGATACAGAAGGGAAAAAAAGAAGAAAGGAGTCAAGATAAATTTCAACCAGAATAAGACCTTTCAACTTTTCATTATTAGCTACTTGTCTTCACATGACAAGGTATATAAAAAAATGCTCATGAAAATGCTTTCTCTTCATTTTTTTATTCTCATCTCACAATAGAGTTTAAACCTTCAGGAGGTCAGTAGAGCGACAATAAGAGTAATTTACTCAGACAATCCATTTCATCTTGTACATAATGGTTGCTGAAATTATCATCATCATCTTCATTCTTTATTATTATCATCATCATCAATTTCCTTCCTCTTCATCCTTTTTTTTCAAATCTTTACAATGGCCTGATAATTCAGTGAAATTCATTTTCATCGCAAAAGTGAGTTCAGTTGGCCAAAAAGTGGGAGTATGGTCAAACTAAAATATTGTTGAGATATTAATGGTTTATTTGATCAAAAAATAACACAATTTAATAAAATTGTGCCAATGGTTAACATTCAATTCTGATTTTTGGTAAAGTAAATCATTAATGGCTTTAACAAACAACTCACCTTGATTAACAAAACCTGTATTTACGATGAAAAAAGTTAATTAGCTGCTTTGAAGATCGGAATTTCTCCTAAATAACCCATCATCTTCATCATTGAGTTTCAAGTTAATTGTAATTGTTTTCTAATTTCCTTTTTTCAGTTTCATTTTTAATTTGATTTAGCTTTTCTTTTTTTCTTCTCTTTATTGTAAGTGTAAAATCTGACAATATAACTTTTTTACAACACTTTTAAGATTGATTGAATTCTTGATTCAATTTTCTTTCAAATTTTACTTTTACCAAAAGTTCATTGATGTTTAATCATGGTCAAGTTAATCTTTTGTTATTTCTAAGTAAATATAACCACTATTATTAGATAATTGTTGAAGATGACCTGATTAATAGCAATTTTTAATCTAAAATTGGATCAAATTTTTGCTAAAAATTGAGATTCTCGACTCCAATTTACCAGTCTTTGGAAGTTTACTTTTGATTAATAATCAAAACAGATCAAGTATGCGCTTAATCTAGCAATTAAATTAAATTTAATTAGGGTTAAACCAATAAACTGAGCCACAATTGAATGAAAATTTAATGTCTTTAAATTCTTGGATCAATGATATGGTCTCAAGTAAACCCATAAAATGAAGGTAAATTTAGTAAATCAAGATTATCCAAATTAAATGTTCAATAAGACTGACAATCGGTTGAACTAATCAAACCATTAACCCGGACAAGTAAAATTAACAGTCAAACGATTATGTAAAATAATTGAACAAATTATGACAAACATAATGGTTTAAGGTAATTGTATTTACATACGCAAAACAAATCAGGTAATCCCATAATTAGAGATGATTATAAGGGCTAGTAATCAAGAGTGTAACTTAGTCAAGTTTAACATCAAGACATATCTTAATTTGTCGCATAAAATTGCTCATAATAATGTAATAAACAAAATGTATTTAGGTTTACAGTTAACCATGAAAGAATTGAAATTGAGTCCAAAAAATGGTGTTAAAAATTAATATTATTTACCAAAACAATAAGCCTTATCAATGGCTTTTTTATGGTTGATAAATTATGTACCTAATAGAGATACAATTGTTTTATTTACAAACCAGAATCATAAATATTATGTGATTTAACAAAAGAGTCGCAATTTAGGTTAACTCAAAGGGATAAACTAATGAAATATAACAATATTAAACAATCAAGTTACCAGTATTGAACTCAATTTAAGTCTTGGGTAAGGATCATTGATGTCAGGTGAATTTATTAATAACAATTTGCTTTATATTACTACTGTTCAACTTAGGTTAAGCCATTAAATCGGAAGTATTGAAACTAAATTTTCATCTTTTTTTTCACCAACCTTACCTTCAACATCATTATCATCATCATTTTTCCCTTGAAATCTTCAGGTTGTTTTGCCTTCTTGATAATGCTTTTTTATGCAAGTATAATTCAATCAATCCTTTTGTGTTACATCTTTAAAAGCCTGAAACTATCGCAAGTAACCTTAATGATTAACACTGAAAATTGTAATAATGGTAATGATGAAAAGGATAATCATCTTTCCACTTCTCATTCGGTACTTTTTTTTAACCCAAGATACATTTACTGGGTTAATGTGTTGCTAAAATCGTTGGAATCAATTGATATTTTTTTAAATCTTTCCGATAACTTAATACATGAGTTGGTAAAAACTACGGAAGACAATTTAATTGTCAATATGACTTCCTCGACAATTGAAAAATAAAGGCTTCATTGTGTTTAATGTAAGATTATGGTGAAAATTATTGCTGGTTAAATTTTAGGTTCATTTTAGGTTCATTTTGAGGGGTTTTGGTGTAACTAGACAGGGTTGATTTGCTTTTTAATTTGGTTGATTGTTTGAACGTTTGATTGGTGGAGAAGAAAAATTTACTATAATTAAATGAATGTAAATTTTACGAGGTTAAAATGATTTGGAATCGAAAGTCGTCAAATAATGGCGAGATGATCAATTTTCAGCAAATGGCCTGAAGAAAATTCTCATCCAGTTTAAAGTCAACGCACGATGATGATCATCAATGATCATTTTTATTCCTATCATCATCATCAGCTTGATAATGTTTATGAAAACAACAGAAAATCAGCATCTTCATCACTTTTTCACCGTTTTTTCAATTGCTTCCACTCTTTACTTTTCCCTTCACTATTCTGTTTTAAAGCTCAAATTGCCTTCAAGGTGGATAGATTTTTAACCCAATTTCGTGACAATTTCAATTTTAATTTAAGATTAAGATTAACTTTATCCAAACCTACGGTTATCCATTAGCAGGGTCAGCTCATTAAAAACAAATTAACGTCCAAAACAAGTTACAAAATAAAGTAACAATATTTGTGTCATTATTCAATCACAACGAAACTTGCATTGCTATCAACCTCTGATAACATGGAAATAAATTGACATTAGATAATGACAACCTAAATAGTAAATCCATAAACCATTTTCATGGGTAGTTTGACCATTCAATGAACAATTACAGAGATCCATTGGTGATTGAAATTAAATTATAAATCGACTTACCTCAACTAGAAAAATGTTGAAACTGTAAATATCCGATAAGAGAAATATTAAAACACTTTAAACATAAACTTAAGCAATCCGAGATGTTGAATGAACAGTTTGTGTACTAGAGTCACTAATTGTCAATCGTAGATCGTTGACCACTTCACAGGATGAATTACAATTTACCAAAGTTGATGTTAAGAGGTTGAAGTATGAAGTTATTAAAAATTGGCAACAAAACTATGCAAGCAATCAAATAGTTAACCAGAATGGTGCGACATGAAAAAAACAGAAGCTTGATGTTACCGATGAAATAAAAGAAACAAGTAAAGCGATGTTGACGATTCTAACTGAATGATGAGCTATTAAACGATCTAACAACTCACGGTGAAAAGATGATTATCAGAGCAACATCATTCACATCAACATCATCTACAAACAACAAAAAACAGGTAAAAATGGTGCTGCTCACTCCTCTTATTTTGCCGTTAAGATTAACCGTAAACACTGTGGCCTATAAGCGCCACCTATTGTGACCCTTGATTGTACATTTGATTCTCAGTGACAATTAAGATAATACAAATAGCAACAGAATCATGTTTCAGTATCTTAAATGGTTTAGGACAATTTGTACACGAAACAATTTAAATTAGAATTTGTAAATTTTCAGATTCACAATTCAACCGCTAATTATAATCACTGTGAGTTCAGGTTTAACTGTTTGAAATGGATTAAACTAGCGCAGTTGGTGATATTTTCATTAATGATTCCTGTGATGATGGCCGTTTTTTTTCATCTTCATGTCAAGTTTTCATTGAACTTGTATTCTAATGATGAATCAGTCATGATCATCTCAATCAACCTTAAATGATTCAGCGTCTTTTTAAACATTCCAGATTTGATTTGTCATTTCAGCGTTTCACTTGTTTATTTTAGTTTCAAAGTCTTAACTCATTGTGTAAGTATAAGTGTGTTGATTTTATTATGGTTACAATTATACAATTAATTAATCCAGTCACTTATAAAGTCAGCATGGAATTAAAATATCAAGCCATGTAGATGAAAACACCGATATTGTCGTCATCCCTTCGCATGTACTTTTGCTCAATGAGCCATTCTATTTGTTCCTTAATCATTTTTTTGGATGGTAGGAACATGTTTTTCAGAATCTCGACTAATTCTGTCTGTAATTGTGCGTTGGTAATGCGTTTTCGCATTTTCATGATTTTTACTATGGCCTCTTGCGTTCTCAAGATTCTCAGTTGAACAATCTTCTCGTTGTCTTCCTCTACACTCTTTTCTGTAGACAACTGGAGACGTCCGATCAAATTAAGCTTACCTCTTCGTTGTGGCTTACCGTTTTTGCTGCAATTGGAAAATTAGAAGTATTAAAATTTTGAATCATTTTGAAAAAAAGGTTTTGAAATTTTATAGATTAAAACTCACATTAAATGAAAATCTTGGTTTACCCAGAACAATGTTGTATCTGTGAAATCTTTCATTGATTTCAAAGGCACGTCGCACAAAATTATCTGTGTTTTAACTTTTGGAAAGGCCACCAATGACTGAAAAAAGCAATGTTACAAATTAATTTAAAGTTGAATGAAAAAAAACATGTTAAATTCAATACTTTAATTACTTACCCAAAGTGTGCGTCTCAACTCAGCATCTGGAAGTTCAGAAGCTAACCTGATATTCTCGAATGATATTTTATCAGTTGGTCGTTCATTCCACGTGAATAGAACGGCCATTTGGAATGTTGTCACATCAAGATCATACCTACCATACTGGTTACTGAAGCAAATCTATTGAATACAATGGAATATATGAGAATAAATGTGTGAAGACATAAACAATTTTTGAAAAAACAACATGAACTTACCGTGCCATTTGACATGTGGTGATACCATTGTAGTTTGCGCCCACTGTGCTTCTTTTTATAGAATTCTTCTACCTCTGGAATAAAATCTTCCAATTCTAGCGGAAGAGATACTTGGACACGTTCACTCCCCCGAGCCCAGGCACCAACATTTAATATTTTTATATTAATTATTTCTGAGGTTCCATTTTGGGAGTTTTTGAATTGTTGATTTAAATCCTCACTAACTTTTATGTCTTGGAACATACGAGCTAGCTTGTTTACGAAGTCAGCAGGTACTCCCACTTCACGAAGCCACTCGACCATATTTTCTTCTTTCTCATTATCAGCGGATGAATCCAAAATCAGCCGTCGAGTCAGATGTGCTTTATGGTATCTCATGAACACGTCTTTGTTCACTACATATTTTAAAACTAGAAGCTGAAAAACAAAGATTTAAGGGATTAAGATTTTCATAGGAAAAGCAATTTTTAGCTCTAATTAAGATTTTAACCTTTTCTTTTTCTTTTTGCATTTACAAAAGTTGACTTAGTAAATTGAGCTTAGTATTGAGCTAAATAATAAGAAAGTGGAACTAATCCCTAAATGCAAATGCAGAAGGTAGACATTAGTGAGCAATGAGGATCGAAAGAAAAGATTAACCACTGAAAAGCTTAAAGCCAGAAAGTAGAAAAAAAGTCAAGAAAAACGTACCACTTCTTTAAGTTTGATTTCGATCTCTTCCGAGGTTAATCTGCGGCTCAATGGTGTTTTACGGAGCAACATATCACAGAAATTTGCCAGCATTTCAGGGCATCTTGATTCAGGAGGTAACTTAGTGGCTTGTCCATTATTCCTATGGTAAAATGAAGAGTTAGTAAAATTATCCGAAAACCCACAGTAAAATTATGCACTTACATTTTAGGCCTCGATGCTAACTCAAGTTTGAACACCGACGTGTCATTAACAACTTGCTTAAAAGCCTGTTGAAATAGGAATAATGAGTAAAAGATAAAAATTTTAGTAGATTTTAAAAGATTTACAGGCAAAGAGAAAAGGGTTGAGGCGAATTTTGCGTGGGTAAAAAAGGAATGGGAAATTTACCTTATCACGCGCAGTTAAAAACCTAGGGTCATCATTAAAAGCCTCTTTGACTAGAGTGCTGTATTTGGTGAACAGGTTCAATAGTTTTTCAACGTATTTTTCAGAGTCTTGAGTGATAATTTCAGCTGAGGCCATTATATCGGCTAATCCTTGATTAACGATATGTTCTTCGAGGTAATTCAACATGGGTTCTACACCTTCTTCGATACGGTCAAGCAATTTAAACATGAGATTCAATTCTAAAATGCAAAAACAGAATTTAAAATTAGTGACGGAAGGCAATGAACTTGGATTTGAGGAAAAAAGATGAAAAAAGAGTTTCAAGCTATTGAGAAATCTGAAGACTTACTATTTGTATTGTTTCCTTGAATCATACCAAGACATTCCGAAAGTATAAGATCTTTATTATTTGTGACAAGTACCCGTACACAAGTATCATTCAGCTAAAAAATAAGAAAGTAAGTATTCTTAAGTAAGTAGGTCCACAAACTGAAATTACTAACTTACCGCTGGAAGAGAAAATGGTTCAAGATATTTGGCTCCTCTGGTGCTTTCTTCTTTCAATTTACTATCGGCCCAAACCATATAACTCTGTACACCATAACTTAAAAGATATTCAGCTGCTTTTGAATGATAAAATGATTCAGTTGACTCTATATACGCTTTCTCGAAATTTTCTATATAAATAGATTTGTCGTTGGCATTAGAGCCTAAATTTACGAAGGATTCTCTCACGCCAATTACCAGCTGGGTATCAAATGCTTCTCCGTTTCTTTCGGCATGTACAAGTTTCATGGCACTGTCTTGTAACCTGTGTTTGATGTTTGAAAAAATGTTTTCATTCCAACTACTGTACATCAGCTATAAAAATGAAGAGAAATTCAAATTAATATAAAGAAATTGAAGATATACAAAGATACTTACTTTACGAACAATATTCTCTTCATTTATGGTGTTTTTAGTGTTGCTGGACTTGTTTGGATTGGTCATCAGAGGGGCAAATGGTAAGGGTAAATAATTACACTGCACAAAAAATTTACTCCAAGCAGCCACATATGCTTTAAGCAAGGATTGGTCATCATGGTGAGACAAAACAGTCTATGAAACAACACAAGATGTGAAAATTGATTAAAGATTGAAAAACTCTCTTTGAAAGTTTAAGAAATACTCACAGATTGAGCCTCTGAAATAAATTCCAGGACATCGCGATGAAGAGCATCTTGGAGTTTATCTTTCGCTTTCTCATCCCACTGCAGTACATTGTGTACATTCCTAGAATGATGCAAAATTTTATTAGTGAAACAAGTTTTAAACCAACTGAGGACATCTTAGTTGATGATTGACTATAGTTCAAAAAAGAACAACTAAAGCCAAAAATAAAGGGAAAATTAAAGAGAGATTGAATAAGAAAGGAAAAAATAACTAACCAAAAGAGCTCTTGCCATTCAAGCTTAGATACATCTAGTTGATGAAGAAGCTTGGAAATCGCTTGTTGCATTGAAGGCCAGTAGTCTTCAAATTGTGGGGTAATCTGAGGAGGAAACTATTAGAAAACAGTTGAAAAATTATAAAAATTAATGAAAACAAAAATTACCTTCGTCATTTTGATGGATTAAACAAAAACACAGAGAAATATAAACAAAGCAAAATGAAACATCAACCTTTTAAACAAGCTCTGACTAAGGGGTGTTGAGAAAGTTTATGTAGGGGAAAAATATACCTCATACAAATACAGAGGATGAAATGGGGTGCCATCTAGTGATTCGGGTTTTGCGCAGAATTCAAAATACAAAACAAACAGTAAAGTTGCTTTACTTTTTGAAACAAAACACATTTAATTAAAAAATGATCCAGAATTTATCAACTGATTTCCGTATAATGAATAATGATGGTAAGTTCATATGAGGAGTGAGGATGAAAATTAGAAATTGTTCTTTATAGTATATTTATTGAAGTTGTGTATGTAATTAGTACTTTAATATGTTCAGAACTAACATTAAAATTCAAGTGTTCATCAATACAACCAACGACCATCTTTTGTTTCCTTTTTATCTCATTTCCCCTGTAGCCTTTTTTGTTTGAAAATCTTCGCCATTCCATCAAAATTTCAAATTCAGAAAATAGTCTTTTCATTTCATTTGTTTTCCTCTCTAATAATAAATAAACACATGCATTTGAGTGAATTTCATTAGTTTATCATTTTCTGGTATCGATATTGCATTCGATACCATCGAGCTCTGGTGAATTTGTTTATTTTGAGTAAAGGACAATGTCCAAAAACTTTGATTTCACCGTTAAGAGTTGGGACTTGCAATGAAAAATTCTCTGTTCAGATCAAAAACAGATCACTTCGATTTTCAGTTAAATTGACCGCTTTCTGTAACCGCTTGAGTTAGAGATCTGAAACTCAATTTTTACCGGCAAAACTCATGGGTGAACATGTTGAGTAATTTCGAATTTAACTGAAAATTTAAGTGATCTGTTTGATCTGAACAGAGAATTTTTCATTGCAAATAACTGCATTTTCTGGTTAATCAGTGAAAGTTACACCAGGAAAATGAGTTTCATGAAAAAATCTGATTTTATTATTGAAATAAAGGCGATCGAAGCTTAAACTTTGACCTCAATTTTATCGAAAACTGGCGACTCAAACAAATTTTCAATAGCACTGATAGACTCAGTTTTTATACCCCTAAAAACTCACTAAGTCCCAACTCTTAACGGTGAAATCAAAGTTTTTGGACAATGTCCTTTTGTTAACAGGCGATAACTAAAGAAATTTTATTTCTTAGCAGTTTTATAAAATTTTATGGTTAACATGTTGAGACCTAAAACTTTAAGTAACATTCTTGGTCAAGCAAATACTGGAGGAGTCCAATGTACATTGTAAGTAAAATTTTGGTTCAATCCTCATGAACACTTGATAAATTTTCATTTTCTTCAATATCTTTTGTTTATCCAGGTTATTGAATCGTGAAGGAAGTCTTCTTGCTTATTCAGGTTTTGGCGACACCGATGCTCGAATGACAGCGGCTATTGCTTCTAGTATATGGATTTCCTACGAAAAGTATGGTAAATTGGCTGCCAGCGAAGATGATTTAAACTGTTTACTACTACAGTGTGAGGTGTGTTTTTATCTTTGAATTGAGATCTTCTTTTTTTCATTTAGTAGTGAAAAATATTAATTCATTTTCAAATAATTATAATCGGTCAAAAGACAAAAAATTAAAAGAAAGATAGACGACAACTGTTATCGTTTGATGGAGTTCAATGAGCTCATCTGTTACCTCTGGAATAACTTAAACTTTTGAAGATATTAGCTTGGTCAATATATCAAAATTTACATTCATCCCCTAATGTGTTTAGGCATGGTTATTATTGTAGCACTTAATGATCTTATTTTATTACCAATGCTGTTGAGTATATTTGAAGGTAAACCGAAGTAGTGTAACATGGTAAAGGGAAATAATGTTTACTTACATTTTTATCGAATACAAATATTTTTTAATTAATCCAAAAAAACATCAAAATTTACTTAACTGTCATGATTATAATGCGTTATGATGATGGCAATTTTTAGCAACACGATTTGTTATTCTTATATTTTAGAAATAAAAATTAGATTGATAGTATTATATACAGAATAGATATAGATAGCATAATATTTAGAAAAGGTAACTCAATGAATCTTATTGTAGAAAAACACCAAATTAACCACCAAATTCTCATCATCGATCAGCTCTTAGAATCAGCAAGTTTTAATCACTAACAATTTCATCAACGATTTCTCTGAGAATTATATTTTCAATGTTCAATTTGTCAATTTCTTTCTCCAAATTTTCAATTTTAGCTGTCAAATCCTGTTGATGTCCGGTTAACTGGCTTGTTTTTTCAACCAAATTAGCCACAAATTCAGCACAGTTGTGGTTTCCTATTGGCACTAGACAAATACGACATATTGCCTTCACATTTGGATTCATTCCACAGTTGTCAATGTGCATTGAATAATCACTGAATCGCACAAAGCAATCGCACATTTCAAATTTACACTTTACAAGTAAGTTGTCACGTTGTTGGACACTTCGTCCATTTGGCATCTCAACAGGCAATGGTTCAACAGAATCTCGTAAATATTCCGATTCACTGCACCTTAACGGGCATATTTGATATTGGTCATGTTGTATTGCCTCATCGAAACAAGCTTGACAAAATATTGCTTTGCAAGCAGATTGAAGGCTAGTTTTGTGGACAACTGGATTCTCAGCAACACACAAACAAAAAAGGCAAACATAATCCTGCCAAGTACCAATGTCGATTAACTGGCTGTTATCGATGAAATATTGAATGTCACTAAAACTATCACGAACAGATAATCCATTCAAAGGCATTTTACCCAAATGTATAAGTTATATTTATACTAATTTTGTTAGAAATTAAAAATCAAGAAACATTCATTTATGAAAAGCAAACTCTTACTGTTAAAGTTGAACAATCATTGGAGTTAATGTTCACTTAAAAGAATCATGTAATTTGATTAATTTCATAAAGCATTGGAAATACATTAAATAGCTATTCTTTGCTCACTCATTTCAATTACAAAGTTAATTGTATGATTTGTGGGAATCAAATGTCTAAAATGCACTATCTTACTACTCATCTGACAGCTCAATAATTAAAAACAATATTTCCAATCTAATTATGATGAACAAAGTCCGTTTTAACCTCATCGAATCTAAAAGTGAATTATCTTACATCCGATCTTTCCTATAAATGATCATTAACTTTTTAAACGATGATTTGATGCGTTCATATAACACATTTAATAGGTAAAAGTTCAAATAAATGAAAGCAAATTAAATTTAATTAATCCGGTTGAGAAAACGATTCTTTGGGTTACAGTAAAGCAATGCCATCTTCATCTCAATAAATAAAGCTTGAACCTGGTTTTTTCACGTTCTCTTGTTATTAATCTGCTGTCTCAAGATTTTATACATTTTATATTTGTTTTGATTGTTTTTGGTTTAAAATGTTAATCATACCTAAAAGAGGTTTTCATCTTTCAACAGTTAATTGTAAAAGTTTAAAAAATTTCTCCAAATTTCCAAGTAAGTACAAGCAAATTCATTCACATTTACACTTTTTATATTTATATTTATGTTTGTTTATCATTATTATCTTTTTGCAGTACCCAATGTAAGAAATGCTTATGAACCAAAGAGAATACCTAAACGTTTATTCGAAGATTTTTATAACTATCCCATTTCACGAGATCCTCTGGGTATAAGATGGCCTGGATATTGGTTCAAAAGAAAATTTGTTTATGTCAAAGAAATGGAACCTGAATTGGTAGTTCCAGACTTGAATGGATTCAATTTAAAACCCTATGTTTCATATAGAGTACCGAAGATTGAGAACAACAAGTTGACCGCTGAAGAGTTATTCAAATTAACATATGGTAACAAGATAATTGAAGCATCTATGAATGGAGAAAAGGTTGAAGTGAGTTTCAAACCAGAGGATAGTGAAGCTGCTAAATTGAAACACTTGCAAACAGGAGCTGATATGTTTTGTTCGAGAATTGCAGACATGGAAGAAGAAGATGAGGAAGAGGATGAAAAGTAGAAACTGTTCTTTGTAGTATATTTATTGAAGTTGTGTATGTAATTAGTACTTTAATATGTTCAGAACTAACATTAAAATTCAAGTGTTCATCAATACAACCAACGACCATCTTTTGTTTCCTTTTTATCTCATTTCCCCTGTAGCCTTTTTTGTTTGAAAATCTTCACCATTCCATCAAAATTTCAAATTCAGAAAATAGTCATTTCATTTCATTTGATTTCCTCTCTAAAAATAAATAAACACATGCATTTGAGTGAATTGCATTAGTTTATCATTTTCTGGTATCGATATTGCATTCGATACCATCGAGCTCTGGTGAATTTGTTTATTTTGAGTAAATTTTGTTAACAGGCGATAACTAAAGAAATTTTATTTATTCCTTTTGTTTCATTGATATCATTTAGTTTACAATTTATTTCTTAGCAGTTTTATAAAATTTTATGGTTAACATGTTGAGACCTAAAACTTTAAGTAACATTCTTGGTCAAGCAAATACTGGAGGAGTCCAATGTACATTGTAAGTAAAATTTTGGTTCAATCCTCATAAACACTTGATAAATTTTCATTTTCTTCAATATCTTTTGTTTATCCAGGTTATTGAATCGTGAAGGAAGTCTTCTTGCTTATTCAGGTTTTGGCGACACCGATGCTCGAATGACAGCGGCTATTGCTTCTAGTATATGGATTTCCTACGAAAAGTATGGTAAATTGGCTGCCAGTGAAGATGATTTAAACTGTTTATTACTACAGTGTGAGGTGTGTTTTTATCTTTGAATTGAGATCTTCTTTTTTTTCATCTAATAGTGAAAAATATTAATTCATTTTCATCGTTTTCACAGGATGGTAATGTCATCGTCAAACGTGTGGCCAATGTATTGCTCTGTATGCACGCAAAAAGTCATGTACCTTTAGGAACTCTTAAGGCTAAAGTGACCGCATTATCAGATCATCTAGAAGAGCCTATTCGAATGATCACGCTTTGAAAATCCATTCTCATTTATCTACTTTTGTAACCAAATTTCCGTTCAATTTCTTAGTTCAACAATCCTCAATTAATTTGTGTATGTATGCTTCTTAAATTGATTTTTCAACTCGAACTATCAATTAGATTTTTTTACTCAATATATTGACTTACCTGTTACATAATTCTAGATTACTATTTGTTAAAAAATTCTCATTTTAACATTGTTACTTTGATAAATTTCGTTTATTTTTATACTTTAGATTTTCCTATTTCTATCAGAGTATATTTACACTTAAGTGATAGACCATTGCAACCACACAAAATCGGCTGAATTCTTGGTGTGTATTTTATTTTTTTGTGTGTTCTTTATTGATTCACAGTCGTAAATACACAAGTATGTACTGCGTTATTGCGACGAGGCACGTTGCAAATTACAAATTAGCAACAAAATCGTGCTTGCATTTTCAAGAACGTACTGCATATGAAAACAAAGATTTTAGTTAAAGACAATTTAAATAAATACTCTCAGGTTACTTACATAAACAGCAAGAAGTCTTTCAGCAGTAAATGCATCACCAATTTTAGCTCCACAATAAGGACCAAGAATGCGATCAAGAATTTCTAGAGTCTAAAATAAATTCAAGAATGATTGCAAAGAAAATTGAGTGAACGCTTAAACTACTTTGCTTAAGCAATTATTTGTAGCTACCTTCAGTTTTTGATCAAGTTTTACTTTGGCTTTGGCCATGATCGATACATATAAACCATGAATCACATAAAGCTGAGGAATAAGAATGAAAACAGAACAGAAAGACAAAAATTCAACACTTTAATCTTACTTAATTGGTGTCTATACCTGATCCAAATAAGCTCCAGCGGCATAAGCGACACTTCCAACTATAAATAGTGTGATCAAACCGCACAAACCAAACAAATTTGATATAAAAGTTGAATCGCTCTTAATGGACATTCCCAAAAAGATTGCAGTATCAGCTCCAAATGAGACGAGTACGAAAAGAAAAAAGAAAAGGTAACGTATTTTAACGCTCAAATCATCAAAATAATTCATATAACGGATCACATTTGTATTCATGCCTTTAATAATAGAGTCATCGATAAATTGTTTAATCTTGAATCTTTTTAACAGTTCAATCAAGCTTTTCAGTTGGCATAAATACAGAGGAACCAAGATAATGATGTGAGCTCCTAGATCCAGCAAACCACCAAAGATAAAGATAAAACAATAACCTTCCAAAAACATCCAACAAACCGATGAAATATACATAGCTGGACCGCTATTGACTATCGCTTCGTTTTGAATCCGCAAACCGATCAATAAAAAAGGGGTTAGAATCACTACACCATAAATCAATCGGATCCACATCGTGATTAAATGATGGAAAGTAGAGCGGAACAATTTACACTGTTTGGTTGTCAACCTGAGCATATTTTTGTCAAAACCTGAAACCTTTATGTCTCGAAGAGTAGAGAGTAACTCATAAGCTCCAGTTTCTTCGAGGTACAAAACATATTCTCGCAGGACAAACAGAGTAATACCTGCGCCAATGACAAATCTTAACATCATGTCAGCGCTACTCTTATTGAGAAATGGATGAGCCAACAATACGTGCAAATGATCATCTTTGTAAATCATGATTAGATAAAATCTTACAAAATTAAGAATTGAAATAAAACGAATAAGATTATTGTTAAAATGGTAATATGGTTGGACATATGATGTTTCATCTTGACGGTGCCCTCGACGGGTTATTATCAGTCGTAATGCAATATTTTCCAGGACTTGGATTGATTTAAGAGTCTCTTCGTCACCGTCATCATCACTCAATAAAGCAAGAGATTTCTTAATTAGCGCCTCAATCTGAAAGGGAATGAATCGACTCATGGATCCAGGAATGTTAAGCTCTAAAAATATGTAACGACAAACGCCACAATTGATTCAATTATTGTACTTGATAACAGATGAATTATTGTTTAACTAGACTATTTTAGTTGATACAAAGATACAAAAATAAAAAGATCATCCATTCAAATGAATGCACCATTTTATTGATCTATTGATGCATTTATTTATAAGTCTATTGAAAGTGGTTTCATTGCACTTCTTTCATAGCTTTAATGATGTTCATCCAGTGAAGACTGAAGTGTTAAGCTTTAATCAATTTTTTTATTTCAATGCTTCGTGATTATTTCGTGATTATTAATATTTATTACATTTTAAGATGTTCTTTATTTTTGGTTCTTTTCTCACCAGCTTCCGAATGATTGATTTCAAGCAGCTTTTATCATGCAAATATTTAAAAGAGAGACTTGCTTATTTGTATCATCATTTTCACCCTTTAACTTTATTTGTGCTCGATATTGAACTGTTCAAATTATCTCAGTGACGACAATTCAAAAATCAATGTTGAATCTCCATAAATAATAAAAATTGTTCTTAGAAACAATTAAGGTTTCTAAATAATCAATCGGTTGTTTCGACGAGCGTCAGTTGTGATGATGTTAAATTACAGTGAAATACATAATCACTGTACTAGAGATACTGAAATAGAAAACTAAATTGCGGTTAATAAGCAATAATTTAGTGATACGATTAATCAAATATCACCATCAACCTTGTTTACTGATTTGAAAACATCTTGAGCTATGAAGCTCATCACCTCACAATTTGGTTCTAAGGGAATTATTTTATCATAAAAGTATATTTTCAGTGGATTCACTCGTCAACACTTTCTTACAATATCTGACGGTAATCGTTATTGTAAGATATTGAAAATTATTGAGTTGAAATAACACTTTAAAAGGCAAATGACTAACTCATGCAATCAACCAATTTTCAAGGTAACTTGATAACTTGGTTACTTATTTGATTGAAGCAGTAAACAAATTGATTATCAAGATTTTCAGCATGTGACTGGTCAACATTATGCTTTTATGACGGTTAATCAACTAAATCAACCCTGCATGACATCAATCGCAGATTGAATTGCTAATCTTTTGATATTTTTTCAATCATTCTTGTTCTTAAGAATAATTTATAATCTTAAAATTATAATAATTATCATTTTAATATCCAGTTATTCAGGTGATAACTTGATAGGATTGCAGTAAAATGTACACTTAAGTAAGCACGTTGTAAATTGTAAAATTTGATTTTGAATTTGATAACCAAAGATTGAATTCATACCAAAATAAACAATGAAGTCTAGTATTGATTAGCTTTTGTTTGGAATCCCTAAAGGAAAAACTGAAATACAATTGAAATGATTTTAATGGTTATTTGGTTATTATCGAATGTATAAAAGGAATTATATATTTCAACAATAATTGTAATCAATTTTTTCATCATGAAAAAGAGTCACAGAGTAAACATTCTGATGGTTGTCATAATAAAAGGGTTTGCACAGCATAAGTGAAAAAAATTTGTTTGCGTAATAACAATGCAAACCTGATCAAATCGTGAAACCAGAGTAAGAAAATAAATTAATGATACATTTTGTTTTAAACAACAAATTTAGATATTAAACAGTTGAATGAAATTGGTTGATAAGATGTGAAACAGTGCATTGAGTGGAGCAAATAATTTGAATTTGTGAACAGCTATAATGGTTAACTTTGCCAGTAACATTCAGAGGCTTCGTCCATTTCAAGGAGATACATTTTCTTTACGGTTTTGGAAACCTGTTCAATTTTTTCCAAAGTTTCTTTCTCATATTCCTCCATCGATAACCTTGGTTTACTATGGAATGGAAATTCTGAGTCTGATTCATCATCAGAGTTTAATTCATCTCTTGAAATGTAACCATTATCTGTCTGACAGCCACTATCTCGACAAATGGGTGGAGATCCTGAAGATGTACTTTCATTGTCCGATGTATTTGCAAGAGCAGCCTCATCATTGACTTTATCGTCTTCTTCATTAACAACTGGTGATGTGTCAGAGTTTTCAGCTATTGGACTATTTATCAATTGTCCAAGGGAACTGAAGAAGGGATTGATCTTGTTACTGTATGGTATTGGCTCGCGGAACGGTGTTGGAGGCTCTTGAATCATTAATGGGTGTTTAGTTCGCTCCAAAATTATTGCTGTATCTGGAGTGGCTGGAGGTGGTGGGAAAGCTGTTAAATCAATCATGTCTGAACCCAGATAAATTGTAGTATCTGCTGATGGAAGCTCAAACTCATCTCGACTCTCATGAGATCTTAATTTACGTAGAGTCACCATAAGTCCATTATTTGGCTCCATTAGGTTAGGAATAACATCAGGTGTGCTTAGACCGAAACTTGACCCTGACCGACTTCGCATTCCTGGTGTTGGAATCGACACTTTAAGGTTGGCTTTGGCTTTAAATTTTGATGCAGCGTTTTCACTGTTAATAGGTGAAGGTAATACTGAGTTTGTTTCGGTAATTGAATCAATCAGACCATCATCTACTGAAAATAAAAGAATGTTAAAATAATGATAAGATTAGTAAAATGAAACAAATCAATTAACATTAATCATCGTTAAATCATAACAGATTGTTCGCATAAAATTGAACGATAATTTAGCTTAGAAAGTTGAATACGATTATGCATTAATAAATGTTTAGCTGCAAGCTAATATAATGTGAAAGACATTCATGAACTAAAGTAATCATGATATAAAATGATTATAGCGAACACCTTAAATCAAATTGTGATTCATTTAATGAAAGAAAACATTAAGATTAAACCAATCAAATAAGTTGGTGAAAGAGTTTTCAACTTGCAGATGTTGATCAGTCATATTACCACCTTGAAAATTCAGATTTATCTAAAAATCAATTACTGAATGAAATGAAACTGTAATTTGATGCTTGCACGCTAATTTATACGCTTAAATACACAAAATAACTTACTGAATGTACAACTAATCAAACCAAAATATCGTAAAAATTGCCTTAAATTGCAAAAGATCAGCTGACTTAGAAAGTAAAACGACCAGAAGAAAAAAGAGGACATGATTATCAAATAACAAATACACATGTAAGCTAATATTTAATCTAATGATAGCTAAAGAGTAAAAATAATGAAATTCTTATTTACCTTTAGTAGCATTTTCACCAATTTGATGAAGCAACTCTAGTGAATCAGCTGCTTTCAATGTAGCATGAGCTTCCAATAATTCCTCTGGATCATCATCGTCGAAGTCTTTTTTCGTTGATATACTTCCATTTCTCGATCTGTAACCAGATGAAGCATCATCACTACTGGTCGTTGAAATACCAGACAATGAACCTCGTTTGTCTGTAGATGATCCCGCAGAACCGCGTCGATTAACCGTTAATTCATCTCGGGACATCTCTTTAGATGATATCCTTGGTCTTTTTATTTTATTGTTGAACAAATCAGGATCATATAGCGGTGGTCCATTTGAAAAGTTGACCCACCTTGTTTCACCATTATCTGGATCGGGTGGATAATTCCAAAATGATATTTCAACAATATGATCTTCATGATAATAAGGAGCTAAAAAGAAAAAAGAAACAGAGAAAAGGTTGAAGAGTAAACCCTTTGTAAGTAACTGATTTAGAGAGCAACTCAAATGGTTACCGGTGAGTAAAAAGTTTAAACTTTTGCTGTAACTGCTGCTTTTTAAGTGACACAGCAATAGATTTTTTCTTGTATAGTTTATTTGTAATTGTAATTTACCTGAATCACTCCACCATGAACTACCCACTTCCCAGATTACTTTGATCTTTTATAATTCGGATTATTGAGCTGTGATAATTTGTGGTAACCTCTTAAACACATGACAAACTCTTCAACATCCATTTCATCAAAGATAAAGGATAACTGCTGTCCATTGTTACCAGAATTTTCGTTTATTCCTTCCTCTGGTTCTCTTAGAAAAACATCAACCCTAAATCCTAATTCTTCATCTCGTGTAACTCGTACTCGATTAACTTCATCAAATGAAGCCAGTGTTATAGGTGCAGATTGGCGAAGGACTCCTCTGTTCAACTGTGCTATTCCAAATTTAGGACTAATCAAGATTACTGCTCCACATGATGAATCTTTTGAATTTAAAGGAAAGTTTTTGGCTCCAAAACCTGGAAGACCACTTATTATTTCCAAAAAGGACATTTTACACTGAAGTGGCGTATAACCTTTACCTAAATCGTTTTGTGTTTGCTTGATAAAATGAGATAACAATTTGTACATCTCTTTACGTTTCATTGCTTCGAGAGTGGAAAGTGGAACAAATGTACTAAGTCCATAAGATTTGTCTATCTTTTTCAAATCAATTTTACCCTGACGACCAATAGATCCTGTGGACAAGGCATGTTGAAGCAATGTTAACGCAGCAAGAGTCAAGGTAGTGTCATAATTAAGCTGCGTTGAATATCTTTCTTGAACAAAGTCGTTACAACTTTGGGCATAAAGGTAATCAAAGCTTACAGGATCAGAGCTCAAAATGCTATTCAAATCTTGAGTTACAAAAGACATTCGTAAGATACAACGTAAATTATGGATGCCTGGTCGAGAAGCAATTTTGTACAATGTATCTTCTGGACTGAGAATAGTTAATTTTGATATTCCATGGGAACGAATATGTTCTGTGCACAAGGTATAATGTTCAGGTCGACGGATAGCCAATTTAGTAATCAAAGAGTCTAAAACCTGAGCAACTGTGGTGGTTGTGTTATACTTGAATGTTTTGGTTTGATTGTTTTCCAGATAAACTTTAAGGACGTTGTGAATTATAGACGTTGGCGAGTCACACGAAGATGAGGAAAAGAATGGATTCCCGTCTAGAGCTAGTCTCTCAGAAAATCGGACTCTAAGAGTGTAACCCAGAGCAAGACGAGCCTTTTTAGCTGTTTCGGTCAACAAAGCTGATCTATGATGATTTCCACAATTGATAGTTGATGGTTGACAAACGGTTAATGTAACTGTCGATTCACAACACTTCACTCGACGGATAATCTCTTCTCTTGGTGCATCAGCCATGTCTACACCATTTACCTTGAGTATTTGGTCGCCTGCCAGAAGCTTACCCTCAGAAGGTCCATCTTCTTTAACGAAGCGAACAATTACGGGCTTTTCTGACCCAGCAACAAACCCAAACCCAAGCTCAGGATCACGGGTCAAAGTAACTTCTCGAGGCACTGGAATTGCTGTATTTGTATTGATAACCTTTCTCGGATCTTCATATGTTGTTGTTGAGTTGAGGTGATTGATAAAATAAGGCTTATTTTCCGAATCGAAAGCTACTTCCCATCCATAAGGAAGACAAAGATCACTATTACCATAACTACAGCATTCCTCCCATAAAGCTTTTGGAGGTAACCAAGAGGTTCGTTTGGTTCGACTGTTGAGATAAAAAGCTCGACCATCTTCATTAAGATGAACTCGAACGTGTTTGGGTAGACGATCATTGATTTGAATTACCCATTGATCTTCTAGACTGGTATTATCATCTAATATTTCACAAGTACTTGGTTGACGATGGTGTGATGGTGAAGGAGAAGGTGAAGAGGAAGATGATGGTGAAGAGGAGGAAGGAGATTCGGACACTGATAGTGATGATGAAGAAGATGATGATGGTCGAAACATTAATTTCATCAATAAACTGTTTCCACTGTTACTTGAAGTTGCATTGTGATAACTGCTTAAAATAGCAGTCTTCATGGTTGAAAATTGTGTTGAAAAATAGTTAACACAAAAACTTAACAGTCACTTGACAATCCAACCAAACATTTAACACTTTTGGAAATTCCTGTCGATGTATGAAAGAAAAGGTAATAATTGTAATGTTAATTAGAGTAGTCAGTTTAATGTTACACTGGAATACAACAGTAATTTAAAACAGTCAAATTCAAAGATTAATCACCAAACCTAGTTATGCTCCAATTTCAATGTTACAATGTCAATCCTAGTTAACAATGCAGGAAACCTTTACAAAAAGTAAACCCCTACAGCTGATAAAAATCAACTTTCATCACAAATCAAAATTAACATATTTTGGATTGTAATTAAATACTAACTTACCTAGAGATTTTTAATAGCTTCACCCACAAAGATAATTAACAAGTTAAATATAGAAAAAATCAGATGTTGCTCTTTATAAATTCAATAAATTAGCGACTAGCTTCAAAAAAGTAACACTCAATCACTCGTTGAAGGATAACATTGTGAGACAAATTTACAGATGAAATTAACACTTTACTTTTTTTACAGATGAAATCAACAGTAACTACAATGTGATTAATAAAGCTTTGGATGGATACAAATCAACTGATGAACGGACAAATGTTAAATGGATTGAACTACAATTTTGTTTCTCTCTCTCTCTCTTCATACATCTTCACTTTTTCGTGGTTCCTCCAACATTTAGCTTCTCAAAAGATGAAAGACACTCACATAACCAACTATATACAGAAAATAGGTCGATGGTCGAAGATGGCCTTGAAGATCTCTTAATTACTACTTTTATCTGGTTAGCTATTTAACTAATAACATAATGAAGCAAAGAAAGAAGCAAGAGAAGAAAGCAAATGTTTTACCACGAAAAGAAAGAAACCAAAGTTGGCCTCTTTAAATCTCTCAACGAACCTGTTCTGACCACACCGGACAAGACATTTTTTAATCAAGAATTAGAATAAGAATCAGAACCAGAATCAGAATAACAACAGTTAAGAAAATGCGAGAACATAATGATCAAGAAGAAGACGAAGAAAAAAAAGACAAACACTTAACTTGTGGTCAAGGCTGTTAAAACCGTTTTACTGATCATCTTAACCATGTTTTACAAATTATAAGTAATAGCTTTATAAATTGTAATATATTTTATATCATTAAACTTTCGTTAAACCCAATTTTGATTGTAAATTTAATTCACATTTAGAAAGTGAAGACAATATTCTGATATTTTTTTTAATATTAACATTTATTCTTTTATTGTAAAATATAATTCTTTCAGTTATTTTAAGAGTTGAATACAATCAAGTTATATCACCTTGACCTGACTTTTGCTGGTGATATCAATGATTGGAATAATTTTCTTGAATTTCTTTCTCTTTACCTGAGTATTGATCATCTTACATTGCCGTCAATTATAAATTAAAGTTGAAAAGAAGCAAAATTGATGACCAATAATCCAATTTACCGAACAAAATAAGCTAATTTTTCTATTCCAATCTATTCAGACAAATGGAAGTAACTTTCTCTTCTCCAACACAAATCAAATTAAATTTAGTTTAAATTGAGACCGAGGACAAAACAAAATTTGCTATTATCATGATAATTATAATTACAAATTTAACTTACAGTTTTTTTCATTCTAAATTGCAGATGAACACAAAATGAGATGTTGGTTGAAACGTTATTGATGAGGATAGAGGTGATGAGTGTAGACGGTTAGTGAAACACTAATAGAGATTGACTATTTTTATGGGAAACAATATCAATTGGAATCCAAATGAGCACAAAACAATGATTGATTCAAATTTAGGTCTTCAATGAACAATTTAAGGTTTGGAAAGACAAAGAAGCAAAAAAGTGAAAACAAAATTAGATTGTAAACTTGAACCAAGTTAAATTGCGGCAACAATTGGGATCAACTTTTTTTGTCATCAAGTAAACGCCATTTCTGTTTTGTCTTTTCATAACAACAAACCAATTTGACTCGAGACCGTAAATTGTTTGCTTGCATGAGATTCGTATACAAAAAAAAACGGCGAAATGTTTCCCTAGCGCTTTCATAAAACGATAATAACGTTTATCTTCATAGCAAATTATCTTCCCTCTGTTTATTCATCTTAATATCTCTCTCTCTGCCTTTTACATTCACTAACCATTCAGCCCACCCTCTCCTCTTAATTTACCTGTTATTGTATTAATGTATGCTTTGAATGGTTGATTGTCTCTCCCTTAGGGTTGAAATGACCTTAACTGTGATTGTGATTAGTTTCCATTTCCTTTGGAACCAGCAATTCCATAGTAATAATATGATTTAGTGTATGTCTTTCCATGTATATATTTATATGTTTAATTTTGTACAGAAAATATAAATAGCATTTTAAACTGTTTACAGTTTTTTTATGACTGATGATTGTTGATTGTCGGTTGTTTTGCTTCCACACTCAATTGTTTATCTGGTTAGTTATTTTACAGTGAAACAATTCACATTGGTACACCAATATCAACACAAACTGAGAAATTAGTTGTTTACCATGAACAGTGATTTGAACGGTCAGGAAGGAAGAGAAACTGTTTATTTCATTTTAAATTTTGTTTTCAGTACATTTTCAATCGTCAATGCTATTTAGTTAATTGTTTTTGATTCCTTGTTCAACCTCTTTTCCATTTAAGTAGTTTCATTAAGATTACTCTTGATATATTGGCATAAAACCTGAAGTTAACCCATTTTTGTAAAATATTTCATTTCCATATCACTTTCATTGTTAGGTTTTCTGGTTAAATTTGGGTTTTATATGTAAAATTTTTCCTGTTTTTTTCCTTAATTTTGTTTCTAATTGTAATAGCTTTGTTAACAGATCAAAGGTTAGGAGGCAACAATTATTTACAATCAAAAATTCAAGGATAACAAGAGTTAAATGAAAAGTCCGTGAAGAAACAAAGCAAAGTGGTAATTTTAATTTCTTTTTAATCATTCAAATAACCAATCAATATCGATGAATCAAACATCTCCATCTACCAATAATAGCTTTTTAATTAAGTCTGATGGAAACACGGACAATTATATTGTTTATCAATGTTAACGAGGCCATTCAGTTTAATTCAATCGCCTCAATCATTAAACCATACAACCAATCGGATTAACCAAAGAGCTTCAAATTTGTTTATTTCATCCTTTTATCGTCTCTCTAATTATTGTAATTGAACTTGAATTCAGGCCTTGATTGGTATATCCCAGGATTGTCCACTAATTGTTTAACAATTATCTTCATATTGACCATTTATTTCAGGCCTCTTAATGCCTCAACAATTAAGTCTTTACTTAAATTAGGTACAACTTCATTTAATATCCATAGATTGGTCAATATTAACTAGTATTTTTGACCTTAACGTAATTATTTAAATATTCATATTCAACGTTTGTGATTCAAAAATAACTCGTATTTTGAATGGGTTTTGTTTTTTTCATCATTTGCTTCATGTACGCTGGAAACGATATTCAGGCTTGTTGATAGCTTTTTTCATCAAACGACTTGATTATCTCCTTCTTTTATATTGTTAATGTAGGTAATTTTAATTTCTTTGATTGATTGCTTCAATTAATCTTTAATCATTTATATAAGTGGATTTGTAAGGCAAAAAATTTGAATGAAAATAAGTCAATGTTGCATGTCAATATGGTCAAAACATTGAACAGAAAATGTAAACACCAGTTTGATTATAACACTTTGATGTCAATCATTTAATCATTTGTCCTTCACTTCATTTAATTTTCAAACTAAATTGCGACCTGAACAATTTATTTATCAAAATAAACCATTCATTGTATACAGTTACATTTAGTTAGCAAGCAATACGAATAAGCTTCAATTTTCTTGTAATACTTGCAGGTTTACAAAATCACTTAACTTGAAAACCTGAAGTTTCACACAAGATAACCAAGTCTAAATTGTTTCATTTCTAATTATAACAAAGTTGGACATTAAATTAGATTAAGAAAAAGATATTAATGAGAAAAATTTGAAATCCATTTTACTTCAATTTCTAGTTCATTTCCATGATTAAGCTGATATCAATCAAAGTATTAATGTTAATATGTGAAAGGTAAGTCATTTTGGTGACAACAGCCTGAAGGCTGACGGATTTCCGGGATTCACTGTTCTGGCCTGAATTAGTGGATCATCACTTACCGATTTGATATTTGGTTATTGATTTATCAAATATTCAATTAAAGTACAATTTGTTTTTGCATCAATAAATATCCATTAAAGTGATTCATCAATATAACCAATACTGAACTCAAGTTGAATCATTACCATCACAGCATCGTTATCACTCTCATCATTCAATCAATCGATTGGCTCAATGTTCAATGTTCATATCTTTTTTAAATGTTACCCTTTTAATTTTATGGTGAAAGAGTTGACATTTAACCTGTTAAAGTCAGCGAAATATCACGATTAGTTTTAACAAATTGTACAATTGTAATTTATAAAAAATATCATTTGGATTTATCCTCATAAGCATGGTGAAGAGTGGAGTTTACTTGCTATGATTTACACGATAATTGCACAAAATAGGTAAATGTTGATCACTATTTACCTAATCAACCAAAAGATAAAACTTAAAGTTCAAATAAAATGACAATTTGATTGATTAATGTAATTATTACCACTAAATAGAGAAACAAATGTTGATACTTTTTCAAACTAACCTCTGTTTGGATCCAAATCCAAATGGATCCAGGACAAAAAAGACTCGCCCAGAACATGTTGTAATGAGAGTATGAGCCCTGTAACTGAAAGTTACTAACTTTATTTTTTTCTTTGCCATTTGTCATCTTAATTGTTTTTAAATCTATCTCATTTAATTGACTGTTTCTGTTAATTTTTAATCTCATCTTAAGCAATCAACCTAAAGATAAAACTGTTGAAAGACAAAACCATCCCATTGGTCTCTCCTTTTTAAACCATTCCGGCATGACGGAATACAAGCTAGTGGTGGTCGGTGCCGGTGGTGTTGGTAAAAGTGCTCTCACCATTCAGCTAATTCAAAATCATTTTGTTGATGAATATGATCCAACTATTGAAGATTCCTATCGTAAGCAAGTCGTAATTGACGGTGAAACATGCCTTCTAGATATTTTGGACACTGCCGGACAAGAAGAGTACAGGTAAGAGAGAATGTCTTTGTTTATGAGCTGGTTTTTTCATTCTTTTTGCTCTCTCCTCTTTTGTTTGCTGTGTGTGTACCTGTCAATACCTACTTTTTTGCTTCACTTTCTTCTCTTTTTTTAATCTTTTTTTAGTGCCATGAGAGATCAATATATGCGCACTGGGGAAGGTTTTTTGCTTGTATTTGCCCTTAATAATGCGAAATCATTTGAAGACATTTCAATGTACAGAGAACAGGTAACAACATTTAATGATAACTAACGTCTCAGCTAAAACACTGAATGCAATGAAAAATTTCACTCATCTTACCATGTATGGTCTTTTTTATTGAATGTCTATGTTTTCCTATTGCATTCTCTGATTTAAAAAATAACTAATTATTTCATTTATCCTCCTTTATTTGTTTCTCATGCTCTCTTCATTTTCCTATCCTTCTCACTCTCTTCCTCTCCCTTTCTCATTTCTTTTTTATCATCTCTACCTGTGTGTGTATATCCGTTGATCCTATTTATCGTCAATGACGATTTTTAGATTAAAAGAGTAAAAGATGCAGACGATGTGCCAATGGTATTAGTTGGTAACAAATGTGATTTACAGACTCGAGCTGTTGACATTTGGGGTGCTCAAGAAGTTGCTAAAAGCTATGGAATTCCATTTGTTGAAACTTCTGCCAAAACTCGCCAAGGTGTTGATGATGCATTCTACACACTTGTTCGTGAGATCAGGAAAGAGCGAGAAAGGAAAGGCAAAGATAAGAAAAAAGAAAAGAAAGGTTCTCGGAAAAAGAAGTGCTACATTTTGTAACTATTTGAGAACCTTCTTTGTCTTTTTGTTTCCTTCTCTCTCTCTTTTTCTCTCTCCCACTATCTTTATCTATTGACGGCTTACCTATCAAAAAACAAAAATCCATACGGCTGTTCGTTTGCATATTCACCGGCATCGGTTATTATCGCCATTGCATCAGATTTTTAAATATCATCGAGCTCAAAAGCTTTCCGCATACCTATTTCTTTCAATAAAAACAACTGTGTGTCAATTAAGTATTTAAACAAACAATTAATAAACAAAATAAGAAGAGTTTCCGAAAAAATATCGATTAAAATTACATATTTCTTTTAAATTCAATTTCGTTATTTTTGTAGTTTTATAACTCCATTTTTTTAGTCTTTTCTGTTATCTTGAAATTATTTTTAATATGATAGCAAAACAACACCTCCAATTTGATAAAAATTATTCGCTTAATGCCTAATTAGGTTTAAATTGTTGGCCTGGTACTGGGATTGTTTTATATTAAAGATCACATACTATAGTTTATCGGTTAATTTGACACCACGAAAAAAGTTTATCACAATCGGTCAAGTTTCTCTCCCATAGAATTTAAGATTTCTTTTTTTGATTGACATATGGAAGTATGGTGATTATAGGTGCCGACAATTGATTGGGCATTTTGTTTGGTTTTGGCATATGAAAATTTTGAGTGATTCATGATTCAAGTTAAATATCTAATTTCAAAATTTGTTTTTTTTGTTATCTTTACTCAGATGATAAGTTTTCTCCTAGAAAAAAGGAGAGCAAATATATATATTTATAAGCAGGTTAATTGTTTCTTCGGCATAAAGAGAGATGAAGAGGTTAATTAACCTTAAATCAGAAATGGCTTTCTTTCTTTTGAGCACATTAGGATCACAATGTTCCGTTGATAGTGGCTAACTATCTTGACTGAGCAGACGTTTGCTTTAATAGATCATTACCAATAGATTTGCGTCAGTCGATTGATTTGATGGTTACTTTCGTCCTCAGGCTCTTTTTTAATCCTTGTCTTGTTATATCAAGTTAATATCTTATAACATCATATCTTCCGATGGCGGTGGAGTTGGTGGCAAATGATTAGATTCTGATATAGATAAATTCTTGTTTTCAATTTGTCCTATTGGGATTTGATTTTTTTCGCTAACACTTGCATCATTAATTTGGTCACTTTCAGTATCTTTCATCGTTGCTACTATATTATTACCACTACTACTGTTTCCTTCTTGCGGACAATCACTAGAAGACCAGTTATTAGATGGATTAGAAGGCCATGAAAAGTAGCGACTTTGGTCAGAAGTGTCTTCTGTTTTCAAACGATTAGTTCGAGAGGCAAAGGGGTTAACACTGGTATCCATTTTGCTAGGATGGCTTTCAACGGGAGATCCTAACTGATGGAATGAATCCATTTGTTGAGTTAAACTTAAAAGTCCCCCTTCAGCAACTGTGATTATCACCCAAATTATCTCTTTAGATTTGATGAATGAAAAAAAGGAAAAACAAATTAGTTCATAAAATGATTACACGGCAAACTTAGCCGTTACAATAACTGGGTTGACAAGACGAACTAGCGTCAGTAAAATTACTAACCTCCAAAAAATTGACCAATAGCCGTACTCATTCTCCATTGTCCTTGGTAAATACCAGATTGAGCAGGACTGACCATTTCTAAAGATACATCAGCCATCTGTCCAGGCTCCAAAGGATCTACCACCACTCTTTCACAATTACCCATTAAATGACCATTTATAAACCGTAAAGAACAGCCTGGTGGCCATTTTTCCGTGCCTGAAAACAAAAATAATATAGATGATAGACTAAACAAAATAAGACTTTGGAGTGTTTTGACAAACCTGAATTTTGAATTCTCCAGGTTTTAACGAATCGAGTATTTGGAGGTACTTCTTCGCCTTCACCAATTGTTACGTCTTTAATGAAACTCATGTTGGGTAATGCTTCCATTCCAAGCTCTCTGGGTGCATCTAAATCGAAATAAGAACAGATAGCTTGTTGAAGATTCCTAAAAGAGAGAATAAAATGAATATAAGTGTCAGACATTTAAACGAGGCTCAGGTTATTGAAGAAACTAAAGCTTGAGGAAATTATTATGCCAAGATAAGCAGATAGTAGAATTTTTTGTTGCCAAAATCTCTTATGTCTAACACAAAAGTCATTGACTTTTTTACTGTTTTTTAAATGCGATCGTGAGAAATATTTACCAATTGTTCATGTCTAAGAAGAAAGCACATCCTTCTGGTGACAATTGGTTAGGTGAAAGTAATTTTTGGAATTGATTGATAAGAACATCTTTGTCTTGAGTAGCCAGACAAGAAAACTGTTGGAGAAGAGAAGACTCCAAATCAACCATATCACCATTGGCACCTTGAACAGCCATTTTAGAATAATCAGAAATAGTATTAGGAAATTATCTTTATAACCAGAAATGGCGCCTTTTGAATAACAAAAATTAAATTTGACAGCTGGTTCCTTATGCTCTAAGCGCAAAGCGAGTCTAAAAAATAAAAAGAAAAAGAAAAACATCAATTAATATTCAAGAATGAAAAATGGGTTAATATGAATATCAAAGCATTTGAGTAAAAGTTTCATACTAGCTCACAACGATGTCTCCAGCAACAATTTCTTTCATCTCTTACAGAATACGCGAGTAAATTAGGCTAAATGATACAAGAAAAGTGCTACAGTAGATAATGAGCTCAAAAATCTTTATCTAAAGTCTTAGAGCCTGTGATTACTGTAAAGACAACTACATTTGAACCAGTTAATCTTGAAGTTTCAGTGCACAGTTAGGAAGCGAGAACATACCCAAACAAAGACAACTAAAAAAAGAAGCTATGTGGAGCCAAAAAATGGGAAAGAAAGAAATATTCAAAACTAAGAGATTTTAAGATCAAATAAAACATACAAAGAAGATAGAAAAATAGGTGAGCAAAATATTTGGACAAATACTTTGAGCAAGGTTCAGTAATGATTAAAAAACACTACCATAAATAAGAGTAAATAAATAACGGTTAGTATATTGTAAACACACAATAACAACGATTTAACAGCAACAATGGTTTGAATGAAGCCACACAGATTTTTTTGATGACGATGGTGTTGTTAACGATGATGATAGTGACAAAATATAAAGTGTTGATGTAGATGAAGAAAGGGGATGGCGAAGACGAACAATACCCCAAAAGCCAGATGAAATATTACAAAAAAAATTAGGCAATGATTTTGACAACAGATTAAAACCAGTCAACTTATATATATAGACTTAAATATAAAAAATTTATAATAAAATGTAAAATAAAAATGAAACCAGAGAGAGAAAGAAAGACAGAAAGAGAGAGCAGAAGATAAAGAAAAGAAGAGAGAAAGAAAAAGAAAGAGAAAGAGAAACAAAGCGTTGCTTAAAGGATAATCACCGTAAATTGTAGAGCTTAATTGTCTTGCTGATTTAATTATTAACGAAGAAATGTCCAACTTGAAAAAATTAAAGAATAACTAATTAGGATTTAATCAAAATAATAGTTTTTGAATTTGAAGTGCTTTTTACATTACAATTGATACAATTTGTTGTGTGCATTACGTCATGACCTTACACAGAGCCATCTATGTTTTGGACCAGCAACTGTTTACCCGTAAATTTAAATTTGAAGCTTTTACCCGCTTTCGCATTTATTTCCATGGATACACAAAATTAGGGTCATTATGTAAATTATTGATGGCGCTTTTACAAATCATTAGTTAATTTAATCATAAACTTCATGTTAGAAAATTTCAATTCTAAAATCAGTTAACAAGTTTATAAGTTAAATCCTAGATAAATCTTAAAGTCTTTATGGATTGTGTTTTAATTGTGTAGCTGTATTTTTTATTTCAAAAGAGTAAAAAGTTGTATTTGCTAATTAGATATCAATTGATGTTTATTTTAATTTTACATCATTTCATTATTAAATTTACTCTTGATTTTTTAGAGTTGTGTTGATTTTCAACACTATGCCAGCAAATTTTAAGCCTTCAATTGATTTTCATTTTAAATTGAGTTTTGATTGTTTTACAATGGACTCTAGAATCTAGAGTCTAAATATTCCTGTTGAGTGGATGCCATTTAATGATGGGATTAGGACTTGATTTGATCATCTCAGCCCAATGAACTGCTCCATTAGGTGAATTACAATCGCCTAGATATATTTTACCAAAATTATGCCGAGTGTTTAATCCAATGGAAGTGCGACCAATTAAACTAATAACGATGTTAACATTGTCTATCGCCGTGTCTTTAATGTGAACATGGAAACTGTCATTGAAATCAATGGCAGAGTAAGCTTTCCTGACGGGACTCTTCTTGCTTCCAATCCTTTTTTTGCCTAAAAACAGCGAAACCTTTGGGTAAACTAATAAGAGACAATTGAGACAATTATTGACTTGTTTAAAGATGTGAAAGGTAAGGATAAATACAGTGTGTAAATACACATGTTAAGTTGAACACGACACGTTCATGACATGAACATTTACAGCTTTAATCATTATTAAGTGATGAATTCAAATAACAAACTTTCTATTCCATTTTATAATTTAGCTCACCTGATGTTACATCTTTCACAGCCAAACCTCGAGCTTTCATTATAGTCAATGTCAAGGTTGCTTCAGATGCTCGGTAACACAAAGACACTTGTAATTCACCAGGAGATGCTGCAGTTTTTTCCTGAAAGGACAATCAAATTATCATATTAGTCAGGTAATTAAATATATCCAGAAGATATAGAAATGCAATTTGGTCAATTGTTCAAGTCTCATCAAAATCCATAGAAATCTCAAATTTGATGAAAAACTCATCTTTAGCAAAATGTTTACTGGCATTGACGCAAATGGAATATTTTGTGGAAAAATCTCAATGAAAACATTGTAATTTCCCTTTCCATTGGTATGCTAATAGAGTGTTAATTGATAGTTGGTTTAACCATGAGCTAGATTTGTCAATATAACTCTGAAAACATTCACTTTTAAAGCTAATTCATTAAAAAAGACAGGGTTTAGGTTGGACGGTTAAAATAGATCAAAATGTTGATAAATTAAAAATAAATAGCTTTTAAGTATTTCTAGAACCTGATCTTGATTGATTGTTATGGCAATTAAAATGAATTATGAGAAAGCTGATCACAGATGAAACAATATAACCAATTTATGATTGCCATTCCATAGGTTTTTAATCGCAAATAATGAATGAAATGAAAAAAAACTGAGTAAATATTGATCATGAATATTTCTTGCGACTGAAAAGCAGGCAATTTATACTTACTGTTGACAAAGTACATAGTATTTCATCGGTAATAACGTCACTCGTAATTCCATTCTGTATCCCTGATTGAGTTATACTGTAGACACATTGACCAACAAAGTATTTCCTTGAGAAACGATCATTATCAACAATAGCAATTTTCAATTGTATTTCATCCAGATTATCTTTTCTTGCAGGGAAAACAAAGAGTTCATTAAAAACTGGATTACAAGTGTTTTTATGAACCTTGGTTACAAATTTAGGATCATTGAAGGGTAACAATGTTAATTTTGCTGATGGATTAAGAGATGAACGTTTTTCACTTTTTGGCAAATCACTTGCCGATAGTAGAGTTACCAATAACCGCTGTCGATTCAAATTATAATGCAATACAAATATAACTCGGCCAATCCATTTTTCGCTTGTTGGTAGCTGTACGTCACTTAAACCCATTAGACCTCCTCTTGAACCGTACAGAGGAGGGTTGATATCAAATGGAGAGAGACTGTAATTGTGTCCAGTTAGATGACGTTGTCGGGTTCGAGCCGGAGTTGACAGGTATTCACGATCTGAGCCAGAAGTAAAAGGAATACAATCTGAGTCAGTAAAGGAGTCATCAAAGGAAGAGCATAATAAAGTTCCTGGGACAGTTATCGTTGGAACCACAAACTCAATTGAATGGGAAGGTTTAATACCCAGAGCGAAATTTGACCGAGAACCAGGGAATGATGATAAGGATGTTTCAGGTGTTAAATGGCGTAATTCACGTAATTTACGGTTGCGTTTGCGAATCCGCTGATAGATTAAAGTAAAAATAAGAGCAAGTATCACAAATCCGGTTGCCGATAGAAGCCAAGCAGTAAAAGGTGAAGTTAACCATTGGTAAGAGGCTAAATAAGTCTTGGATGGAAATGAAGAATAGCCAAACATCGAGAAGCTGCCATTGTTGTTGTCACTATTTGCATCTGGTATTTCAGATAAAAGTGCAGGAGAAGAACCTTGAGATGATGTGAATTTGGAAACAGTATCAGAACTGGAAGAGGAAGAGGAAACTGTTACCTCTGATGTTGTTGAAGTTACAGTTTGGGAGAAGGCAAGGTTTGAAGTTGATGCATTTAATTTATTGACTGTCGGAGTTGAATCTATTGGAGTTTTATTACCATTAAAATCGGTATTGATTGGGTTCACTGATGATTGATTTACTACTGGATTGCTTGGATTCATCTTTTGGAGTTAAAGAAGCTAAACATTTCATTCATAATTGTACGTCTCAGAGGTTGGACCTGGTAACAAAAAATCACTCAACATATCATGTAAATATTGGCCTTTAATCCGTTTTTCTGGTGGATGATGGTTCAAGAATAACGATGTTTCAATGGAAGGTGATTGAGCGGTGATTATCAAGTGCAGGAGGGAAAAGTAAATCTGTGAAAAAAACAATTGGGATTCTGAAAGCACAGCAAAGGTTTCCCTTATTGATGGCTAAAACAAAATAAGTTTTGATTATGGAATGATCAAAGTAATGAACACAATGGAGGTTACAGGCAGCTGAATTGTCATGTTAATGATGATGAAAAAAGGGAGAAAGAAGAAAAAGAAAGTACTGTTAAAAGTAAACAGACTCCCTTTTAATTGTACATTTGTGACATCAGCATTATTCACAACTCTATCAACATCGTCATTAATTGTTAAATTGATAGTTACTTTTCTTTATATTGTCTTTCTCTATTAAAAAAGAGAAGATTCTATGGGAATAAATCACTATCTACCTTTTTTATTGAAATAATTTGATACCAACCTATCATTAGTTATTTATTAAGTAAATGTTGATATACCAATTGATTTGAAATTTACCCAAAGTCACTCTATAATGAATCAGACAAGAGTACATTTAATCTTGAAATGTATCGGTATTACAAGTCCATGTATTTACATGAAAATTTTGTTATTGTTGTTGGTAAAGATGAAAACTGTTGTGATGATAAACGAAAAGAAAAGGTAATAACAGAGAGAAGATAATTCATTACATGATTGTTTCTTTGTCTATTGAACAATCAATTCATTTTGGAATGTCAAATAAAACTTTACAGCTTTAACTTCACTTGTATCAATAATAATTTGATTACCAGTAATATTACAATATAAACAAGGAAAGAAAAGGCAATTCTTATTTAATGATGTCAAATCAAATTTTACCTTAACAACGATTATCAATCTAATTTGTACAACCATCATCAACCACTTTATCCTTAAACTGTGACCCTATCTTCACCCTTATCCCTGTTAATCAGGTTTGTAACCTCAATTGTTTTTTCACAATATTTACAGAGATATTTGAATGGTCTGATTAATGTGTGATTGGTATATCAAATCAAAATTTAGGGCGTTAGACCATCAATTTGGATTGAACTTCAAATATTCCGAATAAATTAACATGAGAAATGATCAATAAGCAAGCAGAAAGAAAATTAACAGTTTTTTAGTTGTCTAGTTAGTAGTTGTAGTTAATCTTGTTGAGTATGAACCTCATACTGTAATGTTAATTCTTGATCTATCTACGACTTTAAAATGTTATGATGACTGAATTTGATTTTTGCTAACCATTTTATTTCAAGTTTAAAATATTCAAATACTGATTCTTTATGTAATTGGATGGAATGGAATTGGAATTTAATTTATGAAAAACTTAACCAGATCAACACTGATTTTCAGAATGATTTAGTCTCCAATTATTTTCATAAGTCAAGGTGTAGATCAAAATACGGGATTTATCAATCCCCTACATTGAATTTTTGGTTCGGTGATCCAGACTAAGGATGAAATTTTTTTCTCGAAGCGAAATTTTTTCATAAAATTCTTAACATTAACCAATTTTGCCTCCAAAAATATCATGAGGTACAGCAGCGCACCCTTCTTTATAATAATAATATCATAACTATGATAACTCCTCCAAAAAGTCCAGACTCAGTGCAAACTTGTAGAAATAAAAAGTTAACAGCAATTGATTACTCTTCTGTTTACCAATGCTTTATTTGTTTTGAATTAAATTGGGATTAAGTTCCTTTGATAATTTTGTGGATTTATAAATTATAAATGCAAAGGTTAAGGCTGATTCTATCTCTAAAGTGAATCGGTATTTTGTGTTGTTATATTTTCAATGTCTATACATTAAACTATGTGTATTTTGTGAAGTCTATTGAAAAGCCTGAAACTTAGATTGTTATTTTTGTTTTAAATCTGATTTTCGATCTGTTGAATCATGTATGAAGAGCCTCCACCGCCTTATTCAGCTGCAACGGCTCCTGGATCATCACAACCTCAATCTACGCCTTGGTCTGGTTCACAAGGCAAAGCTCCTCCAGGTATGCTTTTGTTTACATTTATACCTATTCATCTTAGCCATAGAAATATTTTTAATACAAATATCATAGCAACTAACTAACCTGTCATTGTCTAAATTTCAATGATTTTCAAGTAAAAGATGATAATTCTTTGCATTGACTATAATAGGGAAACTTGTGTTTATCTAGTGAATGATCAAATCAAACACGTTAGCAAATCGAAAATTCATAATTGTCTAATCAGCTTCTGGTTCATTCTCAGATTTCTCTGAAAAGATATCTGAATTTTCCAAAGCTATCAGAAATTTCTAGAAATCGTCGGTGATTATCGATTATTTATCCAAACTCTTCTAATGAATCTTATTTCTTTATACAGCTTTTCCTGGTGGTCCGATTCCCGTGAATGTGATTCCCCCGACAAATTTTGGAGCTGAACCTGGTTAGAAAAGGCTTTTATTTTTAGTTTATCCAGAGCAACCTTAACAAATGGAGGATACAGAATCAAAATGATAATTGATTATTCAAGTAGCTAATATTCACTCATACCATTGAATCATATTTATTTTAATGACTTCGTTAATTTAGAGTCATATTTCATGTTGCACACTAGTTAGAAATCGGATATTTTATTATTATTTATTGCTCCTATTAAACTATGCATTTCAGTTGATCTTATCGAGAAGGTTGTAGTTTTGAATGTTTATATTTAAAGAAGTTTATATTTTCAAGTTTAGAGAGACAATCAAAACAGTTGATTTTTCTTTATCTTGGATTACTCTCAACTTACTAATAATTATTTTGTTATTTCTATACAGTTCCAACAGTTGTTTACAATATAACTACATTCGATTTGAGCTCCAGTCCTTACCCACAACACACGATCTGCACAAATTGTCGAGCAAACGTTGTTACAGAAACCTTACCCGCTCCTGGACTTTTGACTTGGATCCTTTCTGGAAGCATATTGCTTATAGGATGTTGGGCCGGGTGTTGTTTGATCCCCTGTTGTATCCCAGAATGCCAGGATGTTGAACACAGATGTCCTAACTGTAAAACCAAGCTTGGATTGTATAAGCGACTATAAGCCAAGTACCGGTCAATGGTATTCAGTGTTATCATGTTGGTCTTAAGATGTTTTTATGCTGATTATTTTAATCGTCAAACCAAAAAAGTTCATTCTTATTTTATCTCTGAGACAGTTTACAGTCTAAACTCTAATATTTTGATGCTTTAAAGTGCTTGAATTGCTTGTTTTCATATGTCTCACAATTTTCTAATTCAAAAAAATGAAAAAAGCATTATTTTAGAGACAATTTTAAAGCTAAATTTAACTTCTATACTTCACCATAATTTATCATTTATTCATGTATTAGAATCAGTGCTTCATTTTTTCTCACGCTAATTAATTGAACTCACATTTTCATGTATGTATTATGAGTTGAGTTTGTCACAAAAATTGTCAGCAAAATCGTGTATTCTGACTATTGAACCAAATTTTATCATTTAATTTTGGACAAAGTATGCTTGACAATATGTCCACCTAGACTTTTATCATAAAATATTAAATACGTTTATTTAATTTACAAATAATCAATCTTGTTCAAACTTAATTGATCAACACCGCTTGTTTTCAACTAGAAATGGTTTTAATGATAAATAATGAGTGTAATCAATGTAATAGATCTTTCCTAGTCAAATACCAATGAACTGCCTTCACATCCAGTTTCATCATTAATAGTTTTGATCTTGAATGTTTTAATCATTTGATTGTCGTCTACTTCATTTTTATCTTTTAGCGTATAATTATGACAGTTGATAATGATGATTTTAAACAAAAATTCACTTCACTTAACATCATGAAATTGATTACTCAAAATACTCGAAATGAATGGTCAAACGTTTGCATTAATAAATCAGATCAAGAAATAATTTTTTTTATATATAAACTTGGTTACATTTCAAAACAAGTTAAAAACATTTCGTTGTTTGGTTGATAACAAATATCAATCGTCCTTGATTGGCCCCATTCTTATTTGGTCGATATTGAAAAGTATTATGTATATTTTATAGTAATTTGTATTTTTTTTGGTTTTTTTTCAATTCATTATGAGAGAGGGAGTTTTGAGAGTTGGAAAAATGTGAGTAAATGCATTCGTTTTACAGCAATTTGCGTTGCTTCTTCTTCCTGCCCTTAAAGGAATGAACTCAACAACCTTTTCTGTGCAATCCTTTGACCAATAAAATGTAAAAATGGTCTTTAAAAAATTTAGAAGAAAAAAAGACAATTCGATAGGAACGATTAGTCAGGTTGCACAACAATTTCATTCATCGTTTCGATGCCACAGTAGCGAGTAGAGCACATTATATCAAACTTGAATCCAAAATTATTGTCCCGATAAATTTATCTTTATCATCATTAACAACCCGAAAGTAACATCTGAAAATACTGATGATATAAAACCAACGATAGGCAACATAAATTTCTTTTTTTACAAGTTAATAGCCTCTGCCCATGAGGTTATTTGGAGAGCCTGGAGAGCTTAAGATCACAGATAAAGAAATGTCTCCTTAGCATGAAGATTGTTGAAATTCATTCTGTAATCAAAAGAAAAGAGATAATCAAATTAGTCGATTTGGTTAAACAAAAAGTAAAGAGTAAAATTACCTTAAGAGCTCATTTTTACAACCCATTTCTTCCATTTCGGACTCTTCTTTTTGGATTTCTAAAAGTTAAATATTTATTAAACAAAAACAGTTGATTAGTTGAATTGTAATGTAAAGAATGTAAATAACTTTAAGAATAATTTATGATAGGAAAAGAGTAAAGCAGGCGACTTCGGGTCTCGGGACAGGTGAACCGTTGATGGTAAAAGGATTGTTTAAAACCAATGTATTTGGATAGTTAAGAAAATATTTTTTAAGTGATTTTAATGATTTATTTTATTGATTTTGCGTTTCTTTCCGCTGAATGTTTGTACTTTTTTTGTAGCGTGTTTACTTAATGTGTAAGGAGTAATGAGGATGATAATGATGACGACGATTGTAGATGATATTAGAGGAAATGACTGACCTTGGAAAAAGTAGTTGAAAGGTAGAAATGTTGATGGACAACATCGATTCCGAATAACTGGGCCGTTAAAGGTCGGAATAATATTTGATATCAACCGTGATTATATTATAGGGATGCTCATATTGTTGATAACTTGGCCTGAAGAGAAGTGAATGGAATATATATCACGGATTTGAGTTGATTGATTGATAGGATCATTATACCGATATGATTATAACATATGAATTATCATTACTAAAACTTATAAATAATAATTTATCTTTTCTCCTGAAATCCTTGCATTTATCTCAATCTAAATGTCAGTTTTATTGAAACTTATAATAAGAAAACATTCCTTATTATTATTTATAATTATTGTAAGTTCTGATAATTTGATGTGACGATTGCGTTTGATCGGAAACTCTATACAAGCTTTCCGATTCGTTAGCAATCTTCATAGAAACATTTTCTAGATAAACAATAATATTGATTAAAAGTAAATTACAGATTAGTCTAACAATTGAACAAACGGCAAAGAAGGGTTAGACAAATAATCAAATAGCTAAAGTTAACAGACAATTATTTCAAGACTAAGGGAAAAAGCTTACCAAGTCACTAATCAACAACCAGAATGAATCTCTCAGTCAATTTTTAGTCATTGATCTTACCTCTAATGTTAATTGTTCCAGGGTGATCAGAGTTAGTAAAGTTAATTAGTACAATTTGAGATTCTAACCCTCTGCGTGCCAAGGTGGATTATTGATAAACACGAGTTTTATCTCCAACAGCAGAGTACAACTTTCTAGATTGTTATGGAATTACATTTTAAAATATTTCTTTATTATTACAGGAAAACTCTAAGCACGATATTAAAGCTAAGCTAAGCAGAAATAAATTGCAGCAAAGTCTAAAAATAGAAGCAATATGAATGCAAGAAATTAATAAATAACAAACCTTAGACAATTAATGAAAAGTTTTGCCATATAACCTGAGCGGAAAGATATTACATAGAAACAGTGAGAATGTTAAGCAAAATAAATAACGAAGAGAAAGCATTTACTGGAAAATAATTGAGCTATAATCATGGACGAGATTAAAAATAAAACTCATTTTTAAAAGGGTTTTAAACGAAAAGAACAGCTATTCCGTTTAAATGCACATCCATTTGAAGTTGGTTGAAAAAATGACGATTGTGCAGAAAATTATTTCAAACAAATTAAATATTGGTCACAAACAGTCCCAAGCCACGAGAGCAAGAAGCAACGCAATGTAGAGATTGGAAAGAAATTTTCTAATAGCATCCGATCAGCGCAATCGTTTTAGATTAGTTTAATTTTGTGTTTTAGGTGTTATTGACATCATCCTTTGATTAATCAAAAGATGAAAGTCATTAAGAAAGCAATCTTGCTTACCTCATCATTATTATCGGTCTCTTCATTAACTTCATCGACTTTACCATTTTGCTCCTCTTTGCCATTCTCTTGAGCGGGCTCTTCTATCAGTTCTACTTTATTATCAACATCTAATTTAAGTTGAAGCTCATCATTTTTGGCTTGAAGATCTTTTATAGTTTTTTTAAGATTATCCACTTGAGATAGGTTACTTTCAAGAACACTTTTATCTTGTTCCAATTTATCTACCAGCTCTTGCAATCGTTGACACTCTTTCGTTGCATTTGTAGACTGTTCAAAAGCTTCTTTAGATTTTTGCTCCAATACTTTGAGGTACTCATCCTGTAATAATGCAAACAAAAGAAACATTAGCATAAGTCATAAAAATTGAATATTCAATGAATGTAACTATCAATTGAATTGTTAAACAAAATTTACTCACCGTTTTGCTTAATGTGTCTTTGAACTTTTCAGCTTCAGCTTCAGCTTTCTCTAGTCTGTCTTGTTCATTCTTTAAATTGCTCCTAACTGTATTCAATTCTAATTCTAATTTTTCAACTTGTGAATTATCAGCCTTTTCAGCTCTTAATGTAACTAATTCATCAATTAACTGGTCCAAACTTTTAAAAATGTCTTGTTCTTGTTGATTAATTTTAAGCAGCGATTCTTTGAATCGAGCCTTTTCAGCCTCAAGTGAGACTTTCTCTGAAGATATTTCAGAGAGTTGCTTCTCTACAGACTCTTTGTCTTTATTAACCTTTTCTAATTCTTTTTTGAGCTGCTCCTCAAAAGCTGCTCTTGATTTAGTCAAAGCTTCATTAACTTTGACTTCACTCTCTTTCTTTACAAGATCCAATTCTTGTTTGATATCATCAGCAGCCTTATTAGCTCGCTTTAATTCTTCTTCATACCTTCCTCGTTCATTGTTCAAGTTATTAATCTCATCTTTAAGACGATTAATGATGCCATCTTTTTCTTCGTCTGATGAAGCCTTGTTATGCGAAGCTTCTTGTAAGCGTTCTTTTTCTTGTTCCAATTGGCGAATTTTCTCCCTCAGATTTTTCATTTCATCTTCACTTTTCTTTTCAACCATTTGTTTCTCTTTTTCGATCATTTGTTTTTCTTGTTCAACCTTTTGCATTTTGTCAACAGATGATTTATAATCTTCCAACAAAGCAGCTTTGTTAGCATCATGTTGTCGCAATTGCTCTTGCAATTCTTTCAGCTTTTTTTGTAGAGAATATTCTTCATTTTGTTTAGTATTGTTTTGTGCATTCAGAGATTTAATCTGCTCACTCATTTTTTCCATATTGCGTAGAAGTTCCTCGTTGTTTTGTTGAAGAGCCTGTGAATGGCGTTCCATTTGACCTCGTTCAGCTCGTAGACGTTCAATTTCATGTTGAAGACGTGGAATACTTTCCAAATTAGCTCTTTCTGCTTCCATTTGTTGCAGTGCCAGTTTCAGATTGACAGTTTCTTCGTTAAGTCGTTGAATGGCAATATTACGAGCTTGAAGATCAGAATCTTGTTCTTTCAATTTACCTTGCAATACTTTAGTTTCCATTCTTTGTTGTTCAATAGCTTGTTGCAAAGAGTTTTTTAAATTGTTCAATTCTGTCCCATGTTGTCCCAATTTTTCTTTGGTCATAGCATGAATACTTTTTTCACGCTCTAGATCCAAACGAAGTTCCTTCATACGAGCTCGAGTTTGCTGAAGATTCTGAGACAATGTAGCAGCCTCTTGTTCCTTTTCATGCAATTGTTCTTTAATGGATTCCATGGGATCATGTTTCTAAAAGAATGAATAAAAGATTAAACAATAGGCAAACATTAACTATTAAAATTGATACCATGTAAAAATTAAATTGTCTCATACCTTTTTCCATTGATTAGTTTCATCACTTTGCTTTCCAAGTAGAACGTTGATCAATAATTGAATTTCTTCACTATCGAATGGATGGTTATTAACATGATCCATCAATTGCTTGAAAGACAAATCATAATCCAAACGTCCTAAAAAATAATGTGTTGCAAATTAAAACAAATTTAATAAATTGAATTACTAAATCATTGACTATGCTGTCAAAACTTACCAGAATCAGTTTTAGAAGAACTTTTCGGTTTCTTTGCCTTTTTGCCTGGTGAAGCGAGGTTACCTTTAGCTTCTTCAGATTTAACAGTTTCTTCAACGATAGCTAAACCATCAACTTGACGACTTGCTGATGCCTCTTTAACACCAGCATCTAAAGTGTCACGAGAAATTTCTTTAGGTTTGCTTTCTCTGATTTCCCTGTTTTTTGGTTCTCGGACAGGTTTAGCATCACCAGCTTCCTTCTTTGATTCATTGACTGGAATACCTGTTCCCTCCACGCCTTGTTTCCCCTTATTTTCCTTACCAGCAGCGCCTTTAAGAGTATCCTCCTTAATATTACTCACTCCAACTTGAGCCGGTTCTCCAATATCGCCTTTTTTGCCTGGCTTAACCTTTTGATTACCGGTGCCTGAGGTATTGCCTTTAATTTCACTCTTTTTCTGGTCAACCGTGTCCTTTACTTGAGTTTGGACAACAGTAGCACTAGCTTTCTTTTTAGATGGAGACACTGGTTGACTTGGTGATACAATTTTGTTTTCATCTGGAGCTGGTGACACTTGCTGGGAACCTGTGTCACTAGAAACCTTAGAAGTGTTAACAGGTTTAGGCTGTTGAATATCTTCAGATGATTTCGCCTTTGATTGATTAATTGGTGGAGTTTTTTCAATTTTTACTGTTGAACCAGAGTTAGCAGGCACATTGGCACCGGCTTGGTCTTCAACATTACTAGCTGGTGGTGCAACAGCCAATTCCTTCTTCTCAACGGTTTTAGCTTTCACTGTTTTATTACCTTCCTTTTCGGGGATACCTGGTTTAATTTTTTCACCACTACCCCCACCCTTAACGGCCTCATTTTTCTTTTTCTTTTTATCTTTGTCTTTATCTTTATCCTTATCCTTCTTGTCTTTCTTAGATTTTTTATCCTTTTCACTTTTTTTACCTCCACCGCCCTTAATGTCACTGCCGAAGTCTAACAAGGTTAGTTTTCTCTGTTCCTCAATTGCTTCATCGAAAGTTTTTTCTTTGATAATAAAGACGGAACCAAGATAGACAGCAACTGCTGAAACAAGGGCCACGGATACACATATTGATGCAGTCAAAAGATCAACTTCCATATTTTCTTGTTTTTTTCAGATGAGACAAAAAAATGAATAAATTTTAAATAAACGTTGAATAATTTTAAAGAACACAATAATGAAATGACTTGTTTAAATAAATGCACAACAGAAAATTAAATAAATTATATAGAAATTAAAGTGGAAGAGGAAGATCAGTTGAATTAAGCAAGGAGAAAGGTTAGGTGGTGTCAAGTGATTTGAAGTATTGTAGTGTAGATTAATGCACAAATTTTCCAAAAGGTAGAAAAACGAGATGAACACAATTAAATTGGATAAATGCTAACAAAAAGAGATTAGGAAAGAAAGGAATTAAAAGTCAAAAAATTTTCCAATTTCAGTAAATGATGAGAGTAAAGCAAAATATGATGAGGAAAACAACCAAGGGTGAAGATGGTTATGGTGATGACGGTGATATAGATGATGATGTTGAAAAATAATCTGCCTGTAACCTAAATAGGTTACCACCAAATAAGATTAACAATTAAACTGGTATAATATTGGTTAATTAATTGTGACAGACAAGAAAATGAATACAGTTTAAAATCGGCAAGAAGTATTTAAAGTATTAAACTAGCACTTTTCATGATTATTTTACACGTCATTTTTGTTTGATGTTTTAGTTTAACCGAATCAGTTATCTTCCTCTTACAATTTCTCTTTCTTTTTTACCGTATGCTTCGTGCCACCTATTGAGTATGAAAACAACTAAAAGCTAGCCAAAATCGTTTCCAAGTAACGAGATATTTTAATAAAATTTGTCTGTTTAATGAATGAATTTTAATTGCTTCAGTAATCTATTTAACCAATATTTACTCAATTTACTTCGTAAAGTCAAAAGGTCAAATTGGTAAGAAAAATTAGAGATGTTAATTTTGTCTTCGAGAAATGCTTGGAGACAGACAGTTAGATTAAATTACTAATTGTAAGATAGCCAAGAATCAAGCAATTTATCTATTTAATGGCAGTCGCACCGATCTTGTCCAGTTCCAGCAAGAAATGTGATCAAAGTTAATAGCTTGAATTGTTGCGGAGTAAATGTCTGATTCTAGGGCTATTCAATTAAATGTCAGGTACAAAGATTTTAATTTCCATGATGATAATAGTTATGGTGATTAGTTGAAGGTATTTTTTGTTGTTTTGTTTCTAGTTACAATACAAATACATTGGTGAAATGGCAGTTGTTGTTAAAGCTGATTAAGCAAAAGTCTAACAATTTGTCTCAAGTATTATGATAATCAGAGGGGAAAACATTTACACTGGTGTATTTAAAATCTTTCAATGGATAACGATTAACTTAATTCAATTTACTTGTTTAAACAGGAAATTCAGATGTCTTTCTCTCAGCTTAATTTGTTTGATGATTTATATTGTTATTCAATTACTGTACTTCAACTTTAACCAAGACACAAAAGAAGCAGCTTTATCTATCAGATTGTGACTTTTAAATGATAAGAAAATTAATTAATGGGGGAAAGGAGATTGATTGATGTCAACAGTCTCTTTTTTCATCCAACAACTAATTAACAGCAAATCTCTAGTTTATATTTTAAATGCTCTGTAAAGTGGTCGTCATCAATTGTTATAGTTGGCTTGATTGGTGTCATCTGTTGAATTAGTGATTTGAAACCAGAAATACAACCAAAATTCATGGAAAGATCACTTGACTTATGGTTTTTGTTAATCTTTTTGAAAAGACTACATCTCAAAGGTCCAGAAAGATCATAGAAAAAAATAATTCAGCATTAAATCTCCAAGAAATGCTTCCAATATTGCAATCGTCATCACAGATTAATTTATTAATGCTTTCAATGCATTCCAGCAATTAAGCCTCATTCTTGAGGACCTTTGAATCCTCTGTAGAAGAACCTTTACCTTTTTCTTTCGTTATCCATAAGGTTTTTAATCAATTTAAAATTTCCTGTATTTTTAATTTTTACGTTAAAATTCAATCCAATCAAACAGAGTGAGGTTTACGATTTTTATGGTTAACCGAAATCTCTCCTGCAAAACAATATAACCATCTAATAAATTAATACGAGAGACAATATTGATTGGTCGAATAGCTACAAACGAGTATTAATCACCATTGAATACTTTAGGAACCAAAAGCAGTCGTTAGGTTATCCATTTTGCAAACAGCTACTTCACCAGAATAGCAGAAACATACAACTTGATTAGATTAGGCTTTCCATTGCTCGGTAAATTTAGGTCATAGTCTTATCCGTGAGACTTTCAACTATTATAAAGGATAGCAGTTAGTCCAACCATGGCTATGTTTTTACAAATCAGCAACGTTTGATACCACTAACAACTTGTAAGTCCAACTTCCCAGCTTAATTGTCCTGAATAGTATCCTGATCTATCAATGATATTATAAGCGGCAGATGGGTTATTATGTTTTGAATGTTATTTTATTAAAAAGGTTGAAAGCAGGAATCAGGCTTGGTTGGCTTTAATTCACAGTAATTTTTAAAATGGCAGCAATGTTATTGAAACTTAATTCCTATTCGAGTATTAGATGAACTCACATTAGATATAACTGTTGGTTAAAAAATGAATTATTAAAAGTGGAAATGAATTTTAAATCACTGATAAATCTTGTGGGTTGAAGATCTTAATCTTTAATCGAATAATTAGATGTAAACATAACATTAACTGATTAGGTAGACTAATCGTTTAATTAACATTGAAAAGGTATAAGCAAAATAACCAAACGAAGATAACGTGATCTAACTTATCATTGAGTAATTGAAACAAACAAAAACAAATTAGAATAGTTCCTGTTAATTATAGTTAAAACATGATAAATGGTGAACTCTGATACCAATCGGTGGTGAATTTATTATGCAATTAAATTATTGATGATTGGATATTGAAAACTGTTCAGCAGGAACGGTTTTGCGAGCAGCAATTGAGCCTACAATTCGAGGTTGAACAGGCGTCGTAATTGTTTTGGGTACAGCATAATAAGGTTCACTTTCTTGATTACCAATTTGATTATTACAAGCTTTAACAAAAGGTTTACCATTAAATGGATCACGAAGAGTTAACCGATGAAGTTTGGAAAGCCTATTAGAGGAAACTTTCTTACGCAAAGCCACATATTTAGAGTCCTGACTCTAATTGTTGCAAGAAACAATTTCCAAAAGGGAGAAACAAAGAAGAAAATTATTAGCAAATTAATTACTGAAGATGATTTAATTTTTGAATACTTACTACTCTTTTTGTTTCCTGAGAAGGCATTTCCTCTTGTTTTCCTTGCAATCGTCTCTTCTCTTCATCAATCTCTATACAATGGACAAGAAAAATGGATTAACAATTTGAATTTTAAAGTAAATAATGTAAAACCATTTACCTCGGAAATATTGGTCATAATTTTGAACGATATCAATTCCAAAAAATTGTGCCGTCAGATCAGGATAATTAATGTCAAGTATATAGATAAGAGTTCCCAGAATGATGCAAAATAAACCTACGATAAAATTTAATAAGAAAAATAATAGATTAGAATGCAAATTTATCGAGAGTTGTTATTCAACTGTTTACCAATCAACTAATCTACCGTCATGTCCTCCAGTTTCAACACAATACTTCAATACTCTCATAATTGTACAATATATTTCCCAACGAGCATAATATTTGTATAAATCAAAGATGTTTCAGAATGCTATTCAATATCTTTCTTAATAATCTAGTTAAAAACAATGTAACAGAAATCACTGTAGTGAATATTAAGATATAACTGTTGATATAATCTGACTATCATAAGGAGTACGATTGATGTTGTCAAGTGACTTTCTATTTCAACTTCAGCTTATTAAGTTGAAACTAATATTATTACAGTGAATCTAGATCAGATCGGAGTATTTGATTTAAATTTGATTACCAAACTGAAAAAATCAAGAAAAACAACCAGGTGATTCAAAAACAAAAATAAAGAGAAAATTGAATAATATAACTCACCATTAGTTAAATTTATCCAATAAGCCCAAGAATAATCAGGATGGAGATAATTAACTTTACCATTTGGTGATCGAAATGGTATCTCCAGAGGAATTGGGTTAGAATGGAAAGCCCAGATAATGTTGGTTGCAATTAAGCATAATCCAGTTACCATCATCATCAACGAACCATATTCAATAACAATACAGAAGAGACAACTTGACAAAAGCCAACAACCGAAAGAAAACCTTGTACGAAAATTATAAGACGAATTAGAAGATTAGTTTCATTATAAAGGTCAATGTGAATTGATTCAATCAAACTTACCACAATAGTGTATGACAATACCAACCAGCATGTTGATAGAAACGTGTAAAGCGATAATCTTCCCCATCAATGGTAAAATAATCTAAAACCCAAAGTATTGGGATGGGTAGTCCTTTGGAGGCTGATTGGCCATATTGATATTTCAGATGTCCAGTTTCTATATTAATCAGGAAAACAAGAAAATTACCATCATTGTCTTTTATTTGATCAAAAACAATCAATTACTGATACCTTCCAATAGTTTAGGCTTATGCTTGAGTGAAGCCCAATTCCAAGAGAAATGTTCATTGTAAACAAGTGGTTCATTGAATGAAGTATATGGACTTTCTTTCAGGGTTACATTAAAACCAAGTAATCCGATATTCAGCCCGATTTTGGCGATTATCTCAGTAGATGATTGAAATTGGGTCCTTACACGAGCTTCAACAGCATCAGATTCCCAATAAGGTATGAAGTAGCAAACTGTAAACAATATAACAAATAATTATTACTGACCATCTTCTGAATCAATATTTAAATTTGTTATCAAATAATAACAAATGATTGCAGGAAAAGTTAAAACTCTTACTTACCAGATATGGTCAAAGGGATGGTTAGAAATATGGTAACCCGGCAAATGTAAAACCATCGCTAGTCAATGTAAAACAGAAAGAAAAAGAGAAAGTTAGTTGGTTAGTCGAGAGATTTAGGTTAGCATAATTACCTCTTTACTTGGATAGCCAGGTGAGATGATTAAAAAAATTAACCAAAGTGAAATAAATAACGTTAATATTTTGATTAAGGTTAGATCAATGTTTGGAAATGAAGCTCCTTTAGGGTAATGTGTGGGGGAACCTTCTTCTCTAAACAGCTGTAAGAAACTCACATTGTTAACCGAGCTAAATGATTGGTCCATTGACTCTTAAGCGCGATTTCTTGATTTTTCAAGATAATCAATTTCTAACTCATCAATAAGTGTTGACTTTTGAAATAAAATTTTCATAGCAGCAAAATGAATGAATCCTAACAAACAGGAAAAGCTATGTTTCCTACGGAAATTCAAAAAATTTGACATTTTCTTTCTGCCTGTAGTTTTATATTTCACTGGAGAACCCAATTACTGAATTGATTTTAATATTTTAAGTTCAAGAATCAATCAATATCATGCCAATCACGTTACTTTAGCAACAAATCTGATTAATTTCGCAGGTAATCGACTAATAACATTGAACTGTTAGCAAACTCTATCAGGTAAATTAATTTCTCAATAACTAATGGTAATGATTTCATTTTCAACACAATTAAAAGCTATTAAGAGCTCCTAACAGCCATTGAGAGCTATTGAGAATCATAATGAGCTATTATCCACCAATCTGAGCTTCGATAAACTGAATAACCTGAAAAATTATTGGTTTTCTTGATACCATATTAGTTAAACAATAGGCATACAAATTCACAGTTGGCCAATTGATGTCTCCCATTGACTTTGATCGCGTATCATTTATCGGATCTAACTTTTGAATCATATTGAACAAAGCTTATCTAAATAGCTTTAAGCAAATTAATTGAATTGATTGAAACCTTGAAGGCTGTATTTAGCTGAAAAACTAGACTTTCCAGTGGCAGTTTATGATTAAATACATGTTTTATAGTCTTACACAAACAGTCTTATTCAATTTGTTACTTTTTCAACTCATTTTATCATTATTATTAACATTAAATTGTATTAAATTAATCTATCATTTAATCTATCATTTCAACTTGTCAAATCATCGTTTGAATGGCCTTCAACAAGCCAGTTAAGCTATAAGATTAAGAACAGTTTCGATTTTTTTCTGGTTGCTTTCTGGTTGCTTTCTGGTTGCTTTCTGGTTGCTCCTTTAGGTTTCACTTACAAATCAAGGTTAGCAAGCAACTAACCAAGTAAAAAATGTAAAAGTAAATCCGACAAACTGAATTTAAAAGAAAGAGTTAAATTAATACTAAATGATTAACAATTGAGTTGAATAATTCAAATTTAACGTCTCTTCTGATTTATAATCAGCTTTTATACAAAAGAGTCAACCTTAACAATTTACAGCAAATGTTACCCGAAGAAACCCAAAATGACCCAATGATAACCTTAAAATCAACAATTGTTAACAATTGGGTGTAATTAATTAATAGTAGCACAGTTAATACAAATAATACAAAAAATGAAAAAAGTCCAACATTAGATGAAACATCGTGAAAGATCAACCAAACCTAATCAAGTTTTAAGTGGACTTACCGACAAAATTGAGCTTCGTTTTTACCGGTAACCTAACCTAACCTAACCTAATTTTTAGAAGCAAGTTTCAAGGTCAGATAAGGTCACTTTTCGTGAATCGTTCATTTAACCTTGAAAGGTCAGTTCAAGTTAGCTTATTTTTTGAGGCCAAAGAAAGTCAATTACGACTGTAAACCATTGAAAATATTGATGAGATGTTTTTTTTTCAATAAAAAAATATGCTGATCATTGATTGAGATAATATTTTAATTTAGTGGAAGATTTTAATTACTTAAAGGTATTATTAAACACATTTGACGCATTTATTAATAGCACAAGATAAAGTATTAATAGTCACTATGGATTTAAATTAGTAACTGATTGTACAATTTGCTTATCAACCTTGGATCTTAAATTGTAAATAAAGAAACAAATGTTGCCATAATCAGGGATGAAATATAAATTTAAAATATTAACTGTAAATTGCCATAAAACATAAACCTAAATTAACTCTGTAATCAGTAAATAAACAGCTTTATTTTTCCAATAAACTCAGTAATTATGTTTTCCATTATAATTTACCATCCAAATTTATCTATGATAATAAGAGGGTGAAAACAAATCAATCAACATTTAAGACAACAATCAACACTTGATTAGCTGTTGTCGATTTGGGAAAAAACATTAAAAATTGAATCGCTAGGAATCTTTTGCTTTCAATTGGTTCAACTAATTGATCCAGTTGGTTAATTCAATTGCTGTTCAGTAATCACACATTCAGTGTTTATCAATTGATCGTTCAGCTAATTGATAACTGACAATGAGAAAAATGAAACAGCTTAAATTCAAGTTAGATAACAGAAATAATGCAAAAATTCAACAATTGATTTATTCAACAAAATTGACAATGATTAATTGTTTTGCTAATTATCGCATGACTTGGTAATCAATTGTTACAAGCTAATCAAACAATCTTTACTTGGTTTCAACTGGAAATCCTTTCACTACTTCAACTATCTTTCCGGCTTATCCTTCACTGTTTACCTTTCATTTTGGGTTATCTTGACTATTCCCAATTTTTTGGCCTAATTTTGATGACGATTAAACATATGGTTGGCTTAATGGACAATTATGTATCCAGAAAGATTTAGATTTAGTTTTAATGTTTGTATTGATTTGTATTCACATTGATAGTTGACTGCAAAACTGTGCACACAATGTTGCTTTGAATGAAGGTTAAAACCCAAACTTTTTTATTCAAGTAAACACATATTAATCAGCATCAATCTGACACTCAAGCAGGATTCACTGAGTAATAACAGATTAATCAACTCTGTCTTTGGCAACAATCACCAACAATTAGTGATGATCACAGTATTAAATGTTATTTACCTTAAGCTGATGCCAAAAAATGTAATATCAACCAATAAATGAAGACTCACATCAGGATAAGTTGAATGACGTATCAATTGATTCAATAGTAACTGCTAATTAGTTAAATTGTTATTATCACTATCAGTCTGTAGGAAAATGTAAAGGTGTGATTTGATTAGAGCAGCTAAGAAAAGTAGAAACAGTTAACCTTGTAGACAATTGTAAACAAAAGAAGTTCATCTTGAAATTTTTTTCAATAAAAAAGGTTAACCTTAAAAAAAGGTAAACAATGAGATAGGATAAAATCACATAATAATCGAGTAATTAACACCATTTTTCACATTGGCTCATTGCCTTTTCAACATTTGATTAATTGTGAATTCACAGAAACAATTAAAAGTCAGTGTGGACAATCAAGAGAAACAATAAAACACTTGTAGTCGATAAAAAAAATAACTTGACAATAATGTGAATATGAAAGCAACCTATTGTTATAACAGTTGAAGATTGTTCCGTAAATAGTCAGATGAAACGTTAACAACAAAAGTAAAATCAAAAGCCTTCTAAATCATTTCGATAATGCTGTCAAGATATTAATTAAAACATCTTTGGCCTGACAAATTAAATTAATAACCTTAATCCTATTAGGGTTCAATGGACAGTTGAAAAGATTGGTAAAAGTAGATAGTTTAAAAATTGCGCCTCAGTGAATTCACCTCTGTTGCTATGGTTGTACATAGAGATTTCAATGATTTCAATTGTACATAGACAATGTTAATGTTAATTGTAAGAATTAATGGTTGGAATATCAATGGTTTGTTAACCTTATTTGTTTATTAATAACTTCGGATAAGAGAGAAAGAGAGACAACTGCGATTAAATTGTTTGGAGGATGAGCAGTTAATTGGAAGTGATGCAAACGCGTAAAGATTTAAGTGTGAATTGACAGTGAGGTTTGCCGTACGACAGTTAACAGTTTAATCGAGTACAATCAACGACATCAACCAGCCATGATATTGTTACGTTTGAAAAAGCCAGAGCAATGACCTTTCATTTTGGTGGATGAATTTCACGATGAAACAGATAAATATAAATACATTAATTGTTGAAAGTATCTTAAAAAAATTGGCTTCAAAAGTGATAAGTTTACTTGACAGCAAGTCAACTGTTTGAGTCTTAAGATTAACAAACTTTTATAAAATGAACCCTAATCACAATAATAACAATTTGCACAAATTGTTACCGCTTCAAGTTTTATGAATTGGTGAAATAATAAGATGTAGATCATCATTGTGGATGACAACAATGTTGGTGAGCGAATTAATTGTGAGACTAATTGTGAGACTTGTTTGTATAGATGAATTAATTACAATTTATTTCAATTTTTTATTTTTTCTAAGTCTTTTTTCATTCATTTTGAAACATCAAGTCTTGCAGACTTTTTTTATTCAACCTTGCTTTTATCGGGAACAAAAGGTGAGAGCTACATTATGATAATGCTAATGGTGACCATGATCATGGTATTGATGATGTCAGTTATGGAGGATTTGGAAATGAAACAAACAAAATCAAGACTCACTTTCACTATTTTAAAGAAAATTTGAGAAAAAGTTGTAGATCATTTGGAATGAGCAAAACAACAGGTTTAAATGTTGGGGATTGGAAGCAGTAAATTAATGATATATTGGGGACGTAATTTGTGTTGAAGCTTCAATTAGAAAAAATTTGTTAATGCAAATTTAAAACTTATTTTAGTATTTAGTTTTTTCTGGTAACAATATATTTATATATAACTTTAGGAAAGGAGTCAAAAAGATTGTAGAGAAAAATTTTACAGAGAATATTTCACTGATTTTTCTTAATTAAAAGAGACGAGAAAGGATCAGGTTTTTGTTTTAAAATAAAGAAAGCATTAATTTAATAAGCTCGCTACCAAATATGCAATGCAATCAAGTGAGAGTCAATGGTAGATGATGAAAAGTGATAGGAAAGGGAAATTATGGAAATAGATGATTACAGTATTGAGACAATATAACATTTGTTTTGACAGTTGATGGTATTGATAATGTTTGTCATGTCAATGAATTTCAAGAAATTCTTCCAACATTCTAGGTACAATACCTTGGTAGGGTATCTTGTATCCAATAACAGCTCGGGCAGCTAAACACCGAAGTGAAATGTATGGAAGATGGTTAAAGGTTGGATCTACATGTTCAAGCTGTCTAAAAGGTCGGGTCCCTCTTGTGTTAGCTCTGTCTAGGTGAGCACCAAATTCAAGGAGAACATCTCGAACTTCTCGGTTATAATGAAATCGCAGGCAAGCTACATGCAAAGGTGTACACTGTTCATTGTTAACTGCGTCAACTGGAGCTCCACACTCTAGAAGGAGTTGCGTTACATCAGCGTTTGGGAAAATGTGAGTTATATGGATATAGCTTTGTTCCAGTTTATTGTTCTTGGAAACAACAAGATGAAGAAGTGAATTATCATTTGAATCTCTGGGATCAATTCTGATTAGACTGGCAATCGCTCGACGCATCAAACGGTCCTGAGAAGCATCTTTTCTGATAACATAGAGGATATAGATTAAGTGGGTGATACCCTTGAGGAAAAAGAAAAAGAAATCATTAGAAAAATATTAAAAAATTGAAAACAAAACAAGGCAGCGATCATCTGAGTTGACCAATTATTAACTTTTTTTAGACCACCTATGATTAAAGTTAGATTGACCTCTAATAAAAAGTTGACTAACGGTATAAAGGGTTAAAAGATACAATAACAAAGTGCAGAACGATTTAAAGGAAGAGAAATGTGGCAACTTTTCAAGTTAGTACTCATTTTGAAAAATATGCTGCTTGAATATCCAGATAATTGCGTAGTAAACTTGCTTAATAGGATAAAAGAAAGTAAATATACATGTGATGATTGAAATGATAAGTATTTTTTCTGAAATCACTTTCTTTTGAAACGTCTCACAATGAAAGTCTCTCAACCAATAGAAGATAATTAAGAACAAGAGGAATAACTGTCATTAGATATTATCTTCTTCATGTTTTAACAAAAACAAAAAAATACTGAAATGAAAGTGAACGTTACCTTAATAGATAACCTAGACAGGTAAAATAATACAGACAATAATATAGGTGATCACTAATAATCAAGATAATAATCTATGACCAATGGCATTCAATAACAGTATTCAGTACAATATATAGTTGTAATAATAAGCTAAATACCTTTAAACACGAATCAAAACACTCTTGCTGCTTCTTAGAAACAGGTTGAATGGTTAATAATTTCATTACAGGACGTAAATCAGCGACTAGCAAACGAAGTGTGTCAATTACGTCTTCAAACAATGGATATTCCTTGTGAGAACCAGATACAGTTTTAATATGAAAATCAAGAAAAAGTCGAACCAATCCTTCAAACGAGTAACATGTTTCGTGATCAAGAATTGTGTCTCTTTCAATTTTTAAACTAAGAGCATATTTCCACACGTCAACACCTCGTTGAAACTGAAGACTATCGGCGTAATTGGCTGCTCTAAGAAATAATTTGGAAATCATGTCTCTATGGAAAGGTCCGAGGATGCGTTCAAAGACGAGAAGAGATTGAGTTTTTATGGCATCCATATCATGGGATAGATTTTCTAGCTCTTCGATGGTTTCGAATTCCGTTGCAAATGAATAGGCTGATTTAGGTGGTACTTTTCGTTTTAAAATGGGGTTATCGGGATCTTTATAACGAATGGCTAAGGCTTTTTTCCAACAAGTTAGAGTTGACTGGATATCAAGTCGAGGATCAATAAAAGCTGCACCAAGAAGTTCATGAGCTTCGGCAATCCTTTCATCGGGATAATCATAGTGAGTTAATAAATATCTTACAACTGGCGTAGCCATTTTGAGACAGGCTTGTTGTAGAGCATCGTTACCATGCCTTGATCGAATGGTTACATCAGCTCCATGCATTAGAAGCAAAAGGACTGCATCAAAATTACGTTCTTTAATAGCATAATGTAATGCTGTTTCTCCTTGGATATCGTGAGCATTCACCTCAACTCCATGGTTTAAAAGTAATTGGCACAACTGAGTAGACTGGACAGAGTTAATTAAACAAGTTCCACCGGAATGGTTAGCTTTATAAATATCAGCACCATTGTCGATTAAAAATTTAACAATTTCTATGTGAGTCATATAACAAGCTGATCGAACAGGAGTTGAGCCAGTATCAGATACTGAATTGACATTGGCATTATGTTTGACTAAAACTTTAACAACATCAAGGTGGCCTGAAATGGAGGCACACCACAGGGGAGTAACAAAATGAAGAGTCCTGTCTTCTCGTCCTTCGTAAAAACCACATAGTTCAACGTCAGCTCTACATTCTGTAAGGAGAAAATCAACCATTGATACATTGCCTCGAAGAGCAGCTAAAAATAAAGGAGAACAGCCATCTCGAACTCTGTTGACAAGCTCTTGGCGTACATCAATAGATAAACAGGTTAAATTATGAATAAGTTCTGTCGTGAATACTGAATTGGTCGTAGATTTTGAGCATTGGTTGTATAGTTCGGTGAAAACGGCATCCAAATGGGCCTCGTTGTCTACTTTGAGAGACATCCAAGTTGTATAAGGATGACTGATACTATTTATGAAATTTAAGGCTCTTTCCATTGGAGCACTTTGATATTAAAATAGTTGCAATGTTCCCAGAAGAGACAGGCAAGTCGAGACACAACACAATTTAAAGATTTGTCAGGTTAATTTAGTTGAAGATAATTTTAGTTGACCGGGTTGTGTTTGAAGTATAAGAATAGGAAAAGAAGATTGAGAAGAAAAAAGATATCAATTATTAAATTATTAAGTCAAAATATAAGAGAAGACATTGAAATCCAAAATGGATATTTAAAGCCAAAAACATTCAAAGCAAACAAAATAATGATGGTGACATATGATTCGCTCTGTGAAATTCTGGTTTGTTGTTGATGGGAAGATGATGGAACTGGCAACAATACATAATAACTCAGCAGTGGAGGCTGGGTTAGGGTTGTTGATTTAAACTTATGAATTTTAGGTTTAATTTGAAAGATATCAGTATCAGATGGAATAATGTTAAAACATTGAAATACACACACACACACAAACAATAATGATAAGCTGGGTGAGCAAAAGTAAGGCCAATGAGATTGAAATTGAATGTTAAATGATGAAATAAGCACAATAATAAACAAAGAAAGATAAACACAATAAATTAAAGGCAGTCAGTATAAAGGAAACATTCATTAGGTAACATTCACTGATTTAATTAAAGGTATGGTTAGTGGTAATTGGTGATGATAATGAGAATGATGAGGACGATTGTGTATGAGGGATTTTGGTTTGATCAGACAAAATACAAAACCAAAAAAAAATAATAACAGAAGAGAAGCTAAAGCAAAATAGTAAAGCTCAAGCACAACAATATGCGTATTACCTATTCTTTTAAGGTCTTTAAGGGTTGTTTTGGTTCACAATTAGAAGCATTAATCCAAATTGGTTTGAGTAAAAAACGTTTAATCCAATAAGAATAGTTATTCACGGAGTAAATTAACACAGATTAAAATTAAAACCTCATGCAACATCAAGATTTTGGTTGATGCTGTGTTAGACTAACTGCAGTATAAAGAGAGAACATAAAAGTAAGCAAAGTTGGATAGAGAGGGAGAAATAGAGAGAGCGAGTTAACAAAACGAAACCTAAAAAGGGGAGAAAATAAGACCCCTAAGATAGAGAGAGTAAAGGAGAGAACGAAAAGCCTTTAAAAGGACAAAGAAGTGGCAAAGTAAGAGCGGGAGCCATTAAAGACAGTTAATCTTTTACTGTCTACAAATCACTTTCTCAATAAAAGCGTTTCATTCGAAAAATAAATTCAGGATTATATTTCTCATGGTTTCAGCTATTGTTAACATATGTTAACATTCAAAGTCGACCATTTCAAATTAAGCCTTCTCAAATTAACCAACAATTAAAAGCTCAATGGATTTACCTTTAAATCTGGTGACTATTGGATTAACCCAAAAATTTCATTCTCAATTTTTACCAAACCAAAAAATTTGTATTTTAAAAAAAATCCATAAATTAACCCAAAATTGATAGTTGGCAAGCCTTAGTCAGACGATGTTAAAGATCTCGTTGATTAAAGCTGTTCTAATAGGAATGAACCCTATGAGTAACATTTTAACTGATCAAACAGATTTCTCTTCATTTGCCTGTTTGTTTCATAGAGAATCAGTAAGGTTAATAACTCAGCGTTTCAACACTTAAGTTGATATGCTTTTTGTTTGCTAGTTAAGCGAAAAAAATTTGCCTTCAAAAGTGCCTTTATCTATTTTTTCAGATAATATTTTGTTCATTTTTAAGCGACTCTGTTTCATATTTGAACCCTTCTAAATTGCGCATTAATCAACATTATCTTTTATCCAAAGAACCGGTAAAAAAGATACTCTTAATGCAACGGTTTTAATATAAAAATCAACGCTGTGGGTCCGGATTAGTCTGGAAGACCAAAGGCAACCGCCTATTACAGAGAGTTCAAATTAATGTAGAGTTTAAACTCGCTCAGTTTTATTCAAAAGTTAATTACTCATAAGTTAACGTTTTTTAGTAGTCATTTTTGCTGGAAACAAATGATTCAGTTGAATAAGAAAATTGTTAAATGTAAAACGCATTAGCTGATTGCCTATTCAAATCAACAGATTAAAACAGTTATCAATAATAATTCGGTAGATTCAGATATCCATCTGCTGGAAAGTTATCTGGTTAGAGATGAAAATAGATCCAACCAACAATAATGTTTTTACCTGAAATTGTCAACAAGACATGAGAATAGAAAAGACTTTAATCTCAAAATTTATACGAATAACATGTAATTTTGATGCCAGTAGACGGAAAAATAAGGTGAAAAATTGTGAGCGATGAAAAGGAGAAATAGAAGTAAAAAAGGAAATGTTGCCATCAAAGGCTTTCCTCGTGTTTAATAGCATTTTTAATCTCAGGACAATTTGGCTGTGATTTAGTTAGCTTTTGTTTTTCCCAACTGATTGTTGTTAATCACTGCGAGGTTGGTGTAAGTTGCGAATTATGAGATGGTTTAACTCTCAAGGTACCAAAGATTAATTTTAATTTGAGAAAGTGATTCTTGGAGTCGCATTGATTTAGTTTATGCTTTTATATCAATTGATTGGTAAGAATTCGCAGCCTCTCTCGATTTTTATTATTCTCTTCCTCTATCAGATTTCATTAAATTCACCATGAAAAAAAATTCCAGACATAATTACTCAACTGCTACAGTTGCTATTATTTTGAAAGGCGCGCTCGTTTTCATTTACATTACATATTACGTTTAATTAAATATTCAAAATATTCAAATCATCTATTCTGTATTGATTTATGTATTCTCAGTTCAAAAGATACATTGTATAAGGTTGCTTCTAGACCAGGTATACACGATTCATGTTGTTAGAATGTCCATTGTAATAACAGATTTAAATAGCATCTAGAGCTCTGATGCTGTTAACTTTGATTACCTTTAGGTTCACCATTGTAACAAATTTTTACAAAGTATGCAAATCAACATAATTAGGTATTTTGAACCAGTAATGATAAAAACAATGTTTTCGCATGGTAACTATAACTTTAGTATTTATCTGAGAAAATAATGTTAAACTACTGATATTTAAAATTCATTTTCTCGGCCAGCAGAAAATCAATATTGTTTCAATGGAACTGCAGCTATTAAATGGATAGACAATATCGATTAAATCAGGTTGCGACTTTACCATCATTCCAGTTGTATTAAAAGTGCGCGAAGAGATGGTTTTAATAGCCACAAATTCGAGAGCCAGATAAGATTTCAATAAAACAATTGCTTGCTATTAAGAAAGAAAATTTGATGGCTCTAGCTTTGAGGCAAGCACTTTTTATCAGTAACGAAATAATCGAATGAAGGCAATTAATTTGTTAGTGAAAATATTTTACCACAAAAGGAGTGATATGGCTTTGAAAACTTTATAATTTAGCAAAAAAGAAATGTTGAAGTAAACAAATAGTCACAATTGAGATCATCATGGTATGATTGTTAACGTGTTTAGAGCTCAATAGAGGCATGGCGTATAGAGTAACGGTTGAAAATGTTCAATAGAAAATTGAAAAATAGGAGTAAACCCATAAATATGATAACAATCAAGTTGATGAAAACATTTCCTGATGTCCATGTGTCGCAACAATCATTTAAGTCAATATTTGAATCAAAGATCGACATCGTTTATATAACATATCCTCAGGGTTGGTTTCTTTAAAAAGTTTTTCAGTACGCTGTAAGAGTTGACGACGAGCTTGGGAATCTTTTTCGAGTCCACTAACATATTCTAGGAAAACAGCAAATTCATCATCACCCAAAAAGTCTTCATTGGACCAATTTTTGATTAACCAGTTATTTATAGACTTACAAAATTTCCAATCTCCAGTTTCTTCACGGTGAGACCAGGCATCAAGGTAGTTCAACACTTTCTTCGCCTTAACAACACTTATTGCAGCAAGTTTCTTTTCCAATTTAGCCTTTTTCTTTCCTTTACGATGTTTTTTCTTATTCCTTTTTTTACTTTCACGGACTACTTTTTTATCGTTCACGTCGGAAGAAGTCTTTTCAGAACTAGAAATTTTTATTTCCATTACCAGCTGTGGATAGAGAAGAGTAAAACAATGTGTGAAAATATAATCTCAAGTATCTCAATCTTAAGGATAATGGAATGGATTAACATACCTTTAAAGAGTAAAAAGATGGAATTGGATGATCGTGAGACAAATAATCAATAAGAAATTAAAATCACAGACTTTACACAGGAAATCATAATTATAGATAAATTTGAAAAACCATGAAACCAAGTCGATGAAAATTCAGACCAGCTTGTTTGGTAACCAAAGTAATTTTTGTTGACTTAACCCTGACTACAAGTGTAGCGTGATAACCATCGAATGGTTACTAGTATCGGATAAAAGATCCGACCTTAAAATATATGCCATGTTCGCCATGAAATAAGAGACTATACCTAGAAATTTTAGCCTGAAAATTAGCTTATCTACACTAAGAATAATTAAAAACTAAAATACCATCATGAAATTTCCATTTTAAATGGCTAAATTTGTTCGTGTTAATCTAGATTGAGTCTCATAAACAGATACGGTTATCTGCTTCAGTTTTTAAGATCGTGTCCATCACCGAAAAGCCATCTATGAAGAGCAAATTCAACTAATTTGTGCAATTTCGGAAAGAACAGTCGCAAATTTTTTTGCTCTTAATTTTTATACCAATTTTTAATTAAAACTCTTTTAATTCTTACTTTTTTTATCATTTCTAACCTGAATTTAGATAGAACACGCGCCACCACGCCACGTATTGACCTTCTGGCACAATTACCTCGAGAGAGAAATAGTTGGACCAACAAAAAGTTTTCCCGTTAGGCCGCTGTCTACCAAGGAACATGACCTCCAATACAATACCAAACCTACTGATTCTGGTAAGTAAAGAAAATAAGCCAAACTGTACTGAACAAGCCAAACTGTACTGAAAACCCAAACAAAAATCAACCAAAACTGACCGTACTGAGAGTAACATAGATACTCTAACTAAACATACTGAAATATACACAAAACTTAACCACAAATAAATCAAACAATAACCATACTACCTATTCACCGTACTCAAAAACTTGAACGTCCTTAATAAAACACCTTCTTTCAGAATAACATAAACACTACTGATCAACTCAAATTTGCTGCCGTTACCAAATTCATCAAACACTTTGGTCATGTAGATGGACAAAACAAATCAATTATAAACGCCCGTATCCGAGACGTTCCCTTTATTAGCTGTCTCCAGAAACTCTTGAATGATGAAAAGTGGCTCCAAGATAGCGATGCCGAAGACATTGGAATTTGTTCGCGATTTCTAGATGATCTAAGAATAAGTGAAAGCGAAGACTTGATCTTCACAGAACCAAATTATCAATCGCTCGATGGTATGTCCAACAACCAGATTCGTAGACTCACTTGTCAACGTTTTGCTGAACTGAAACAACCTGATACATGGTATTCAGTGGAAGATATTAAAATATGGCCAATCATAATAGCTCGAACAAGTGCCTATGACAACTCTGAAAAAGATACTACAAAAAGAAAACGTGACCCCGCGATACCAAATAAGATGAAAGATCACATCGAAAACCTTCTCCTTGACTTAGCTGTAGATGTCGGAAACATTATCGAAATGGAACAAGGCTATGATAGCCTAAAAATCAAATGCGACAACATAGCCAGTCGATCAAGACTCTACAAATTTCTCCAAACCAAACTTGAGGATTGGACCTTCAAAATTCCTGAACTTAGGAATCCTATGGTAAGGATTCACAACGCTAAAGTTAACCCTGAAAAAGAAACCGAAATGGCTGACTGGCTGACCAAACTCAAAACCAGAAATTCCTGGACAGGTGAAGTTAAGATACTCTACTGCCACAAAAGAGACAAATACTTTGATATTATCCTGGAAATCACACCAAAAATAAGAGAAAGAATTGAAGCTAAATACGGTCTTACAAATCTAGGATACTGTATGGCCAGAACCACTGATGCTTTCAACATAAAACTATGTAATAGATGTTGTAATTTCGGCCATACTTCTTCAAAGTGTCAATTGGTCTCAAAGTGCGGCTATTGCAGTAAAAATCATGTGGAAAATTGTGCAGCATTCAAGGAAAAACGATTACAAAGATGTCCAAATTGCTTCAAAATCGGACATAACGCCTTCGATAAAATATGCCCTGTTTTCAGAATCAAACTAACACATGAACTCGAAAAAGTCAACTTCAACTATAGAATCATCATGGATTAAAACTAATCCATAAACAAGTTACTTCGAAAAACGACCAAGAGTCGCCATTATTCTTCCAAAATAGCCTAACATCTAGGTCTTAACTTCTGACTCTTTCCTACTTAACCCAACTTAAATCCCTTAAAACCTAACTATATCTTACAATTTTAACGACTTCAATAATCTGATACTTTAAAATTTTGAACACTTGTGTTTACTTTCAACCTTCACATAAATGTGAGACCCTTTTTTCTTGCTACTTTTTGTAACTCTACACTTTCCCACATTACTTTCTCCAGTTTACAGCGAAAATAACAAGTAAATACTAATTGAAACATCTGCGACTTCTGAAATCCAAAGTCCATCACTTCAGCTTCTCAGATTCTACTGAAAAGAAAATCATCATCATACTGATAAAATCTCTTCAACACAAACCCTCATCGAATTTCACATCTATACACTAACTGAAAAGCAAACATATCTTTTGATTCCGAACTTTCCTCCTGATACTGCTGTTAATTAATTTCTCACATTAACAACTCACACAACTACTTAGTGCCTCCAAGTTTAACATATCACAATGTTTCCAACTCAACAACTAAATCGCATCTTTCGTGAACTCCAAGCGAGACGTTTAAATTGGTACTCAATACGAGGTATTAAAAGAAAAATTGGACTGGAGGTTCGTTTCATCGACGATACAGGTAACCACATCACCAACGTTGATCTCATAAGAACCCTATTCCTTGACGCGATTAACCACATCAGGAGATTCCTCCCAAAGATACGCTACATCCAACGAGAAAAGAATCGAGTTTTCTTCGTACTTATCAACGAAGAAGATATTCGTGAATTCCGTCAATATTTGGAGATTCACCTTCCTGCCTGGGATCTACGATCTATACCACTGAATCCACCTTCCATCAGATTCAAAGTCAACGATAACCTGGATAATATCGACAAAACAAGCCTGACCAACACCATCAAAAGCCAAAACAACTGGGAAAACGACTTCACCAAAGTTACAGGAGTCTCAACTAATGCAGATGGTCATTCAACAGTGATATTATCAATCAGCAACACAAATCGTGACAAACTTCTGGACTCAGATTTTAAATTATCCATCTTTGAACACTCAGTTAACGCCTACGACCATATTATAATTCCGATCTGCGAAAACTGCTGGGAAGTAGATCATTTTTACAACGACTGTACAAACGTCACCAAGTGCAAAAAGTGCTCTCAACATCACGATTTCAACGCCTGTCCTCACCAAACAGATAATATACAAGACGTGTGCGCTAGTTGTACTTTCCCGAGAAACCAACACCCAACTAGTTCCCTAAAGTGCCCGAAAATCCGCTCCTTCATTAACAAACATGTCACAAGAATTACATATGAATCAGACTGGCTCGTCCTCCCTTCAACCTTCCCGATGGACTGTTAACCTCTTTCATCTAAATGTAGCGAAATCAAGAGACCTAACTAAGAACTTTATTATCCAAGGTTTACGAAACTTAAACTGTATCTCATCCATAGTTGAAGCAAACCGACAAATATCATCTGACTTTGTACGCTCCGAAAATGTGTTAATAAGTGACCAAACTGTTTTAGTAGCCTCGAACGACTTAACAATTTTAGCCTATGACAACTCAACCCCGAACCTTATACTCGCACTCATAGTAAAAAAGAACAGAGGCATAATAGTTTGTAGTGCCTACATAAATCCATCTAACATAAAAGAACTCCTCGACAAAACCCTGAAAGAACTGAATAAAGTCATACATTTCCCCCTTGTTATCGCCAGTGACATCAACTGTGAATGCAAAGCTTGGTCAACCAAAGATCGCCAACACGTGGAAGCCATAAAACTCAACGACTACATTAAAAGGAACTCTCTAACAATTTTCAATGGACCTCCGACAGAAGACAATTTCACTTTCAAAAAACACGGTACGAACTTCATCTCATGGATTGACCTAGTTTTCGGAAACTGTAGTTTCCAAAACTTTCAACTATCAGATGACGTTATTTCAGATCATAAAATGATTAGAGTAGAAATACAGATGTCAGATATATATCAGAACTTTATTGAATACATGAAACCGAGAAGATCTAACGCGATAATAGTCAACCCAATCTTAAACACGAAAATAGATATGAGTAACTACTACGAAATAGACCAGACATTTAAAAGATTGACCAACAACTGTTTTAGCTACAAAAAAACTAAGAAAAACATTGAAAGCAAACATAACACCAGAATTCTCAAACTCAGAAAACAAATTAAAAAACTTAAAAGATATTCAAAAAGCAACAACGTACAATTAGCTTCAGAAATCAAAGCCTTACAGACACAAGAGAAAGAATTAAGACATAGTACAGAAAGAAAAGCCAGAAAATTCATGTTAAATAACCTAAATGACCATCAAGCTCTCTGGAAAGTAATAAACAAACTGCTCAAAAAGAAGAATACCCTAGAACTACTGTATGAGAACAAAGATAGCAAAAATGAACTCTTAGACAGCTTTAAATTTAATAAACCTCACTATACTTACTTTCCGAACACATACCATGAAAATTGTCTCACGTCGGAGGAGATTGAACTCATAGAGAACATGTCCTTTAAAAAACAATCTGGACACGCTGACAACTTTTCTCTAAACGGATGGAAAAAGTACTGGACGCAGAACAAAAGTCTAATCATAAAACTCATCGGTGAAACATTCCAAAAAGGTTATATCCCACAAACCCTACTGGTATATGGCGCCCACTTCATACCAAAACCGAATGGAAGCTTTAGGATGATTAAGATCACAAACTTCATGTTAAAAATATATGATATGATCTTATCAGAAAGACTGAAAAAAGTATTGAATGAAGTCATCATCAAACGAACCCAATTTGCCTACCAGAAACATCTAAACACAATTGACCTACATGTCATCCTGAGTGAAAAATGGTCACAGGACAAAATCCTCATTTGTACCGACATTACCCAAGCATTTGATACCGTGAATGTCTCACTTGCATTCACTGAACTTAAATCACACTTAACACCATCAGACATTAATATGATAAGACAGTTCGTAACCGGTCGATGGTTAAGAACAAAAATTGGCGACGTCTTCAAATACAGACCTGATCCAACTGGAGTCCCTCAAGGGTCAATCATAGGACCACTCCTATTCATCTGTGCGCTGAACAAAGTCATCCGAACTCTTAAAACCAAGAACATCAATATACTGGCATTTGCAGACGATATCTTTATCCTGACAACCCCTGACAAACAAAATGACACCCTAACCATCCTAGAGTGCGAATTAGCCAAAGCTAACCTAAAATTAAACAGAGAAAAAACTAAAATACTGAAATACAACGACCCAACACATCAGAAACTTACAGGAATCTACCCTCACTTGACTCCAACTATCAATAACATCGACAAAATCTTAGAGGAAAACTCAAAGTTCATGCAAATCCACA